AAAGCCCCACTGAAGCAAGCCCTGCTCCACAGGGGTGTCTCCTGCACAGCAGCTCTCCCACTGTAGTTCAGCTGGTCCTCACAGCCAATTGGCCGGGAGGTCAATTCCTCCCAGTGACACCAACAGCAATCAAAGCTCAACTACAAGACTGTGCACACAGCCCACAAAGGGGTGCACCTAGAGTGTTCACCTCAGGTGATTGGGGAGGCTGAGCCATTGGGCCCTATAGAACACCTATTACACAAGGCCACTCTACCAACTCAAGAAGACACAGTAGCTCTACCCAATTCATAGAAACAAACACAGGGAAGCAGCCAAAATGCAGAGACAAATAAACATGCCACAAATGAAAGAAATGGAAGAAAGCAAACTACTGGATATAGAGTTCAAAACCACAGTTATAAGTTTACTCAAGAATCTTCTAGAAACCTCCAAAGAAATGGAAAAAGAAAAAAGAAAAAAAAAAAGAAAGAAGAAAAAAAAAAACAGTCAGAAATTAAGCATACACTGACTAATAATAATAATAATAATAATAATATACAGGGATTCAACAGTAGAGTAGAGGATTCTGAGAATCAAATCAACAATTTGAAATATGAAGAAGCAAAACACACCCAACCAGAAGAGAGAAATGAAAAACAACAACAAAAAAACCCCAAAAAATATGAAGATAGTGTAAGGAACCCCGGGGACAACTTCATGAAGATAGTGTAAGGAACCCCGGGGACAACTTCAAGCATACCAACATTTGCATTATGGGGGTGCCAGAAGAAGAGAACAAGATATTGAAAACCTATTTGAATGACAGAAAACTTCCCCTACCTGGTGAAAGAAATAAGACTTACAAATCCAGGAAGCACAGAGAGCCCCAAACAAGAACCCAAGAGAACCACACCAAGACACATCATAATTAAAATGCCACCGGCTAAAGACAAAGAGAGAATCTTAAAAGCAACAAGAGAAAAGCAGTTAGTTATCTACAGGGGAATGCCCATACAATTGTCAGTTGTTTTCTCAACAGAAACTATGCAGGTCAGAAGGGAATGGCAAGAAATATTCAAAGTGAGGAATAGCAAGGACCCAGAACCAAGATTACTCTACTCAACAAAGCTATCATTTAGAATTGAAGGTCAGATAAAGAGCTTCACAGACAAGAAAAAACTAAAGGAGTTCATCACCACCAAACCAGTATTATATGAAATGTTGAGGGGTATTCTTTAAGAAGTAGAAGAAAAAGATAAAAAATACGAACAACAAAATGGCAACAAATACATACCTATCAACAATTGAATCTAAAAATCAAAATAAACAAGAAATCTAATGAACAGAATAAACTGATGAATAAAATAGAATCAGAGGCATGAAAATAGAGCAAACTGACAATTCTCAGAGGGTAGGGGGGTGGGGGGAGATGGGAAGAGATTAAACAAAGATCTTATATGCATATATCCATTACCTATGGACACCGACAATAGAATGGCCAAGGCCTGGGGCAGGGCTTTGAACTGGGTAAAGGCAGGGGGAATGGGGAAAAAAAAGAGGGACATCTGTAATACTCTCAACAATAAAGATTTTTTTTTTTAAAGCCAATATGTAAAAGTCCAATTTAACAATTCAAAAACGTTTGTGAAAGGAATACCCTGACAGTTGGCTCAATCCACACCCCCCCCCCCCCAAAAAAAAAGCAGAGAAAGTGAGCATGCCAGAAAGTATTGGACAGAAAGTTTTTTGGTTTGGGAGCCAGGAAATGTCAAGGGGACAAATGTAGTTATCCATCTCTAGCAATGGGACTGAAAACTGAGCCTCTTTATTAAAGTGTACACCACACAGCAGTCCTGCCAAGTGACAGAGACTGAAAAATCTACAGTTGATTTTGGGTTTTACGGTAACAACTAATATATCTAGTTGATGGTAGGGAAGAAAAGTGCTTGAATTTTACCCTTGGTCTCTGTGTTTTTCTTGTTTTCTAAACGAACTGGTCTGGACAGTGGAAGACCAATAGCCAACAATAAGTCCACTGAAAGCTGGAAATGACTTGTGAATACAACTTAATGTTTCTTTCATGCTTGAATTAAACTGTCTTAATCTAGTAAAATTCAAGCTTTTGTAATATTATAACTATAGGTGCAACTATTGGGGGTTGATTACTTAGGCAGCCTATTTAAAGCACCTTAAGAACATATATCAGATGCTTGTTTTGCATTTATATTTTTGGATCATACTAGAGATGCTATTGTTAATGATTCTTGCTAAAAAAAAAAAAAAAAATCCTGTTTTTATGTACTGAAAACCATTTCTCTTATTTTGTAGCATGGAAGGATAATCACCAGTTAACATGAATATCCCCTTATTGTAGCTTCTGGGTCTCCATTGTCAGGCACATCAGCCGGTCGCAAATAAGTTATTTCATAGTTCTGTTCCCAAGGGAACAAACACAGTGGGCCCCATATTAACAGTGGCTTTTGTTGGCTTGTTTAAAATAAACTTTTTCTGACTTTAAAGTGGCGTGTGGTTGGTAAGGATTTCTCTTCTTTAATTTGGATGTGGTTTCTGCCTCCCAAACTCTGAAAACAATCTTGTTGGTAAAAGGACAACCTGCAGGCACTCTCTCACACACACTACTTCAGCTCCAGCTTTAAAGAGGCTTCACTGAAAACAAACTAGAACTGAAAAACATGTTCAAGTACAAATGTTCTTTCCTGAAGCTATTTTCAGTTCATTGGTCTTTTATACCTAATAGTTCAAAAAATATCTTCCCATCCATTTAAAGCCAATTACCAGCTCGCCATTATGTGCCTCCCACAGCCCCTTCCTCTCTGCCAGGGACTCTCAGGGTTACCAGCCAGGGTGTGCACACTTCCCAGACAATGACATCTGGGAGAAGAATGGGTAGAAGCAGAAACAGCGTGGCCCTGGAAGACAGACACCTTTTACAGGGGGCACGAAAACAGCCAGAAGCTCAGCCCCAAGGGCATTCACACCATGGTGTCTCTGATGCTTCACTGGGATGGAAAAACTGGCCAGTTAGTACTCTGAGCACATACCCCTCAGATGCCAGTTTTGTTACTTAGTTGTAGGATATGTTGAGATGTGTACACGCTAAAGTCAGAATGCTGAATTGTGCAGCAAATCTGAAGTGGAAATCCCAGGATTCCAAAATGTTCCCTTTGCCTTCCTAGTGGAGGGAGAGGGGAGAGAGGAGAGAGGGGAGATTGGAGAGGGGAGAGGGGAGAGGGGAGAGGGGAGAAAGAGAGAATGAACTTTGGTTTGCTATGAGCCGCAGGAAGCCACTGCTCTCCCTGCCGACCCTCCAAATTCAGGACTCCATCCACACTCCTCAGAAGTGGCTGCTTTCCCAGACCCCCCCCTCCCCCCATTAGAATAAACACAATTTGAAAGTTCTTTGCAAAAGGTTCTCCTGGGATTTCTGATTTACTCCATCCGGGCTTGCGGTTTATTTTTATACTCAGAGGGGTCTCCTATCCAAAAGAATAAGCCACAGTTCTAGCACTAACAGGTAGAAACTCAACTGACCTTTCATAAATCAGTTCCACACTCTGGTCTCTAGGGATTTGCCAAAAGATAATGGGGCTGCAATTATGAAACCATCACCAGGAGTTGCCAAGCAGGACCCTGGAGAGATTTCTGAAGTCTGCAGACACTTTCCAGGAAAAAAGAGGAAATCATTTCATGAAGCAGCAATTTTGCCTACATCCAAGCAAGAAGAGATGCAATGCTGGCTTACATTGACGGGCTAAGAAACAGGTATGGTGAACTAGGACGTGTGGCGCTGTCTTCTCCCATTCCCCCCAAAGATTCCAAATTCCCTCAATGATGGATACCGTACTTAAAGATCACAGCTCTGCACAGTTCCGGGGGTTGGTAGTAACAGACCGGTCCTTCTTCTCCTCTACCCTGAAACACGTGCTTTTCATGCTACAACTGAAGATGCCCCTTTGGGCAGGGCCTTTGGGATCCATCTTTTCCAGGAGGAAGAGGATGGTTCAAACAGTGAGGCCAGGCCGCAGGAGGCAAGCCGGGCTCAGCCAGGGAAGCTCTAGTCCGTCCAGCCTCTCTGGTCCTATGGGGAGAGGCACTGCTGCACAAAGGCTGGGGGAGGGCTTTGAGGACCCAAATGCAGCAACTGTAACAGAAGAAGCGTCAGAGTCTTATATGCTTTCAAGAAGACTCAGATGTATTTGCACCGCCCAGGTGGCAGCCTGAGATTGGCACCCAGTTTTCTGGCCCAGACTGTTTTCTTCCCCTCCCTCTGCCGGTCTCATGTGGGCATCCCTTCCAGGTCTCGGTGGCACGGAGCGCGCAATCAGCGGCAGCAGCTCCAGAGCACAGCATCTCCAGGATGGGGCTGCCTCGGAACAAATTTTTCTGGCGGTATTTTGTGTGTGTGTGTGCGAGCGCGCGCGCGCAGAGTGCGCAGGCTGGGCTGACCTTGAAGGTCCCAGCTTTAGGGTCTGCCTGGGGCTTTCACCCACCGTGGCCCCTGCTGGCTGGGGCCCCATGCCCCTCCCAGGTACACCAGTGTGGGGAAGAGCAGCTGCTGCCAATGATGAGATGAGAGTCACCCTCCAGACACTTGCCCTGGAGCCTCTTCCTTATGACAGCACAGCTGAGGATCCCTGCGTGCATCTCAGGGAAGCAACCGGTGGCCAGAGCGCACCCCCCCGGGGATCCTCTCTGTCCCTCTAACTCGTCCCCAAACAGGGCCCTTCTAACTCACGCTTCCCAAGGCCGCTAGCACTGGATCGCGACCTTGGGGCTGGAGGAGGGGCAGCAGCAGGACCCCTCGGGGCCGGCACTTCGCTTTGCCAACCTCAGCTCCTCGCGCAAGCCACCAGGGTAGACTCGCGTGCACAGAACTAGCGGGCAAACCCTCCTCGGGGAGACGGCCACCCTGCCCGGAGCTCCCAGGGCACGGACACTCCCCCCCCCCCCTCAGTCCCATGCACCCCTTTCCTGGAAGCGCCCCCCATGCTCCTCACCTCGCGCAGCAGGCGCTCCAGGTGCGGCTCCGCCCAGGCGGACAGGGCTCCCGGGCCCCCCGCGCGCCGCAGCAGCTCCCGCTCCTCCTCGAGCGCTGCCACCCGGCCCTGCAGCGCCGACGCCTGGGCGCCCAGCAGCAGGCAGGCGGCCGCGGAGCCCACGGAGAGCAGCAGGCACAGCGCGCTCACCGCCCAGGCTCCCACCGCCTTCGCCGCCGGACGACCCCCGCCGCCCGCCGGACCGCCCTTCCGCGCGCTGCCGCCGTCTTGCTCGCCCGGGCTCATGGCGCGATCTCTGCGTGTTGCTGTCCGAGGGGGCGGTGCAGCGCCGGGCTGAAGGCTGAGCGCGCCGGGAGCGGGCAGAGAACCCTAGGCACGAGGTCGGCCGGCGCGCGGGGCTCGGGCTCCAGGCAGCAGCGGATCGGCGCACGCCCCCTTCCCCTCCGCCAGCAGCTCCGCCACAGCCACTTTGGGCAGTTTCCTCTATGCAGATAGACTCTGCCAGAAAAGGAGCCGGGACCCACCCAGGGGAGGAGCGGCCCGGTCAGCCCTGCGCGGCAAGGGGGCGGGAGCGGGAGCGGGAAGGGAGCTGGCTCCTCCGAGCCCCCGGCGCGTGCCTGGCGGACTCTGCGAGCAAGCACGCACCTCCGCCTTCAGCCGGCCCGGGCCCGGCCGGGCCGCACCCACTCCCGCGCCGGCACCTCTGCGACCCCCCAGGATGAGCTCCCCCTGCGATCCCGAGATGTCTGAGATGCGCCCAGAGACTAAGAGCGCCTTCTGCAGCCCACTCCTGGCTGGAGCATTATCCATGCCTGGCGAAAATGCCTCTAAACTTGTGAATTAACCATGCTGACAATTTTTTAAAAGCTCAGAACTTCAAACCCTGTTGGAAAACGTAGTGAGTCCGTCTTAGACGGCGCCTTAGCGCCGACTGGTGGCCGAAAGTGATCGCAGCGCGCTCACAGTCAGGGTAAAGCAGAAAGAATCTTAATCTTAGATTCTGAATTTCTCTACATTTATTATGTGCCAGGCATGGGGTGCTGGAAACAAACATTGTAAGACCTTGTCCCTGACAAGGCCTTGTCAGCCCTCCTAGAGTGGGCTTCCAATTGAGAAAATTGAGACTAAAAATGGAAAAGATGGAGAAAAAGAACCCCAACTTTTGAGATGATGGTTTATCTATAGTAGAAACACAACTTGGCCAAAGCAACAATCAGTATGGATATTTAATCTATACTGTGGTTTTGCTGCAAATTTACACCACAGGTTAGGAAAGCCTGAATGTTAAGTGGCCCTAACAGAGTTTTCAAGAAAGAGACGAAAAGCTGGAAGTCAGGTGGGATTCTCTGCTCCCTTAGATTCCTACCAGCCATACTTATATCCTAAAATGAGCCCCAAGTAACTCTTCCATGAACTCCTCTAATACTCAAATAAAAATAATAAACTGTGATTTGGGTAACTCAACTGATTTTGAGAGAAAGACCGGTTATATCTGTCTTCCCTCTCACTCTGGGTATTTTAGATTATTTCTGTGGATTATCTTTTAAAACTTAAGTAAATTGGGGTTATGTTTAGATGGTTATAGATAGGTTCTGGAGCCATGCTACAATCTAGTGTATACCCAATAAATAGTCTAAAACATACTTGAGATTATCTACTCTGAAGAGGCCAACACCGTATTACATCTTAGCACTTTATTTTTACTTCCAAATGCATGGTTAAGTTACACATTGCTATTTAATGTTACTGCACTATGTTTACTACATTCAAGAAGCTTCTGCATTATTAAGCCATGCTCATTATCTGGAACACAGCTCTCAGATATTTGAACAAACTCCTCCTTATCCTTAGTTCAAAGTCCTCAGGTCTTCAAATCTCACTGCCTCCAAAAGACCACCCTGGACTGCCCAATCTAATGCCTGATTCCTCTTCAGGATTATTCAGTGGCTGAGTCTTTATCACTATTTGAAGTTACCTTTTTATTAACTTTGTCTTGTTCATCATTGTTTTCTCAAAGAACAGAACAGGATCTGGCACAGTTTGTTGCTCAATAAATATTTATCAAGTGAATTAAGAAAAGGTGAAAATATGTTTACAATTCATTATAAAGGCAAGGGAGAAAAGCCTATCTGATGTCTGATTAGAGTCCTGGAAAGAACAGATGGCTGAAGACAGTCTAAACAGACTCTACAAACTGGGGCAGACTAAGGGAAGCCAACAGAGGATGCTGATGAAGCACCCTGAGGTATCCACAGTGGGGAGGCCATTACCACCCCTAGCTGAAGGGCTGAGGGGAGTGAAGTGTTGTGGGAACTTTATGATCTACCAAACATAAAGTTTGGTCAAGGGATACGATTTCTTCAAAACCATAGTTTTGGGACTTGGGAGCTAGAATAAAAATACTTCTTTCCTACTTTCTGATCTGTGGGGCCTCCCACTGACCAAACCCACAAGTTAAGAAAGCCTGGATTATGCAGTGCAGAGGTCAGCCCCCCAATGGCAGAGAGAAGAGCCTTGGGGATGCCGAACAGATCTCGAGAGGGGGGAAGGAACTCCACATTAACTAATGTGTATGTAGCACCTGCCAAGGACAATCTAGCTACTGCTGTCTCTGAAGGGCTAACCTGTCAGCAAGAGGCACTAATCTTCAGGGTGACCAGCAAACCACTTGGTGGGAAATTAACCACTCTTCATCCAGGGAAGTCCAGCAGTTTGCCAACACCTCACAAGGATGGGTAGCTATTTCAGGTGTGGGCTTGTCTTTCCTGTCTGCATTTTCAGCTGGCACCACTATCCTTAGATGGCCTGATTCACAGGTACGGAGTCCCATACAATAGCACTTGACTAGGGGACTCACTATACAGCAAAGGAGCTGTGGGAGTGAGTCCATGGCCATGAGATTCACTGGTTGTATTACATCCTGCAGCAGCCAGCCTCAGAATATTGGACTGTCTTTTGAAAGCACAGGTAAGTGCCAACTCAGGACATTAAGAGGCAAGATTCTAAAAATGCCATCTTTGCCTGGCCAACAAGGCTCAGCGGTTGAGCATTGACCCATCAACCGGGAGGTTACAGTTCTAAGTCAGGGCACATGCGTAGGATTCAGGCTCCATCCCACTGGGCAGTGTGCAGGAGGCAGCTGATCAACGATTCTCTCTCATCGTTGATGTTTCTCTCTCTCCCTTTTTCTCTGAAATCAGTAAAAATAGAACATATCAGTAAGAATAGAATACATTAGCGGGAACGGGGCCTGGGGAGCGGCCGTGCACCGAGAGAGGGGACCTGCAGCCACCAGCAGACTGATGCTTGCCTCCCGCCTTTTAATGTGTTTTTTATCTCAGAGAGGAAACGAGAGGGAGAAACTTCAGAGAGAGAACCTTGGATCGGCTACCTCCTGCACGCCCCCCCCCACTGGGGATGGAGCCCGAAACCCGGGCCTGTATAAAAAAAAAATAAAAAATAAAAATACATTAGTAGCCCTGCACATGAATCTGCAGTAGCTCGCTGCCCGCTGCCCTGCTCCCCCACTCATAGCTTGCTGTGCTGCCCTGCTCCCTCCTGTAGCTATGGGCCGCCTGCTTATAATTTGCTGCCCCATCCTCCTGCAGATCTGTGATCTGGTCATTACGAAGTTGGTTGTGCCTTATGGCGTAATGGATAATTAGGATATTATACACACACACACACACAACCTATTATCTATCGAAAGAAATAAAATGGAAAAAAATGTACTATGCCAGTGGTCAGCAAACTGAGGTTCGAGAGCCACATGTGGCTCTTTGGCTCCTTGAGTGTGGCTCAGCGTTAGAACCACTTCTTCAAAACAGACTCGCCCAGGCTGAAAACTATTTTCTGTGCATGGACCACAAAATTGCACTGTACAGCTTGCACGTGGTATTTTGTGGAAGAGTCATACTCAAGGGGCCAAAAAGCCGCATGTGGCTTGTGAGTTGCTGTTTGTCAACCACTGTACTATGCTAATATTAAAATAAGACAATACCTATTTGTGCTCATTTCACATGGTTCATATTCAGGTATAGAAATTTGCAGACTGTAAAATTTTGTATAAATCAATATAGGAGATAAACTGTGAAAACAATAGCTACTATATACCAGCACTTTATGTACATTATTTTATTTAATCCTCACCATCACCCTTGGGAAGTTAGATATTAATATTCCAACTCATAGCTGAGACTAGAGAATATGTATCTTGTCTACCTATACACTTGTATAGGTAGTATCAAGGTCTGATTCCAATCTGACTCTGTAGGCAAGCATCTTCACACCAACATCACTCTGTGTACAATTATGAGGACATACAAAAAGTGTTGTAAAGTAATTTGAAAAATATAAAGTAAAAAAAACATTATTTAATATTAAACTCTATCAGCCGAAACCGGTTTGGCTTGGGGACTGAAGGGTCCCGGGTTCGATTCCAGTCAAGGGCATGTAAACTGGTTGCGGGCATATCCCCAGTAGGGGGTGTGCAAGAGGCAGTTGATCGATGACTCTCTCTCATCGATGTTTCTAACTCTCTCTCTCTCCCTTCCTCTCTGTACAAAAATCAATAAAATATATTAAAAAAATTAAACTCTATCAATAACTTTAAATATCATTTAGGCCTGTTGTCATTCATTCTCAAAACTGTTCTTGCCATGTGCCACCAGCTTTTAAAAGTTAAAAAATTGAACTTGCTACCTTAATAAATTAAAAAAAAACCCTGAATTTGCATTTTTTATTTATAATAGAAAACATTTTAAGTCACTGGGAATTCCTGCATATCCACAATTAATCTTTATTTCATCTCATTGCACGCAACTAACTGCTGGTAACAGTAGCTGGAAGAACTAGGCTTATGAGATGCCTTCCTCAAAAGGATATTTAGGGTGATTTCAAGTCTTAATAATTACCTCTGTTAATTATGTAGATTTTGCCCCAGAATTGTATCATTTAAAACCAAACTAAAACCAGGAAAGCAGCGCATATAAGAAAATGTTATCTGAATAGCAGATATCATTGATTGGTAAAAAAACAGATTTCTTTTAAAATTCCATCCCTCACTTCCAGTTGTCAAAAAACTATGACAGGGGTCAAAATATAATTGATAGTTTAGTAATTCCTTGTGCCAAAAAGAACAATTAACATCCGAGTTAAAGCATTTATATAAAACAAAATACTTTTTTTTTTTTTTAATGGTGTGGCACTGCTCTCCCAGGTCAACACACTGTCTCCCTGCTCTAAAAATCCACTTAATATGTTATCCTTGGATAGAGAATGTATGTTAAACTGATAAGAACAGATACCTACACTTGATCTTAGTAAAAAGGCCGAGCAGCAATGTACCTTTTATTAGTGGGACTACTGAACACTAGGTTATCTGCTTGACCTTTTTAATCACCCTATAATGCAGATATTACTCCTAAGTAATTCCAAGTAAGGAAGTAAAGTAACATACACTTCCCTAAACAGAGAACTGGGATAAAGTTGGAACCATGTCAGTAAGCCCGAGTTCTAAACTCGCTGAATTGATACAAGGATTAGCGACAGAGAAATAAAAAAATGGCTCAATGCTTATTTTAACTAGAGGCTTTTTAAAATCCAGGTGTTTGTTTTTAAAGACAGTATCTTATAGGTGTGTATAACCTCAGCCATACAACAGTAGGCTATCAATCTGAGGTTCAGAATGAATACTGTCCTTAGATGTTATCAGACTCTATGATAAAGTTCTCCATGAATTTTTCACCCAAAGCTCTTCCATTCCTTGACTGTTACCTGGACCCATTTTTGAATTGCAACATAGTGTATTTCTAACATCACTTTTTTATTAGAAGAAACTCTAGAAAAACTTCCTCTCTTTTCCTATCAGTTCATAGAATGGGAACAGAGGAATGGATACCACTCTGATGAAATATTGAATATGAGAAATTCTCACTTGGCTGGCATGGCTCAGTGGTTGAGTGTTGACCTATGTACCAGGAGGTCAGTTTGATTCCTAATCAGGGCACACGCCCAGGTTGTGGGCTCCAGCCTCAGTAGGGGATGTGCAGGAGACAGATATCAATAATCTTCTTCATTGATGTTTCTCTCTCTGAAATCAATTTTTTTTTAAAAAAAAAAAGTATGGACCCGAGCGCAAAGAAGAGGGGGAGGAGAGCTGGCAGCAGACATTCAGATAACAGACATTCAGATCCCAGGGGTACCACAATAACCACTAACCATTTCTTCCATCCTACCTAATTTATTGGTGTTTCATTTTAATTCCTAAAATCCCAGGAATTAGGCATAAGAATTAGCAAATCCCATTTGTGAAGAATGTAAGTACCTACTTTTCAGAAAGGAAAAGGGGTTAGAGTGATTAACTTAGTAATAAATAATCTGAAGGCCCTGGCCCAGTACGTCAGTTGGTTGAAGCATCATTCCATTACAAAAAAGGTCATGGGGTTCACACACCTAAATTACAGATTCAATCCCAGGTTGGGGTGTGTACAAGGAGGCAAGTGATTGATGTTTCACTCTCTTCTCAAACCAATAAACATATAATTGGGTAATAAAAAAAGAAGAAAAAAAGGATGATTTTCTTTATTCCTATAGGCCAAGATCAGCTATGCTGAGAAAATGAGTTTCTAATGGAGAGCATGAACATTATAGAACTTGAAGCATTTGCTGGGAAAGGACAGCAAAACTTAGGTAGTACAAGAAGCTTCAATAGTACAGGGGCACTGGTAGAATGACAATGAAGGGGAAAACAAAGGATGGCAGGCATCTACTAATCCCTGTATCAACACAGCTACATTCAGGAAAAATCTTTTCTTTACATCTAATGTTCCTTTAAAAAAATCTTATACATATAATACAGTGCAACTATTCAGTGCATCTAATTCATTATATGTAGATGGTATCAGAGGCCTAAACATAATTTATGCAGTGATTTTTATAGTAAAATTTATTTTAGCTTTCTTAAATTCCTAGTCAATTTTAAGAACACAGCCTTATTATAATGGCAAATGCCCCCTGTGAATAATGTAGGGAACCAAGCCCAGTTTCATAATTTCATGCATTTTGTTTAAAATATACAAACAGGTGAAACTCAAATCTCTGTGTAGCATATTGTACTTACAAAATGGGGATACTTTTAACAAAAAACAACCTGCATCTCAACAATTATAAATTCTACAACAAAAAAATTTTTCCATCTGGCAGACTGAATAGAACCAATAGTTTTTGTTTTACTAAATAAATAACGTTTACCATGTAATTTTAATGTGAGGTTCACCATGTTAAACAACCAATCAGGGTCTAGAAATTTCTGCTTTTCTTCTCCAAATGTTTTCCAATCAATCATTCCTTTTCTCTAGTAGAAATCAACACAAATATAAACTGCTTAATTATAACCTTAATTTCAATAGGCTGAGGTTTAAATATTTACCTCATTTGATAGATGTGAGACATTTTCAAGACTCAAGATTTGGCATTAAAAATTAGCGCCTGTTATTAGAATTCTGGTTTCTATGTTTGTGACTTACTAATTAGCTACTGGAAAATAGGACTTTTAAAGCTGATTTTCTAGTTAAGACTTTAATCTTAAAAGAAGTATGTGGTTTTTAAAAAGCTGTCATGATAGACAAAATGAATGGTTTAGTACTACTAACATCTCCCATGGAGACAACACGCAATACTTACAATAAAATGCCAAGAATAAACATTTCCTATGGGTTCTGATTTCCAATACCTGGCTACATAGAGTTCTTAATACTTATTACTTGTTGAACAATACAGGAACAACTTAAATATAAGGAAGGTTCCGAATTTGAGGTAAAGAATATTCATTCATTAAGAATAAAGTAGTCAAGATTTCCTTTTACTAAAAAATAAAACAAAACAAAAAACCTCACAAAACTTTAAAATTCTGCCTCCATGTATAAAAGATAAGATCAATCACATTTATCACTGGACACAAAAAATAGTCAAGTCTTTTAAAATGTTAATCTCAAAAAGGAAAATTAACTTTTATATTTCATTCACTATCAAGACTGTACTCCATACTTGCTTAACAAGATAATTATGCTATTGATATAAAACATAGTGTATTTACACTTAACTGTACAAAATAATTTAATGCTTACAAAAATATTAGAATGTTTCGAGTTGATAGTCTTAAGTAACCTCTTCCAGAGAAGTATACAGTTATGACCACTGATTTCCATTTCACTTGTTTTTTAATAAATCAAAAAAGGGATGCTGCAATGCTTCATCTAAGGTAATTCTTTTCACTGGATCATATTCTAACATTCTTCGAACCAGGTCAAACAGTTTCTCGTGTTCTTCATCATGACAAAGCATAAATTCCTGGGGGGGGGGAAATATTTTTATTTTAGAAAGATATTTATAAATAGCTGAAACATTTTTTAAACTTTTAAATCATTTTTTCTTTTACCTTTAATGGTTTGCAGCGTCTCCTAACATATCTACCAGCAGAACTATGTTCATCCCAATCTAGCTGGTTATGGTGAAAATACTTGCGTTTTCTATAGGAAGAAATCTGGATTAGTAAAAATAACAAAAGAGCCACGTTTACCTTGCCTACACCAGGACAGATGAAGTATAAGCATCTCTATGTATAACATTTCTTAAACTCTTAGCAATAATTATATATCAGACAGCTTACAGAATACTTCCATAATCTTGTACACAGAGAACAATGCCAGCTTTAAAAATAGAAGCCTCTGGAAAAAAAAAATAATAAAAAAAATAGAAACCTCTGGATCCATTCTTATAAATTCTGATTTCCGCAGATCTGAAGTGGGACTGGAAATCTTTAAAGAACTCCATGGATTACTTCTGAGGTGCAGGTGTGTTTGAAAACCACCACAGTGCCCCTTGTGTAAGGACATATAGCTGACTTAGCATCAGTATAGAATTCTAACAGATTGCTATGACTACAAATCAGGCTCTCTTTACTACTCTATTTATTATCTGTATATAAACGTAGGAAAACAATTATGCACAGGAAATCTTCAGTGTCAAAACCAGCACTTTGTTTTCTAGATCACAGGTAAATACTGTCATTACTTTTAAAAACTTTATGAAAAATTCAAAATATGCAATCCTTGGAAAAAGCAGTAACCACCAAGTTGAGTTTTTCTATAGTTGGAATATAGGCTATTGCATGTACTCAACAAAGGTCTTTAATCTTAAAGCATACCTTGTTTTCTGAATCATGTGTGTTGGTATAGGTCCTAATATTCTTTCCATCATTGCCAGGTGCTCTTTACTGTCATGAGTCTGAAAGACATAGGGAAAAAACTTAGCATTTTTCATTTCCTTGTATATACAAGAAAGAAAACCGTAAGAAAACAGTACTGACATAAAAGGACTAAATTAGAGTTTACACAATTTACATCACACTCTCCTTCAAATAGGGAACAATACCAAATGAGTTGTATTATCTGGTGCAAACCAAATAAAACAGTCTTTCCGAAATGTATTGCAGAGAGGCATAATTTCTTTAAAGTAAAGATGATCAGTTTTCTTATTTATTTGTAAATCTTGTATTGTTTTTAACTGAGGAATGACCGGGGAAGATTATAAAAAATATTGTGTCCTCATTTAAGCAGTTGCTTAGTTAAAACTAACCTCCATTACCCAACGAATAGCAACATATTAACACTTACTAATACTAAGCAATTAAAATATAGTCCCAATAATTCTCACAATAATCCTGAGCTAGATATGTGGGAATATGAATTTCTAAGAGGTAAAGATACTAGCTCAAAGTCACAGAGCTCAGAAATGAAGGAAGTTTAGCTATGAAGTCAAAACTCATTCTTAAAACTATATATTAACAGAGCTCTTACTGAAGTAGAACAGAGAAAAATGTCACACAGCTAAAATGGGATGTTTCTAGAGCAGAAATTGGCCAACTTTTCCTGTAACAGGCCACATAGTAAATATTTTAGGTGTGGATGGTCACAATTACTCTCTGTGGCATATTTTTTTGTGTGTGTTTTAAAGAAGGCATCAGGCAAGATATAGTTTGCCAACCCTTGTTCTGAAAGCAGAGGTTGTGTGTAATGCTTTTTAAAAATCTATCAACTGTTGTGCCTGGCACATTGCTTTCAAAACATTGCATACTTAATTTAAGACAGGAATAAACATAATAGCTGGACATTTTAATAAAATTCCTTAGTTGAAGAGTATATTGTAGGGTAAAATCCAAATACAAACCTGATCTCAAACCAATGTTAATAATCTGCAGTTCACTTAAGACCTCTGTAATTTAAATTACAAACTCATTACAAAGATAGCATGTATTCTGCTTAACTTTTTCTTGACCCTATCATTTATTACCATGAAACCAGACACTATCTCTTTGAATTAACCAATAACCATGATTCTAGATATCAAATTTGTCTATAAACTCAAGAGTAATCTTAACAGGATCTCTATGGATTAAACAGAAAAAGTGAGAACATACACCCTGAAATAGCTACCCAAGTCTAAACTCATAGCTTCTCCCCACGCTATTTGATATAATAACTTAAACCTTATTATGAACCAGAACTTCCTGAACTGAATTCCCCTCCCCTCAATCACAAAACAGAAGGCCACAACACCCTGACCACATCACAACTAAAACAAGTTTTCACAAAAGGGATACATTATTCCTCCTGGGCTTTTTTGGTAGTAATCTCCAAATAAAGGCCAAATAGCAACAAAATCATTTTCATTTTGGACCAGTCTACATTTGAAAATCACTAACTTTTAAGATAAAATAAGTATTTTTTTAAAAATATATTTATTTTATTGTTTTTTTTTCAGAGAGGAAGGGAGAGAGATAGAACCGGTTTCGGCAAAAACAAGTATCTTTTTATGGAGAACAAATCCATTATGAATCAATCAGTCTTTGCCTACTGTCACCATTTTCCTATTTGTGCGAGATGGATACACCATTTATTCTTCCCTGACAATATTATGTGCCTTTAAACCAGTACCCATTTAAGATACTATTTCTTGCCTGGACAGTGTGCCTCAGTAGTTGAGTGTTGACCCATGAACCAGGAGGTCATGATTCGATTCCCGATCAGGCCATATGCCCGAGTTGTGGGCCCAATCCTCAGTAGGGGGTGTGCAAGAGGCAATGGATCAATGAGTCTATCTCATCATTGATGTTTCTCTCTCCCTCCCTCCCTGTTTAAAAACATTGAAAAAAATTATTTCTTCTCCTGACATGACCCTCACACTCCAGTTTTCTGACAAATTCCTACTCTTCCTCTAACAATAGCTTTTTTGTATGATTTCCTTGGATATTGTCTTTTATCTTTATAAAGCCTAGAGTATAAAATATGGTTAATCAAATACAACTTGGAATAAAATACAACTTACTGTTCCTGAATTCTTTTAAATAAAAAAGTGCCTTGTTGCCTGGAATGGCTCAGTGGTTGAGCGCCAACCTATGAGCCAAGAGGTCATAGTTTGATTCCCAATCAGGGCACATACCCAGGTTTTGAGCTTGATCCCCAGTGTGGAGTGTGCAGGAGGCAGCTGATCAGTGATTCTCTCTCATCACTGATGTTTCTCTCTCTCCCTCTCCCTTCCTGTCTGAAGTTATATATACGTTTAAAAAAGCCATAGGCTAGCCAATACAACCAGAACTGAATTAAAACTGGCTACAGGAGCATCATTAGTCTATGAACCATGAGGTCTTAGGTTCGATTTTCGGTCAGGGCACATGCCCAGGTTGCAGGCTTGATCCACAGTAGCGGGTGTACAGGAGGCAGCCAATCAATGAATCTCTCATCATTGATGTTTCTATCACTCTCCCTCTCACTTCCTCTCTAAAATTAATAAAAATATTTTAATTTAAAAAAAAATTGAGGTTCTGCTTCCCGGCATTTGTCGACAGTAAGGCTCAAACTCACAAAAAAAACCCAAAAACCAAACAAACAAACAAACACCCCCCAAAAAAACACCTGGCTACAGTAGTGCTAATATAAATTTATGAAGATGATTTGTAACAAAAAATGAAAACATAACACAGTATGAACATGTGTTAAAAACTCCAATAATATATAAAATGAACTGACCACTAAGAGTTTTCATTCAACTATGGTTTTAGAGAAGGATAACCATTTTGCACATGTAAATTTTAATCTTAAGAATGGTACTATGGCAACTTTTCACATGGAAGCCAAATTTTACATGCCTTTAAAACTTAACAATATTCATTAAATACATACCTGAAAGACCGTGAAACCAAGGTAATATTCAATAAGAATGCAACCTATGCTCCAGACATCACAAGGTTGAGACCAACCTAAAGCTATTTAAAAACAAAAACAAAAATTTTATTATGTAATAATTTTTAATTGCCAATTTACTAGATCCTTCTGTAAATGAATACTCTCTTTAAATAACTCCTTGGGAGAATATGACAGTAAATTCAGGGTTTATATTCTTATTTTTTATCCTCACCCGAAGATATGTTTTTGATTTTAGAGAGATGGAAGGAGGAGGGAGGAGAGACAGAAAGAAAGGGGGGTAGAGGGAGAGGGAGAGAAAGAGAAAAAGAGAGAAAGAGAGAGAGAGAGAGAGACAGACAGACAGACAGACAGACAGACATCGATGTGAGAGATATCAATCAGTTGCCTCCCATATACCACCAGACCGGGCTTGAACCCACAATCTGGTATGTGCCCTTGCCAGGAATTGAATCCATGATCCTTTGGTGCACAGAACGACACTTCAACCAACTAAACCACAACAGCCTAGGCTACATTTTTAATTTTATATAAAATATTATTCTGTATGTTCTCATAGTCCTCCATATCCTGATATCAAATTATAGCTTTTAATCTGGAGGAAGGGCATTTAATATGAGAGGGACTAGAAAATATTTCCCAAGTATAACTACCAATTTGTGGAAATATTCCATAATCTCTGAATTGCTTGTGCAATGGGAGTACTATCATACCAGTTCATGGTTGTTCTATGAAATTTTACATTTTATTAGTGCAAATGTAATTTGTTATTTATCCTCAGAATATAATTAAGACCTTATCAATTATCATAAGGTTGAGGACTGAGTTTACTTCTTCCATTAAAAGAAATATAAATTATATACAAATATAATGAACATTTTATGTAGTTTCACCTATAATCAGAATTATAGTCATTTAAAGTTCACACAGGGATCTATATATGTACTTTCAAGCTGTCTATAAATGATCACATGTACTTTCTCCTTCGAGATTCTCAATGGCAACACTATTTTGGAAAGAATAGAATACCCAAACTTCTTATCTATATTTAATTGGAAAGCAGATGAAAAGAATAGGCCATACAGATATTTTAATCCTTTAAAGATCAAATAATTAGTAAACAATAATGTATAAGTAAAGCCTATCTTAAAAGACATTTCAAGTACTTGTAGTAACATCAATGAATTTAAAGGTAAAGGAAGAAATAATACACTCAAGGGCCTTGCCTATGATTTAGTAATTTTTGTTAACTCTGACAATGCTTATCACTTGAACAAATGGATAATGGAGCATGATTTCTACTTATATGTCCATACAATATCTGCAAATTAACAGAGGTTGAACTTAAAATGAAAGTTTATTTCTCCAGTCACTCCCACCTCTCAGTCTAGCTTTACCCCAGGTGACTGTAACTGTACACACTGCTCTACATCATCCCATTCTGATGAGTCAGTTCTCATACTCTTTGGAATTCCACAACATTCTCTTTTACCAGTCTCAACTTTATTACCAAAAACCTCAAACCTGAGATCAACTGACCTTAATTGTGGCACCGGAATACATCTTCCTCTCCTACCTAATTCTGCCTTAATCCTCACAATAAATACTCCACAAACACACAGAGGACCCTTCTAATCTCCCAATGTGATCTCTTTTGTCAAGGTCAATAATACAATTTCCAATTTATACCAACTATTCCTAGCTTGGCCACACCTGGAATGTCATTATTACTGAAAACTACTATATTTTATTCAAGCTAGGAAACCATTAAGTGTAAGACACACCAATGTTGTTACATACCAATAACAAAGAAATGTCAATTGTTTTGAGTAGAAAATTCTGAATTTAAGTTGTTAAAATCCAGGAAATTCCCTCCTTTTGAGCTCTAAAAAATATTTTACTATCCGACCTCTCGGTTGGACCTTACTTATGGCCAAGTAATAAGATTATCCTATTTAAGTGCTTCCCCACTGCACCTGATCTAAACTTTCCCCACTATCTCCAAGCCCCAAACACATCCCCGAATTCCCAGCTCTATTAACATAACTTGGTCTCTAACTTTTACATTTTGATGCATGCTCCATTACTGAATTGTTATTTTAAACTGTCACCTTAACTCATTTTATTTTCCAGCCTTTACCATGTGATAGGCTTTCAAAGCTCTACTTTAAACTAGCTCTGCTTTTTCCTCTTGACTTCCCTTCACCCTACATTTAGATGTCCGCTAACAAAATCATTAGGATTTTTACCAGCACCATGCTTTGATGACACAAAAATAGATACATCACTTCAAAATCACATTGCTGTGATGTACTTAGCCAATACAGTCTGTTCTTATAATCTCAGAGGATTAACGTGCTCAAAAAAAACTATCACCTGATGTGTTTTCACACATGGTATCATATTTTCCCCACTCAGGAAAAGTGTTTACAGTAATTTCGATTCTTTTTATGAAAATAGCAAAGCATTTTCTGTATACTGCATCACCCCCTGGCAAAGCTTAAAGAACAAAACCCTCTTCTTCAATTACAATATCAGGAAGTCTGGTGTCTACTGACCCAAAATGACCTCTGGAGCTCTGTAATGCCGTGTAGATACCAAAGTACTATGATGTTCATCATCGTATGTTGCACTTCCAAAGTCAACAACTTTGATGTCTGTGTTTTTCAGTGTGCGTTCATCACGTTTCTAGAGAGAGACAGTTGAGTACACATGAAGATCAATAAAGATATGAAATCTTTTATAGCACTATACAAAAGGCTTGCATCATTTTTTCGACTTTCAACACAGCCCTGTGAGAAAGGCAAACAAAGATATCCTTTTTGGGCTTAATATAAGGATAAGAATAAGCATCAGAAGCGAAATTCCTCATACAATGATCAACAAGCTAAATTAATTCTAAAGAACCACCAAAATTAAAACAAGTTTTAACTTACCATTTTAGAATTATATTTGACTACATAGTCAGACTTCACAAATAAAATATTTTCAGGCTTCAGATCTGTATGAGTTAACTTATTATGATGCAAAACTATAAGAGAATAAAAACACATTATGGAGTTTCATTTACAAATTTAATCTATTTAGGAGAGAAGGAAAAATTAATAGTGGATACAGGGTCAAGAAGGGTTTTATCTTAACAATACTCAGTTTTAGTCACCATGTTTTAATACAATGATGTTTTTATCTTTCTTTCCCTCTCCCTTCCTCTTTAAAATTAATAAAAATATTTTAAAAAAATTTCTGATGTTTAAAAATTTATCAAGTATACTTACAATTTATTGACTGGCAGATCTGATAAGCCATCTGCCTGATGTGATCAATTTGAAATGGTAGAAAGCTATTTTCTTTAATGAAATCATAGGTACTAAGTCCCAGCAATTCAAATACAATACAAACATGACCATGGTGATCAAACCATTCTAGCATCTGGACACATCGGCTAAAATAAAAATGAAAATAATTCAGTTCACAGAATTCTGATTATTTTATATAACATGATGGATCATACTTCAAGTTTATACTTACAAAACACTGTTGGGATCAGTAGTATTTAAATGCTCCAATACTTGGATTTCTGAACGAGCTGCTTCACGGTATCGACCTACATTTTTTACAATTTTCACTGCTACATGTATGCCATCCCTTAAAAAAAATTATGAAAATGGTAAATATAGAGAAGGATGAAAACATGCAGCCTCTAAAGCATAACCTTATTAAGTATCACTCTAATACTATTTTTCTAAAATACGTATGATACCAGATTCCATAAAACATCTTTTTAAAACATTTTGACAAAATACACCTTTATTGGAATAATGCTTCCCTTAATACTGATGAATTTTAATGTTTCCAGAATTTTAAATTTACCTAGATTTTATACAAACATTAATGAAACAATAAACCTCAAATAGAATATGCTACTCCTCAAAGCATTTGCTCATTACTAGGCTAGACTCACTCTGTGCCAGATAATGTGATTATGTGATAATGATAAAAAAGGCAGGACCTGACCATGCACAACAAATAGCCCAAAGGAAAAGAGATATGACCAACTTATTGTAAGGTTAGAAGTGCCCGGTATGAAGTACAATGGAGTAGAGGAGGGCGGGCTCAGACTGGGGATTAAGGAAGCTCAGACTTCTTTAGAGAAGAGATGGTATATGCCTATTTGTCAGAACTAGTAGGGAAAGAGAACATTTGGCCAAACAGACACCATCAATAAATCATGAAGTCAAGAATATGTTTATCACATTCAGTAGTGCAAACAGGCTGAATTAGCTATAGTACAGAGCAGAGAGAGTCAAATTGGGGCACCTGTAACTTAAGTATAGAGTCAGGAGTCATGTGAGGAAATGGATTTCCAAATCTTTAACTTTCTTTTGTTCTCTTTTCTAAATCTGATCATCCAGATGATGAGCCAGAACTCAAGCTCTACTAATTTATAAGAAAGGAAAACCCATGTGTCCCTAATTAGATCTAGATACATGCCTTAGACTAGGGGTGTCAAACTCAATCAGAGAAGGGGCCAAAATCTAAAATCCAGCCTAAATCGCGGGCCGAATGGTTTACTGAACAGTCATAAACTGTCATTGTGATGGAAACGCAGCGGAGTGCAGTGATGACAGCACGGTGCGGGCCACATTGCAAGGCCTGGCGGGACGGATTTGGCCCGCGGGCCTTGTGTTTGACACATGTGCCTTAGACTATAAAAAAACCTTTGAGGCAAACATTTCTAATGGCTAGGCACAAATCTTTTCCCAAGTCTGATGGTTTCCAATTCACTGTTTTCCACAGTCCCAATGACATTGTGGGATGATAAATCATTAAAACCTATTATCTTATCTAATAAAGGAATATGCTAATTGATCCTCATGCCATTGCAAAGATGGTGGCACCCACCGCCAATAAGGAGGAATAAGCTAATTGACTGTCCCACCCTCAAAGATGACAGGATACACAGCCACAAGATGGTGGCGCCCAGTTGCCTCAGCCTCACCGGGATGGCAGGTGCGCGTGAAGGCCAGGTCCGCTCCCTTTGCATGGCTGCCTCTGAACTCACCCAGTCCTCTCAGCCCCCCAGCTGCTCAGGACTGGCCCAACGTGCAGGTGAGCCTCCCATGGCAGCTGCCCAGCCACCCAGGGCCAGCCAAGGCTTGCGCTGCTGGCAGTGACAGCAGCAAAGGTGTCACCTCCCACCCAAGAGCTCCTGGACTGTGAGAGGGGGCAGGTTGGGCTGAGGGACGCCCCCTCCAGTGCATCAATTTTCAGCTTGCAATTTGATGAAAATCATTGATCAGCTGCCTGGTGCATGCCCCATTGGGAATCAAGCCTGCAACCCGGGCATGGACCCTTGACTGGAACTGAACCTGGGACCCTTCAGTCCACAGGCTGATGCTCTATCCACTATACCAAACTGGCTAAGGGCTAATAAATCATTAACCATTATTTTGATAATATCCCTATTTGGCATATATCTCAACTTTATTTTTAAAAAAACATATTTTATTGATTTTTTTTACAGAGAGGAGAGGGATAGTTAGAAACATCAATGAGAGAATCACTGACCAGCTGCCTCTTGCACTTTAAATACTATTGATTGGATTATGTTAGTTAGATAATTAAGAGTATTGGAGTCTCAAAAATTTTTAAAAGACATTAATAGGACAATTGATAAAATCTGAATCAAGTCTATAGAACAGCTTGCAAAATTTGAAAATATAACATCTGTATATATAATAGGGTAATATGCAAATTGGTTGGTAGGCTGTCACGTTATGACCGATCAGCAGGTTGCGTGCAGAGCAGGTGTGGGTGGGCAGGAACTTGTAATGTTTGGGACAGGGGCAGAGCTGTGGCGGTGTGTGTGTGTGTGTGTGTGTCTCTCTCTCTCTCCATTCTCCATGCATGCATGCATAGGCTGAGGGTCCTGAGGCACACGGAGATCCACAGGCCTCCCCCGGCTCCGGCCTACCTCTTTGAGGCAATCCATCAAGGAGCCCTGGATGGGTAGGTGGGGCCTACCTCATTGAGGTGATGGATCGAGGTGCTTCTGCACTGTGACAGGGCACAGGCCAGGCTGAGGGACCCCTAACCCCTCCTTCCCTCAGGGCAGTTGGGGGCGATTGGGCCTGTAGGGGAGCAGTTAGGTGTCAATCAGGCTGGCAGGAAAGAGCAGCCAGGGGCAATCAGCAGGTAGGCAGGTAAGCAGGCAGGAGCCAGCAGTCCTGGATTGTGAGAGGGATGTCGGACATTCCCCAAGGCGTCTCAGATTGGAGGGTGCAGGTGGGGCTGAGGGCCAATCCCTCTCCCCTTACATGCACAAATTCATGCACTGGGCCTTTAGTGTCTTTATAGTTTAAGAAGTTAACTCTAACATGAAAACTTTGGGAATAAGGTTTATGAACCAAGATTGGATATGCTTTATTATCTCTGCAATTCAAAAGTAAAGTAAAGCACTCTGATTTTCTTACACAGCACTAAGGGCCTAAGGGAAATACTCTTCACCTGAAAATGTATTTTAATATAAATAAACTCCATCTCACAGAATTTGTAATCATTCTTGGTCAAAATTCACACTCATGGTAAGCAAATCATGTACATAGTTCAAGAAATTTTGAATATTTATATATCAAGAAAATAACTATCATTCAAAACATCACTTTCATCATGATGGATCCTTCCTAACCAAAAGTATCAGAATGCACAAGAAAGAAAAAAACCACTTACATGCCATGATCAATGCATTCTACAACTTTGCCAAAGGCCCCTTCACCCAGAGTGTCCACAATTTCATCTAAAGTGAGGGGGAAGAAAGAGTTAGTATAAGTACCTGAGTACTAATCATCTAGTTATTTAAACAATGAATGCTTAAGTGTGGAATATTTTCAAATGATTCTCTATCAAAGCATAACTAAGATTTCAGCACTCATTTATTTTCAGCTGCTACAAAGACAATTAAATAGAGCTATCTTTCTTGATCTAATCTAAAATTTCACTGATTATTTTGGAGCTTTAGAGTAGAAATATTTAAATACTACAGAAAAGAAATATAAAATAACAAACCCACCAAAAAAAACAAAACAAATAAAACACCAAAAAACAAAGAATGAAGAATTCTTTAGCCCCCCGCTGACAATCTATTCTTAAAAAGATTATTCTGTCTGCAAAGTTTAAAAAGTGTTGAAAAATATTCTATACATCTTGCTCTTAGAACGTCTCCACTTTGACAGATCAGGTGACCCTCCTCATCATCCTCTATACTCCTGGATCTTTTCCTTCGGTGGCTCTTCTGGAACGGCAAGTGGGCAGCACCAAGATCGTCCAGCCAATCAATATATCAGAGTGAATTCAGGGCAGAATACGCAATTCATTCAGCGGGGAGATATTCAGGCATTCAGATAAGCACCAGGCCACGAACAGTTGGCAGGAGCAATTTCAAATTCAGTCCCCAGAAATTCACAGGGCACAGTTTATGTTACAGAAGAAAAACATGGCAAGGAACAGATTTTCAGATAAGATACTTAAAGTGGCAATAGAAAAAAAACAACACAATTGTCTCTTTAAAATACTGATTTAATTGAAGTCTGAAATTAAAGAATGCAATGTATTGTTCTATTAATCTCTTGCTATAAAATAGCATATGCTGTGAGTTGAAATGTCTAGTTTGTCAGAAAAATATTTTAAAATGTCCAAGATTAGTTGTAATTATTTAGCAATATATTCAAATATACATAATTAAAATAAAAGGGAAAAATAACAGCTGGTTAATTTAAATGTTCAATCTAATCAAAGCTAGTTTTTCTGAAGAAAAGTTGGAGAGGAAAACAGTATTTCAAATATTACTGATCAAATAGCTGAGTGTTTAAAAAAAGGGCAGGTTTTTAAAAATACATTTCCCATTCAACACCCATATTCAGAACTTCAATGGAATTAGTGGCAGACAATAATGCAGTGTGCTATGGGACTATAATATACAGGGCATTTAAGTATTGGTATTAACCTGTGCAACTTTCTATATTTGCTTCTAAGTATCAAAAAAGGGGTTTCTTTTAAAGTAAAAAAAAAAAAGAAAATTCAAAATAAAATGTTGGGTTCATTATTTCATAAAATTTTATTATAAAACATAAAAACAATATTTTTAGTAATCAAATAAAGAAACTTGTGATGTGGTTTATGGGAAATGAAATGATTAATATGGGCAAATGAGAACTAATAAATACAGATTAGTTATGAGCATTTGGAAGTTTCCTTTAAGGATTCAAGTAATATAAACACAATATACAATATAATTCAAGTATTATATACGTTTTCCAAACTTACTGGCTCATTTAGAGCTTTATCCACAAATAAATATCCACCCCCAAATAAAAACAAAATCACTCATACCGAATGTGACTGATGACTTGAACAGTGTCTATTATGCTTCCTTTTAGGACTGCTTCTCCTGCTTCGGACTGAAGATTTACTGCAGTGGATTCGGTAACTGCTTTCAACATCTCTGTGATAATGCCTAGGAACGTATCTTTCGCAGTACTCATTTCTGTATTCATCAATGTATCTCCTGTCCCGATAATCTCTCTCATTCAAGGATCTTGTTTCTAAATAATGACTGCAAATACATTAGAAGAATTCAAATCATTCTCTTCATTCTAGAGTAATGTGGTTCAAACAAAACATTTTCTCAAGAATTCCTGGTTTAAACAGCTAACTCAAGAAAAAAAAATTAAAATTGATGAATTAGAATTTGTACTTATAAAACTTAAGAAATAATTTTACTTTAACCAATAAGCAAATGGTTTCCTATTTCTCTTTATACAGACTTCTGTTAAGCACCTCATATCAAGAAACAAAGCTTGAGACAAATCATTCCATTATGTTCAGTGTTTACTTGATAAATGTCCCTTTGCCTTTTGGAAAAATTTAAAACCAAAAATTTACAAAATTGCATCAGATTGATTAAATGCACGAATTTTACACACATCACCTATCCTATGTCCTTTCCTTTTTTTATTTCTAGCTTCCTGTCATTCCTTTGAGAAGTAGACAAAAGTAGCTTTTGAAGATTGCTTCATGTGCCAAAGACATCTAGAGTATATCCCCTTCAAATGAGAAAGGGATCTTGTAATTGCTTACCTAGAGTTACAAGAAACCCACCACACCTACCCTTTTTGCATTTCTAATATCCTATTATGTCTGCTTGTAAGTAAAATACACAAGAATTCTATATAGAAAACAGCTTCATTTAGTGCCACAGTGGTTAACTTCTGAACCTACAGATACCTTTGAAAATCTAACGAAAGATCTGGACCCTATTTCACCAAGAAATGCACCAATGAATAAACAAAACTTGGTAAGGAATTTCAGAGATCATAGACCTCAGCAAGTCAATGTATCCCAGTTAAGTAGTCTTGAAAAGATGGAAAGAAAAGGACACAGATTCAATTGGCCCAGTTTCCCACCCCCCTCTCTACCTGGGTTGAGTGTCCTCTTCAACAGAGTGCGAAGCTTCAAGAGGATGCACTTGGAGCACTGAGGGAGAGAGGGGACACCTGCCCAGTCAGACAAATCAGCTAAAATAATCCTGACAAGCAATGGAGTGACAGATGTTGACTAGATTGCCCTCACCAACCCCTTTGCTTTCCCCAGAATATGCTGCTATTCTTTTCTCAGAGGGCAGGTTTAGGTAGAAATAAAAAGAGGCATCTCTAAAATTGCTACACAACAGAACTGGCATCATATACAGGCTGCGGAGATGCAGAAACCCTCTTTTCCCTTTCCCCAATGTCTTAAGTTTTCCCCATTGGAAAAACAACTCAGGATATTAAGGTAAGGCTATGGGTCTAGGTCAGGGGTCTAATCAGTTGGCTTATACCTATCAGAGAGAGATCAAACTAAAATTATACTCTTGAAGGCATCCTTCCCATAAAAGCCCAAAGTCTTCCTATCAGAAAAAACACACAAATAATCTTTAACTGGATTAATGCATGAAATTATACCTGCTCACAATCCATGAACAATCTATAGAATAACAAACATGAGGTGAAGTCATACCATGAGGATAAACTAAAAAGATGAGGACCTTTTTAATTTGTAACAACCAAGGCTTAGAGAGTATATACATGAAGTGTATAGAATTATAGAGGCTCTGCACAGAGTGAATAGGATGAAAAGATTTAATCTCTAAAAATGTTCACTAAATGCCCACTGTAGTCCTTCAAAATAGCCAAGATTAATGAGGCTATTGACATTTGTTTGTATTTGCATACAGGTCCTGTAGAAGATAATATTAAATATATACATATATGGCAAAAGCCCTGCCAACAAATGGACTGTTTGAGATTACTCACATAAAAATAAAGCACAACAATGCCAGAAATGCTGAAAGGTTGCATTTGAGTGCTGAGGGTCAGAATAGGGAAGGCACTTAAGCTTCTGAAAATGGGCAGGGAAGACTTCATGATAAAGGAAGAGCTACATTTAAGGGAAGTCAGGGTCATGACAAAATGGAAAGTAGAAATGACGAGAAAGAATGGCATACTTCCATTTTATATATTCACAGAGTACTTCTAGCCACAATGACTTAGAGAGGTGGATTTGTCTATGCACATTACTCAGGAAAAAGTAGACAATTCAAACAAGAGCAATTTTCACACAGGAAAACAGGCAAATAAATAAACTGGGAAGAGACCATCCAACATCTTGCATGCCAGGCTAAGGACTTTATAAATTTAGGATTTCTCAAAGGGTGGTTGGGTTATCAGCAATATAAAAAAAATAGAATTATTAAAAATGAAGATCACTGGGCCCCAGGTCTCAATCTAAATCTTGTAATACTCATTTTAAACATAACTCAAAGATTATTTTATTCACATTAAAGTTTGAGAATAATTGATACAGTGTTAAGAAAGAATTTAAGGATTTTTACAATATATAAAGGTGGTGTTTACAACAGCCACTTCACTCTTCCTAATACACTGTGCATAATTGATTGATTTAAATTTGTAGAAAGGGATACCAATTGACATGCTACTGCCAAAAGACAAACCAGAAAGAAAAGCCACTTTGCAATACATAAAAAGGTAAAATAATTGATATACAGTAAGTTTTCATAAATCATTAAGAAAAATACATTTTAGTAGAAAAATATGCTAATACAAAAAATAATGTTCAAGTGGTCAGTAAATATGACAGTGAATAAATTCACCAGAAATTAATAAAAATCACACAGAACTCCATTTTTGGCATTTGAAAATAGCCAAAAGTAGTGAGGGAAAGGAATATAAGTTGGTATAAAATTCCTAGAAAAAGACATTAATATGCAGAAGGGTTTATACCCTTTAACTTGAAAATGGCCCTTAAATCTATTTTCAAAAAATAATCAGAGGCATGATTTGTATATATTATTTTAAGAACAATTTAGAAATAATTTATATCCAAGCAATGGCAAGTTACCTTCTTTACACTTTTCTGCATTTTTAAAAGATTTTATAAAACACAATCTTTTAAAGATTTTAATCTTCAAAAAGACTATTAGAATATTCTAGATTATGGAGAGCAATCTCCAGTGCCAAAGTCAAAGAAGCTATGGGCCTGCTGGTTAACTGGATTTAGTATTCTGTTTATGTAGTTAATTCTGAAATGAATGAAGTTTATCACTGAAATCATGATGTAAACCAGGGGTCCTCAAACTTTTTAAAGTGGGGGCCAGATCACGGTCCCTCAGAGAGCTGGAGGGCCAGACTATATGAACTACTAATTCCTACTGTAACACCTCGGCTACGCTCACTGCCCAAAAAACCTGGTGGGCCGGATCAGACTCCTCTGCGGGCCGCATGTGGCCCGCGGGCCGTAGTTTGAAGACGCCTGATAGACCTGAGTGATTATTATTACGATGTTAAGCCTTACAGAGTATTTTATTAATAATAGGGTACATTTGCTTTTCTATTGTACATTAATTAGCTCAGGTCATTGAAGTCCTGTCATAAGCCACCCCTTTCCTCCCAAATAACAGTGTAACAGTGTAATGAAGAATGATCAACCTGCACTACCATCAAGTTCACTGTTCTACATTACAAGTCTGTTTTAGGACGGAGAAGGAAAAAGATTACATACTGTTTTTTAAAGTAACCCAGCTGGCTAATTTAGAAAGCAATCTCGTAAACAGTCCCAATGGAACATCTGCACAAAACATGGAGAAAACATAGGACCAACAAAACAAATGAGAAAAGAAAATTAATGGAAGAAAGGATGATAGAAACTCTATTCACCTAGCCTTTTTTAAACATCTAAGAACTTTTAAATTCCTTAAATTCTCTATTACCTCCAAATTTTACACTAGTAAAAATACACTAAAACAAAACATATTAGATATTTTTATTGAGACCCTGTACTAAATTATTGGCTGCTACCTGTACAAAGGAATGATCTTTTTAATAACCACACTTCTAAAAACCCCAAATATATCCACTACTGGCCTTATCTACAAAAACAATCTGTTAAACGTAGTCTAAGCCAGTGGTCTGCAAACTCATTAATCAACAGAGCCAAATATCAATAGTACAAAAATTGAAATTTCTTTCGCATGGCCCACAATTCGCAAGTTTCAATTGTACTGTATTGCGCGCCTGTACCTGGTATATTGTGGAAGAGCCACACTCAAGGGGCCAAAGAGCTGCATGAGGCTCTGGAACCACAGTTTGCCAACCACCAGTCTAATCAACAAATCCCCAATGTACTTGAACATAACTGAATAGTATATGCTGTTTTTTAATCTGGAGTTATAGTCTCCCTGACCCTCATTCATTGAACATTAAAGGAGCACTCTAACATACATATCTCACTCACATATACAAGTTTAAGGCACTGAGTAGTATTATCAGTATCAACCTTTTGTGTCTTATCCCCCTACATTACTGACAGCCTGAACTGAACTGTTCCCACTATTCCCAGAGAGACGTACACAGATATAAGGGTAGAAAAACTGTTTTACTCATAGCTTTAGCCTCAGCACATCTAGTGTCTAGCATATAATATGCATTCATTAATTTGTGAATATTTGATTGAATTATAAAATAATTGACAGGTGAAAACTACATGTTAATAATAAATCACTAAAGCTATTATGTTAAAATGCTCCTAATTCAATTTACCAATCAGATTCTTTAAACGGGTGATGTGGTTCACAATGTCTGTCCTCTTGTGTACTACTGTGGGATCTCCTCTTCCGTTTGTGGCTTCCACTGTAGCTTTCCTGGCTCCAGCGCTCTCTACCATCCCAATGAGGGCAGTGAGTTCTTTTGGAATGCCGCATCTGTTAATGGAAACAAAAAGTGAGTTGTGGAGGTTATATATGATTATGTTTAGCAAATAAAATAACATACATTAATATTATTTAAATATAAATACCCCAAACATGGGGGTCAAACAGGTACTAAAATCTTTTGTAGGCAGTTTCCCAAGGTATGGGTACTATTGCATTGGTATGTCAGATGATTTTAAGTGGCATGAATACAGGTCTAGGACTAAGTCATGAATTACACTGTGAAATCTTAATGTATTTTCTTTCAAATCTTCTGGATAAAAATTTTCAACTTGGTGCTTGTCTTCAACTAACACTTCCTAATAATATTTTAAAAATATAAAAAGAACCACGGCTCAGTCTTAGAGCCTTCAACAGTATCTAGCCAGAAATTAATAACTATTTTTGGTCTTAATTTACTTGTACCATTACATTACAGCAAATCAGTACCAATCTGTTAATTAAGTTATTTCTATGATTCCTTTTAAATATGAAACAAAAAGGGAAATACTACTCCAAGTGTCATGCAGCTCTGGCAAAGTTCTGCAATACAAATAGCTTCAGTCAGAGAAACACCTAGGGATACTAAATAAAGAGGACTCTGTGAAAAAGTATAGAGCGATAGCCCTAGCCCACGTGTCAAACACAGGGCCCGCGGGCCAAATCCGTCCCGCCAGGCCTTGCAATGTGGCCCGCACCGCGCTGTCATCACTGCACTCCGCTGCGTTTCCATCACAATGACAGTTTATGACTGTTCAGTAAACCATTCGGCCCGCGATTTAGGCTGGATTTTAGATTTTGGCCCCTTCTCTGATTGAGTTCGACACCCCTACCCTAGCCGGTTTGGCTCAGTGGTTTAGAGAATCAGCCTGCGGATAGAAGGGTGGCAGGATTCAATCAGGGGCACATGTACCTTGGCTGCAGGCTCACTCTTTAAGTCTCTCCCCTCTTCCACTCCTTAAAAACAAAACAAAACAAAACAAAAAAAACAATAAAAACAATTTCCTCAGTTGAGGATTAACAAGACGAGGGGAAAAAAAAGCATAGAGCCATCAATGAAGCTTCTTTTTCTCAAGCATGCGAGAGAGTTCCGTTCTCTAAATCTCTTGACCCTTCCATTATCAAAAATACATTTTAACATTAGAAACTCTTTAAAGCAGAGGTAGCTAAGCGCTCTTACATAACATCAAGCAAAACTACAACATATGACTGACATAGTCATTACTATGCAGTTGTTGCAAAACTTATGTATCTGCTTTAACTTTTTCCCCCAATCCACCATCTGCCACACAACCAGCTCACCTCTAACAAGGCAGATTTCTCAAATAACCAAAGTTATCAATATGCAAATACTAAAATTCAAATAAGCATTTCAAGAAAACCAAGTATTTTTGTTTCTCTAAACAAATTCACTACTTTAAATTTAATTCTCCTGTTAGAAAGTGTCCCTCTCCCCCCACCTCCCTTAACGTTCAGAAAGATTTTCTCAGGTTAGTTAAGAGAATAATCCTGGACTCACATTCGATGGGTAAGGAAAAAAAAATAAAATTACCTAGAATTATTAGACTAATAAAGAACCCCAAGATCTAGAGTCACAAGATATTGTTCAAGTGAAATGCAAAGTGTCAGAAGTGCATGCAGATCTGCTGCAACAAAGGTAGGCTCCACCGAAAAGCAGGGCCACACGAAGGACAAACCTCTGCACGTTTCCTTCCATCCCTCGCAGCTAAAGAAACACCAGGACGTGGACTCGCAGTTCCTCGGCCACCCGGCCCCCACTCCGGCGCACCCGGCCAGCCTCTGGCACCCTGACAGGCAGGGACAAAGGTTTCTTCCGGGAAAACCCGGGTCCCGAACAGCTCGAGCTCCGACAACACAGGCCCGAAAGGCGGCTTCCCAAAGGGCCTCCAGACCCTTCTTTCGCCTCCTCCGCGGAGCCGGCGCCTCCCGAGCCGCGAGGCGAGCAGCCAGGCCCCTCCGGGAAGAGGAGTCCGTGGCAGAACCTCGGTCTTTCAGCCTAGGACATTAAATCTACCACAACACCTTCGCGCCCTTCGACTTTAAAGCCAACCAAAGGAGGAGTGGTGTCCGGAAGGAACCCCAGTCGCCGAGGCCCCAACCCGGTGGTTTCTCCGACACACCTGACTTCGACACCTAGAAAGAACGGGATGGCGCTCAGCCCAGCACACCCCACCCGAAACCTTACCTCTGCTAAAGCAAAAGGCCCTTTGCCGAGCAATGAAGCCAATCCACCGCCTGACCTCTCGGCCGCTGCGACAAAAAGCTGGCAAAATGGCGGCAGCGCCGTCTTCCTAAAATCCCCAGGGGGCTCCCAGCTCCGCCTCCGCCACGCAAACGCGCCTGCGTGACAAAGCCTCGCGCGCGCTCCGCGCCCCGCCCTGACTGTGACGTCACGGACCCTTCACACTGCGCCTGCGCGGTCCAGGTCCCTCCCGCCCCGAGCCCAGGTGAGACCCTGGCGATGCCTCAGTAGGAAAAGTCTGTTCCCTGCTTAGCCTAAGCCTGTGGCTTGTGTTTGCTCCCTTTGGGGGGAGTGCGGCACCTCTGGGCCGAGCCAGCCATGGCCCCGTTTTCTGCTCTCCCTCTCAAGTGGACCAGCACCAGCGCACTTTGGCCGCTGGCCCTACCCTAGGACATCAACCCCAGATGGAGTCCACAAATCTGCTCCGTGGTGGTGCTGGGGCCAGTTCAGGGAACGTGGTATTTGTCCAAGCCTTTAGGAGCTTCCAGGCTAAAAATGGATTGGGGTAAATAAAGAGGATGTCTCAGAAAACAAGCTCAGGGGTGCTCATCTTTTTTAAGGCTTGCGTTCTTTATCAGAATAACACAACAAAAAAGGACGTTTCCGGACAGATCTGGAAGCTGGGTGTTTGCCTAACAAAGTTCTTCCCATTGTCCCTGGGGGTTGATTTTATTTAACCATGACAGAGTAATGTCTGAGAGCTAGTGGGCATTTACCTGGAATGTATTTTGCAGTTTTAAGAACCCACAATTTCTATTGTGTGTAGTGTCAAATGTAAGAAGCATACAAACCTGTAGAGAATTTATGTGAGTATATTAGAGCCAAACTGACCACAATTGTCAGGAAGCAAAATCTCAACAGATTGAGAAAGTGCTCTGAGAAATGGCAGTTTTGCGCCTTATTTTACGCATTATAATAAAAAGAGGAGGTGTAAGCGGGTTACCTGAAATTCATTGGTGGTAGATCAGGGAGGGGCTGTAGGGGGAGGATAGGGAAAGCAGGTGGGAGGAGGAGAGGATTACTGGGATTGCATAAAAAGTAAAAAGATAGACTCATACTTCTTTTATACAGGTGGGTACTGGTTAGTTAGCAGTCAACAATTAACTCAATTAACAACGAAGGGATTTGTGGTCTTCTCCCTGGTCTGAGGGTTGTGCCCAAAGGGGCCCCAAAAAAGGGATGTTACTTTGACATTCCAAAAATATTCCAAAGAACTTTGTTAGGCAAACATTTTTCTATATTATTGAGCACTTGATAAGTCTCAGAATTTATAACTAATCACTAGAATTCAATTGAACTTTTATTTTGTAGAAAATACAAAATACATTCCGCTGAAATGTGTTCGGCCCTGACAGCTCCAGAAGAACAAGTTCATTGACTATACTATTGTAATGAAATATTCCAGGATGTTGAAAATGATTTAGGAAAATAAACATTTTATCAACAAATAATAGACAAAAATAAAACAGGAAGGGGGAACTGTTGATGATTTAATGAAACCTAAAGACAGATATTAAATTCATTTGGGGTCTGGGAATTGAGTGCTTTGAATAAGCCAAATGGGGTATATATTGCTAATTGATGTGGTTAGGTAAGATAATACTTGAGGGATCATTTCTCTTTTCCTTTGTAAATGTTTAGAAATTTCCATGGTAAAAATAACCATGGACACCAACAAAACCATGATTGTGGGCTCTGAAGTCTCTTCTTATCAAATAACTTCTTTTTAGAGGTAATGATCGTGAGCAAATTACTTGGACATTCTTTGTCATAGTTTGGTTCACCTTTGAGAGGAATATTGTATTCCTGCCTCTGGTGGTGTTGTCTGAAAGAAATGTACTATGCAAATAAAGCTTTTTCTATATTATTGAGCACTTGATAAGTCTCAGAATTTATAACTAATCACTATGCTATTATTTTAATAATTTATTTCACCAGGCTAAGTTATAAATTGAAATTGATACTTTGGTTATATCTAATTATTTGACTTCACATCTGGCTTTTGACTTTTCTCCTGAGAGTTCAAGCTCTAACAACTTTCTGAATAGCTGAATAGATGGTAAATTTTCTGAAAGGTTACTAGAGAGCAGATTTTGGAAGTTCTCACTGAACACACAAGAAATTGCAACGCTGTGAGGTGATGGATATATAACCCTCGCTATACCTGCGTTTTTCATTTGTGAAGTACAAATAAATGGAGATAAGGGTTTAGATAAGATTAAGTGCTTAGAACAGCACCCGGCCCATACTTAACACTGTGTAATTGCATGTCTACTTGTCTTTTTTTTTTTTTTTAATACATTTTATTGATTTCAGAGAGAAAGGGAGATATAGAGAGATAGAAACATCAATGAGAGACAATCCTTGACCAACTGTGTCCTGAACGTCCCCCACTAGGGACCAAACCTGCAACCCGGGCATGTGCCTTGACCACGGAACCCAATCGTGGCTTGGGTTCCGTGGTCAAGGCAGTCTACTAGCCTTATGTGCATATTTCATATCTGCTCCAGGCAACCAGGAAGCTTCCGCAGAGTTAAAAGACTGTCGCCCGCTTTTCCCATTACAATTTGTGCCTCTCGGCCCAGGCTCCGCCCCCAGCCCCGGGGGGCGGGGGAGAGGTGGGGCCGGGGCTTGGGGCCGCGGATTCGTGGGCGGGGCTCGGATTCGTGGGCGGGGCTCGGCTGGCGTGCCTCCAGGCGCCGGCGCCGTGAGGTAGGACGTTACCCGTTGACGCAGCCGCAGTGCCGCCGGGCCTCGGCGCTGACCCCCGCCCCATCCTCCGCCTCCCTCTGCGGTCTGGGCCCGGCCGGACCTCGGGTGGCGGGCTGGACCTGCGGCGGCGGCGGCGGCGGCGGTGGCTGGAGGGGCTGCGCGCGGGCTCAGCTCGGCAGGCCGCGGACGCTCGTCGCTGCCCCGCGGCCAAGGGCCCTTGGCGATCTCCGATGAGAGGCCGGACGGTTCCGGGCTGCCCCGGTCTCCGCCCAGGTGAGGGGACGGGGACCGGCTCGGTTGGGCAGCACTTTGTCCGGTGTCTCGGGACCGCAGCCGGGTCGGGAGTTGGGGAGGTTTGCCTTCATCTCACCTGCCTGCTGTGGTGTGGACACACTCGCCGTCTTTGGCTCTCCCTACCTGAAAGGCACTGGGACCTCAGACCGATGTCGCAGGTCCATGCGGAGGCCCGGAAAGGCCGTGACAGCCGGCTGCAGGGGTCTGGGGATGCCCGAGTGGCCTCGGCGGATGGACGGCGAGGAGGCAGGTGGGCGGCGCCCGCTCGCGGGTGTGGTCTCCGCGGGAAGGACCGCGCACCTGCCGGCTGCGGCGTCGGCCCTGACAGCTCGGTGAGGGCGGGTGGTGGAGTTCTGGAGGACGCCCCCTGCCCGGACACCCCAGGCGTGTTTTGTATTGTGGTGCGTTTTGTATTCTGAATTGGTGCTTGCTGAGTCTGCACCATGGGAGAGAACACATTTCAGCGGAAACGTTATCTTGGTCAAAGGGAGGTGAAAGGAAGTTGATTTTCCTTTTTCGGAGTATTAGCTGTCTCCTACCCCCTACACTCCCACTGCGTTGGCCTTAGTTTTTGCCTGTAGAATCTACAGTGTAGATAATTGGGGACGCTGGTTAAAGGGAAAGAGTTCTTGTAAATTTCCTCTGTGAAAACAAAAACAAAAACATGGTAATTGGAAGTGTTCAGGTGTGTAAGTTTCAGCTGGTTTCATGTTGCTGCTTCCATTTCATTCACGGCAATGAAGCTGATTTATTTATTCTAGGTTAACTAGACACATGAAGTATAAAAACAGATGAATATGCCAGAATATTTTATTTCTTTATTTTTATTTTTATTTTTTAATTAAATTATTATCTGTGTACATATACCATTGCCCCCCCCATACATGCCCTTCCTCCCCAGAGTTTTGTGTACATTGATTGTACTTATATGCACGTATACAAGTCCTTCGGTTGATCTCTTAACTTCCCCAGATCTCCCTCACCTCCCCGCTGTAATTTGACAGTCTGCTTGTTGCTTTACAGAATATTTTCTTTAAAACTATATTTTTATTGATTTCAGAGAGGAAGGGAGGGGTGGGGGAGAAAGAGAGAGATAGAAACATCAATGTTGGAATAGAGTCATTGATCAGCTGCTTCCTGCATGCTTCCCACCGGGATGGAGCCCACTACCCGGGCGTGTGCCCTGACTGGAATGGAACGGTGATCTCCTGGTTCATAGGTCATCAACCACTGAGCCACGCCCTGCCGGGCCAGAATATTTGTCTTATAAAACTATTGAGTGGTACATGATGTGCATATATAATCTCATGTAATCATAACAATCCTATCATGTAAGGCCTTTTGTAGCCTAAGAAACAACTCGTTCAGGTGCTCTCCCTCCTGGGAGCATGCCTATGCCTTTCCCTTTCTCTTTCCCTTTCCCTTTCCCTTTTTCTTTCCCTTTCCCTTCCTCCCCTTCCAAGGCCACTTCTTCCCCTCCGGCATGTTAGCATTATCTTTCTCATTACCCATACTCCAAGGGCCCTTCTTTTAAGTCTATAACATGCTTCCTAAGCCCATTTCCTCTAGGAATTTCATTTTCTACTTCTGTAATTTACCCAATAAGTGTTATCTTAAAGTTAAAAAAACAACAATTCGTCCAAAGTCAGAATTGTGATTTAAACCAGGTGATCTGGTCGAAGCCGGTATGGCTCAATCGTAGAGCGTCGGTCTGCACACTGAAGGGTCCTGGGTTGATTCCAGTCAGGGGCATGCACCTTGGTTTCGGGCACATCCCCGGTGCGGGGTGTGCAGGAGGCAGCTGATGGATGTTTCTCTCTCATCGACGTTTCTAGCTCTCTATCCCTCTCCCTTCCTCTCTGTAAATAATCAATAAAATAAAATAAAATAAAAAAATAATTTTTAAACCAGGTGATCTGGCTCCTGGTTACAGACCCTTAATCGCTATTTACAGGTTGATTTTCATTTGTTAAGAAATATGCTAGGCCGGGACCGGTTTGGCTCAATGGATAGAGCGTCGGCTTGGGGACTGAAGGGTCCCGGGTTCGATTCCGGTCAAGGGCATGTACCTTGGTTGCGGGCAGATCCCCAGTGGGGGGTGTGCAAGAGGCAGCTGATCGATGACTCTCTCTCATCAATGTTTCTAACTCTCTCTCTCCCTTCCTCTCTGTACAAAATCAATAAAATATATTAAAAAAAAAGAAAGAAATATGCTAGGTTCTGGGAATAGGAAAAAAAAAACTGAGGAGCTGTTCTTGCCAGAAGAGACCAGCAATTTGAGAGAACTTTATCAAAGCCACACTTAGAGAATGTTTTAAAGGTAGGATTTGACGTCTAGAACCCTCTAAAGACTAAATTCATGCTCTTTCCATAAATACAGTAAGGAGTTTTCAAATGTTTGGTAGACCATAGTTTGGAAATTGTGGTCTTATTCTGGATTTTCTTATTCTAAATTTTTTTTTATAGGAGTATTTTTTTATTTGGAAACTTTAAAGAATGAAATGTAGTATTGAACTAACATTAAAGACTTTTATGCAAGTGTAATAAAATTTTTTAATCTGCAATGGTAAAATTGCTCATAAAGCCAGAATATCTTGTATAATTTGTTGTAATGTTTTTTGTTCTTTTTTAAGGTTTGTGAAGATGAAACACTGCAGATGGGCCTTCTGAAGATAAGGAGAAGGAAAAACAACATTGAAGACTCTGGGAATAAAAACAGGTAAATATTTCGGCTAAGTTAGAAAATGATATAATTTCCAATTAAAGTTCAGGGAGAGGAAATCTTCTGACTTTCAGTTTCAGTTGTGTTTTGATCTGCTTAAATGGTCAAGGAATGAAAGTTGGGAAGTGGTGGTGTATAATTTGACCTGCCAATCATTTTACTTGACTTTGGAACAGTTGATACCTGACTGACAGTTGAGTCATGTGCTGAGCTTGTGTATTGGAAGAATAAAGCCACAGAAAGTTTTGGCTTGATTTTCTATTGTCACTGTTCTTTTTCTCTTTTGCAAGCATATTAATCTGCCCATGTTATAAAGGGATTAAAAAAGAAATGAAGAAAATTGGTTGACTTTGAGTTTGTTCTTCATAGACTAGTATATGTAGTTAAAACAAATATATTTTTTTTTACTGTGAGTTCTTAGGAGAATAGTAGAAGGCATGGTTAAACATGATTAAGGATTAAACATGATATAATTCATTGATAAATATTTAACACGTACCATATGTTAGGCACTATTTCAGGCTTCTAGTAATAGAGTGGTCTAAATGGCCCTGAAAAATGCTAGAGTAGTGAGTGTTTTTTTTTCTAGAAGGTAATGTTTTTGTGACCCATACATTTCCTTGATTTTATTTGCAAGGATCATTTTGGTTTATGTAAAAGACTGGGAAAGCAGTACTATGCAACCCTATGGTAGATGTTTGTGTTTATAATTAATCTTTCATATTATTGTAAATAATAAAAGAAGGTATTTTATTAGTACTACATTAAGGTACAGTGGGAAACTAGGATTCTTACAGACTTCATTTTAGCATACTGTTTTTCATGTTAAAGATAGTGATAGAATTTCAAAATTTCATCAAAGGTTAACAAATTAACTCTTCAGCCCTAACTGGTTTGGCTCAGTGGATAGAGCGTTGGCCTGTGGATTGAAGGGTCCCAGGTTTGATTCTGCTCAAGGGAATGTATCATGGTTATGGGTACATCCGCAGTGGGAAGTGTGTAGGAGGCAGCTGATCGATGTTTCTCTCTCGTTGATGTTTCTAATTCTCTATCCCTCTCTCTTCCTCTCTGTAAAAAATCAGTAAAATATATTTTAAAAAATTAACTCTTCAATATGAGAAAATCTGGGGTAATTTACATGTGACAAATAGAAATGCCATGGTCAAATAGGCATTCTGAATGATGAATTGGGGAGAGATGAGCTTGGAACCATGGTGATCAAGGACAGATGGCAAAGGAGAGTCAGAAGTAAAACAGTGCAAATGGGAATTAAAGGATGGAGATGACTATATAGATGCAAGGAAGATAGAATGGGTAAGAATTATTGGGTTGAAGGAAAATGGAGTCAGGATACTTCCTGGTCGCTGTCATGTTCAAGCTCATAATATTTAATAAGTACTTGCAGGGTTAATGAAATTGATTACTTGATACCTGGCTTGGGAAACAGTGGATTCTGTGACTATTTCTGAGGGAGAATAGGAAGAGCAATAAATTGGGAACATGGTTGGAGGAACTAAGTTTAGTTGAGAGCTATTGTGACTTCCATCAAGAAATGTCATTAGGTAGCCTTAGTCAGTTTGGCTCAGTGGATAGAGCATTGGCCTGTGGACCATCAGGGACACATACCTTGGTTGCAGGCTCCTTCCTGGCCCGGGCCCTGGTTGGGGCTTGTGCAGGAGGCAACCAATCAATGTGTTCCTCTCATATCAGTGTTTCTCTCTGTCTTGCCCTCTCTTCCACGCTTCCTAAAATTAATGGGAAAATATCCTTGGGTGAGGATTAATAAAAAAGAAATGTCATTTTTGTAGTTGTGTATATGGATCTGAGTTAGGAAGACCTATCTTGTGGTATAAAGTGTGGAGTCTCCATTTATAGGTGATAGTTAAAAACACTGTGAATGGATGAGATCACTCAGGGAGAACATGTGAAGTGATAGAAGAGAAGTAAGGATGGGGTACATTAATTCTTAAGGTTAAGGTAGAAGAAAAACACAACTCAAAGGAGATGGGATGAGCAGGGAAGGAGGAGAAAATCAGGATAGTCACAAACATCAGTGAAAGAACTGAGTTTGGAGAAAAGGACTGAGAATTGGACATCTTTGAGACATCAAATAACTTGAGGACAATAGAAGTATCCATTGGACATATCAATTAAGAAGTTGTATACTTGGACAAGAGCAACTTTATGGGTGGAGCCAGTTCACACTGGTGCGGTGGGCTGTTTCTCTGTTTTCCGTGTCCATCACGGAAAACGACAGGTTCCTGAGTGCAGGAGCTGGGGATTAAGAAATTAGAGAAAGAAGAGGCAGAAATAGATTCATCAAGCTGGGCCAGGGGTCAGCAACCTTACACATGTGTCAAACACAAGGCCCGTGGGCCAAATCCGTCCCGCCAGGCCTTGCAATGTGGCCCGCACCGCGCTGTCATCACTGCACTCCGCTGCGTTTCCATCACAATGACAGTTTATGACTGTTCAGTAAACCATTCGGCCCGCGATTTAGGCTGGATTTTAGATTTTGGCCCCTACTCTGATTGAGTTCGACACCCCTACAAGACATAAAGAGCCACTTGGACCTGTTTTCGAAGGAAAAGAAAAACCTGGGAGCCGCAAAACCATTGCGACATTTAAAACAAATATAACACTGCATATATTGTTTCTTACCTTAGTGCTATATACCGGATCGTGCAGTTACCTGTCAATCTGAAGAAAAAAAGGATTTTTTCACTTAAAAAGAGCCGCATGCGGCTCCGGAGCCGCAGGTTGCCGACACCTGAGCTGGGCACTAGGTGGGCGCCACCCTCTCTGATAGAGAGGCAGCAAGCAACTGGAGCCATGCAGCAGGTTTATTTATAGGGTCAAAGGAGCTTATTTGCATTCTTAACTAGACTCTAGCATTACTGGATTTACATATCTAGACCCGCCCCTGGTGACATCTGGACAAAGGTACTCTGCCAGTGCCTCCGGCTTAGCTAACAATTTAAAGAATGTCCATGTGCCTTCTCTGGCGGCCCTCTATACACTGGGAATGATGAGGAAATTGAAATACCTAATGTTATTTAATCTTTCAGAAACTTTGGTTTTAAGTAGAATAGAGAGAGGGTATCTAAAGAGGGTATTGAGAGAGGTCTTTTGTTTTTTAAAAGTATGAGTGATATGAATACATTTATAGTACATTCTCTATATGATGGGATAAAAAGACGTCAGAAAGAAAATATGAAGATAATAGAATGAGGAAGAATAATTGAATAATTGATATGGCTGATAATGGACTAAGCTGGAAGGGTCAAAGGTACTTCAGATAGACTACTACTGAGCCGGAAGTAGGGAGGTATGGTGATTATGGGTACAGATAAATTGGTAGGAGGAGAGTGGAGGAAAAGGTAGGAAAAGGAAATTGTTCATTCATGGGATTGGTAGCCTTTTTGATGTGGGCTTGCTGACTTCTGATCTCTTGGTAAGAAGGAGGAGAGAAGATGAGTGGGGGTATTTTAGCTTAAGATGACAAGTATGCACCCTATGAGTAGAACTACTTTGCTTATCTTCCTTATACTTTATGTTATCTATTGCTGAGTAATAAAGTATCCCAAAACTCAGTGGCTTAAAACATTTATTATCTCAGAATTTCTATGGACTTAGAACTTGGGAGCTACTAAGCTGATTACTTCTGAATTAGGGTCTCAAACATTGATATGAAAGAAACGTATTGATTGGTTGCCTCCTGCACAAGCCCCAACCAGGGCCCGGGCCAGGAAGGAGCCTGCAACCAAGATCTTGGCTGGAACTTAGTCATATAGGGACTTAATTGGGGCTGGAGGAATTGCCTCCATTATGGTTCATTCACATGGCTGTTGGCTGGAGGCCTCAAATCAGCACCACATGGTCCTTTCTTATATGTCCTAGCAAGGCAGATGTTTCCCTAAGAACAGATGATCCAAGACAGAGAGCAAGGAGGAGGCCATGATGCCATCTGTGATCTAGTTATACTCATTGCTTCTGCTATATCCTTTTAGAATTGTATCATTCAGTCCAGACCACATTTGGGAGAGAAATTAATTAAGCTCCAACTCTTGAAGGGAGAAAGATCAAATAGTTTTTGGACATATTTTAAGACTACCACGTACCTTCTATCAGCTGTCAATTTCTTTTTGGGACAAAGCACTAAAACTATGTAGATAAAGACTTTTTTGACGGGGTGAGAGAGAGGTGGAGAAAAGTGGGGAGTGGTTCAGTTGGATTTGGCTTACTTCACAACGTGGCCTTTGATGTTAATCAGTCTCTGTAACACATCAATCTTGATTTGTGTTATAAAGTGTGGAGTCTCCGTTGTGGTTATTTAAAAAAACTAAAAAAAAACAAAAGAAAAAACCCTGCCGATCTTTGATTTAATGGACCACCCTTTTAAGAGAACAAATGTCATAGTGGGCAAAATATGAATTTATTATACCAAAATATGAATTTTGGTAACATTCATATTAGCTACTAAACTAGAATCTAGAGTTGGGAGGAGGGAACTAATTTTTCATAGAAAAGAAATGGAAAACCAAGAGATTGTTACTGATTTCAGTGAACATAAGTGATGAGAAGCAATATAACAAGATTCTAAAGCCAAATGGTCTAGGTTACAATCCCAGATGGACCATTACCTGTGTTTGTGCTTGGCTTCTGCCACAGTTTTCTCATCTGTAAAAGGGGAAAATTGTAAGTGGGTAGCTATTTGCGATGCTTAGATGAGTAAACACATGTAAAGTGTTTGGAACAGCGCCTGGCACATGGCAAGCAGTAAATAAATGTTAGCTATTGCCATGGGAATTCTATTTTCATGGTGAGCTAATTCCATGGAATTAACATTTCAAAGAGTAAGATAATATCCACCTAAATGTTTAGAGTCTAGACTTTAAACTACTGACCTTATAGTATTTTGTGAAGTATGTTTCTATCTAGCTCCATATCAATTTAGAGTACTGTATCAGATGTCACCAGTAGTATTGTGTCATATCCCATAAAACTTCCTAAAGCAGTCTTTTAAAAAAATTTTTACATAAAAGTTCAATTTCAATTGGAGCAATATTCTCAGCTCTTAGGAATTGGTTATTAAATGAATCTGTTGGACTCTTTGCATAACAACATGCTAATAAAAAGACTTTCTTTAAACTTGATATGATGAGAGTGTTGATGAACACATGTGACCAGTTTCTTCCTCCCTCTTTCCTCATCTCCAAAGACCCTATTGTTGAGTGGATAGTTTGAAGATGTATTAGGTAAGGTTTCTGACTGAACGAACTTAAGGGAGAAGATAAGAGAGGAGCTTAAGGGCCAGATATTATACAAAAATGAAAACAGTTTTATTACAATAAAACTTCTTTAGAATTTTTCTTTGCTAATGCTTTTTACATTTATATTTATTTGAGAGAGAGAGACATCTATTTGTTTACCACTTATTGATACATTCATTGATTGATTCATTTTTTTCCAGTCCATCTTTTAAATTTTTTGAAAAATTTCTGACATTACAGAACTAAACTGAAATATATTAATATTCCACTCCTACATTTCCATGACATACAAACAAAAAAATTCATGAGCCAAAAACAAAAACAGAGAGAAGCTTATAAAACTAAATATGGATCTAGCCGGAGCCGGTTTTGCTCAGTGGATAGAGCGTCAGTCTGCGGACTGAAAGGTCCCAGGTTCGATTCCGGTCTAGGGCATGTACATTGATTGCGGGCACATGCCCCCAGGGGGTGTGCAGGAGGCAGCTGGTCGATATTTCTCTCTCCTCATCGACATTTCTAGCTCTCTATCCCTCTTCCTTCATCTCTGTGGAAAATCAATAAAATATATATTAAATAAATAAATAAATGTGGATCTAGGCACAGAGAAAAGAATTAAAACGCTTTAATTAAAAAATCATGAGTGGCCCTACACAGTTTGGCCTAATGGATAGAGTGTTGGCCTTCGCTCTGAAAGGTCCCAGGTTTGACTCTGGTCAAGGGCATGTATCTTGGTTGAGGGCACATCCCCAGTAGGAGGTGTGCATGAGGCAGCTGATGTTTCTACCTCTCTATCCCTCTCTCTTCCTCTCTGTAAAAAATTAATAAAATATATTTTAAAAAATCATGAGTGGATGATAAAGTGTGTAGAAACTGAAAATTTAAAAACTATTTAAAACATGGAATAACTGTTCAGAAATTACACAGATGGATCACGGGTGGTGGTGAACAGCAGAAAGGAACTATGGATGAAAATACATTGTTCTAGCTGCTCCCCATGCTACCTGTCTCTGAACAAAGCCTGACCACCCAGGCATGTGCCCTTAACTGGAATCGAACATAAGACCCTTCAGTCCACAGTCTGAGGTTCTATCCACTGAGCCAAACCAGCTAGGGCGAAGTCAATTCTTTTTACCCTGTTTGTAGTTATGTTTTCTACAGCTTTTTAAGTGTGTTTTTTTTCTTTCTTGAAAAAAAAATTTTTAAATTGATTTTAGAGAAGAGGGGAGAGGGATAGAGAGATAGAAACATCATTGAATGGCTGCCTACTGCATGGCCCACACTGGGACCACACCCTCAATGCAGGCCTTCCTCTTGGGTTCTGACCCCCTGCACCAGGAGTCTCTCCTTGCAGATGTTCTTGTTGCTGTGCTCAGGCCCTGACACCTTGAGCTGGACTTCTCCTGCCCTGTCCCCCACCACGGATGCCCTTTTCCTTCCACTCAAGCTCCAGTGTGCTGTGCCTGACTTCTGCACATATGGCTTCCTCGTGCTGTATGGCTTTGATACGCTGAGGCACTGCTGCTGTTCTGCTAGCCTCTTCATCACCCAGGTGGTTATTTATTTACCCTTGTCCACCTCTGACATCCACTCTAGCCATGAGACTCCTGTCCCTCCCTTCCCCAGTTGTAGATGCTTGCCTTACTTTGCCTACTCTGTGGCTTTTAGATGAACCTTTCAGGAAGGGGAGAGGAAGAGGAAGCGACCAGTTTGGTTTTCAGGCCATCATTTGCTCTGTGAAGGTTAAGCAGTAGGTTCTTACATCAGTCTCTAGTTCCTCTTCACTAAGGAATTGGTGGTGTCCACTTAAACAATGGGGTCAGTGCCAGTTCATCCTGATTATGTGTCCATTCTGTACTTGTTCAAAATATATTCTAACTATTGAGCCTCTATCTGTTAATTTCTCCTAAATAAGGCTTTGCATTAGTTGAAACTGGAAAAATGTTGGTGAAAGCTGTGATACTGCAGTTTTCTGTCTTTGCAACCTAACACCCTCCTTCTAAATTCTCTTTGGCTGTGCGTTGTTACAGTGGTGGGTGATAGAGATTGGGGATAGAGACTAGATCCTTTTGGTGAATAGATCACCTCCCCTTGGATTTGATTCAAAACAGACCCCTTTTCTTTCTTTTTTTTTTTTTTAATATATATTTTATTGATTTTGTACAGAGAGGAAGGGAGAGAGACAGAGAGTTAGAAACATCGATGAGAGAGAGTCATCGATCAGCTACCTCTTGCACACCCCCTACTGGGGATATGCCCGCAACCAAGGTACATGTCCTTGACCGGAATCGAACCCAGGACAATTCAGTCCCCAAGCCGACGCTCTATCCATTGAGCCAAACTGGTCTCGGCTAAAACAGACCCCTTTTCATGTGGAGAGCTGAATGCTGGGACATATCCCTCATGGAGTATCTCTAGGAGGCAGTAGAAGGTCTTTTTATCCCAGTGTTATGCTGGTGATACATCTGTAAAATGATAAAAATATGTATGAAATAGGTACATATGTTATTACGTAATGTGCAAACCATTACATGTGAATATTTGGTTTTAGGTTAAAGGTTTTCAGAATGTTTCCTTCTTTAAAATATTTTTTTAGTTTAACAAAACTAAAAGAGTGAGAAAGAGAAAGCTCATGTTATAAAGTTAGCTCCCACATTTTAAGTTGCTGGTTAATAGATTTTTCAAAACTTTGAATTGAGAACATTTTTTCCACGTTTTTAAGCATATTAAAAATATTTTTACTTATTTCAAAGAGGAACGGGTGGGAGAAGGAGAGAGAGAGAGAGAGAGACAGAGAGAGAGAGAGAGAGAGAGAGAGAGAGAGAGAGAGAGAGAGGAGAGAGAGAGAGAGAGAGAGAGAGAGGAGCACCAATGATGAGAGAGAATCATTAATCAGCTGCTTCCTGCAGGCCCCACACTGGGGATTGAGCCCACAACCTGGGCATGTGCCCTGACTGGGAAATGGACCATGACCTTCTGGTTCATAGGTCAAAGCTCAACCACTGAGCCATGCCAGCCAGACTCCAGTTTTATATTGTGAGATATAATTGACATGTATCATTGTATTTTCTTGAGGGTAAACAGGATCTTTGGAAATACTTGATGATCTTTGCAGTGTTCATAATTATGAACTTTTATAATGATGAATTTCTTACTTTTTTATTTTTAACTAGTAGTCCTGTGCACAAATCCTGTGCTAGTAGGTCTCTATGGGGCCTGGCCACTCTGTGCCCACTGCCCAGAGGCCCATCCACGGCTGGGCATGGAATGACAGGGTGATGACACAGCGTATCTCCTCCCCCACCCCACCCTTGACCACTCCGTGCCCGCTGCCCAGAGGCCCTCTGCGGTTGAGGTGAAACACTTTTGCCTTGTCACTGTGGTGATGAAGCAAGCATTCTGCCAGGCTGGTCACGCTGCCCACTTTCAGCAGCTGCTGCCTTCCCCCTTCCCCCCTACCCTCCCCGGACTGGGGACTCTAGCAGGGCTGAGAGGACTGGGCACTGCCATCTTGTGGCTACGGGCGCTTCTATCTTTATGACAGAGTGATGGTTAATTTGCATATTACTCTTTTATTAGATAGGATGATGCATTTATTTCATTCTGGTATTAGTATCTCCCTTCCTCCTACGGAAGTAGTAAAATATTGTAGTTTGACTTGCAAGGTGCATCTCTTCCTGTTGGAGCCTGTTGTGAATGATGTTTTTTTTGTTGGGGTGTGTAATTCATGTTGAGTGGTACTGTGTGAGGGTTCCCCCTTCTGGCCTATCCATTCCATTTTCATTAATTTTCACCCTACTTACTAGTACTCTCTCCTTATTGTTGAGATAAATATGTTTGATTATATTTCAGAATAATAAGGTTCCTCTTATCTGGATCCAGAATATACTAACTGAATCCGAGTCTCTACTCATACTTAGTATGGTGAAATCAGAACATTAGAAAACATGATACGTTGTCACATATATATATATATATATATATGTGTGTGTGTGTGTGTGTGTGTGTGTGTGTGTATACACACACACACACACACACATATATATATTAATATATATGAATGTGGCCATGTTTTTGTTGTTTATTGTATTTTTGTATTCTTATAATTGAAGAAACAGAATGTGATTTAATAAACTTTAATATTTATTAAATCACCTTTCCCCCCCTTACATGATTTTCCTTGCAGATTAATAAATATCTGATTCTAAATTTAACCTTTGAACTCTTAGACCTTTAGATGCCTCTCTGGAAAAACCTCAAAAATGGATCAAAGGAAAAATGACAGTATTGTTCCTAGTATCACCCAGCTAGAAGATTTTCTTACAGAACACAATTCTAATGTTGTGTGGCTCCTCGTTGGTAAGTAGAATGTATTTTTTGGTACATTACTTAAAAAAATTTTTTTTTTATTGATTTCAGAGAGGAAGGGAGAGGAAGAGAGAGGTATAAACATCAATGATGACAGAAAATCATTGATTAGCTGTCTTCATGCCCCACACTGGGCATTGAGCCCGCAATCCTGGCATGTGCCCTGACCAGGAATTGAACCTGGGACTCTTCAGTCTGCAGTCTGATACTCTATCCACTGGGCAAAACTGGCTAGGGCTACATTATTGTTTGTTTGTTTTTTATGGTTGGAGTAGCAATTGCCAAATTTTAAACAGTGGTTGGCCTTATGATATTGAAGGGGTTGGGGACATGTCACAATGAAAAGGCCATAGTTCCTAGGTTCTCTAACACTAGAAGCAAACTTTCTTTTCAAAATCCTCTTACCTTTCTGAATTGCCCACAACAACCTGACACAGTGGTTTACAGTAAAAATTACTACAAAATGACTTTAAAGTTAAAACATAATGAAATGTCATCAAAATAACTTTCAAAATAATTGTCCTAGGAATAATTTTTATGGATACATCATAGCACTTTCTGTATCAAAGCTATTATCATTAATCTAAGCTAACCTGTGAAATGTTGTATCGGTGATTGCCTTGTTTTATCATATTAAATAATTTTTTTTAAGTTAGGAACTCAATTTGATGTTGCTTAAATGTTACATATGTTAAATTGGTTTACATTACTTTGTCCTAATTTAGAAAACAGATATATTTTAAAAATAGATAAGTAAAAAATATTATCAGAAAATGCTTTCTGGTATTTTGCCTTTTGTATATTCATGATCTAGTTTTTTGGGGGGAATATTGTAAATTTTGTAAGTGATTATAAACTTCATGATAGATTGACAAATGGTCAAACTTGGAATATCATTTATTTTTTATTCAGTAAGAGTAGACATTCTTAAATGGTTATTGTCTTTTTAAAAAAATGTATTTTATTGATTCTTTACAAAGAAGAAGGGAGAGGGATAGTTAGAAACATTAATGAGAGAGAAACATTGACCAGCTGCCTCCTGCACAACCCCTACCGGGGATGTGCCCGAAACCAATGTACATGCCCTTGATTGGAATCGAACCTGGGATCCCTCAGTCTGCAGACCAACGCTCTTATCCACTGAGCCAAACCGGTTTCGGCTAAATGGTTATTGTCTTATCAATTATAGTAAAATAGTATAAGATGTCCTATTTAATATAGATATGCCTTTAAGTAGGCTAAATTCCTACTTATTTCCATTATTTATTTTAATGTTTTTATTGATTTTAGAGAGAGAGGCAGAGGGATAGAGAAATAGCAACACTAATGAGAAAGAAACATCGACTGGCTACCTCCTGCATGCCCCTACTGGGGATTGGGCAAACAACCTAGGAATCAAACCAGTGACCACACTGGCTAGGCTCCATTACTTTTTTTTTTTTTTAATAATTATTTATTGTTGAAAATATTACATATGTAACCCCCACCATTGACCACCTGCAGTCCCTGCTCCCCAACTCCATTACTTTCTTAAAAGCAGAGTTTATTGATTTAAAAAATTATTAATTTTCTTTCTTTTTACGTCACTTTAGCCTTCAGTGAATAGCTTGGGAATGAGTTTTTAGCCTGATAAAGGTGAATGTTTTTCATAATGTTCAGAATTATGGGGTTTCTTGTCCCAAAACATCTTTACATAATCTAATATATAAAAATCAAGGGGCCGTCACAACCAAAACAACTGGATAGACGACTGAACACAGGCTGCCTGAGGCGACAAGGCTGGCAGGAGGGTTAGTGAGGGATGACCAAATGACCGAACAAGCAGGCTGCGTGTGGCAACCAGGCCAGCAGGGGGCCAGTTAGGGGCGATCAGGCTAGCAGGGGGGATAGTTAGGGGCAAATCAGGCAGGCAGGCAGGTGAGCAGTTAGGAGCCAGTGGTCCCAGATTGTGAGAGGGATGTCCTGCTGGTTTAGGCCCTAGCCCTGGGATCAGGCCTAAACCAGTAGTTGGACATCCCCTGAGGGGTCCTGGATTGGAGAGGGTACAGAGGTTGGGCTGAGGGGACCCTCCCTCTACTCCCCCGCACAAATTTCATGCACTGGGCCTCTAGTATTTAATAAAGAAAACAGTACAAAGCAGTGAAAAAGATATAAGAAAAACAAAAGGCTCTAATGGATCTGACTGGAATCTGTTTTTTTTCTGGCTAATGACTAAAAGAGAATGAGGAAAGGGGATAAAGTAGATACAAGCTCTGATTTTAAAACCCAAGGTATTAAATTTTAAGAAGACTTACTACCATATTATCATCATTGAGTGTGGTAAATGATCTTTTACTGACAGTTTACTAACATATAAAGGTGATTGAAAGTGACATCCTTTTGTACTTTTTTCTCCCAACAGCTACCATTTTGTCCTGTGGATGGATTATTTATCTCACATATTATAATTCTCGGAATGTTGGTCTTATTTTAACCTTGGTTGTCAACAGATTATACAAACATGGCTATATCCATATTGGTGAGTTGAAGTAAACCTGCATTATTTTCTTCTGTGTAAACTTGAGGTATACATTATACATTTATCTTTTATAAACAGATAGTAGTTTTAGAAATTTACCATTGTTTCATGAAGGATAAACTAACCTACTTTGAATTTCTCTCTTCCAGCACTGTGTAACAGGTTATGCCCTTTACCTCTTTCTTATTTGTTAAAGTGTTTCCATAGTTACTCTTTGACTTTATTTATAAAAGATACCCGTGAAAATAATTTGAAAAAATATAGACAAATATCAAATATGGAAATAGAAATTTCTCACAATTCCATGTAGAGAAAATTTCTAAAGCTCAATGAATTATTTGCTCTTTTATTTTCCTTTAAGTAACCCGTACTTTAAAAACCTGTAAGTTGGAGTCATCTTGTATATTTCATTTTGTGCCTGCTTTATTAGTTTAGTTTCTAACTACTTATAAGTGGGAGGTTTGTAGATAGATGGGAGGATGTACTAGGAAGCTATATACTCTGGAAAGTACCAAAACCTGTGAGAAAGAAGGAGGGGGCACTGAATATAATCATTCTAACCTTCCCTGGAGTTGAGTACCTCTTAATGAACATGAACTTCTCTCAAACATAGTCTTCCATTAATTTGAGGCAGTGACTGGTTCCTGGAGTAATGGAGAAAAATGGTGAATTAATCACTGCTATGGGTTTATTAATGGCTGTGCATAATTAAGAGAAATTATTGTATGAAGCAGCTATTCAAATTAATGTTCTTATATGGTTATTTAGTAACTCAGTCCATTGTGATGACACCTGTGGCACTTTTTCAGGAGAAATGATAGAAATTAGTAAGGCTGTAAGGATATTTGGAAGGGAGTCAGGAGAGAACATTTAATTACTGAATGAATTGGTTGCTACGATTATTTTAAGTGTGAAGAGCTCTACTGTATCAAAACAATTAAATTAATTGCTTTTTTTTTGTCCCCTATAACAGGCTCCTTCTCTTTCTCTGTTCTTTCTGGAAAAATCATGGTTCGTGAAATCTATTACATTACAGAAGACATGTCTATTAGGTAAAAAGCAAAAACAAAACCTAAAACAAATAAAAGAACCTACCTTAAACTTGAAATATCGAAGTATTTTCTAATTATGATATTTGTTTTAATATTACTCGGTTCTTCAAATAAAACCATAAATCAGCCTTGGCCGGTTTGGCTCAGGGCTAGAGCATCAGCCTGTGGACTGAAGGGTCACAAATTTGTTACAGTCAATGGCACATGGCCTGGGTTTCAGTTCGTTCCCCACTGGGGGATGTGCAGGAGGCATTTGGTCTGTGGTTCTCTCTCATCATCTATGTTTCTGTCTCTCTCCCCCTCTCCCTTCCTCTTTGAGATAAAAAAAATATATATAAACAACAACAACAAAAAACCCAAACCATAAATCAGAAATAATTTTTTCAGTAAATTAGACTTAATGAATTCATGTTTTAAAATGTTTCTAACCATGGATTAATTTAGCTAAAGTTTAGACTGGCAAAAAGTTTATCTACTAGCAACATATAGAAATCAATAATCTCAGGTCATTGCAAGATGAAAAATTGAGTCATTAAATTACCTGATCATTTCTGTTGTAGAATTTATGGTGGTCATTTGTTATATAAAATAAAGATCAGATATGTTGATAATGCTCACCCATTAGATTCTTATTAGGCAATAAGTGTTTAGAATTGTTTAGCATCTGTTACCAACTCTAATTTTACTTTAAGAAGGAAATAAAAATCTTAATATATTAAGAATATGTTTTATATTGTTCTCTCTTATGTAAGCTTTGTAAGAAAAGCTTACTCTGTTATTATTATTATTTTAAAATATATTTTTATTGATTTCAGAGAGAAAGAGAGAGGGAGTGAGAGATAGAAACACCAATGATAAGAGAGAATCATTGATTGGCTGCTTCTTGCATGCCCTCCACAGGGGATCAAGATTGCAGCCCGGCATGTGCCCTGACTGGGAATGGAGCTGTGACTTCCTGGTTCGTAGGTTGGTGCTCAACCATTGAGCCACACCAGCTGGGCAGCTTACTTTTATTTTTGTGATCTTCTTAAAATTTACTTAGAACTTGGAAAATTTTGAATTATTTGAGAGATGCCAGAGTTTGGTACCACTTATACTTCTCTTGAAACAGTAGAATCATCTTCTTTGTGAGTCTAAAATTATTCCAAATTAAAAGTAAAAAGTAAAAGTTAAAAATGGGAGCATTAAGTGATATATCATTAAGAAATGAAGAATTATCTTTAAAAGTTTTCTCTGGTGTGCTAATGTACCCCTTTCAAGATTTGACCTTTTGTTTATGTAGTTTTTACAACATTAAAAATATTTATAAAATAAAAAGGTTTTCTGTTAGCACTTCATTTTACTGTTGAATGGAATCTTGTATTACATTTCCCTGAGTAGAAGAAGCTAATTTAAACCTGTGTATATCCTCTTTTACTTTTTTAACTGAAAGAGTATGAAACATTTAAGTATGTCAGTGTTCTGTTAAGAATTTTTGTTTCCTTATTCATTATCAGTTGCCTGCCTTTTACAATAATTAACTAAGAATCAAGTTAAGTAAATTCTTACCTGTTTTCATTTTTGTAATTTATTTTGCTTAGAATTCAAGATGGATTTATAATTTTTCGGTGGTGGAAAATGTATAACCCAAAACAGAAGCAGCATGGTGAGTTTTTATTTTATTTGTTTGAAATTGTCGATGATATAATCATTTTTCATTTATGGTTATTAAAATAGATAAAAATATTTTTAAAAGCTTTGGACTTGCCAAAACTCTGATTTTATCACCAGTTTACTAAAAATTCTCTTAAAAGTCTTTCTCTTGCCTGATTAAATTGGTTCATTTTAGCTGATTATTTGTTCAGCGTCATCCTCAATAGGACTCTTATCCACAATTCTAGCCTTATTGCATGTTACATCTGTGGGCCTGACCCATACTGGTGATAAATGGTCTTCTCAATATCCTTTAACTAGTCTACCAAGACACTTTTTTACATTTCATCTTTGGTGTCTTTATTCATACTTCTTCCTGATATTTCTACTAATTATAATTTATCTGATATGAAAAGGATAAACAGAAAATTGTAAACACAGACTCTAGAATTTCTTCTGCTTCTGCTTTTATCTTCAGAACTGGAGGCCCGGTGCACAAAATGTGCACGGGGAGAGTGTGTCCCTCAGCCCAGCCTATGCCCTCTTCAATCTGGAACATCACTCTCATAATCCAGGACTGTTGGCTCCCAACCTCTCGCCTGCCTATCTGCCTGCCTGATTGCCCCTAACTGCTTCTGCCTGCTAGCCTGATAACCCCCTAACCACTCCTGTGCCAGCCTGATTGATACCTAACTGCCCTCCCCTGCCAGCCTGGTCACCCTCCAACTGCCCTTCCCTGCGGCCTGGTTTTCCCCAACTTCCCTCTTCTGCCGTCCTGATTACCCCTAACTGCCCTCAACTGAAGGCTTAATCGTCCCCAACTGCCCTCCCTTGCAGGCCTGGTCCCTTCCCTGCTGGCCATCTGTGGTGGCCATCTTATGCTGCTTGGCAGTGGCAGCAGCAGAGGTGTGATGGGGCATCGCCTTCCTCTGATCACCGGGTTGCCTCCTGGTTCTGAGGGCTACTGGACTGTGAGTGGGGGCAGGCTGGGTTGAGGGACCCCCCCCCTCAGTGCATGAATTTCCAGTGCACTGGGCTTCTAGACTTTAAACTACAAGCTTAAGCTACTAAAATGAAAGTTAATACTCTTTACCCATTAAAAAAATTAAAATCTTCTAACTGGTTATATCTAATTTTAATTATCTTAAATTGAATTTGTTCTGTAGGAATAAAAATGGACAAACATTTAAAAAGTCTTAAAAAAATCACCTGTATGATTCATAACAAAAGAAGGCACTGACTGTGGTACCTTTCTGTTATGACTCTTGGTTAACATGTGATGCTCTGTCTTGGATTATTTCCTCAACAGAAACAATTGCCCATCTATCACTTTATAGATGGATTTGTAAATTTCTGTTGTTACTTATATTTAATGTAATTGTGTCTTTTATTTGAAATTGTTTGAAGTGTACAGTTAATGGAATCTTTATTTTAGTATTAAGTAGTTTTTTTTAAAACAAACTAGTATTTTATGAAAAATCCTACTTTCCATGAAGCACAAGTTTAAATAACTGATGTGATGTTTATTTTAGTATTAAGTAGTTTTTTTTAAAACAAACTAGTATTTTATGAAAAATCCTACTTTCCATGTAGCACAAGTTTAAATAACTGATGTAATGTCTTTGAACATTTTGATACTTATATTTTAGTATAAATTTATGGCTATATTAGGATAAAGTTTTAACCTTTATTCTGTAAATGGCACTTTTCTATTCTTAGTGTAAAATCTTTAAATTCTGGCAGTAGACAACCAAAATCTAGAAATTCAGGTTGTTTTTCGAATGTTAAATTAAAATGCTCTAATAACATTAGCCTTTTTGTCTTTTGCCAGTGTTTTATATGTATATTATCCTCTTTATCATAGAATTCTGTTTTAAAGTAAATCATTTAAATTACTTTTAAGTGTGGAAAATGATTTGACAAAAATGTTGACTAAAGTTTTTAAAAAGTTGACTAAAAACTTTAGCTTTATGTGTGTATAATTGATATCTTTATTTTATTTTTTTGTAATTGATGTCTTTAGATCCAAAGGCAGAAACCAGATTATACATCACAGTTAATGACTTTGAATTTCATGTCTACAATCGTTCGGATCTTTATGGACGTCTTCAAGAATTATTTGGTTTGGAGCCAACAATAATCCCCCCCAAGAAAGAGGATGATAAAACACGGGAAAATGGAAGAACAAGAACCCAGTCCAAAATGGAAAGGTTCATTGTCACACTTAAATTTTATTAATCCGCAACATGTAAATTTTTAAAAATAATATTAATATTTATTTATTTTTAATATATATTGATTTTTTTACAGAGAGAAAGAGAGAGGGATAGAGAGTTAGAAACATCGATGAGAGAGAATCATCGATCAGCTGCCTCCTGCACACCCCCTACTGGGGATGTGCCCGCAACCAATGTACATGCCCTTGACCAGAATCGAACCCGGAACCTTTCAGTCCCCAAGCCGACGCTCTATCCATTGAACCAAACCGGTCTCAGTGCAACATGTAAATTTAGTTTTATGCATTGAGGGTCACCTTTGTGGAGTTGGCCTCAGAAGTGCCATTTAGGAGATAATTGGATTATTGAAGAGATATGCCTCAAGTTTACATCCAAAATCTTTAGTGAATTGCTATAAACTTTTCATTCTTTAAATTTTGTGTACTTTGTGTGTGGCCAATATTTTTTCTCATTCTTTGCCTGTCATTTCACAAAGTGGTGGGAATAGGGAAAGAAAAGGATCAGCTCAGTTGTCAGAAATGCTCAAAACAGTAGAAAACATCAAAGTGACTTGTGTCGTGTCATTTTTTTTTTCTCTCTAAAAATATATTTTATTGATTTTAGAGAGAGGAAGGGAGAGGGACAGAGATATAGAAACATTGATGAGAAAGAAATATTGATCAGCTGCCTCTTGCATGCCCACCCCCCCCCCCCCCCCCCCCCCCCCCCCCCCACCTGGAGATTGAGCCCACAATCCAGGCATGTGCCATGACCAGGAACCGAACCATGAGCTCCTGGTTCATGGGTCAGCACTCGACCACTGGCTGAGCATTGATATTATTATCCATTTGTTTAAATAATAGTTTGGCTCTCTTCTAAAACGTCAAATTGAAGTGTGGTGGGCATGATGGTAGATGTAATGACACCATCTCATAATTGACACTTTTGACATTAAAGCTTGTCATTCTAAGAACATAGTTTTGTTATTATAGCTTCATCTAAAAGCTGACACTTGATGGAGTGAGATATTTTAGGGCTATTAGTCTTCTGTTAGATGGTCTCTGTTTCATTTACTGGAGCCATCATGAGATGTATCTGAAAAAGTACAGCTGATATTAATAATGTCTATTTTGAGTAAGTCAACTGTATCTTCAGGTAGTTAAGTCTTTCTTATATACTTCAGTTTTTATTTTTTCTTCTAGAGTTAAAGTAAAAACAGAATCTCAGGACCCTACATCTTCTTGGAGATCACTTATTCCAGTTATAAAGGTCAACGTGAGCACAGTAAGTAATTGTACTACAATTAATGTTTGGTGGGTTAATAACAGAACCTTTAATTTTTTTGCAAACATTATTTTTTACTTAATAAAATAAAGTAATTTTGTAGTTTTTTTGGGTTCCAATTTTCATAAATGTGAAAGAATTCTTTTAACACCAATATTATTTTAGCATAAATTTGTTAGACCTGACAGGCTATTTATTCACAAGTGCTTAAATCTTTTTAAACCCAGGTCTAAATTGATCAGTAGAGTGATTTAAATATAGATGGTGCTAAAGTGGAATCATTTAGTTGTTGCTTGAAAATGTTTGTTATTAGGTCAGTTAAAAAAGTAAAGCCTTTATTGTATGGCATACTATCTCTTACCTTTTTGTAGGGTCGCCTGGCCTTTGGAAATCATTACCAACCTCAAACTCTGTGTATCAACTTTGATGATGCTTTCTTAACTTATACTACAAAACCACCTTCCAGTCACCTTGACCAATTCATGCATATTGTGAAAGGAAAGCTTGAAAATGTTCGAGTCATGCTTGTTCCTAGTCCAAGATATGTTGGTCTTCAAAATGATGAGTAAGACCATCTTACATATGTCTAATATATATATCAATTCAATCTTTAGCATCCTTTTAATTTCTATTACAAGCTGGGCATTAATTAGGTATATTTTTCTAATAAATTAATAGTGTAGTCCTACTTTATAAGGTAAGTGGATATACTATCTATTGGTAAACTAATTTTAAATATTTTTCTGTACAATTATGACTATATTTTTTTTTTTACTCTTTTCTTTCTCAACTGTATTTGAAAAACTCATTTTGGGAAATTAAGCCCTGGTATTTAATGTTTACACATTACAGGTAGGAATCGATAAATAGTAAATTCAACAAATTCATTATAGTGGAGTACCATTCTGAGTTAATGAAAAAAGTTAAAAATTACCCTTGGACAGCTGTTGAAGTTAGGATGCTACAGTTAGGTGGAACTTTCTTGGCATTCAAGTCCTGGGCAGTCTTCCATCTAGCTTCCCAGATTTGTCTTCCATCTGTGAAGTAGTTGCTTGCGTTCAGGAGACAGGGAGCATTAGTGACACACTGTGGACTCACCCTCGCAGTGGCAGGATGCTTCCCTACAAGAACTGGGATCTGAAGGAACTCCAGGGCATATGTTCATGGTAGGATGAGGGCTCATGATATCTGTTCTTTTTGTGAGGTGACTCTCTGGTTGAATTTGTGTAATTTAGTATTCATAGGATGAGATTCTACTATATCCCAGCATGTATCTTTGTAGGCAACATAAAGTCTGTGAGGTCATGAGAAGCATGATTATTCCTTTTTAGTTACAACTTCTTGCTGTTCAGTTTTCCGGGGACTGGCTGGAGTGGTAGAGAGGTTTCCCTTTGGAGACTGGTGAGGCTGTGCGTCTGTGTGGGCCCACTTTTCAGGATCAGGGGCTTTGTTTAGCACATAATGCTGCACTTATGGCTAAAAGTTTAATACTGCATGAATAAATAAATCTGGATTTTGTGAAAATTATTAGAGAGTAAGATGAAAAATTATTCTGCTATTAACTTGTATAAAAAAATTTAAAATTGTGTTTTTTACTCTTCAAAAGTGTGAAAGTTAAATGATGAAATTAAACATTAAGCCTGGCAGGTACTGGTCAGTGATTGAGTGTTGACCTATGAACCAGGAGGTCATGGTTTGATTCCCTGTTATGGCACATGCCTGGGTTTTAGGCTCGATCCCCAGTAGCGGGGTATGCAGGAGGTAGCAGATCAACGATTCTCTCTCATCATTGATGTTTCTCTCTCCCTTTACTCTGAAATCAATAAAAATATATTTAAAAAAATAAACATTAACCTTAAGATTTAATATATTTTAAGAAGAATATTGCTGAATTTGTGTTATTATTTAATGACTGTGAAATTAATTTTGATGTGGAAGGAAGATACTGTAGTGTATGACAAAGTAAAAAGTTGTTAAAGCAATTAAAGATGAACAGTTTATGGAAAAGTGATTGTAGAGAAACAGTCAATCCAGAATTTGAATTCAAGATGTTTGCTTTAAATTTGATTCAAGTTGATCAAGTAAATATTCGGATATAGGTAATGTAAACTTGTTAAAAATAAAAATGACAATATTTTTTCTTCTGTAATATTTTGGAAAACTTATTTTATTTCACAGATATATAAAGTGATATTTATTCTTCAGTTTTGTAGTGTTATTAATAAAAATGATTGAATTTAAAGTTTAATTTATTGTAAATACAGAATATATAATAATTAATCAATTCTGATGAACATTGTTTTTCAATTGTATTCAGTTAAATTTGTCTTAAATTGATTTTTGTTATTCACAACTTAAAATGAAAATGTGAAACAATTTGTTTCTTTTTTCCTTATGGAATCAATCTACTGATTAAAAATATTTCAGTATCATTTTATTAGTTAGTCTAATATAGACTACAACTATAGAACAATTTATTGTCGGTGAAAGATGGCTTACCTTTTCAAGATGCTACCCTTGATGCATTTGTTTTTTTGTTTGTTTTCACCTGTCACCACCATTAATTATAACACTGAACATTTTGTATTCTGAAGATGTACTTAGTTTGCCTCGCCCCTCCTCATAGGCCACCGAGATTAATGGGAGAAGGCTTTGTGGTGATGCAGTCAAATGATGTTGACATCTACTATTACATGGACGAGCCAGGTAGGACTTTTTGAAAGTATAGTTCATAGCTGCAATTCTGTTTCTTCTATGAAATGGGATATTAATAATATTTTAAGTCTCTTAGGATATAAATAAGCATCAATAAATGGTAAGAATGCCTACCTAAAAAATAACTGTGTCATTGTTAAAAGTTGAATATGACTTTTAGTATTTCAGACCAAATGCTATTGTAATATTTCCTTCAAATTCCATGTTATCAAATATACCTCAAAAATTGTGAATGCAAATTACCATGAGTGAAAATCTTTGAGAATATGGTGATGGTTAAGGTAATTCATGTTAGGAAAACAACTCACAGTATGTTAGACTTGTGGCTAACAGTTTCAGGATTAATCCCGCTACCATGCTTCATGCATGGTTTTCATTTTATAAAAGTTTCTGAACATTGGATTTTAGCCCCCTTTTCTCCTGCTCTTTTTATATATTTCAGTGGCTTTATAATGTCAAATATTTTAAAAGTAAAAGTAGGATGCTGTTTGCCTTTTTCACCATGTTGATATTTTCAGTGATTCTTTTTTTTTCTTTTTTTAATATATTTTATTGACTTTGTACAGAGAGGAAGGGAGAAAGATAGAGAGCTAGAAACATCAATGAGAGTAATCAATCAGCTGCCTCTTGCTCACCCCCTACTGGGGATATGCCCGCAACCAAGGTACATGCCCTTGACCAGAATCGAACCCGGGTCCCTCAGTCCCCAAGCTGACACTCTATCCATTGAGCCAAACCGGTTTCGGCTTCAGTGATTCTTTACTTGAAAGAATATCTAGGGATTGATTGGTTTTTCAAAATTAGGATTTTGAAAAAATTTAAGTCTGCAACTATGAGTTTCATAATTTTTCTCATAAGACCACCGGTGACATTAACAAATGTGATTTTTAAAATGTTTAATAATGAAATTTATTAATATTTGAAAAAGTATGTATGTTGTAGTGAACCCATATTTTCCAAATGATCAATGCATGCTGTTGCAAAGTCAGGCCATGGATAAAAGATTTATTCAAAGTGCAAGAGAGATAGTACATTTTAATGAAAGAAGTTCAGTGATATGGTTTCAGATTCCACGCTGTAATCTTTAAGAAACTACTACTTGTTGAATTTTGGTGTAGTGTCAGAGAAGAATATCCAGAACAATCAGAGAAAGCTATTAAAATACTCCTTCCTTTTCTATCCACCTATTTGTATGAGGCTAGGTTTTTTTCAAATCCTTGAACAACAGACTTAATATAGAAGCAGCTGTGAGAATTTACATGTTTTCTATTAAGCTGGACATTAGAGAGATTTGCCAAAATAAAAACAATACCAACATTTCTCAAGAAATTAATTTTTAAGAAAATTTGGTTATTTTTATTAAAATATTTTTATAAAAAATGAAATTAAATATTTCATTAAAATATTTCATATTGTTTTCATTAAATGTTATTAATGTCAACATATAATGCACTTCTTATTTAATTAAATAAAAATTTTAAAAAATGCTCAATTTAAATTTTTAATACGGTAAGTATTGATAGAGATAATACAAAAATACCCACTTTAGGGTCCTCAATTTAAAAAAAAATTATTGATTTCAGAGGAGAGGGAAAAAGAGATCGAAACATCAATGATGAGAGAGAATCATTGATCAGCTGTTTCCTGTGCATACCCCTGATTGGGGATTGAGCCCGCAACCTGGGCATGTGCCTGACCAGAAATTGAATCGTCACCTCCTGGTTCATAGGTGGATGCTCAACCACTGAGCAATACCAGCTGGGCAGGTCCTCAATAATTTTTCCGAGTGTAAAGTGTTCCTAAAATTAAAAAAAATTTTTTTTTTAGAACTGCTGATCTACAGGAACATTTTAATGGTTGTTTTAAATAACTGCCTTTATGTTGTGTATTCTGTAATACAGGACTTGTTCCAGAAGAAACAGAGGAAAACATTGAAGGAGAAATGAGTAGTGAGGACTGCAAATTACAAGATTTGCCTCCATGTTGGGGACTTGATATAGTTTGTGGTAAAGGAACAGATTTCAACTATGGGCCATGGGCCGATAGACAGAGGTACTTTATAAATTATATTTCTAATGAGTCCTTCAAATGTATTGAGCTAATACTATATTTTTATTAAAACTAACTTTCTAGTTTTCTAAGCTATTTTATTATGACAGGATAAGATATTCCTAGACATTTTAATCCAAATAATAATTTGTATATAGAAATTTGGTTTAAGCAAGTTCACTGCAAAAGAGAAGTTAACTCATTAGAAAAATGATGAATAAGCAGCACATTTATTGGTTTCTTTGTTTTTTCTTAAGTATTTATTAGTAATCAATAAATATGCCAGTGATTGTTGAGATGATGCAGATTGAGAGCTAAATACATAGATAGTTTAGTTTTAGTGGATGAAAAAAAGAGACAAAAGAGGTTTATTACATACTATAATAGAGGTGAGTAAACACTCTTGAAAAACTTAGAAAGGTACTGACTTGGTTTGCTAAGGCTCCCATAGCAGATAATCATGGACTGTGTGATTTAAACAACAGATTTCTCACAGTTCTGGAAGTTAGAATTCTAAGATTAAGGTGTTGGGCTAGTTCTTTATGAGGGCGGCGAGGGAAGGATGTGTTTGAGGCCTCACTGCTTGGCTTGTTATAGCCTTCTTCTCCCTGCATCTCCACTGGTCTTCCCTTTTGTGTGTCTTGTAAGCTCTCTGTGTCCAGATTTCTTCTTCTTAGAAGAGTATTGGTCATGTTAGATTAGGGTCCACCAAAAAATCTCTTTTTAACTTAATTACCTCTGTAGACTCTGTCTCCAAATATAGCCAAATTCTGAGGTTAGGACTTCCACATAAAAATGTTTAGGGATACGCAATTCAGCCTATAAAAGATTAAAGAAGAAAAGAATAAATCCTTTTAAAGATTAAAGAAGAAAAGAATTGGGGGAGGCTTTTTGATAGAGGGAACATGTGAGTTGAATTTTGAACGTAAGTGTTTAGCCAGGGGAGGAAGAATTTTAAACAAAGGAGAGGATTTACCAATAGTGATGAGATCACATCCAAATTTTTATGTAAATAGACGTTGTTTAAAGTTTGTTCAGCAACTTTGCTATCTAGACAATTGATATACTACTTATATAAAGTCTTGCATTTTTCACAGTAGAAAACATTCTTTTGTTTATTGAGAAGTTATTCTAGGTGTTTATGACTTAATTTTTTTTTGAATTTTGTCTGTTTTTAAGTGAGAGAGCAGTGATAAAACATATCAAGTTCAAATATTGATTTTGGTCCCTTATTAGAAATCATTTTGTTGGAGTAAAAATGTCACTATTCTTTCTACCTTCTTATATAGAGATTGCTTATGGAAGTTTTTCTTCCCACCTGATTATCAAGTTCTGAAAGTTTCTGAAATTGCACAGCCAGGGAAACCAAGACAGATCCTTGCCTTTGAACTGCGAATGAATATTATTGCAGATGCTACTATCGACTTGCTGTTTACCAAAAATAGGGTAATTATTGAAATAATATAGAGAAAATAGTGCTCAAATTTTGAATATTATTTTCCAGAGCAAGTTTTGATGATAGTCGTATACTGAGATTCATTTCTATGAGCTCCTGCCACTGTGCCCCGAATAACTGTATATATGCTACTTTCATTAAGTGCCAAATAGTAGACGGAAGTTAATCAACAAATCTTTATGCTATAGTCTAGTTCATTTTCTCCTTTATATCAGCCCAAATGGTTTTAGTGTATTTTTTGTTAATCCACACTTGAGGATATTTTCCCCATTGATTTTTAGAGAGAGGAAGGAAAGTAGAGAGAAATAGAAAGAGAGAGAGAGAGAGGCGAGAGATACATCAATTGGTTACCACACTCGCCTGACTGGAGTCAGGGATCCAATCTACAACCTAGGTACATGGCCTCTACCAGAATCAAATTGGGACCCTGTGGTACGTGGGCTAACACTCTAACCATAGACCCACCCTGTGAAGGGTGTGTTCTCAGGCATTTTGAATATCTATTTATTATCATCTCTGATAATAACTAAAAGGTGAAGATGGGAATGTAATTATAAGGAACACTAGAGGCCTGGTGCACGAATTCATGCACAGGTGGGGTCCAGCTGGCCTGCCCTGATGAGGGCCTATTGGGCTGGGCCGGCTGGTGGGGAGAGGCCGAAGGTGGTTTGCTGGCTGGTCCCCCCTCCCCCCCATCAGGTTGTTGGAGGCTGATTGGGGCCAGGCCAGGCAGGAGGGGGGTGTGATCAGGGCCTGGATCAGGTTCAGTGGCTGCCACAGTGTGCATCATAGCCACTGGTCTTTCTGGTTGTTCTGCCATTCCAGGTCACTGGGCTTATATATATATTAGATTTTATGTGACTTACCTTTTTTTGTTGTTGTTGTTAGGAAACAAATGCTGTGCATGTCAATGTTGGTGCTGGCTCCTATTTGGAGATCAATATTCCCATGACAGTTGAGGAAAACGGTAAGCTACAGCAAGTGCTTCTCTGTTCCAAATGATGAGTAGGAAAATAATATATAAACAGTAGTTTGTTAATCCACTTAGATTAACATTAATTAATGGGGTTTTCTTTTTCAGCTTTTTATTATATTTTGATGTACCTGTAGCTATCAACAATAGATAGTACATAATTAAATCATTTGTGGAGCTAGAGAAAAAGAAAAAATTCTTTAAATCAAGTTAAGTCTTATAATTTCATGCTTTCATTATTTATATATATGTAAAAAGCTAAGTGACAGACCACCCATCTGACTGACCAACCGGCCGATACATATGACCTGCACTGATAATCCTATATAATGAAAGCCTAATGTGTTAAGTGTCTGGTTGTCCAGTTGGCTGTTCAACCAATCAAAGTGTAATATGCTAATGATATCCTAAGGCTGCTCATCTGCTTGTTATAATGGGCATTGACCACCAGGGGGCAGATGCTCCAACTGGTAGTTAGCTTGCTGCTGGAGCCCAGCCATTGGGACTGAGTGAGATGGGCCAGACATGCTCTGGAGCTCTTCTGCAGTCCCTCCCATGCTGGCCAACCTCCCGTGTCCCTCCCCCTCCTTGGCCCCGGTCATGCACCAATGGGGTCTCTCAGCCTGGCCTGCACCCTCTCATAATCTGGGACCCCTCGAGGGATGTCAGAGAGCCCGTTTGGCTTGATCCTGCAGACTAGGCCAAGGGAACCCTACGAGCTTAAAAATAAACACTGACTCGTGAATGCATGATATATATAAAGCTCGATATATCATTATTGATGGTGAATTTGGTTGTCTATTGGAAAGAAGCATCTCTTAGGACAGCCTTAATTACCGATCTGTATAAGGGAAAAGGCAGTTTGGGCATTGCACAAATTGAGAAGAGTTCATTTGAGTGAGTACTGCTACCATTTTAAATTGATGAACATAGGAAGTAGGATTTATACAAAAAATTTGTACATAATTATTGGTGCACTAGCTGAGGGGCCACCTGAGGGCTGTGGGGTATGGAGCACACCTATTAGGAATTCATGGGAAGGGTGCCAGCACACAGGCTGTGGGACTCAGAGTGAGGGAAAGGTCTAAGGAAAGGCTGGTTGGAGTCCTTGGTCAAGGTGAGGTGATTTTTAAGGTGACTGTCTGAGGGGAAAATGGGCTTAGGTCTGAGACAAGAACAAAATAGAACTCAAATACATGTTCAACTTTTTTCAGAGATTCAGGTGTTTGGAAAAAAACAAAAAAGCCCAGAGCAGGATGCATGTTGGAGTAGCCATATAATAATGACCACAGAGTTCATGTTTCTGGAAGGGCAGACCATCCAGAAAAGAGGTGAAATACTCTGAGCTGCTGCTTTTGCTCAGAATAGGTTGTATGGTTTGGTATAACTGTCACTGTATAAGGAGAGCTATTGTGCAGAAACAGTCATTGCATAAGGAGTGGCTGAAAAGGATGAAATTAGGTATGCTGGAGTTAGTGAAAGAAGAGAGGACATGGGAGCCATCTTAAACTGTTCAAAACTGTCATTTAGAGAACAGACTTGTAGTTTTGCACTGGAAAGCAAAGTCATGATAGACATTATATGAAGATGGAACTTTCTTCCCTTAGAGGTGGTCATTTGAGGAAGGAAACCTATTTGGTTACAAGCTCCCTCCCCATCATTGGGGTATATTTAAATAGCGACTGATCACCACTTTTCGTTGGGTTGTGGTGGAATTTATTTCCAGTAAATTCTTAATTTTTATGTTTTTTACTTACTAGGTTATACTCCTGCAATTAAAGGACAACTATTACATGTTGATGCCACTACCAGCATGCAGTACCGGACCCTGTTAGAAGCAGAAATGTTAGCAGTAAGTCTGGAGTATATGAAGATATATATAGATGCATAAAACATAAATTTGGTTTTAACTTTTTAATGTAAAATTTTAATGACCAAGAAGTCATCAAATGGTCCATCTTCTTGTTCAAGAAACATCAGGTGCTCTTTGGCTAATTTGGAAAGAGGAGTAGATGCCCAGTGATGTAGACTCCCTGGCACACTCTGTTGATCTGCTCCTAGAATGGGGAATGTGAAAATAAGGCAATTAAATGTGGGGTTTTGGCCTTTAAAAATATGAACAGTTGTTAGGATATTGTTTTTTTCAACTTCACTATATGTCTAGACTAATTCTCTCTAATGTTGTAAATAAGATTGTGTTTTTTTGTTTTTTTAGAGGAATTACCTTAAAAATATTTTTATTGATTTTAGAGAGGAAGGGAGAGGGAGAGAGAGTTAGAAACATCAAAAATGAGAGGGAATCATTGATCAGCTGCCTCCTGCATGCCCCATACTGGGGATCAAGCCCTCAACTGGGCATGTGCTCTGACCAGGAATTGAACTGTGTCCTTCTGGTTCGTAGGTTGAGGCTGATGCTCAACCATTGAGCCAGATTTTTTTCTGTGTGTGTTTTAATATATTTTTATTCATTTTAGAGAGGAAGGGAGAGGGAGAGAGAAATAGAAACAATAATGATGGGAATCACAGATTGGCTGCCTCCTGCACGCCTCCTACTGGGGATCTAGCCTGCATCCCAGGCATGTGCCCTGATCGGAATTGAACCTGGGCCAAATCAGCTAGGGCTATTTTATTTTATTTTTTTGCTATATGTTTTCTGGCCCCATTGGATTCTTTCTCGGGGTTTAATAATTCATTATGCTTTTTACTTGATGAATAAGGTGAAAAGAAGAAAATCTTAATACCCTGGATTGCTGCATAGTACAAAGAGAAAAAATATGCAAGTACTTATGACCAAAATTTCAGATTGGGAGACTCAGTAATCAGGCAGATAATTATTTTTTGTTAGGGTCAACAACAATAACAATAATAATAGAAGCCATGTTGTAGAATGGCTATTTAGAGAGGATTCTTTTGTATAGTATTATATCAGTAGTTCCTTAATTGTTGGCCTAAACAAGCTATTTACATATTATATATAAGTTAAGAGTAAATGTTTGCAACTAACCAAGAATATATTGAATACCATAAATGTATATTCAACTGGCATAGTCAGCATTTTAATGTTTGCTGAGCTATAACTGTTAAGTACTGCTGTGTAAAATTGCTGGTCCTGGTCAAACAGCTCTCGCCTTTGCAGAATTTCCAGCTTTGGCAGGTGGAATACAGACCTGTAACCACCATGCTGTCAATTGGGAACCCAGGAGGCTCTGGGGCCAGACTTCTGTGTGATAGTATTCATTGCATGCACTCTCTGCACCTGAACATCTCACTGACCAGGAGTCAAGGGCGTTGCTGTTATTCTGAGTTAAGCTCAGGTACAGTGTTGAAACTGTAACCTGATTGTTGTTCCTCAATTTATTTTTTTTATTATTTTTACCACCTCCTGGCTTAATATTTCAAGGAACTGGATGTAACCGTGGCCACAGCAATATTAAAATCTCAAAGGGACCTTCTGTTCTGTTCAGTAGGAAAATAAGTGTTCATTACTCACCAGCGTGTGTTTATTTTTGATGCTCTTCACATAGGGTCACATTTTAAACTCTAACATTTTGACTTGACATTGGTTTTTCAGTTCCACATCATTGCCAGTTACCCCCGAGTATGGAATATGCCCCAGACGTGGCAGTGTGAATTAGAAGTGTATAAAGCCACCTATCACTTCATCTTTGCACAGAAGAACTTCTTCACAGGTAATTTTCTTTTCTTCTTCTTTTTTTTTTTTTAAATAAATTTTTATTGTTCATATTATTACAAATGTTCCTTCCCCCCGCCCCCCTCCATTGCTCTCCTCCACCAGGTTCCCACCCCACCCTCTGCCCTTTCCCCACTCCCCATTGTCCTCATCCATAGGTGTACAGTTTATGTTTAGTCTCTTCCCACATCCCCCTGTCCCCTTTTCCCCAAGAATCGTCAGTTCACTCCCCTTCCATACCTCTGATTCTATTATATTGAACAGTTAATATTGTTCATCAGATTTTTTTTTAGAAAAAATCCTTGGGTTTTAGATTTATTTGTTGATAGTTACGTATTTGTTGTTCATAATTTTTATCTTTATTTACTTTCTCTTCTGAAAGAACCCCCTTCAGCAATTCATATAATTCTGGTTTGGTGGTAATGAACTCCTTTAGCTTTTTTTTTTTATTAGTGAAGCTCTTTATCTGGCCTTTGATTCTGAGTGATAGCTTTGCTGGGTAGATTATCTTTGGCTGTAGGTTCTTACTATTCATCACCTTGAATATTTCTTGCCATTCCCATCTGGCCTGCATGGTTTCTGTTGAGAAATCAGTTGACAATCGTATAGGTGCTCCTTTATAGGTAACTACCTGCTTGGCTATTGCTGCTTTTAATATTCTCTCTTTGTCTTTTGCTCTTGGAATTTTAATTATGATTTGTCTTGGTGTGGTCCTCTTTGGATTCCTTTTGTTTGGAGTTCTGTGCGCTTCCTGGACTTGTAAGTCTAATTCTTTCACCAGGTGGGGGAAGTTTTCTGTCACTATTTCTTTCAGTATGTTTTCAATATCTTGCTCTCTCTCATCTTCTGGGACCCCCATAATTCTGATGTTGGTTCGCTTGAAGTTGTCCCAGAGGTTTCTTACATCATCTTCAACTTTCTGGATTCTCTTGCCTTCTTGCTTCTGCAGAGGAGTGTCTTCTGGCTCTTTATGTTCCAAATCTTTGACTTGATTCTTGCGATCTTCCATTCTGTTTTTAGGACTCTGTATAATATTTTTTATTTCAGACAATGTATTCTTTATTTCTTGTTGATCCCTTATCATTTCTTGTTGATTCCTTATTAATTCTAGTTGATACCTTTTCATATCCTCATAGGTCTTATCGACCTTTTCTAGGAAATTCTTGAAAAACCTTATAAGCGTAGATTTGAACTCTATATCCAGTCGCTTTTTTGTCCTCCATTTCTTTTGTTTGTGATCTATTTCGTTGTCTCAGCATTTTCGCAGCTTCCCTGATGGAGTGGGGTTTCAGGGTGGAGCCTACAGCTTTGGCTTCTGTCAGCCCCGCCCTATGTGGCTCCTGGGTCTCAGTAATCCCCAGGGTCCTTCAATACTCACTGCAAGCACCTCTGAGAGAAAGATGCCTTCGATTTTCACCTGCTACCAAACAATCTAGGCTCTCCCCCAATGAGCCCAGAACTGGGGTTCAGTTCAGTTGGAAGTGGAGTTGGAGGTGGTGTTCAGAGCAGTCCGGAGCTTTTGTCTCTTTCCCGCCAGGGCAATCCCACGGCACAGCCAACCGTCCCTTCTCTGCGCGCAATGTGCGCGCCTCTGGGACCTCCTTTTGCCGCTCCCCCGGGGCTCCGCCTTACAGCCCAGCTTCCTATGGATGAGCCTGGGTCCCCGGGGTTTGGCCTAGAACTGGGGTTCAGATCAGTCAGACCTGGGGCCCAGCACAGTTGGAGCTTTTATCTCCTTCCCGCTAGGGAACGCCAGCCAGGCACTCAGCCGCCCCGCCCTTCCTCTCCGGCTCTGTCCTCTCTGTGCGCGCCGTGTGTCTCCGTACCTTAGGCTTTTACAGCTCCTCCACTCTTCCTTCCTGTTTTCTCTTTTCTTCTCAATGTAGAATTTCCAGTCAGTCGACTTTCCTGTAGTTCTGGGTAATGTCCATTTTATATTTTAGTTGTATTTTATTGAAATTGTTGTGTGCGGCTGCGGCTAGGTGTTTACCCGTGCAGCCATCTTGGATTCTCCCACAGGTAATTTTCTAATGAAAAAAAAATGCAGTGAGATTTGTTACAGGGAACTGTTTTCTATTCATGTGAGTTTTGCTTTCAGATTCAGTCTGGGGATTTGATGACACAATTCGAACTTTTACTTTCACACTTTTTGGGCCAAGAAGATCAAAGGGAGAATTTAAGTGTAGATATGTTGTGCTCTCTTCCTACACAAAAAAAGGAAAATATGAACCCAAAATTGAGCTGCAAGGAAATAAAAAAAAACCTATCTTAGACTGCGTTAGTACTTTGATTCAGTCTAGTGGGGAGTAGGATGGGGAAGGTGAATTAATTTATCTTCCTGAATTAGGCATAAGCATAGCTTCATGATTTTGTTTTGATTATTGTAATCTACAAACAGTATATTTAAGTATTCAAATATGCTATGTTTGTATTGGGAGCTCCTAATTTCTTCTTGGCATGGACAATTTAGTTGATGTTGTCATTCGTCAAAAAATTCCTTCATTTTTTGCAGCATATTATGATAGCTACTCAGATTTCATAAGTATGCAAACATGTAGTCTTGGTCTCTGAGTAACATAAATATTTCTATATAAAAACAAGTTACATTTATTGAGACTTCTGTGACAAGTTTAGCTAAACAGAGTTGGTCTGATTTGCCAGGGTTGGTGGCTGTCCCAGAGCACCTAATATTTGCTTGATTAAATGCTACAATGGCCTTCCCTCCCTCCCCTCCTCCTTCCCTTCCTTCCTTCCTTCCTTCCTTTCTTTCTTGTATTCTTCTATCACTAGTTAGTGGAAAAGACATTTAAGAACAATAATTCAACTGTACACCCTATGCTCTCTTTATAGTATGATGCTGTTATTAAAGATGGTTAGAGTTTTCCTTCAGAAGAGAGGGTAACAAAGAGTGTATTTATTTTAGATAGGACGAATAGTTTGAGTAAAAGTGCAGAATAAAAAATGTTTCTGATAGAGAAAAGTGATAAAATCAGCTTGGTGAATGATGGATTTGTATTGTGGAGTTGGTTAGTTCCAGAGATGGCTTTTGGGCATCTCCCAGCTGCTAGACATTGTGCTACAGAATAGTTAGAAGGTAGGGATGAGTCCCATTACTTAGGTAGGGTGGCATGTAGAAGTAAGATAATATAAGGTATGGTGAGCCACTGTGTTTACTTGTTAAATAAAAATACATTTAAGGTAGCCGGGACCAGTTTGGCTCAATGGATAGAGCGTCGGCTTGGGGACTGAAAGGTCCCGGGTTCGATTCCGGTCAAGGGCATGTACCTTGGTTGCGGGCATATCCCCAGTAGGTGGTGTGCAAGAGGCAGCTGATCGATGTTTCTAGCTCTCTATCTCTCTCCCTTCCTCTCTGTACAAAATCAATAAAATATATTTAAAAAAAAATACATTTAAGGTAAAATTAATAATTGGAATTTTCCTTTCTCTATTCATAGACCAGGTTAATAGCCATATGCCTTTTGTTGTTGACATAGTAAAACTTTACATCTTACTAATATTAATTTAAATTATTATAACTTTTGATATTAAATGTATTATTTTATTAAGAGGGATTTCTAATATCTTGCACAAACATATGTACATTGATTTTTAAATGAGTTCCTATGAAATTCATGCGGGGGATGGGGGGGTTTCTCTCCACCCAGCCTGCACCCTCTTCAATCTGGGACCCTTTGGGGATGTCCAACTGTCGGTTTATTAATTTTTGGGATCCATCCATAGCTCTTAGGCAGGCAATTCCAGTAATAGCTCCAAGATAGCCCATCAGCAAGGATTTACGTAAGACTAAAAGGTGGAAGTTGCTTCAGCTCCCTTTGATTATTATATAGACAGTGGGTGCTTGGCTCTGACCCTTGCCAGAGCCTTCAAGGTTAACCAGCCTTTCGGACTCCTTGTCTACTTCTTTCTGCCAGTGAAGGCAATGGGCAGCTTCCGACATGGGACAACTGGCTCCTAACTGCTCACTTGCCTGCCTGTCTGATAGTCCCTAACTGCACCCCCTGCTGGCCTGGTCACTTCCAACTGCCCCCCTGCTAGCCTAGTTTCCCCCAACTCCCCCCCCCACCCCCCCCCCGCCACTGGCCTGGTCACCCCTTACTGCCTCCCCACCCCCCCGCCTGTTCACCCCCAACGCCCCCCTACTGGCCTGGTCACCCCTTACTGCCCCCTGCCAACCTGGTTGCCCCTTACTGCCCCCCCCCATCAGCCTGGTTGTCCCCAACTGCCCCACCCTGCTGGCCTGGTCGCCCCCAAATCCCCCCCCCCCCCCCCCCGCAGGCCTGATAGCCCTATGCAGCCCGCTGCTCGGTCGTTTGGTCGCCCCTCACTAACCCCCCTGCCAGCCTGGTCACTCCACACAGCCTACTGTTTGGTTGTTTGATTGCCTCTCACTAACCCCCCTGCCAGCCTGGTCATCCCATATAGCCTGTTTAGTCATCCGTTCGGTTGCGATGGTCACTTAGGCTTTTATATATATAGATAAATTTGACATCTGATATAATTATTGAATCTAATATTTTTTAGTATAAATTTCCATTTTAATGGAAATTTAAAGAAGACTACTTTAAATATTTACCTATTATTATTATTATTATTATTATTATGTATTTTTTAATACTCACCCAAGGATATTTTTTCTATTGGTTTTTAGAGAGAGTGGAAGGGAGAGGGAGAAACAGAAACACCAATGTAAGAGAGACACATTGATTGGTTGCCTCTTGCATGCCTCCTGACCAGGTCTGGGAGTCTGCAACTGAGGTACATGCCCTTGACTGGAATAGATCCTGGGACTCTTCAGTTTTGGTTTAGTGCATACAGGCCAATGCTCTATTCACTGAGCCAAACTGGCTAGAGTTACCTTTCAGTACGCAGACCGACACTCTACCCCTGAGACAAACCGGTTTCGGCAATAAAAATATATTTAAAAAATATACAGGATAGGGTACAATTAAATAGTCAAGCGTACATTTTTCATAGGAGGATATAAGATAGTGTAAAATCTACACAGAAAAAAATCTTTAAGGAAATGTATCCTCAGTGTTGGATGTGTGGGTAGGGGAATATCAGGTGATGTTTTTCTCTTTAATCTTACACAATTTCTTTAATCACCTTCTAATATTTCAATATAAGAGTTCTTTTGAGTTATAACTAAAAAATTCATTTTTGACTGGTGGTAGAATTTTTATAATTTGTTTTCTGAATTTCACTTAATTTTAATTTCTGTCTCCCATCCTGATAACTTTAGATTTAATTCAAGACTGGTCTAGTGATAATGCTCCAGACATTTTTTCATTTGTTCCATATACATGGAATTTTAAAATAATGTTTCATCAATTTGAAATGATTTGGGCTGCTAATCAACACAACTGGATTGACTGTTCCACTAAACAACAGGAAAATGGTAAGAACTTTTAAAAAAAATTAGGTTGAATATTTTGTTCATTAAGACAAATACCAACAAATTGATATTGATTATATAGTTGTGATAGATACTGGAATTTTTCCCATTATTTTGTGAGAATCTCAGTGAAGTATTTCAGAGTTTGTACTGGACTTAACATATAGTCTTAAACTTAATTTTGTTTAGGTACATATTTAAGGCAATTATTATTTAAAAATTTATTGAAGTTAAAAATAAATTTTCTTTTCTTTTTTTATAGTATATCTGGCAGCCTGTGGAGAAACACTAAATATTGATTTCTCTTTGCCGTTTACGGACTTTGTTCCAGTTACGTGTAACACCAAGTTCTCCCTAAGAGTACGTATAGTTGGATGCATTGTTTAACCCACAAAGTTTGTTAGTAAGTTGGATTTCCCAAAGCTTATCTTTATTTCTATCCCATCCTTCTCAAACTCCCCACCCCCAACCTCATCCCTCTACCTCTGTCCCCTGGCCACGCGGAAGTAGTTTAGCTTTCCTCCATTACTCACTAATGTTTGTGGCACAGAATGGCCCTTGCCTCTTTTTTGTAGTTGACTATTGTGTTCTGCCATTCTTCTGAGTTTTCCAACTTTCCCAAAGAAGTGGGTCAATAAGGAAACAATTCTGAGTTAATTATTTCTTAACCTTTGAGGCTCATCTATGTTCTTTCTAAGCTCCCCTTCTAGCTGTAATGTTTACTATGTTTATGCACTAGATTTTATACTTACCTATGTATAATTCCTCTTTGTAACCATAAACCAAAGCAGTAGCCACAAATAACTTTCTTCTTTTATCTAAAAGCCACCTCGTATGCAGTCAGAATTTTGTGAAATGCCTAATTTTTTTTGGCACAAGCAGTCAGTAGTAGTTGTAGTATTGATGGAGGTTATGTGATAAAAAATAATAACAATAATAATAAAAGCAGCTAATACCTATTAATCATTTTGTATGTGCCAGACACTATTTCCAGGGCTCATCTGTAGCCACTTATTTTATTCTGAGAACAACCCTCTTGAGTCAGGTGTTATTATTATCTGCATTTATGGACTAGGACAGTGTTTGCTAAACTGAGGCTCGCAAGCCACATGGGGCTATTTGGCCCCTTGAGTTTTTAGCAAAGGCCAGCTTAGGAGTATCCTAATTTAAGTTAATAACAATGTACCTACCTATATAGTTTAAGTTTAAAAAATTTGGCTCTCAAAAGAAATTTCAATCATTGTTCTGTTGATATTTGGTTCTGTTGATTATTGAGTTTGCTGACCACTGGACTAGGAGACTGAGGAGCCGAGTTTAGTAACTAGTTATGTAGCTATTGAGTGGCTGAGGTGGAATTTGAACCCAGGAAATATAGCTTAGGGTTCTACTGTACTGTGCTACTTATTAAGAAACGGGGTATCAGGATGAAGAAAGATTAGGGAGCCCTAACCAGTTTGGCTAGGTGGACAGAGTGTCAGCCTGAGGATTAAAAGGTCCCATATTCGATTCTGGTCAAGGGCATGTACCTTGGTTGCGGGCACATCCCCGGTAGGGGGTGTGCAGGAGGCAGCTGATTGATGTTTCTCTCTCATTGATGTTTCTAACTCTCTCTCCTTCCCTCTCTGTGAAATATCAATAAAATATATTTTAAAAAAGAGAAAAGATTAGGGAACCTACTAATAAAAGGACAGAAGTGTAGCAGAATGAAGATTCTTTGATATACCAATTCAGAATTTCTAAAAGTCCATTGAAGAATTAAGTTATTAGAATCAAGAGACAATCATGTTTTTTAAAAAAAACATTTTATTGATTTTTTTTTTTATAGAGAAGAAGGGAAAGGGATAGAGAGATAGAAACATTGATGAGAGAGAATCATCGATCAGCTGCCTCCTGCACACCTCCTATTGGGGATGTGCCCACAACCCAGGTACATACCCTTGACTGGAATCGAACCTGGGACTTTTCAGTCCGCAGGCTGACGCTCTGTCCGCTGAGCCAAACCAGTTAGGGCGAGACAATCATGTTTTAAAAATTAGTAAAAATACAGAACATATTCCACCTGAACTTATATTAGTGAGACAATTTTTTATATTTTTCTGAATTACACGTAAAATATTCATGTTTACCCATTGAAGATAAAAAAAAAATATATATATATATATATATAAAATTTTTTTTTTTGTTAATCCTTACCTGAGGATATTTTTTTCCCCATGGATTTTTAGACAGAGTGGAAGGTAGGGGGAGAGAAACATAGATGTGAGAGACATATAGATTGGTTGCCTCCTGCATAGGATTGAGCCTGCAGTTGAGGTATGTGCCCTTGATCAGAATCAAACCGGGATTCTTCAGTCTGTGAGCCGACACTCGGTCCACTGAGCCAAACCAGCTAGGGCTGAAGATAATCTTTTTACTGTTTTGTGGAAATATGCTGTTTATTATCCTAACTTTTTTCTTAACATTGTAATCAGAATGTAGTTTTATTCTGTAAAATCTTACTCCAGTTATTTATGTGATTGTTCAATGTTAAATCTGCCATTTGGAATTTATGGTTTCTTTTAAAAAAATTATTCTCAAGATTATTATGGAGAGATTTGGCTTTCAATAGTAACTTTACATGTTTATGTACCTATTTTATTACTGTGGGTTATAAATTATTTTTTAGGGAGAAGATGTTGATCTTCATCTGTTTCTACCAGATTGTCATCCTAGTAAATATTCATTATTTATGCTGGTAAAGGATTGCCACCCAAATAAAATGACTCACGACACTGGTGTTCCTGCTGAGTGTCAGAGCAGCCAGAAAACAGTTAAACCCAAATGGCGGAACCTTACTCAAGAAAAGTGAGTACCTAACAGGAGGGACTTAAGTATCTTGTGTTTTTATGTGGAAAAACTATTCTCCAGAGTCTTTCTAAGAATAATAACTTTGATTATCTGTATCTGCTATGTGTATATAATGAAAGGAATAAGTACCTGACTAGAAACTTTATTCTTTACCCTTAAAGGGCTGGTTGGGTTGAATGTTGGACTGTCCCAAGTGTCATGCTTACTATCGATTATACATGGCATCCAGTTTACCCACAGAAAGCAGATGAGCAGCTAAAACAATCATGTAAGTGCTTTTTATATAATTTGTACTTTGAAACATCTGGTAATCATCAAAGATTAAAAAAATGCATCTGTTCTTTTGACATAATTGTATATATTAAAATATTTTAAGGATTTTGGTATAATTATAGCTAACTTTCATTGAGCATTTACTATGTATAAACTAGTAGACCAAGCTGTTTCCTGCCTTGCATTATCTCATTTGATCCTTACAACAACTATGATCTAGATATTCACATAATTGTCGAGTTAAGGAAATATGCTCAGAAAAAGCAATTACCTAATTTTCTCAGGTCTGTCTAGCTAAAAACAGCAGAGCTGAAATAACAATGTGTATGTCAAACTATATATTTAAAGTACTTGATTTTGAAAGTGTTAGTTTCTTTAATGCATTTGATAACTACCATAGTTATCCTGAAGCTTATGCACCTTATAATTGAGGTCCAAAATGCAATTAGAGTGAAATGATTACTCCTTTGTATTATTCCAGTGAGTTACATCTTAAAGAATAATTTTCAAAATTGTTCTTATGTATAGAGTTTGGTAATATCGCACTATATTTGAATTAGTTTTTCAGGTTTGTTTTCCTTAAATGCTATATGTATTATATAACAGTTAATTGCTTTCATATTTGCCTTGAAGAACTTCTAAGAGGCCCTTCACCAAACTTTTTGTGTCTGAATTTATCCCAGTGTCAGAAATGGAAGAAACAATGCTGTCTGTATTGAGGCCATCCCAGAAGACGTCAGACCGAGTCGTTTCTTCTCCCTCTACTTCTTCCCACCCACCTGTTGACCCCTCTGAGCTGCCACCTGATAAACTGCATGTAGAGATGGAACTTTCTCCAGACTCTCAGATAACTCTCTACGGACCACTATTAAATGCTTTTTTTTGTATAAAGGTATGATTGTTTAAAAAGAGAACTTGCATATTTTTAAACTAGAGGCTCAGTGCACAAAGATTCATGCAAGAATGGGCTTTCTATCCATTGGCTGCCAGAACAGCCTTCACTCCGGCCAGAGCACCTTTTCGCTCTGGCCTGGAGCCGCCTTTCCGCCTTCCCACGCTGCCCAGAAGCCTGGAATAGCTGGGGCAATGAGGAATGTCTGCGTCGTCATCATAGTGATGATGCAAGCATCCCACCCTGCCCCTGGCCACTGGGCACTTGAGTATGCAAATTAACCCGCCATCTTTGTTGGATTAATTTGCATACTCACTCCTGATTGGCTGGTGGATGCTGTGAAGGTACAATCAATTTATATATTTTTTATTAGTGCAAGTGTATGCAAAGCAGTTAATATCTAATTGAAATTGGGACCATTTGCAATAGCCAATTGGATGATTTAAAGTGTTGAGAATATATTATATATGTTGAAATAGATTATATATATATATATATATATATATATATATATATATCCTATATAATAAAAGCCTAATATACTAAGTATCTGTTTGTCTGTTCAAACAATCAAAGCATACTATGCTAATGATATGCTAAGGCCACTCAGATGTTTGCTATGATGTGCACTGACCACCATGGGGCAGAGAGTAGACAGGTTGACCAGTTGCTATGACATGCACTGATCACCAGGGGGCACATGCTTCTACCATAGGTTAGCTTGTGCTGTGGTTGGGCCAATCAGGACTGAGACCGGTTGGACACGCCCTGGAGCCCTCTCTTGGCCCGTCCCCCAGCCAGCCCCACTCCCGATTGGCCCCCAACACTCTGATTGGGGGTGGGGTCCGCCAGCCAATTTCCTGTGGCCCCTTCCCCAAGCTGGCTCCACCCCTGATGGATCCCCATCAGGGCGGGCCAGCCAGACCCCACCTGTGCACGAATTTATGCACTGGGCCTCGCGTGTGTGTGTGTGTGTGTGTGTGTGTGTGTGTGTGTATACACTAGATGCCCAGTGCATGAATGTCATGCACTGGGCGGGGTGTTGTCCCCTCAGCCTGGCTTATGCCTGGGTAGTGGGCCTAAGCTGGCAGTCGGACACCCCCTGAGTGGTCCTTAGCATTGCTGCCGCTGCATTCACCAGCCATGAGCCTGGCTTCTGGCTGAGCGGCACCCCTTTCTCTCCCCTGTTCCCCCTACCCCCACCCCCCACCCCCCGTGGGAGTGCACTGACCACCAGGGGTCAGCCTCTGCATGAGCGTCTGCCCCCTGGTGATCAATGTGTGTCATAGCAATTATAAAATTATTTATTAAAGTAGTGTACTCCTCAGTTTATCATTGTTTTGAACATTTAGCATGTTCTAGGAGTTGTGCTAGCTGCTAGAGATAGAAATGATATTGTATCTGCTCTCAAGGAGAAAAGTTAGGAGGGATAAAGCAGGATGGACATGGGAGGACAAACTTTTAACACATTGTTCTTTTTTAAAAAAATATATTTTATTGATTTTTTACAGAGAGGAAGAGAGAGGGATAGAGAGTTAGAAACATCGATGAGAGAGAATCATCGATCAGCTGCCTCTTGCACATCCCCTACTGGGGATGTGCCCGCAACCAAGCTATATGCCCTTGACCGGAATCGAACCTAGGACCCTTCAGTCCGCAGGCCAACGCTCTATCCACTGAGCAAAACCAGTTTTGGCTAACACATTATTCTTAATGCAGTAATATAAGTACAAGCAATCTTTGTGGGTAATTGGTACCAGGAAAAGTCTACCTCAAGTGAAACCATTAAAAATGGACAACTTTATTTCATGGTAACTAATCAAAGGTTTGTTTGGAGTTCCATCTTAACAATTGAAGCAAATATATGTAAATAAGTTTATTTCACAATGTCACAAATTTAGGTTCTGAAGAAATATGCACTATTTTTTGAATAAGGACTAAATCAAGTGTTGATTAATTTTGGTATAATTCTTTCACTGAAATTGAATGACTACAGTATGAGATCACTTAGAGTTTGGAGTCTTTAACATGATTATGAAGAGAGGCTACTTTAAGAACAGCGGGTGAGGACTTCATCAGTTTTCTAGATGTCACTCTTATTCTTTTGATATTCAGCTCATACTTTTAAAAAGAGACTTGAGCAGTTATCCAATGAAACTGACATTACTATCATCAAATTTTGCATTTTCCCAAGATTTTTCAAATTCACTTTGGTTGTTTACTACATCTGACAACCAAAGAGAGACTTATTATCCAAACCCTAACAGTCATGAGCAGTGGCGTTCCATGTGTGAGTCTAGTTTCATCAGTGCTTCCTTACATACTTCCTTTTGTGATCTCATTGCTGCAGAGGCTGGGATAGCAAATGCTTAGCTAGCAGAACCCATAACACACAAGGTTCTGGAATGATCAGGACTGGGCAGAGAAAGACAGTCAAGGTTTGCTAGCCAAGACTGGGAGGAGAAGTGCTAGTTGAATGGTTTAGAAGCTACTTAAAATCTCATGTCAAGCAGATTCTAAGTAGGACCTGTATTATTTAGAGGCAGGAAACAGAAGAAAAAGTGCTGGTGGTGTGCCAAAACCAGTTTGGCTCAGTGGATAGAGTGTCAGCCTGAGGATTGAAAGGTCCCAGGTTCGATTCTGGTCAAGGGCATGTACCTTGGTTGTGGACACATCCCCAATAGGGGGTGTGCAAGAGGCAGCTGATTGATGATTCTTTCTCATTGATGTTTCTAACTCTCTATCCCTCTCTCTTCCTCTCTATAAAAAATCAATAAAATATATATTTTTAAAGAAGTGGTGTGAGTCAGTAGTTTGGGATTTTTATAGTCCAGGCACTATATGAAAAGATAGTAATTGACCTGATGTCTGGAATCCTAGTCAGAAAACAAATGTCAATAACCAGAATGCAGAATTTATGAAACATTGATTTGTTTCTAATATAGAACAAATATAGTTAACAATGTTAACCGGATAGTTGAACAACTTTTGATTAATACTGATAGGTCAAATATATAATATACAAAATAAATGGGAAGAAAAACATTTTAATTAAAAATAAAATCTGATGCAAAGAAACAGAATATTATTAGTAGTGGAACACTAATCATCATAATAAAAGGCTAATATGCAAATAGTCATCACACCATCACACCATCATAGCAGGGACCTAAGACTGCGTGGCGCCGGGCCAGGGGACCTGAGGCCATGCCCCCTGAGACTGTGGCCCCTGCTCTAGCACTGGGCTCAGGACCTGTGGCCGTGCCCTGCACCCCCTGCCTTGGCACCAGGATGTGAGTCTGCGTCCCCCACCTGGCGGGGCTTGACAAGGGTGGGGCTGGCTAGGTCTTGGTGTTGCCCAATGGGGGTGGGGCTGACCTGACACTTCTATTATAGAGAAAGGGCAAATAGTATTTTCTCTAATTAATTCCCTTTTAATGTGCATGAATTTCATGCACCGGGACACTAGTTAATGCATAAGAAACCAGGATGAATTATGTGAAAGGAAGTTTTGGTAACTGTTTTATAACACATGTTTTTGTTAGCAATAACCAAAATTGGACATTCTTATTAAACTGTTAAAAAACATTTTTGATAAATATATGAATTGTAATATTTAGCTAGTTGGATTTAGCCAAATTGATTTTCAGCAAAGTGATCTGCTTCCCCCAAATGATGTATTTGAGTATTATTTCCTCTACACTCTGAAAACTACAGTTGACAACTGTTGTACCTTATAAATCTTCAGAGAGTTCTAGGATGTAGGTTGCAAGTTTTTGCTATAATTGGAGGTGGTATTATCATGAAGCTTTACTACATAAACTTTGTAACTTTGGGTGTTTTTTTTGTTTGTTTGTTTGTTTTTTTGCTATAGAATATTTACTTGATAAGCAGCCAAGTAAGCATATGACTTAAATATGTGTATCCTTTTTTCTGTTTTAAGGAAAAAGACCAGATGCTTTTAATGAAATAAAATAGGTTAGGGAAATGCTTAGTTTATAAACTTTAGGCTATAAGGTGAGAAGTTATCGTTACGTATCTCTTTTGATAGCCAATTATTCTTAATATTTATAGGAAAACTACTTTGGGGAAGATGACATGTATATGGATTTTGAAGAGGTTATTTCAAGTCCGGTTTTGTCCCTGTCAACATCATCCAGCTCTGGATGGACTGCAGTCGGAATGGAAGGTGATAGAAAGGAAAACGAAAGTTCAGCCAAGTCAATTCATCCGCTGTCCTTGCGTCCATGGGATATTACCGTGCTTGTAAATTTGTACAAAGTTCATGGGCGTCTGCCTGTTGTAAGTGTTTACTTATCAAAATAGTCTGGAATATCATGTGAAATTCACCCAGCATAGGAAACTGTATGTATGTGGGCACACACATATAGTTATAGAAAAATTCAGATTGAAAACTTCTAAATTTATCCTTTTATCCTTTTATCTCTATAAAGCTAGCTTATTTTCTTCAGAATGTGATTACTTGATCATTTATAATTTTATTCTTCCTCCTTTCACTTGCGTTTCTTCTTTGTTGTTCTGTGTAATCAGAACATTTTGACATGTTTATAGTTAGCTTGAAGGATATTCTAGGATTTTACATTTTGTTAGTCTTCGTCTCCAACTCCAGACCAGTTTGGGGCCTCATGGTGGACCTATCACAAAACCAAGATTCAGGCTTGACCCTGGAGGTGGAATTGTGTCCCTGCAGTTTTGGATCCAGCATTGAATGCTGGTTCACTCTAAGGATTACTGTGGGCCTGTTGGGGCTGACTAGGAATAGCATTATATTCCCCAAAGAACCCATAGCTATTGGAGCCAGGCCAGATGTGGTAGGGTGGCCCTGAGCTTTAGGCTGCCTACCGCCTCCATGTTGTGTACCTAGGGCTGCACAGCAGAGAGGCCACCTCTGTGCTTAGTGCACCTAATGTCCTTATTGGGGTACCAGTGACTTGTAATTGTCAGTAAAGCACTGTTTCTCTTTTTAAAATTCAAAATCTCTTAATCATATAAATACAGTTTTTATTTTCTTGTACTTCCCTGGTCTTCGCCTTTTTCTGTATTTTGATATGGGGTTTTGTTTGACTTTAGCATGGATCGGCCGATGGTCCTGAGTGTCCCACAGCTTTCTTGGAAAGACTGTGTTTTGAAATGAAAAAAGGATTTAGAGAGACCATGCTGCAGCTTGTGCTGTCACCCCTGAGTGTGTTCGTCAGTGACAATTATCAGGTAACGTGAAAGTGAGTCGTGGTAGAGACTTAGAAATTTCTTGTTACTGTTTATAGGGTGAAAACAATGTGTTAGCTTCAGTGCATGGAGTCTACAGCTCTGTAAACTAGAGACATTTAATTTAACCATAGTAAGAAGTTTTGTATGTGTGTATGGATGTATGAGAGTTTTTCAAGAACCTGATTCATTTTCTTTCTGCTTTCCTAGTTTATGTGGTCCCAGATGATTATATATTATATCCATTGTTTTTAGAAATGATAATAAGTACTTTATAACTTTCTCATTTATTTATGGAAAGGAAAAACGTAGAAAATATTGGTGGATTTTGCTGACAATCACAACCTAAGTATTATTATTAACCAGTACCAAAAATCTTCAAAACATGTATATCTGCATGGCTAATGATTTATTCTTTTCATCTGACATACCTACAGGATATTTTGTAAATGCTTTCACTGTATCCCTGGGGCTGTTTTGGAAGAGAGCCAATGATATTCATCACATGGGAATAATTTATATTCCTGGGTAGATTATCACTTCATAATTATTACTTTTTAATGCCTTCTCTTTCAATCATTACTTTAGGGCTTTTCCCTACTTTTAGAAATATAAATGAATTAATAGAAGGCCAGGTAAATATGTAGGTGGGAAGGTGAATCTGATACCTCAGATCATCAATGGATGGTGGATTCTGTGTAGTAATTGATTGTCTTGTTTCTAATAGCTTTTTACTGTTTTGCCATAAATGATTATATTTTCCTACATAGAATTTTATTTTTTATGTTTTCATATGTATATAGTAGCTGAAACTAATACTGCATTCTTCTTTTGCCTCAAAATGTGCTTCCTTTTTAAAAATTTTATTTCAAAATAATAATAGATTCATAAGTAGTTGCAAAGTTAGTACAGTGAGTTCCTGTATCCCCATGTTGATCTTGTATATAATTATAGTGTTTCCCCATGTTGACCTTGCACATAATTATAGAGCAATATCAAACCAGGAAGTTGACATTGGTGCAATGGGTGTGCATATTGTGTGTCTACTCACCCATTTAGATAGTCAATGAAATCTGGATGCAACACTGTACTATCATTAGAAAGATCTCACTTGCACAGCACTTTTATTTTAGCTTACTGCAAGAACCTTAAAAACAACTCTTGTTACCTAATTAGTGGATCATTAGAATTGGTTGATGTGTTTTTTTAAATTCTGAGAGGTGAGTGTGTGGAGAGGAAGCCCACCTCCTTGTTTTCAGTCTATTGAGGAAATTAGTAAGGGTGAAGTGAAGTATCTCCTGATGGCTGAGTTCTGAAAATCTTACTGAATATCTGCTTTTTATGAATACTTGGTGACACTTGAAGGTTTTTTTTTTATTTTTAATTTATTGATTTTTTACAGAGAGGAAGAGAGGGATAGAGAGTTGGAAACATCGATGAGAGAGAATCATTGATCAGCTGCCTCTTGCACACCCCCTACTGGGGATGTGCTTGCAACCAAGGTACATGCCCTTGACCTGAATTGAACCTGGGACCTTTCAGTCCGCGATCCAACTCTCTATCCACTGAGCCAAACCGATTTCGGCGACACTTGAAGTTTTATTTCCATCACTTCATTCTCAAAAGACTGGACCAGATATAAAAAACATTTTATTGAGCTCATTATGAGAGGTCAAGTCCCACAGACTGGACTTTTCCCACCCTTGATCTAAAGCGATGGATGGATTATTGTGCCTGACTTAGGAAACTACACATTCTTTTTCATGGTCATCTTTTGACCCATATTGGTTTCCTTGGGCTCCTGTAGCAAAGTATCCCACTTTGGATGGCTTGAAACAACAGAAATTTATTCTCTCACAGCTCTGAAGCCTAAAGGTCTGAAACCAAATGTTGGTAGGCCATGTTCTCTCTGAAAGCTGCAGGTGAGGATATTCTTTGCCTCTTCCAGCTTTTGCTGGTTGCTAGCAGTCCTTGGCATTACTTGTCTTGTAGACACTTCACTCAAGTTCTGCTTCCATATTCATATGTCATTCATGTGTCTATGTGTCCCCATTTTTCTCTTACTAAGACATGTCTAAGAAGGAATCCCTAATTGAATGAAATCTAATTTTGACTTGATTGCATCTGCCAAGACCCTATCCTGTGTCCAAATAAAGTCACATACACAGGTACATGGGCTTGGGACTTGAACATACCTTTTGGGGGATACCATTCACCCCATAACATGATGCAAGCCTTAATACAAATTTGGAATATAACCTTTATTCGTGTACTACCGTGTTTCCCCAAAAACAAGACATCCTTTGAAAATAAGACCTAGTGCATGGAAAGATAAGACATCCCCTGAAAATAAGACCTAGTGCAACTTTGGGAGAAAAAATTAATATAAGACACTGTCTTATTTTCGGGGAAACAGGGTAGGTAGGCTACACCTTTAGGACAGGACAATTTCCACATGTATTTTTAAGCTTAAAAAAATTGAAAACTTTATACTGAGAATTATGGATTCTCTATGCCAGAAGAGATCTTTACTGACCATCCTCCCCTACTCCCTCAGATAAAGCAAGGAAACCGAGGCCTGGAGAAGTTAGGCGATTTTGTATATGGTTAAACAACTTAGATGAAAATAAAATAAAACATTTATTAGAAGTTCTAGAGGTATATTATAGTCATAATTTGAAACTTCCTTCTAAGAAGTCATTATGAATTAGATTTTTTAGCCCTTTTCCTTAAAACAATTTTTTAAGAACACATTTCCACAAATGTGTTGAAACAAAGAACATGAACTGTAAGTTGGCCTGCACACACACACTGAGAAGGCTGCCATAGTAAAACTTGCTTGGGAAATACCTGTGAACTGTCTCAGTGTATAACCATGTGTTGGTGTCTCTACAACCTGCTGTGAGGTCATCTGTGCAGGTACTCGGTCAGTAGTATCTGCTTTTGTGGTCAGTTAGGTGCAGTGGGAATCTTGATGACCAAGGCAGAAATGGCCTTTACCCTAGTCAGCTGGTGGATAGATAAATATGGAGGGAATTACCATTAAGATAAATACTTTCAAGTGTAAAATGTTTCAAGGAGAAGTGTGAGATGCTTGGTAGCATATCATGGTCTTGACACAAGAACTTGATAAAATATGCCTTTACTAACAAAATCTAATGGAAGATGGCTTCCTGCATTAGTTCTCCATTTTATGGTCTTAATGATCTTTATTGTTCCCTGTTATTTTCTTCTTTTTAATATTTTAATCTCATGATTCCTACCTTCCCACAAGACATTGGCCTGTTATATTTCCTGCCAGTTAGAGTCTGGGTTTCTTTTTCTTCCTTAAGGCAGGGACCACTCAGAGAGCGACGTTTTTTGTAGGACGTTGCTGTCTTGCTTTGTAGCTGGGCTCTCATGGGTACTGTCACTGCAGAAGCTTTACTCAGACTTTCATGGGTAAAAGGTGTGTCAGGAGCTTGTGAATCCTGAAGCCTTATTTCCCAGATAGTATTTTTTACTTTTTGTCTCTGGGGAAAAAACAACTAGAAATCATAATGCAATTTTCTTGTATGTATTTCTTACTATCTTGTTCTTGTTTTCAGCAGCGACCTCCTATAGATGACGCACTCAAGGAAGGTCATATCAATCTGTCAGGTCTTCAGCTGAGAGCACATGCCATGTTCTCAGCAGAAGGTCTTCCTTTGGGAAGCGATTCCCTAGAATACGCATGGCTAATTGACGTGCAAGCTGGAAGCCTCTCAGCTAAGGTCACGGCACCACAGGTACGAGTGTCAGAGTTGCCATCTGCTACATTCTTTTCCTTTTCCTCCACTCACCCATTGCCCCAAGAGCAAGTTGTTTGAATGTCCGTTGCATTTCTACTAATGACATTCTGATTCCTGACAGTCAAAATTTTTCTTAGCAATAGATGAATAACAGACAGTTTCATTTTTCTGAGCCACTTGAAACTGATGAGTAATGTTGTATAGTTCTACATAGTATCTTAAAGAATTCGAAACTTTCTTTGGGAAAAACTTAGGCTGAGATAAATATTGCATATATATGTATTATTAAGCTTATATTATTTGATTCTCCACTGTTGGAATAATCTTTTCCTAGTATATAGAATAATTTTCTAAAAACCTTGCTTTTTTGTGGATTTCTTAGCATTTATGATATTAAGGATTAGGTAGCACAGTTCTTTATTTGTCATGTCTCAAAGCAAGATACCATCATTTGTACCTGCTATTAGTGATGTGGGGGTGCTGGTTTAAAAAAATAGATACAGCCGGGACCGGTTTGGCTCAGTGGATGGAGCGTCGGCCTGCGGACTGAAAGGTCCCGGGTTCGATTCCGGGCAGGGGCATGTACCTTGGTTGCGGCACATCCCCAGTGGGGGGTGCGCAAGGGGCAGCTGATCGATGATTCTCTCTCATCGATGTTTCTAACTCTCTATCCCTCTCTCTTCCTCTCTGTGAAAAACCAATAAAATATATATTTAAAAAAATAAAAAATAAATAAAAAAAAAATAAAAAAATAAAAAAATAGATACAAATTTACTGGTGTGTAAACCTGGTTTAGAGGGCTAGTTGAGATCCTTTGGATAATTTCTACCTCATTTCACCATCCATCCCTGTCTTTAGAAGACTTGGAGGCATTAAAGATTATTTACTTCTAGAAATGGATCACTGAAATTTAGTAGAATAGCATTTTACTGTAACATTTCACCTGTTGAGCCATGTATTTATGGTAATATGCATGCTTATCTGGCATTTCAAAAGACTGAAATGTGGTAGAAATGTACATACTCAATTTTAATAAAAAGTTACAGAGTGGGTATAAAACATATAATTGAGAGGTTGGAGTAGCAACAAGTTGAATAATGAATCGAAGTATCTTCTTTTTTTTTTTTCTTTTTTTTAAAATATACTTTATTGATTTTTTTCAGAGAGGAAGAGAGAGGGATAGAGAGCTAGAAACATCGATGAGAGAGAAACATCGATCCATTGCCTCCTGCACACCTCCTACCGGGGATGTGCCCGCAACCCAGATACATGCCCTTGACCGGAATCAAACCTGGGACCCTTCAGTCCACAGGCCGATGCTCTATCCACTGAGCCAAACTGGTTTCGGCCGAAGTATCTTCTATATCTGAAAAATTGTTGGGAGACAGCAAAATTAAGATTCTAAAAATAGGAAAATGAATGAATTAGTATAAAGGGATATTTTCTATAGAAATGGATACAAATAAATATAATGGAATGTATAAAAATGGCAAAAAAATATTCAGTGCTCCCTGGCCTCATAACTAGCCTGTCCTTATTATCCACCATTTCCTGTCTCACCATTTATAAATAAAAACTGAAGCATATAACAAAAGCTTGTTTTCTAATGAGCTATGCCAACCCTCCAAGATTGGACATGATTTCTTTAACCTAAGGATTGTTAGACTCTCATATGTTTATAAATTGCATTTCTTAGAAAATGAAATACTTTCTTCTGCACTAGAGTCTTGACATCACTGTTTTCTGTGAGATTCATGTTTCCTTAGGTGCTTTTAATGTTTATGCCATTCTTTGTATGTTTTAAAAGTAAAATTCCATGTTTTCGAGAAGTTTAAATTATGTACTTTTTAGGGAGGATAATATGTATATCCATGTCTCAAAGTGTTTACTAACTCTAATTATAGAATTTAGGGTTTTTTAAAATCTGAAGGTATGATGAAGAGTTGATATATGGTTACTTAAGATTTAATTTACTTAAACCAACGGAATCTTCAGAGTACCTGATTTCCCCAAATCGTAGTTCAATATGATAATTAAATACTCAAATTTCACACTAAAACTTGGTTGATTATTAGGTAGAGAATTCTAGGTGTGAGGATTCTGGTTAGTCATATAAGAAGGAAGATATAACCTTGAAGAAAAGTACTTCAGAAGTTGAAATTTTCAGTTGAAATTAATTCATTTTGGCAATGTATTTTGTCATTTATTAATGTAAAGTAACACAAGTTTATAAAAAATGTCAAGGTCGAAAAATCATGATATTGACTAACAAGTGGATTATGTAGCAGCATTTGTAAGACAGTGCTTGGTATCTTTCAACCTCTGTTAATATTTTTAATTAGCTTTTGAGCTCCAAGTGCTTGTTTAGTGTGCTAACATGTTGTCAACCTGTACTGCTTATTTTGCAGCTGGCTAGTCTCTTGGAGTGGGGGCAGACATTTGTTTTTCACGTGGTATGTCGGGAGTATGAACTGGAAAGACCCAAGTCAGTAATAACATGTCAACATGGACTTGATCGTCGGTTCTGCGAATCCAAGGTATGTTGACAAATAAGATAGCAGCATTATAAACATTTATGGACTTTTTAAAATGACTGATTGGGATACCAGCTTTAAAGCAAATGCACATAGGCATGAAGTAAATACTATAGTTCAATTTTTTTAATTAATAAAATTACTTTTGCAAATCATAGCCAGTTATTATTTAGTTGTAAGTATCTAAAATATGAGATAATTGCCTGGCCGGTGTGGTGAGTGTTAACCTCTAAACCAGAATATCATGGTTTGATTCCCAGTCAGGGCACATGCCAGGTTGTGGGCTCAATCTCTTGTAGCGGGTGTGCAGGAGGCAGCTGATCAATGATTCTCTCCCATCATTGATATTTCTATTTCTCTCTCCCTCTCTCTTACTCTCCGAAGTCAATTAAAACATAAAATATGAGGTAATTATTAAAACATGCATTCACAAATAAATGGAGATATGAAAATTATATCTTTTTAAAAAATATACTTCTTTATTGTTTTCAGAGAGGAAGGGAGGAGAGAGAGATAGAAACATCAATAATGAGAGAAAATCATTGAATAGCTGCCTCCTGCACACTTCCTACTGGGGATCAAGCCCACAACCCAGGTATGTTCCCTTGGCCGGAATTGAACCTGGGACCCTTCAGTACGCAGGCTGATGCTCTATCCACTGAGTCAAACCAGTCAGGACAACCCTATGTCTTTTGATTGGGGCATTTAATCCATTTACATTTAAAGTTATTATTGATAGGTACATGTGTTCCTTCTTCACTTTCAATTTCTTTTTTTATTACAGCAGACTCTTTAGCATTTCTTGCATTACTGGTTTGGTGGTAATAAACTCCCTTAGTCCTTTTTTGTCTATGAACCTCCTGATTTCACCTTCAATTTTGATTGATAGTCTTGCTGGGTACAGTATTCTTGGATTCAGACCCTTCCTTTGCATGACTTTGTATATTTCATTCCATTCCCTTCTGGCCTGATGTGTTTTTGTTGAGCAATCAGTAGTAAGTCTGATGGAGGATCCTTTGTATATAACTTTCTGTTTCTCTTTGGCTGCTTTTAAGATTCTTACTTTGTCGTTGGTGTTTGCCAATTTAATTATAATGTGCCTTGGCATTGGTCTTTTGGGGTTCATTTTGCTTGAGATTCTATGAGTTTCTTGGATTTGTGTGTCTCCCCCCCCTCCCTCCCCCCCCTAAATCAGGGAAGTTTTCTGTCATTATTTCTTCAAACAGGTTTTCTATTCCTTGTTCAATTTCCCCTCCTTCTGGAACTCCTATTATGCAGATGTTGCTTTGTTTAGTGTTGTCCCAAAGTTCCTTTAGGCTCTTGCCCTGCTTTTTATTATTTTTTTTTCCTTGAAGCTGCTCTACTTGGGTATTTTTTCCTACCTTGTCTTCTAGTTCACTGATGCGGACCTCTACTTTTTTCTAGTCTACTCCTGATGCTTTTTATTGAGCTCTTTACAGCAGTAGTGCCATTTTTCATTTCTTCATGGTTTGTCTTCATTTCCTCTTGGTTCTTACATATATTGTTGAATTTGTCTTCCATTCTTTTCATCCACCTTACGACCATTTTTCTGAATTCTTTCTCTGACAGGTTGCTTGCCTCCATTTCATTTACTTCCTTTTCTGGTGATGCCTGCTTTTCTTTCATATGCTGGCTGTTTCTTTGTCTCCCCATGATCTCTCTTCTCTGGGTGTCTGGTTACATAGTTCTCTCCTGCAAGGCTGGTCTCCAGAGGCCGAGAGCCGAGTAAAGCTCCTCACTTGCTCGCCAGTATATTAAACGTTTATATAGTGGCCTTAGCTGGGTTCAGCCTTGTATTCAGTCCGGATGGTATCAACAACCCTTACTCCCAAGACTGCATCCTTGGAAATCAGGAAATATATTCCTAAAGCGCATTCTGCCACTAACAAGCAGTTATATGCTGTTTGGCCAGTATTTGCTTAGGACTGCCATTGCCCTGGGAAGCTCATTGAAATAGATGGCTTGTATGTTTTCATCCAACCAAGATATGACCAAGTTTGTGTGTTAGGAGTAAAACTAAATTAAATCTGTGTGGCTAGTCCTAGGTAGTACCATAAAATTCACAGTTGATTTATTTGTGTGTGTATAAAACAAGTATGTATGGAGAACTCATAAAAAATCTTACAGCTTTAGACTATATATATTTTTATAAACCTATAACACTGTTAACTTTGATGATTAATTTTGAGTTTCAGTAACAAGTTATATTCTGTCCATTTAAACTTGCTACTTGCCCTTTTTAAATGAAAATTGTACCTAGATATTTGTGATTAGTTTTCTAATTTGGAGAGACTTTAATTGTTGATGATTTTATTTATCATTACAAAAATTGAAATATAACATACTGATTTTAAAAAATACACATGTGATCAGAATTCTGTTTATGTATTTAAATAGAATTAACTATTCTGTCTTCTTCCATTTTAGTTGAGTTGTATTCCTGGCCCTTGTCCAGCTTCAAATGATTTGAAATACACCATGACTCGTTTAGCGGTAGATGGAGCTGATATTTATATTGTGGAGCATGGTTGTGCTACAAATATAAAGGTACATGTTTGTTTGTTTCTTGGCCAGTGTAGTTCTTTTTCCTTTTTATCAAATCAGACCTCTATTTCTTGAAATACAACACACATTTATAATTTGCCATCTGACCAAATACTACAGAATTCTAGGAGATTGCTGTTTTCAACTCATTAATGATCTCTTCCAGGATTACTTTTAAAAGGGATACTTTTCTACTATTTTACTCTAACTGAATTATTATAATATTACTTTGTGGCAGAGATATAGATATAATAGCTTGCTTTTATGGCAGGGAAGTGAACTGGTAATGATTTTCAAATATTGGATTTTGAATTCTTACAGGTTTTATACATTATGATTCCTGCCTGGATCCAGAAAACATTTGTTTACCACCTCTGCTTTGTGCATTATTGTTTAAAATCAAGCTTTGTTAAGATTTTATTACTTAATATTCTAGCTTTCTTTCTTCTTTCTCTTGTTTTTTTTTTGGACTATGTTCTATGTTCCTTTTATCCTTTTCTTAAATTGAATGTTTTTATTCTGTTACATTTATTTTTGCTACTGCTCTTTCCCCCTTTTTCCTTTCCCTTTCTTCTATTTTTCGCAACTTGAAATAGTTACCTATTATATATGGTTTATTCTAAGTTGCTAAAAAATACAGAAATTAGAATTTTGTTCCATTTTCTTCATTCAACTTTAGATGGGGGCAATCCGGGTTGCAAACTGTAATCTCCACAACCAATCGGTTGGGGAAGGGATAAGTGCAGCAATTCAGGACTTCCAAGTGAGACAGTATATCGAACAGCTGAATAATCCCAGAGCTGGGCTCCAGCCTGCAATTCTGCGGAGGGCCTACTGGCTAGAAGCTGGCTCGGCTACCTTAGGACTAATCACTGTTGATATTGCACTGGCAGCTGATCATCATTCTAAACATGAGGCCCAGAGACATTTCTTAGAAACTCACGATGCCAGAACTAAGAGGTAAGTGAAATTTAAGATGAAAATTGCCAGATAATTATAGAGGAGTTTTACTGTTAGAAATTGAATTAGAATATTTAAGTAATACTAATTAAGTAAAAGACCTAATATGATTGTATCCCTACATGATAAATCATTGACCTTCAACTTTGGGTGCCTTTGTGGATATTTGTTTTCAAGGAGTTTTGGGAACATGTGTATTAATTTCTGATATAACTAGAAAAGTTATTGACCATGTAGGCCATTAGTTCATTAGTGTTTTCTGAAAAGTATAGTTTCTTTTTAAAAATAATATTTTTATTGGTTTTAGAGAGGAAGGGAGAGAGGGAAAACGATAGAAACAACAATGATGAGAGAGAATCATTGATCAGCTGCTTCCTGGGGATGCCCACACTGGTGATTGAGCCTGCAAACGGGGCATGTGCCCTGACTGGGAATCAAACTGTGACCTTCTGGTTCATAAGATGATAATCAACCACAGAGCTACACCTAGCCAGGCCATTTTATCTCAGTTCTTAATACTTTATTTAGGGTACTAATTACAAAATATTTGTAATTTTTTCCCCTCTAAAATAGAGCATTATTTTGATTTGATTAAGAAATTATTTTTTACTTTGCCCATATTTATAATATTTTGGGTGTATTAAATTTGCCATGTGAAATAGGCTGTGAGATGCCCAAATCTATTAAACATAATCTATACTAATGGTTTTGTCTATTTTTTAGATTAAATTTAAAAATTTTTAGTCCTTTTGAGAATATTTACTGTATTTTTTTAAAACTGGATTTAAATTATTTTTATATTTGCTGCTTCTTAGCACTTTGGTTTATTTTAATGTGTGCTATATGGCTCTTATTGTTTCTACTTATTTCCATCTCACCATGGTGAGACTATTGTTTGTTTGTTTAAAATGGCAGAATGATTAAAAAGACATATCTCAGTAAAAAGGAACTTTTGTATTTATCATGTTTTTTACAAATATTAATAATTAACTTATGTGTAACTAATTATCTGCCAAAAAGTTTTTCAGTTCTTAATGAGTTTTTATTCCATTGTTGTTTCTCATTTTTTTTGTTTGGGATTCTGTTCAGGCTGTGGTTTTTGTGGCCTGATGACACTCTAAGGAATAAGAGGTGCAGGCACAAATGTGGCTGTCTTGGTGGCTGCAGATTCTTTGGTGGCACAGTGACTGGCCTAGATTTCTTCAGGCTTGAAGAGTTGACACCATCCAGTAGCTCTGCATTTTCAAGCACAAGTGCAGAGTCGGACATGTACTACGGACAGTCTCTGTTACAGCCTGGAGAATGGATTATTACCAAGGAAATTCCCAAAATGGTAGATGGTAATGAAATGTGCTAATCTTTTTCATCTTTATCCCTATGCCATTTGAGAGGAGTTCACTGTTATGTGTTTAATTCAATTTTTTGAATCATCTCAGAGGTAGAATTTCATAACCTGCCTTGTTTTGTAGGTGTTTTAACTAAAGCCAGATAAGATGTGAGTTTTTCAGATTTATGCAAGGCAAAAGTAGGTCCACTATTCATCCAGACTTATTCTAAATAGTTCCTTTTATGTCATCATTTTCCTGGAAGCCAGCTTCCAGAGATATACTTAGGAATAGTTACCGTATTTTTTGGACCATAAGACGCTCCGGACCATAAGACGCACCAGTATTTAGAGAAGGGAAATGAAGAAAAAAAGATTCTGAAACAAATAGTGTCCTAAAATATTTTATGTGCATTAAAACCCAACATCACAGACATAAACACATGTAATCAACCCTGTAAAGTAAACAGCAGCATTTAGAACCATTTTAGAGCCGGGCAAGCACACAGAGACCACACAGAGCCGGGCAAGTAAAAAAACTTTTTTTTTTAAAGTATATGTGTAGGCTATATTTGGACCATAAGACGCAGGGACTTTTTCCCCCCACTTCTGGGGGGAAAAAAAGTGCGTTTTATGGTCCGAAAAATACGGTATGTTTTTTATTTTTTATTTCTTTTTATTTTATTGATTTTTTACAGAGAGGAAGGGAGAGGAATAGAGAGCTAGAAACATCGTTGAGAGAGAGTCATCGATCAGCTGCCTCCTGCACACCCCCACCAGGGATGTGCTCGCAACCAAGGTACATGCCCTTGACCAGAATCGAACCCGGGACCCTTCAGTCCGCAGGCTGACACTCTGTCCACTGAGCCAAACCGGTTTTGGCAGGAATAGTTATGTTTTAAAGTAATGGTGGTTTTACCAGTTCACTTCAGTGGAAAAAGTTAGCAATAGTAATATTTATACCATTGGTTCACTATTATCAATTATGTTGGCAAAATATTTTTATCTCTAAAATTAAACATGTCAAGAAGAGAAGTATGGTCTTTCCATAGCCTCTGTAGGATAACTGCAAATATAGGCATTTGATCTGAGCAGTGAATGGTGTATTTACTGGATATTAGATTTAGATTTATCTTGTATCTTTGCTCTAAAGACTTCAGAAATTGATTTTCCTTTGGGTTTCTTAGTTGTATGTTCCTACAATTAAGTGTAAAAATTATTGCTTAAGTTTCTATGCTGTCAACAAATGAAATGTAGAAATGTCTTGATATTTCACCAATATTTAGTCTTTTTTCCTTTGTTCATTCAAAACCATTAAGTTAGTACTGCCTTAGTGGGAAGAGCTGGACTACATATCTACATATTTCTGTTTAAGTGACTTTTCACTGAATAATAAGTTAGAAGTGTGTACACATTATTTTAAGGTTGTTTGACTTCAGCAGTTTGGCTTATAAAAGCAGATTATCTTATAAAATCGGCAAACATCAAAACTTCTTGACATGGAAAGGAAAGAAAGTTGTTAAGTACAATTTACCTTCAGTTAATCGTCTTCTTGTACTATTATCTATGTACATTTGAATAATGCTTGTTTTTAAAGATTTACACAGGCATTTTCTCACTTAATCCCCAAACTACCTTATGAGTTGTATATCATCCCAGTTTATAGTGAATAAACTGAGTTTCATCACTGAGATTAAGGTACATGAAGTCATATAGCCATGTACATGCCTGAGCAGAAGCTAGAATCAGCCTCTCCCCCATCACATAACCTCATAAGGCTCTTATCACAGACCTGAGGATGTGTTCCAGATAAAACATGGTAACCAAATGCAATCATGTACAATCCTAGATTGGATCCTATACTGGAGGGGACAGAATGCTCTAAAGGGCCTTATTGGGTTAGTTGAGAAAATTAGAAAGCATGTGGTAGTAATCTCAATGAATACTAAATTGTTAAATCAATAACTATATGGGGATTATATATTACCCTTTAGAAATAATCCCTTGAGCATCTAGGTTAAAAGACCACAATGTCTGCAAATTTTTCTCCAAGGGTTCAAGAAGTATTATGTATATCGATATTATATGTAAATAGAGTAAATGGGACAAACATTTAAAATAGGAAAAATTCAAGTAAAAGATATATTGTGGCTTTTAGCTTATACTTGAAAGTTTTCTGTAAGTTTGAAAATTTTCCAAAGTAAAGAAGACAAAAATTCACTATCTTTGGATTCTGGATCCATACTTAGATAGATACTTTGCTTTGGGAAATTATATACTTGTGCTTTTAAAAAAATCATTATACTTAAAAACAAGAAATTGAATTAAGTTTCCATGTTATTCATAAATTGCTTTTGAAATTACTATGTTCACATAACCTGCTTTTGTTGGTTGGTGTAGGTCATGTGACCAGCATGAAGAGGAAAGAATGGGAGAATAAATCAGGAGGATTGGAAGTGGAGAGGAAGACTCAGCACCTGAGCCTGCAGGTCCCCATGCGCTGTCACAGCTCGTCCTCGTCCTCAGATGACAACAGCAGCTCCAGTGCGGCCCAGCCTTTACTGGCTGCGGACAAGGAAAGCCCCTCTTCTGTGGCCGATGACCCTGTGCCTCAGAAGGAATTCCTGCATGGAATGAAAAGAGATGATGGTCCAGTGAGGTCAGTTACCAAGTAGATGCGGGAACCTGCTCACAATGGGATTATAATTACTTCAAATTGTGACCAGAAAAACTTTTTTTCTCTTACCTCACCTGCTGTAGAAAATGTTTTTCTCCTCTTGAACATGTTTTTAAATGTCCATTTGCTGTTGTCTCTTTGGTTATAAAAGTAGAACATAAGTATTCATTACAAATATTAGGAAAATACAGAAAAGTATAATGACAATATTTCTTGTCATTCGATCTCTCAGAGTGAACTCTTGTTAACCTTTGGGCATTATCCTAGACTGGTGAATATTTTTGACCTTCTCTTTCTATAATGGTTGACTCCTCATTTCCTGAAACATACTTTCTTCTTGACTTGATAGCACATTTTAGGTTCTCCCCATTCTCCTCAGCTAGTCCTTCTCAGGCTTTGTTTCCACGTCTTCCATTTTTTCCTCCCTTCTTTTTCTTCCTCTTACAGCAGCCATTTATGAAATGTTGATATCCCTTATAACTCTGGGCCCTTTTCTTCATTCTTCATACTGTCTCCCCAGACGGTCTCTCTGTTTGGCTTCAATTATGATCTATAGCTACCATGTTTAAACTCCAGGCAAAGCCTTTGTCTCTCCAAGCCTAGTTATCTTCTTGATATATCTGCTTGGATATTACACAGTGACCTCAAGCTTAGCATATGGCCTTGTCATGGTCAGCTTGCTTTGCTTTAGTAAATGGCACCTCTACATCAGTTGCCAAATATTGGGATTATTTGACTTTTTTCTCTCCAAGTTCTCTCAGTTAATCAAAAGTCTCTGTTGCATTTTCTTGGACACGCTTTTAAAGGATATGAAAAAAATAACATCACCTAATGAATAGATTAGTTTTCATGGATTATGGATAGATAATATTCATGAGTTTCTTTAAGTTTTATTGTTGTTTTTGTTTTAAGCTTCCTCATTTATGGGAACTATATGGGATATGAACACATTGTATTGTTTTGATACTTTGTATGGCTAGTTTATTATAAAATTTTAGATTTTCATTTGTTTGTAAAAGAAATGAATAAAATTACTAAAAGGATTTTATAAGTACTTTTCTTTATATTTAGAGTAAATGATATGATATACAGTAATGGGTAATAGCTTTGTTTTCTATTTTAGTGTTCCTACAGAAATTTCAGGAAATAGCCCCGTGTCTCCTAATAATCAGGGTAAGTCAGTAGGTCAATCCCCTCTGCGGTCTCCCTTGAAACGACAAGCCTCAGTATGCTCCACCCGACTTGGAAGTACCAAGAGCCTGACTGCAGCATTCTATGGGGACAAGCAGCCAGTCACAGTTGGAGTCCAGTTTAGTAGTGATGTCTCCCGAAGTGATGAGAATGTATTGGACTCACCAAAGCAGAGAAGAAGTTTCGGCTCCTTTCCATACACACCATCAGCGGATTCTAATTCATTCCATCAATATCGATCAATGGATTCCAGCATGTCAATGGCTGACAGTGAAGCCTACTTTTCTGCCGCTGAAGAATTTGAGCCCATTAGCAGTGACGAAGGCCCTGGGACCTATCCAGGTAGAAAAAAGAAGAAAAAGCAGACTCAGCAGATTGATTACAGTAGGGGTTCCATTTATCACAGTATCGAGGGACCACTCACTGGCCATGGAGAAAGCGTTCAGGATCCCCGAACTCTGCCATTCAAAACTCACCCTTCCCAGGCTTCATTCGTTTCTGCAGTAGGTGGCGAAGATGATGTTATAGAACATCTGTATATTGTAGAGGGTGAAAAAACAGTAGAGAGCGAGCAGATCACTTCTCAGCAACCAGTGATGAGTTGTTATCAGACTTACCTTACTCAATTCCAGGTGGTTAACTGGTCAGTGAAGCACCCAACCCACAAAAGGACCTCCAAGTCCTCCCTGCATCGGCCCCTTGATCTGGATACACCAACCAGTGAAGAAAGTTCATCATCATGTGAACAGTTCTCTGTTCCAACTTTTAAGGTATAAATCAAATAATTACTTTCTATACTGATATATTTATTTGGAAAAATGTATTTTGTAGATGTTTTTATAATTAGTCATTTTAGCTACCTTTCTGAAATTAAGGCTTCATGTATGATAGTAGGTCTCAGGGTTAGTGGTGGGAATTATAAAGTGCAGCATATAAAATTGAGGAATAGTTAGACTTGATAGTCACAATGTTAGTCAATAAATGTAATAGTTTCTATAATACTGTACTCTTAAGATTAGGATCAAGTTTGTGAATTCGTATTTTCTGTGTCTTAAAAATAAATTTTGATAGTTGGTATACTAATCCATAACTGCTTTTCTGCAAATTCAGTTCCACTCACTTGAAATTTGATGTCTTATAATTTAGTATGACTGGCTATTGGCCACTTCTGTAGTGTATTATTTAAATGACTTTTTATTTTATTTTATTTTATTTATTTATTTATTTAAAAAATATATTTTATTGATTTTTGTACAGAGAGGAAGGGAGAGAGATAGAGAGTTAGAAACATCAATGAGAGAGAGTCATCGATCAGCTGCCTCTTGCACACCCCCTACTGGGGATATGCCCGCAACCAAGGTACATGCCCTTGACCGGAATTGAACTTGGGGCCCTTCAGTCCCCAAGCCGACGCTCTATCCATTGAGCCAAACTGGTCCTAGCTTAAATGACTTTTTAAAAAAGAGTTAAAAATAAGTTAAAGTAAATGTAGTAACAATAGTCAATATGAAAACTATTTTATAAAATTATACATTTATAAGAGAGCTAGAGGCCCAGTGCATGAATTAGTTTAAAATTAAGCTCAGTGTAAATGGTGCTCTAGACGTCAGACTTGGAAGCACTCGCAAGTGCTTTCTTTGTCATAGCTCTTTACTCTCACTGCTGAGTTCTGCAGCCCTGCCCTGGCATTTGTCTGAATAAACTGAAAATGAAATTTCCAAATAAATATTTTCTATGATTTTTTTTCAATTTGTGAAATATATATATCACATCTGTGAAAATCATATTAACAAGGTAATCTGGATATTTACAAATAATCAGTCTATAGCATAAAATTAGAGGATAATTAATATTAAAATTCTACTCTATAAGCAAAATTTTATATTTTAGGTTATCAAACAGGGGCTTACAGCTAATTCTTTACTAGACAGAGGAATGCAACTTTCGGGATCAACTTCAAAGTAAGTAAAAATTATATTCTTTTTAAAGTGTTTTTCTTGATTATAATATACATAAAGTTTATTCTAAAGAATAATCATTCTTTAATTGACTATAGACTTACCACAAACAATTTATCAGTTTGTCTATGATGGCTTTGCCTACATTATAAGCAGTCAGTGGCATTTCTTTTAGCATACTATGCAAGCGATCACTGGCATAACAAGGTTAGAAACTAGTAAGAATTCAAAATGGATGTTTTCATGTTTGGAAAAGCTCCATCATATAATACAGCCCCCCCCGCCCCCACATACACACTTGATATATTAACCATCTTTGATCAGTTTTTACTTTAGTATCTCATTTGTTCTGTCTTTGAAAAGTATTTGGGAGATGAAATGTCTAGTCCAGTTCCATGAAATTTTCAGTTGAAATAAATGTAGGTTTAAGCAATCACTCATCTTAAGGAAGCTCCAACTCCTGCTATTTTTCATGGTCTTTGTAATATGTACTTTGCTGGTTACATTGCACAGAACACCATATACTCCTTTGGAAAAGAGAGCCGTTGATAGCACAGATGATGAAACAGTAAAGGAAGAGTGGACTCTGGATCAGCCCATCTCTCAGACGAGGACAACAGCCATAGTTGAGGTCAAAGGAACTATTGACATTGTTCTAACGCCCCTGGTGGCTGAAGCTTTAGACAGGTATTGATTTTTGTCTAAAACTATAATTATTATTTGATAAAATGACAAATGTATGTTATATTATGATTAGTATAAGTAATAGCCTATATGATAAAATCCTAACATGCAAATCGACTAAATGATGGAAAAACCAGCAGAACGACTGGTCACCATGATGCATATTGCCCCCTGAGAAGAGGCAACGAGGGTGGGGAGGGGCCCGCGGGCAGGCAGTACCAGGCCACCAGTCAAGGTGGGTGCCAATGGTGGGGGGGAGCCCTGATCGCCCTGCCTGCCAGTTGCCCCCACAGGTGGCCCTGATTGCCAGCCAGGCCTAGGGACCCTATCCCATTTATTTATATATATATATATATATATATATATATATATATATATATATATATATATATATATATATTTTTTTTTTTTTTTTTTTTTAAACTTTAGTTTTTGTTTTTTTAAAAATATATTTTATTTATTTTTCACAGAGAGGAAGAGAGAGAGACAGAGAGCTAGAAACATTGATGAGAGAGAATCATCGATCAGCTGCCTCTTGCACACCCCCTTACTGGGGTCGTGCCCGCAACTAAGGCATATGCCTTGACCAGAATTGAACCCGGGACCCTTCAGTCTGCAGGCTGACGCTAGTTTTAACCGGTTTTGGCTAGTCCCTTAGATTTAAAAATTAAAACCTGGCAAGGCTACTCTAACACTGAAAAAATAGGATGATGCAGTGATGACATGCATGAATCTGGCTTGTACATTTTGTTGTCAGCCCTGATTCTGACACTTATAACTGTATGACAAAACCAATTGCTTAACTTCTCTCTGCTTCAGTTTTTCCACCTATAAGATCGAGAAAATAGTACTACTGTCTCATAAGAATCATGCTATGTACTACTTTTTATAATCAGGGTAAAAATGTAGCTGCCCGTACAATAGCAAGATGCCTTTCACCGAATGAAAAGTATGATCACTGGTATATGTAGCATCCCAGCTTGCGAGAGGGATGTCCGACTGCCAATTTAGGCCCGATATCCCTCTAGGGGTCCCCGATTGCAAGAGGGCACAGGGCAGGCTGAGGGAACCTCTTCTCCTCATGCATGAATTTAGTGTACTGGGCCTCTAGTATGTTCATAAAGAAGAATGTTGATGATGGCTATTGGATTGAACAAAAATGAAGATATGTTTTAAAATGTCTGTGTTTCACTTAGTTATCATTTGTTATTTATCAGTCCAAATAATTATATTGCAGTATTATAAGAATTACTAGAGGCTTGATTCATGAAAATTTCTGCACTTCAGGGGTGTCCCTCAGCCTGGCCTGCCCCTCTCACAATCTGGGAGCCCTCAGGAGTGGGAGGCGACCTGGCAATCGGGAAGATGACGCTCTATCACAGCTCTGCTGCTGCCACTGCTGGTATCGCAAACCTCAGCTAACCCTGGTTACCTGAGTCTAGGGCGGCCCTGGGCAGCTGGGGGGCTGAGGAGACAGGGGGACTCTGGAGGCAGGGGCTGAGAGAACTGGGTGCATCTTGTGGCTGTGGGTGCTGCCATCTTTGAGGGCAGGGCAGTTGATTAGCATATTTTCTCCTTATTGGGTGTGGATGCCACCATCTTTGAGGGTGGAGCAGTCAATTAGCATATTTCCTCCTTATTGGCTGTGGGCACTGCTATCTTTATGATGGTATGAGGGCCAATTTGCATATTTCCTCTTTATTAGATAGAATATTGCTTTATAGTTTCATTTTTTTTGCTTTTGGTCTGTTGAGCATAAAATGATCAAATACCCAGTAACTAATTATTATGTTTGATATTATTACTACTATCTAGTTTATTTAGGGAGATAAAATGAACATGAGTAAACTCTAGAATGTAATGTAATGGAAGATTCAGTAAACTAAAGTTTCTTGTTTTCTGTTTCTTCTCCTGCAGATATATTGAAGCAATGGTTCATTATGCTCACACCCGCCATCCAGCTGCAATTGTGGATGACCTTCATGCCAAGGTCCTCAGGGAAGCTATGCAAAATAGCAGGACTACCTTCTCAGAAAATGTAAGAATATTTTACCCAGTAAAGTATGGAAAACTGAATATTCTTCATGTGCACATATCGATAATATTCAAACTTGAAAAAATGGAATGTATTAAAATTTTGTTAGTCATTTAAATTGGAACACATGGACATTTCTAAATAGTCTTTATATGTCAGTGGCTCCATAAGATATTGCATATAGAACTATACTATGGATTAAATAGTAGCAACTATTTATTAAAATGTGGCTTTATTTTTTCTTTTATTTCAGAAAGCGTAATATCAGGCCTTCCCTAAAGAGTGTTGGTCCCAAGTGAACAAGTGCTCTCTAGGACTGGTGCATTTGTTTTCTAAGAAAGCCAGCTGCATATTATTTTGACTTTTCTCTATGAGTAGATAACTTGTCTCCAATATTTTTGAGATTATTTTTGTTCCCTTCAATGAGTCAAGTCCCTGCCCTCTGGTGTGTAGCACTCCATTTATGCTGTGGTCCAGGCACGACGCCGTTTCTTTGTAGTCACTTTCCAATGCTCTTCTGGTGACTCTCTGCTTCACTTTCAAACTTACCTGGGTCATATTTGGACCAGGGCCCAGAGGCAAAGTGCAAGTGAGGCTGATAATTTTTAATGGCCCACTTATTCAAAATATATTGGTAGTTAGAGTAGAGGAGTACAGATCAAAAGAAATTTGAAAATTTTCTCAGCCAACAAGGAGTCAGTTATAAGGAACCAAATCTGCCCTCAAGTAAGTAGAATTTAGCAATCATAAAATATACTGTTATTATTATTATCACCATTTTTCTGTTTCTCTGTAGGCTGATTTCACTTGAGTATGTATCTCTTCTCTCAGCCCTGAAGTTGCCAACCTGTTTTGGACTTTAAGACTACTAAGGGTGCTAATCCAATGGCAGTTAGCATACCCATGGGCATAAAGGAGCATTGCAGATGATGTGGAAATTATGAAATGTTTGTGAAATAATAATTTTACTTGCACTCTTTTTAGTTATCTTCCAAACAAGATGTTAGAGGAACAAAAACTGAGCACACTGTTATAGGAACGACTAATCAAGGACAAGCACAGACAGATCTTATCATGAAGCAAGATAATGTGACAATTAAAGGTCTTCAGGCTAATATCAGCATACCAAAGGTAACAATTTAGTATTTTAAAAATTTTTCCTGATAGAGGAGTACATTTTGGTAGTTTTACTCTTTGTATTTACTAAATTAAATGGTGGTGGAATATAAAAAACATGTATTTTATTCCCTTGATGATTGAATGTAAAAATTAATGTAATGTAAATAAGTTTACTTAAATAGAATATTGGGCGTTATACTAAAATATTCCAAATTCATCCAGTAAAATTTTAATTGCAATTATGAGATTCTATATAATCTTTGTCTTCATAACTCTCAGACACTTAGGTACGCTATTCCTAACAGTAGTTTTGCCATTTTTTGTGTGTATCTTATATATTTGATAATTTTTACTTTTCAATGCCATTTATGCCATTTTCTGTGTTAGATAAACTTATGTTTGCTACAAGCCTCAGTGGAAGAATCTCCAAATACAGCTTCCAGTAGAAGCATTACTCACATGTCCCTGGTTGCATTGTGTTTTGACAGAATTGCTACACAAGTTCGTATGAACAGGTAAGAAAGATTTCATTAGTTTGAGCCATTACTATCTCACTCCTTGATGGAAAAGCAAGCCTTAATCATCTTAATACATTTCTGAAAATTCTGATGTTAAAACTCAAAACTGGTATTGGAATTTCAAATCTCATAGGTATTTGAAAGTTTGTACTATTTTTATTTATACTATACTTTAGTAAACACTGAACAATTTGTTATGAATATTGGTTTAATTAAAGCAATGGAATGTTTTGGTTATTCTAAAATATGTTTTTTATTGATTTCAGAGAGAGAAAGGGAAAGGGAGAGAGGGCTAGAAATATCAATGATGAGAGAGAATCTTTGGTAGACTGCCTCCTCCACACCCCATACTGGGGATCAAACCTACAACCTGGACTTGTGCCCTGACCATGAACCGAATCATGACCTCCTGGTTCATAGGTTGATGCTCAATCACTGAGCCATACGGACCAGACTGGATTTTTTTTTTAAGCTACTTAGTTCAGTTTTGTTCCTGAACTGTTTAAATGTTGTTTAAATGTTAATCATATTCTCTTTCTTTTCTGTAAAGAGGTGTGGTTGAAGAGATTTCAAACAACACTGAACCTGGTCGGACATCACAGTTTGATAGGTATGTCCACGCCTCTAAAATGCAGCCACAGTCATCTGGATCTCTCAGATCGAACACTGGAGCAGAAAAAGGCAAAGAAATTGCTGCCAAGTTAAACATTCATCGAGTTCATGGGCAACTCAGGGGTCTTGATACAAAAGGTAGGATTTTACAACAAATATTTTTTCTGTGGCATATATAAAATATAAGAGGATTTTGCAAAAGAGAAACAGTTTTTCTTTGAATATTGCTACAATTTTAGTAGTTTAAAAGAAAAGTATTTCTGCAATATATTAAACACATAGTATTTATTCCTTATTCACATTCTATGCATAACAGAAGGTAAACTTTGGTAGGGAAATAAGTGATATGGCCCCAAATTAGGAACCCATCTGATTTCTTCATTATGTCTGCTGCTCATTAGAGAGTCTGGTCTTTATAGTCTTTCTGACTTTTTAAAATTGTTCTGTTGCCGAAACCGGTTTGGCTCAATGGATAGAGCGTCGGCTTGGGGACTGAAAGGTCCCGGGTTTGATTCCGGTCAAGGGCATGTACCTTGAATGTGGGCATATGCCCAGTAGGGGGTGTGCAAGAGGCAGCTGATCGATGACTCTCTCTCATCGTTGTTTCTAACTATCTCTCTCCCTTCCTCTCTGTACAAAATCAATAAAATATATTTAAAAAAAAATAAAAATAAAAAAATAAAATTGTTCTGTTGACACAACTTTATTTTTGCCGTGCTAGCACAGCCAAGGGTTCAGTGAGCCTGAGGAGGGGTGGTGAAGGATTAAAGAAAAGACAGACAAGAGAATACAGCTGGGGCTTGGTGGATCTCCCATGCCTGTTTACAATGTTCTTATGAGTTTCACCTTGTTTTGGCAGCACTTGCTGCACTGCCCACAGCCCATTAGCTACCTAGGAAGGAACTAGGGAAGACAATAAGGTTAAGTTTAATTAAGCTAAGAGGCCTCTGCCCTCCAAGCTTGGACTTGTTTGTAGCCCTGCCACAGGTCAGTCCAACACTTAATCCTAGAGCCGCTCCCTATATCTCCCCTTTTTTGTTTTTAAGCTACTACAGTAAAACTTAAACATCAAGAACAGAGCTCTATTAGAACAATAACAAAATAATACCAATGCAAAACAGCAATTAGAGACAAATCAGTCTATTGACAGGTTAATATGTTTAACTACAAAACAAAAGTTTCATTTGCTGCTGGTATATATTTACTCAGAGTCCTCAGACTTGGCTATGCAAGACTTTACAGAGGACTGGCAGCTAACCAATGCTAGCAGAACCAGAAACATGGTTGAGGGAGTAGCTTCCACTTCTTGCTTTTCTACCATCTGCTGGGCTTCAGTCGTTAACTTCTTTAGCTGACCCCATGTTGGCCCCTTGGCCCCTTGTGTAGTCTTTGTTTTCTTCTTCTTTGTTGTCATTGGGGCAGCTCTGTCTTTTGAATGAAGGGACAAGGAGCTTCTCTAGGTCCATTGTGGTGACACACGTAATGCTCTGGCGCCCAAATTGGCTGTACTTGTCCTTCTGGAAAGAGACAAAACACAACCTCTTCTCCTTATCATTACTGGATCTGGTAAAACTCTTGTCTGGTTTGTGCATCCTTCCACTGGGCTAACTCGGTAGAGACAATTGCACTGGAGATCTGATGCCTTTCGGCTGCTGTGCATCCCTCTGTATTGTAATTAAAAAAATTTAACACATAACAGTCCTTCTCCCCCTCCCCCCCCTTTTTTTTTTTGCTTTAAGACCTGATTTATAGTATTAATTGTTTGTGCCATTACTTTAATTTCTAACCCTGAGCAGAACTAGAAACCCTTCCAATGTTAAACTGCTCCTCTCTAAAATTCGTCTTATAAGACAGATAAAAGATAGATGCAAAGTGTAGTATTTTCCTGATGGAATATTTTATAGATATTGAAACAATAATTTTAACAATAATAATTTGTAATGACTTGAGGAAATTATCATGGTTACTATTGCATGAAAATTGGGAACAAAACTGGATTTGTAAAATGAACTCTAAATAGCTAGAAGGAAATTTACTCCAAATGTAATGTCAGTCATCTCTGAATAATAAATTTACCAGTGTTTTGTTTTGTTTTAATCTTTTTTGTTTTGAGTTTCTGTATTCATTAACTATAATCAGAGAAATTTTAAAAAGTAAGGTAGGAAGTAAGAAAAAAAAATGCCAGGATCTTGGGATGTTCATTTCTATATTGCATATTGTAAGCAGTAAAATACTGCAATGACTACGATCAGTTGTAGTTATGTAGAATATGTTAGCATAAAGCCAATTTTTAGTAAATGCTGTTTTTGTATTAGAAAATAATGGTTTTTTTTTTTAAAGCTGGATAATTAAAATAATTTTTAAATAAAATGATGAGAAAGTATTTAAAAATAGTTTATTATGAAGCTGAATTATACAGAAGCTTTTTAGCTTTATATTTTTAGAGTACAATGTAATCTTTTAGAAATGAATCCATTCTGCCTTTGAGCAATTATTTGTTAATTCTAGAATCATCTTTCTCCTCCTTCAATGTGATTCTGTCAATTTGTAAGCAGTACAAAGTTAGGCAGCATTATTTTTTAGTTGATTGGTTCATTTGTTTACTTTTCTTTTCGACTAATGTGAAAACCCTTAACATGACCCGCGTGATTAGGGTCCACTCAGGGTCCGGTTTCTGGAGGAGGCCACACACTAAAATGAAGAGAGAGACTTGAAAAGAGTAAATTTGGGACAAATGGGGGGCCAGGCGGGAGTCAACCTCTAGTGGGAAGACTCTCTAGGGTCTGGCCTTGCTATCCCTTTTATTGAGGCTGCTATGGAATACATCCATTACCCTTAAGCAGCTTTGGAAAACACCCAGTACCCTTAAGCAGGTTTGGGAAATACTCATAGCCCTTAGTTAGGTAATAAGCAGATTATCATATCAGTAAGGATTTACATGATTACAAGATGGGGAAGTTGCCTCAGTTACTATTGTCTCAATTAGATAGGGTATGGTTGGCTCTGACCTTTCAGACTTCAAGGTTGACCAGCCTCTTTCTATTTGTGAGATAATGATTGGTTTTCGGCAGACTAAGATATCTTTTGAATGTAATCACTGTGCCAAATGTTTACATTGTTTGTTTTAAAAGTATATAAAACCTCTATTTTTAAAAGTGGTGGTTTTGTTCTTTTTTGGTAATAGATATCGGCACATGTGCCATCACTGCGATTCCTTTTGAGAAGTCCAAAGTCTTATTTACTCTGGAAGAGCTGGATGAGTTTGCTTTTGTGGATGAGACTGACCAGCAAGCTATTCCAGATATAATTCGAATGGGTCCCAGCCAAGAAAAATGGGGTTGGATAATGTTTGAATGTGGACTTGAAAATTTAACCATAAAAGGTGGGTTTTTAAAAAATAATACTGCTTAAGTGGGGATAAATTGGCCCCACATTGCTGAAATGTTTTAGACTCATGACTTTCAATAACTGAATCAGCATATTCAAGCTGAAAGTGTGGTAGCTGGGATTATTTACCAGGGGTCGATGCCCCATCCCGATTCCTCCGTTGTGTGATCCAAAACTAGCAGAGTATCTAGACATGTAAAACCACAGTATCTGAGTAGAGCAATCTTGGCTCAAGTCAAAGCCACCCAGCTTTTGAAAGCTTGTGTCTTTGGAAACTGGATCTTTGATTAGCAGAGCTTTGCCATTTAGGATGAAAATATTTCAAATCCTTTATTCAGTGAGACAGAGTCTTACTTACAATTATGCATGTTTTCTTATAGGTTATTGAGTAATATATTAAAATATGAAGGCTGACTTGTGTATAAGAATTTTAGATTTAGTCCTATATAATAGTTGTATATGCCTACAATTGTTTGTCTGATAATCTAATCTTATATCACTTTTATAGATAAGGGCAAGTTTTGGTGAGAATAAAAGAGATCTTTGTGAGATTTTAATTTTTATCTTTATGGATACGGTAGAGTACATCACTGAGATACTGAGTGTTTTAATAAATACATTCTCATATTTGTATAGGAGGAAGACAGTCTGGTGCTGTTTTGTATAATGCTTTTGGAACGATGGGCAAAGCTAGTGTCTCAGAAGGGGGTGGAGTGCTGACATCCAATAATTCTTCCGACTCTCCGACTGGCAGTGGCTATAACACCGACGTCTCTGATGATAATCTTCCTTGTGACCGAACAAGCCCTTCTTCAGACTTAAATGGAAATTCTGTTTCCGATGAGCAGGTTGGTAATAATGCTTTGGAAACATGAGCAGGTTTCTAATAAGAATGCTTTGGAAACATAAATTAGAAAATGATGTACCAACTCAAAATTAACTTCTGAAGTATATTTGCTTGTCTTTTTGTATTGTAGTTTGGATTCTGTTTAAGTCAAGGCATTGTGATGATTACACTTCTACTAGAGTATAATTTTTGTAGGCATCATCGCCTATATATATTTATGTCTATCATAGTTCCTAGCATAATACTGTGTTCATATTAGGCACTTAAAACATCTGCTAAATTAATGAATGAATAGAATTTCAAAAAAGCAGGCTTTGTTTTTATGTTGTTTGAATTATTTTAGCAGAATCATTTTTTAAATAATTAGTTTTGTTACTGGTAGTATTTCATGTAAGTTCTTAACATTTTTATCAACATCTGCCAATTTCAGTTAGGGTCCTGAAGAATACCTTTAATGTCACTCATTTATTATTTTTATTAGGGTAGAATTTCATAGTGATGAATAGGAACAGCAATAATGAAAATATTTAAAATTCTAGATTACTAAAGAGTTGAGTCACTGATTGGTGACCTGGGGCAAATTATTTTCCATCTCCCGTGTTTCTTAATCTGTAAAGCAGTATTGTAAGGACATTATTCTTCTAAAGTTGTGAAGATTGGAGGAGACAGTACATAGGAAAGGCTTAACTCAGGGTCTAACACACAGTAAGAACTTGGTAATGTATGTGTACTATTTGTTACATAGACTCCCAATGGAATCTGAGGTAGCTTTATCTTGAAATACTTAAATGTTTCTGCAGCCAGCAATTTTAATAAAAATACCATATGTAGGGTAAATAGCTTCTTAACAGATCAGATCAGGTTTTGATGCCACATTTACAGAAAAATATTAGATTTTATTTTTTAAAATCTTTATTGTTGAAAGTATTACTACATAGGTACTCCTCTCCTCCCCCTCGCCCCCCAATTAACCTCTTCCAACCCTCTCTCATATCTTCCTCCCCCAGACCTCACCACCGCATTGTCTGTGTCCAAGGGTCATGCATATATGCATATAAGTTCATTGGTTGATCTCTTCCCACCTACCTTCCCCTGGCTTCCCTGTGAGGTTCAACAGTCTGTTCAAGCTTCTATGTCTCTGGGTCTATTTATCATCATCAATTTATTTGGCTCATTAGATTCCATATATGAGTGAGATCATGTGGTACTTGTCTTTCTTTGACTGGCTTATTTCAGAATGTCATGGATTTTAGAATTGCAAATAAGGGAGTGTGGACTTATATATAGTGCCTGCTGATTTTAAAATCACTGGGGCCTATAGTTCACATTGTTCTGTAACGTTTAGGACTCAAAAGTGTTTTGTGTGTATTCTTCATTCCTTAATAACCCCACAAGAAAATGCCAGTCTTTTCTTTATTTTAACCAGTGATATCTAAAAGTGAATCAGAGACTTGAAGTAGATGAAAAAGGCAAGAGACTTCTTTGTTTGTTCTTTAATATCATGCTTCTTACCTGCCTACATCTTGCAGGGTGGTGATTACACATTTAAAAGATATTTCTATTTCTTAATATAGCTTAAGATAACATAAGAATTTTTATAGAGCATTATTAATTTGAAAATGTGTTACAATAGTATTTATTATGGCTCTTTATTTGGAAGTTTGAAATATTCTGTTAAATGGAAAAGGAAATTGATTGCAGTAGGAAGCAGAAGTCCTTAATTCTACCACCCACTCTGCTCAAGAGTTGTGTGGCTTCTGGCAAGTTACCTCTTCCTTTCACTTTCCTTCTCTGGAAAAAATAACTTAATGCCCCTAAATAAAACTGTTTGGGTGTTCTATTATATAGGATGAAGGAGTTGAATCCGATGATTTGAAGAAAGATGTGCCTCTTATGCCGCCACCCCCCGATTCCTGCAGTATGAAGCTGACCATCCAAGAGATTTGGTTTAGTTTTGCAGCTCCCACCAACGTGAGGTCTCCCACTCATGCATTTTCTAGGTAAAAAGTCTGAAAAGTATACTATTGTCTCTTGGTGTTTGTTTATTTAAATGGCATGCAGTTCTGTTTCATGCATGTTTTAAATTACTTTTTTAATATAATATGCGGGCTGCCACCTCTTCCCCATCTTTCCTTCCTCAGACTCTCTGTTGACCTTATTGTCAGCTTGTTTGACCATTTTTCTTTTCTAAGGCTTAGTTTTACTTCCACATGTTACCCTACCATTAACTTATTTTTTTCACCTCTAATAAGCTTTTTAATAGTTTTTCTTTTCTATTATTTGTTCTTTGAATATCATGAATTATGAAGTTATATCTTCATAATTTATCTGGTAGTCAAAAGGAAAAGTAATTTCCCTAAATAAAATAGCTGCTAAGAACAGTAGATATGGAAGATCATTTGAAATACAAATCTTGACGCTTGTTTTTATAATTTTCTAAAATAAATCTGAAGGCAGCTAAACCTCTTAAGCACTGCGACCCCTGCGGTGGGTGCATGGCTCGTTCCCATTGACCAGCTCAAGTCGTCTTTGAACAAATTGGAAACAGAGGGAACTCTGAGACTCTGTGCTGTGATGGGATGCATCATGACTGAAGCGCTAGAGGTAGGTCTTCAACAATACATGGAGATACAGAATTTATTGAAAACGATACTGATCATTTATCATTGTTGGGAAACATCTGCCTTATGAGTACTTAGTGACTGGGTGTCTTTCATTTGTACTGTCTTCAATATATCATTGAAAGCCTGTTATTTTTGCTTTGTTTCAGAATAAAAGTATGCATTTTCCCCTAAGAAGTAAATACAACAGACTTACAAAACTGGCCCGCTTTCTCCAAGAAAACCCTTCTTGTTTACTGTGTAATATACTCCACCACTACCTGCACCAGGCAAATTACTCCATCATCGATGATGCTACAATGGTGAGTGACTGAAACCATGTGTTAGCTCTGAAGTAGCCTCTGTTCTGTTGAGAAACCATTGACCTGCAGGGTTTGAGATGCATATGGGAAGTCTACAGGAGAAATATGGTTAGAAATACAGGCTAATAGACAGCAGCAGGCTCAGATGAACGATTTGGGAGTTGACAGCATGAAGGTGTTATAAGCTGTTGACGTGGATGAGACTTTTAGGGATGGAGGGTTGAGTAAGAACCTGGTAAAGGATGGATCCCAGAAGAATACCAATATTAAAGGGGTGGGGAGGGTGGATGGAGGTACACAGTGCTGAGGAGGGAAAGGAGAGCCAGGAAAGAATGTCTGGAAACCAAAGTATAGTGAGTTGCAAGTAAGAGAGTTATCACTAGAGTCAAATTTTATAGCAGTGCTAAATAAAATAAGGACTCATTTGTGATGGGGGGAGGTTATGTAATTGTACAAAATAAATAGACTATCTCTGCCCCTTGAAAAGCACTTCAGAAGGTGATACATAACTAGGGATATAGAACTGGAGGAGCTTCCTTCTCCTCACCAAGCTCTGGTCAATAGAGAATACATGAGAATCTGGAGCCAGTTAGTGGTCAGTGTATCCATATTGGTAATGGCCAGTCAAGCTCCTATTTACCTGCACTGCCAGAATCTCCAGTAAGTCATGAATATAAAAAAGGTACTTGGCCTGAGGCTGGTAGAGTTTCTTGTTTCTACTGTTACCTCAGATTTGGGGACTGGGAGGTCCCCAGTGTGAGGCTAACCTACCCATGGTACCGTAGGCAGAGACGGGAACAGGGAGAATGACTTCATTTCCATGGGCGTTCGACCCAGGTATGCTTTCCATTAAGAGGAAGGACCACTTGAGCCTGGGAATTAAAGGGCAGGTGCAGAAAGTAAACAAGGTTCTTCTAACACGGAATCGTAGGAGAAGGGGATGGAGAGGAGTTAGATATTTTCTCCTCAGGCTAAAGCTGTAATAGGAAAAAGAGCCAAGTTTTCTTTCTTATAATCATAATCATGTGAAATCATATATACTGTATTCTAAATTTTATTATTGTTAATAATACATTTAACTTTCAAAGCAGTTACAAAGCCAGCTACATTCAGCATTTACCTATAGTAATTTACTATTTTGATGCTAAAAATAATCTCTGAAGGGAATAATTTCATTCCCTTTTTGCTTAATGAATATTTCAGGTTGTTCAAAATACATTTGATTCTTCAATTGGTAAAAAGATAAAGCTTATGAATGCTTCTTCAGAAGAACCCCAGTCTTGTACCTGCATTTAGTCTTATTTCCCTGAAGCTGCTGTGCTCTTCATGACAGGAGAAGCAACCTTGGGTCTAGAGATTGAGTTCTTTTGTCAGCTTGAAACACTGACTTTTTTGTGTAACATTGGACAAATTACTTAACATATAAATTCTAGTTTCCTCATTTCCCAGTGGGGGTTATGAGAGTTAAATGAATAAATGTATGCAAAGCACTTAAATGGTAACTGTTGTTGTTATAGTAAGGTGACTTCTAACCACATCATTGTTGTTATAGGGTGATGGACTTCCTGCCTTGGTAACCTTAAAGAAAGGGTTAGTTGCCCTGGCAAGGCAGTGGATGAAGTTCATTGTGGTGACACCAACCTTTAAAGGAGTCAACTTACATCGGCCAGCTCAGCCCTTAAAGCCCCAAGCAGCTGTGGACCATGAACACGAAGATGGCTTTGGGCTGGACAATGGAGGTGGTCTTCAAAGTGATACCAGTGCTGATGGAGCAGAATTTGAATTTGATGCAGGTAATTTTGTAAATATTTTAGTTATTATGCGCGTGGTAACCTAGTACATGTGATAATTTTAAGAATCTGTGTCCCAGATTTGATATTGTAATTTGTCATGGTTTAATTCTATTAGTCCAAATAAATAGTAATAATGTTGGGATCTTATACAGATTTAATTCTCAAGTTTAATTTTATGAAATATAGTAGACTTCTTCTCCTAACCTATCCAGTCTAAACAACAGATATCTTTGTATAACTTTGTATAAACACATTAACCTCTATTTAAAAATTATATCTATCACTTTATCATCTTGCCCTGTGCCTTTATTTTATTATTATTTTTATATTTAAAGAATAAATAGTTATGTTTGATATTGAGGTACTCACTAAATAAGGTAAAAATAAATTACAATAATTCATAAATAACTGTGGAATGATAGCAATTAATCAACCTCTGGGTCACTGCTTAATTATAAAGCATAGTCTTCTAAATATGATCTCAAAATCCTTAGTAACACATAATACCATGGTAATTACAGTAAGTGTGTACATAGCAGTGAGAAAGATGGTCTTCTCAAAGTGATCTGGCATCAGGCATTTTATAGAAAACTTTCCCACCAGAGATGTCATGCCTCTCTATTTGCCCTGTGCCTTTAAAGGAGCCTTTGAATTTTACTCAGTGCCTGTTCAGACCTGAGTTTATGTAATGTTTGGAGGCCTGTGCTCAGCCTCAGATTCTGTCAGCCTGATGGCTGTGCAGAACACAGGCGGTATCCCAGTGTTTCACAGTGTGTACAGTTGGGGTACACAGAGGAGTCGTAACTGTTTATATGGAAAATTAATAATGCAGGCATAAACGCCATGTATCGACTTTTGCCCCGCCCTATATATATACTTTAATGCTTTTTCAAAGTGTAATTTTTATTATCATGAACTGTTCTATTCATTGTAATTTATTTTATGATAGTTTGAAAAAATATTAAAAGTACCATGGGCAAAGAAAGCAGTCTTAAAATTAGAGCTTTGTCAGAACATCTATATATATATATAAAGGGCTAAAATGCACATTGTCCCCAGGGGAGATTGACAGGGAGGCTGGAAGTTTGATCACTCTCTATGATGTGTGCTGACCATCAGGGGGTGGTGCAGAACAAAGGAAGGTCCTGGCCGGCAGCCTAAAGGCCCCGATTGGCCTGATTGCCGGCCAGGTCTAAGGACCTTACCATACACAAATTTTGTGCACCAGGCCTCTAGTTGATATGTAATATTAATACTTTACCCAGTTTTTCTTTTTGGTTTTCAAACATTTGTAAGTTATATTTAAGGAATGAATGTTTAATGAATAATAGGCTGGAATTTATTATTTATTTTGATAAATTTCAAGTATGTACAAAAGTTGAAAGAATACTGTAGTAACTATCCCTTCTAATTAATTATCTACAAAAGCCTGCATTACTCTGTGAAAATTCTGTGCTTTCTTGAGCTGAGTTGAATTGGTTTTTGGTTTCTTTTGGTGGCATATGTGAGATTGAATAGAAGCTGTTTATTTCTTTTCTGAGACTGAGTAAGAAGATTGGGGTTGGAAGAGTAAAATAAAAATTTAAAAAAAGAGTGAATATTACAGAAGATTACACAATTAACTTGCCAAGGAATATCTATGGCTGAGTGTAGGTGCACCACCAGGAACACTGGAATTGATGCCTAAGTAACGTGTCTGACAATCTGCGGCCCACTCACTCTTTTCACTGATTTCAGCCACAGTCAGCGAGCACACGATGTTGCTGGAAGGAACAGCCAGCCGACCTCCCCCCAGCGGTTCTGGGCCTGTAACTGGCGCTGAGATAATGAGAAAACTCTCCAAGACTCACACTCACAGTGACTCTGCATTAAAAATAAAGGTTCATTATTACTGTCTTTAGTTACTGTTAGACTTGCAGAGAATACCTAACTTTTGCCATCTCAAATTCAATTATTAGGTATCTACCCTAAAGATTTAAATTTAGTAAAAATTTAAATTGAAATTAACACAGTTTAATTAAATTTTATATTGAAATTAACATGATTAGTAACCTTTAGTATGCACATTTCTTTGAAAATTATATCATCAATAGTAATTATTGTTGAATAAGGACTACTTTAACTACCAGGCCTTAGGGCTCTCGTTTAAATTTATTGAATATTTAGTAAAATATAGTATTGAGAATATTCATCATCTTATAATTATGCATGATCAATATACAGTTTGAGTGAGGCTGTTTTATGTTTTCAATGTTGTTGTTTTGTTTAGTATTGTGTGAACCATAGCAAGCAGTAATGGCAAGGGTAACAGCAGTTGTATTTCCCAGCCATCACGTTTGTGTGTGTAAGGAAGAGCCTGTGTGGTTTCTCTGCAGGGCATCCACCCATACCACTCCCTGAGCTACACCAGTGGAGACACTGCCACGGATTCTCCAGTGCATGTGGGCCGTGTTGGGATGCCAGTGAAGGAGAGTCCACGGAAGGAGAGCCTGCTCAGCTACCTGACCGGGAGCTTCCCGAGCTTGCACAACCTCCTGGAGGGCACTCCTCAAAGGAGCAGTGCAGCTGTGAAAAGTAACTCCCTGACAAGAACAGGTGTGACCTGGGTTTTGACAATTACAAGTTTATTTCTGTGAGAATTAAAAAAAAAAAAAAAAAAAGGTTTAAGATTTTTAGATATACACTTTGGATGCATAACTTATCTTTCATATTGCAACTCATCTCTGAGAGAGTATTTTGGGAAAATTTTCTTTGTAACAGGTTACTATTTTCTTGCCCTTAGTTTGCATTTTTAAATTGTAGCATTTGACATTACTGTCAACCAAGGTGTGATGTGGGCTGCTGTCGAGATCAGACAAAAATGAATTTTCCCAGGTGTAAAAAATAAGTTATTTATTAGTGCCTTAATATTCACATACAGATGTCATACTATGAATTTGAAAACATCTGCAAATATAAGTATTTTAATGTGACTTTTCAAAAAAATTACATAAATCACATTTCCTCCTCCTTAGTATATAAGTAATATTATACTCAGTAAAACTTTTTTTCCCCCCCCAGGAAATACAATGGCTACAGATATGTTATCTGAACATCCCTTACTATCTGAGCCATCATCTGTGAGTTTCTATAACTGGATGTCCAATGCAGTGGGTAATCGAGGAAGCGTGGTGCAGGAATCTCCTGTCACAAAGTCAGGACACAACAGTCTTCCGACAGGTATAGACTTGTTACATTATTTTGCTTAATCATCTTAGGGGCACCTGTAAAGTTATTGCAAAATCCTATTTTTCAGAAAATGATTTAAAAAAATCTCAAATGCTTAAGTATTGTTTTAGTTCAAATTGACCCATTTATGAACTGCCTTTGATAATCCAGCAGCTGATGGAGTCATAAGCAGTCACTCAGTGTTTCTGTGGAAAGTCAAACATGAGAGTGTCTATAATTTAAAGAATTTAAAACTTCCATTTAATGTGGTTGGTTTAATTTCAAAACACCAAAAGGAGTTAAATAAAAAATATAATTACAACATCGTATACTTACAACACAGAAAGTGTTTTCAGTTTATTCAGATTTCTCTGGGACATAACAACTCGTATTTTTATGCTCTTTGTAGTTACTAAAATATTTAAATCTAAGGGAGTACTAAGAAGAATAATGTAAGGTTCTTGCCCTCAAGGAGGAAAACAAATCAGGGCAGTTTATTAATTTTTAAAAGAATATGTATAAGTAGCAAGAAGACTAGTAGGGAATTCACAAGGAAGGATTGGTAGCTATCTCCTGAAGTAAAAGTGAAGTCACCACTCATGTGTGTGTGTGTGTGTGTGTGTGTGTGTGTGTGTGTGTGTCTGTGCGTTCAAATTTACCAGACATGTTTGTTTTTTAGTAAAAATAATTTTTTTAAGATTAAGAATATGTGAGGTAGCCTTTGATTCTAATTATAGAGGGCAGCTAAAATTGATCTGTGTAACAGCTATTGGGACATCTAGTAAATTCTATTCAGACAGAAAATACGAAAATTTTGAAAAGTGGTTGACACATGACTACTTAGTCCTTTTTCTTGCTGGTGTGTGGACCATTTTGAACCTGGAATGAAGTGGTGAGCAGGTGATGAATTCTAACTGCACCTTAGTCCTCAGCGTCAGCCTTGGCTGAAGAAGATGGAAGAATGTGCTTGACCGGCTGTCAGCACTTTGCTGGGGCTGGTTTCCCTGTTGTACAGAGTTTACATTTCAGGAAAGCCAGGAAGGAGCATTTCCTTCGTCTGGAGGTTAAAGAAGAAAGGGATAAAGAGAAAAGAAAGTGCCAATTATTGTCGTTCCACCTCAGTGGGAGGAAGTTTGAATGTGCTACGCAAGACATGATGGTCCGCCTCCTGCTGCTGCCTTGTGTGGCCCAGCTGCTTTCTGCACCTTTGCTTCTGGGTGTCCAGCTGAGGGGATGGCAGAGGCTCTTCCAAATGCAAAAGTCTATATTCTGGGCTGACTGGCTGTCATGAGGATTTCATGTATGAGGACAATGGATATTTTCTAAGAATGTAGTTTAATTTCACTTTTTAATCACATCTATAAAATAACCTAAAAGTGCTATTTTTTTTTCTCTTTAAATGGTCTGGTAATACTGTTTAATACAGGCTTTGTAAGTTTACTTTGCCATGCCCCTTTATGTCTTATTTTCCAGTACTTTAGATTTCATTCTCAAACATTTTTCCATTTAGGTGTTGCACCCAATCTTCCCACAATACCCTCAGCCTCCGATTTCAACACTGTCCTATCTAGTGATCAGAACACTCTGGATGGGACCCCTTCTCAGCACAGTATGAGTCAGGATGATGTGGCAGGTGTAGAAGAAGCCAACCAAGGTTTTCCTGCGGTTCAGCTGGCTGATGCCCAGGTGAGCCAGCCTGTCCCTCCAGTTGTAAAATCCTCTTAGGCAGCACTGAGCAGCTGGAGCCATCTCTAATTCACCTTGGAATTTAGGGAAAACCTTAGTTCTGTGCTTGTCTACCTAAAGCCTTCATGCAAAAAAGGAGTTTTCAAAAAGGACATGGGTTAATTAAGCATTTATAGATATTCATTAAACAGAAGAATGGCATAGTTGTTTATCACATATACATTGGTAACATTGTTTTTTGAGATACAGATTAGCTAGATATCATGACTAGAAAGAAAAGTTTAATATCCTATTGTGTTCAATGTTAAGATAAGACTTTTTTTGAATGAGCAGTGGGGAGCCATTGAATATTTTATTTTATTTTATTTTATTTTTTAAAAATATATTTTATTGATTCTTTACAGAGAGGAAGGGAGAGAGATAGAGAGTTAGAAACATCGATGAGAGAGAGTCATCAATCAGCTGCCTCTTGCACACCTCCTACTGGGGATGTGCCCGCAACCAAGATACATGCCCTTGACCAGAATCGAACCCGGGACCTTTCAGTCCCCAGGCTGACGCTCTATCCACTGAGCCAAACCAGTTTCGGCAGAATTATTTTAAAGCAAAAGAATAATGTGAAAAGAACTAGATATGGGTAGCAATGTGCTAAATGGATTGAATTAGAGAAATAAGGTGAAAAGGAGTTACTGAAACAGATTACACAAGTGGTAATGAGGCTTAGATGGCTGTGGCTTTGATAAGATAAAGAAGAAATATTCTGAAGGTCTTATTTAATGGCTTAAATATGGAGAGTACAAAGCAAAATCTTTGAAATCTTTTTAGTTCCTCAAATGACCAGAGACAAGTGGGAGAGTGGGCCCTAAGCATTAACAGGTTTTAAAGTATAATTAGATTATATTTATCTAATTATACAGAAGACCTTTTTGTGTTTCACACTGCACATATGAACTGGGGTAGGATAAGAAAAAGCACTGCAGTAAATGATGAATTATATAAATTGCACTAATATGAATGTGTTATGTCTTTTAGGTTGTTTTCAAGCCTCTTCTGAGTCACACAGGGATTCAATCCCAGGATGCGATGCCACTGTGCTACCGCATGTACTTCGGCGAGCATCTTTCATTTTCAGGGACACTGGACTGCCTCCGAGCAGATATCGTGGACTCAGACACGGCCAAGGAGAGAAAAAGCAAAAGGGCAAGAAGGTGTCTTGCGTTATTGTTGTTTGCATGTAAAATTTTGTACAAGGGTAATAATAACTGTTTTTAACTTTGCTTCATTCTCATGGTAATGAGAAATTAATTTTAATATCTTCATGAGAAGACAATTTCCATTTAACCAAAATAGTAGCCACATTAACAGGTTACGAGGCCTATTTTTTTTTTTTTTTAATTGTTTTAAATTTCTGGGTGTTTTATTTATTTATTTATTTATTTTAATAAGTTTTTATTGTTCATATTATTACAAATGTTCCTTTTTTTCCACCCCCCACCATTGCTCTCCTCCACCAGGTTCCCACCCCACCCTCTGCCCTTTCCCCTCTCCCCATTGTCCTCATCCATAGGTGCATAGTTTATGTTCAGTCTCTTCCCACGCCCCCCTCTCCCCTTTTCCCCAAGAATCGTCAGTTCACTCCTCTTCCATACCTCTGATTCTATTATATTCAACAGTTAATATTGTTCATCAGATTTTTTTAATTTCCTTGGTTTTTAGATTCACTTGTTGATAGTTACGTATTTGTTGTTCATAATTTTTATCTTTGTTTACCTTCTCTTCTGAAAGAACCCCCTTCAGCAATTCATATAATTCTGGTTTGGCGGTGATGAACTCCATTAGCTTTTTTTTATTAGTGAAGCTCTTTATCTGGTCTTCGATTCTGAGTGATAGCTTTGCTGGGTAGATTATTTTTGGCTGTAGGTTCTCGCTATTCATCACCTTGAATATTTCTTGCCATTCCCTTCTGGCCTGCATGGTTTCTGTTGAGAAGTCAGCTGACAATCATATAGGTGCTCCTTTATAGGTTACTACCTTCTTTGCTCTTGCTTCTTTTAATATTCTCTCTTTGTCTTTTGCTCTTGGAATTTTAATAATGATGTGTCTCGGTGTGGTCCTCTTTGGATTCCTTTTGTTTGGAGTTCTGTGCGCTTCCTGGACTTGTAAGTCTAATTCTTTCACCAGGTGGGGGAAGTTTTCTATCACTATTTCTTTCAGTATGTTTTTGATATCTTGTTCTCTCTCATCTTCTGGGACCCCCATAATTCTGATGTTGGTTCGCTTGAAGTTGTCCCAGAGGTTTCTTACATTATCTTACATTACATTTTCTGAATTCTCTTGCCTTCTAGCTTCTGTGAGGAGTGTCTTCTGGCTCTTTATGTTCCAAATCTTTGACTTGATTCTTGCGATCTTCCCTTCTGTTTTTAGGACTCTAAAATATTTTTTATTTCAGACAATGTATTCTTTATTTCTTGTTGATCCCTTATCATTTCTTGTTGACTCCTTATTAATTCTAGTTGATCTCTTTTCATATCCTCATAGGCCTTATCCATCTTTTCTAGGAAATTCTTGAAAAACCTTGTAAGCATAGATTTGAACTCTATATCCAGACGCTTTTTTGTCCTCCATTTCTTTCATTTGTGATCTATTTTGTTGTCTCATTTCGCAGTTACAGATGGGAAGGGGTTTCAGGGTGGAGCCTGCAGCTTTGGCTTCCGTCAGCCCCGCCCTATGCGGGTCCTTCAGTGCTCGCTGCTGCCGGTGCCTTTGAGAGAAAGGTGCCCTTTATTTTCGCCTGCTGCCAAACAGTCAATGAGCCCGGTATTGGGGTTCAGTTCAGTTGGAAGTGGAGTTGGAGGTGGCGTTTAGAGCAGTCTGGAGCCCCAGTCTCCTTCCCGTCAGGGCAATCCCGCGGCACAGCAGACTGTCCCTCTCTGCGTGCAGTGTGCGTGCTTCCGGGACCTCCTTTCGCCTCTCCCCAGGGTTCTGCCTTACAGCCCGGCTCCCTATGGCTGAGCCTGAGTCCCCGGGGTCTGACCTAGAACTGGGGTTCAGAGCAGTCGGGGGCCCAGCACAGTCGGAGTTTTATCTCCTTTCCGCTAGGGAACGCCCGCCAGGCACTCAGCCTCCCTCCTCTCCGCCTGCTGCGTCTCCGTACCTTGGGCTTTTCCAGCTCCTCCGCGCCTCCTTCTGGTTTTCTCCTTGCTTCTCGCTGTAGAATTTCCAGTCAGTTAACCTTCCTGTAGTTCTGGGCAATGTCTGTTTTATATTTTAGTTGTATTTTATTGAAATTGTTGTGTGCGGCTGCGGCTAGGTGTTCACCTGGGCGCAGCCATCTTGGATCTCCCCACGAGGCCTATTTTTAAGCCTCTTTTTTGAACCATGTTAGCGCATCCATAAGAGTGAGCCACATACATGTGGTGATGTAGATACCTAGAATTTATTTACTGTTGCACTAGTTAAATTTTTATGATCTTATGGATTGTAATTTTGTACATTTTATTTAGAATTTATTCCTGGCCTCCTTTTTGAGTTGACTTGTTGCAGGTGGAATTTTTTATTAGGAACAGAATAGAGGTCATACAGAGTCTAGCCAACAGAAACAAAGACACAGCAATGCCAAATGTAGCGTGGAGAGAGTTAAGAACCATCCTTTACTATCATTCTTTATTGTCACGGATGGTTCTTTAGTTTCTTCACTGTTTATAATATGCCTACTAATAAGATTTGTCTAATATTTTGAGAACATGAGTTTTACTTTGGGCAGATTTTGCCAAAGTGTATGTGAATAATAAAATATGGACACAGTTAGCCTTTCTGACATAAGGTTGTTTGTGACATGCTTGGTTTCATCCAGTTTGTGCTTTTGCAAGGTAAATTAAAAGTAAAATGCACATCTACCTAACATAGAGCTAAGTTAAGTATATTTTTCATTTGAAATACTATACTTAAAATTTTAAATAATTTAACAAAATTGGCTTTTAAAAATTTCATAACAATTCTGTATATATAAATAAAGCCTTCTTTTAGTTGTTTTAGGTTTAAATATCTGAGGATTTTCTAATCACACAGGAATGTTACAGTTGCATTTTTTTTCCTATTAAATAGAAGAAAGTCCTTGTTTTTCACATTGTGTGGTACCAACCAATGACTGTTCAAGCTAAAAACCTTAATTATTATTAGGATAACTTTTGGTTTTTGATCTTATAAAATGTCAAAAAATTAGTCTTTCTTACTATTTATTATAAATATGTAGAAAATGAAAAATATAGTAAAACTAATATTTAGTACATTGTGATTGAAAATATTTTGAAATTGAATTTTTTTCTGTAAAACTCATCAAAGAGTGGTTTGAATAGTTCTTGCCTTTTGTCCTATGACTCACAAAAAAGAATGAGCACCTTTTCTGTGCCTTGGAAAAATGTCCTACTTCAACTAAGTACTGACCAGTTTCCAACATTTTATCTTTTGCATTTTAATGTCATGTAGCATCATCACAAGTTCCTTTTACTGTTTGATTTTTTGCCAGAATCACTTCCTCCTGGTTGTCTTCATCCTTTTTGTTGCAGTCAGTATCCTCTTCATGCCAATAAGTGTGACTTCCCTGTGCTCCTTTGGCTGTATATTTAGTTTATACAATAGAATAGCGAAGTGGCAACATCGATCAACTGTTTCTTCTATAGCTCCATTTTCATTTAACTGAATTTCACTGCCAGCCTTATAATTTTTTTGTTTAATTGCTATTGTACATTTTCATCCTTGCTGTCCATTTCCCTGCTCGATTATCATTATCTTTTTTTTAATGTCACAAGGAGACAGCACACTATATGCTTCCCTGTCTGGGTGAATGCATAACAAATGTGCATTGACCAATCACTGACAGACTTTGACCAAGTGATCTGATTGGTCACTGATCACGATGCCTGTCTGTTATTTATGTAGTGACTCATGAACTGAAGAGCTACAGCAAGTTTGTGCTTTATGCAATTGTTCACAGTAAATTTTGGTTAAGATTTTGAACCATGTTGTTGGGGAACTGGTGTTATTTAAACTATGATAACAAATCCCTTTACGTTGGAATCATTAGTGCATTGTACCATTGTTGGCAGCAAAAATTGTTTTATCTCTTCACTGAAATCATTAACATAAGGCTAATTTTGACTGGTTAACTTATAAAAAGTTGGCTTAGTGGAAAAAGTAAACTACTTGATTTCATGCTGAAAAGTATTTAAATGACTTGTAAACATATATTATCTTGGGTATTATTTTGTAAATAAGTAAATAAAGATTGTACAATTCTAGAAAAGAGGAAATAAAAACCTTGTCATTTTATTTTCACATTTTTAGGCAAGGCCATGTGAATCTTCCTCCACTTGAGTTCAAACCAGCATTAATGTTGGAAACCTTTAGTATCAGTGCAGTCATGATGGAAAAGTCTGTGTGCACCCCTCAGAACTCCACCAATGCTCTTTCTTTCCATGATCTTAACAAGCGTTACTACAACACCTTCCACTGCAACTTCACCATTTCCTGTCAGTCTATAAGCCAGCACGTGGACATGGCTCTGGTTCGTCTCATTCATCAGTTCAGTACAATGATAGATGATATCAAAGCGACTCAGACTGACATTAAACTGAGCAGATACACAGCTGGCTCAGCTTCGCCAACACCTACCTTTAGAACCAGAAAACATCGGGATTTCCGCTCCTCTGACTTCAGCCGCAGTTCCAGAGGAAGTCTTAACGGTGGCACCAGAGTAAATAATGCAAAGAACAAACGGACCAACCCTGAAAATAACAAAAAGGAATCTCGAAACAAAAACTCATTGGGAAGATCTGAGAGAAGAACTTCCAAAGTGTCTAGGAAAGGCTCCAAGGACGTGGTGGATCACATGGCCATCCCCATGGATGACTCTGACTCCATCACCGTGTCAGAGCAGAGTGAGCCCTCCGCCGAGTGCTGGCAGAATATGTACAAACTGCTGAACTTCTATTCTCTCATCTCTGATCCAACAGGAATATTGGAAAAATCTTCAGATGCATTTGGACCAGCAGGTAATTGATATTTCATATTTTTTAAATTGCTGTTTGGAATTGCACACATACTAAGAAGGGCAGCAGGTGGTTCATGATGCCTGCCTGCCTGCCTTCCTTCCTTCCTTCTTTCCTTCCGTCCTTCCTTCCTTCCTCTTCACCTGAGAATATTTCTCCATTGATCTTTTAGAGAGAATGGAAGAGAGAGGGAAAGACAGAAATATCGTTGTGAGAGAGAAACATCCATTGGTTGCCTTTTGTGCATGCCCTGACCAGGGTCTGGTTCAGGGAGGAGCCTGCAACCAAGGTACATGCCCCTGACCAGAATCAATCCCAGGACTCTTTGGTCCCCAGGATGATGCTCTATCCACTGAGCCAAACTAGTTAGAGCTCATGATGTTTTCTTCATGTCATAAGTGGATAATTGAGATGCACAGAAGTTGGCGGTCAGGAGAGAATAGACACCCTGTGCCCCCATTTCCCACCTCTCTAACCTTATGCAGGGTGCTCTGGTAGAGCCACAGACACCTGCTGTCAATAACTGCTTTCAGTGTGGCCAAGGGAAGATGTGGAAATACGTTAAAAGTCATTTTGGTAGGGAAAAGGAGGAGGAGAGCTGGTCAGGAAAAGGAAGGAAAGAGAAATAAGGCAATGTTTGGAGTGTCCTTTCATTCCGCAGCTTTCATGTCTAAAGTGTGTTTCTGTTTACGCATGAAGGCGTTCGGAGCCCAACAGAGCCAACCTGTAAAGTGGTGTTTGAGAATGAACAGGACAATAACAGTGTGACAAAGACACAGAGGAAGCGCAGCTTGGTGACAGCGGAACCCCAGCATGTCACCCTGATCGTGTTTGGGATCGGCATGGTGAACCGCACACACCTGGAGGCGGACATTGGTGGACTCACCATGGAGTCCGAGCTGAAGAGGATTCATGGCAGCTTCACACTGAAGGAGAAGATGAAAGGTATGGCACATTCCCATACTGCTGATGCTTTTCTGAGAACTGACCCCATCTCCCCAATTCCTGCTTGGCAGTTGGTCTAGAAAATCAAACTTCCAGGTAAATCAGAGAAATAGTTTATGTAGGTTTTTGTTTTTTTTTTTAAATATATTTTTATTGATTTCTTACAGAGAGGAAAGGAGAGAGATAGAGAGCTAGAAACGTCGATGAGAGAGAAACATCGACCAGCTGCCTCTTGCACACCTCCCACCGGGGATGTGCCCGCAACCAAGGTACATGCCCTTGACCAAAATCGAACCCAGGACCCTTCAGTCCGCAGACCGACGCTCTACCACTGAGCCAAACCAGCTCCAGCAGTTTATGTAGTATTTTTTTTCTCCCCCTATTTTTGTTTTATAAAAATTTCCAAATGTTCTGCACTAAGTATTACTTCTGAGATTTAAAATGTCATTAGGCTTTCAAGGCTCTGTACTGCATGATTGACATGTTAAACTGAATATTTAGCATTATTCCAATTTTAACATATAATAATACTTACATGTATACATGAACACAGAAATAAAACTTCAAGGAAATTTTAAAAAGTAGTTTCAAAATATAGTTTAAATTTTATGTAACATTAAAATTATCTTTTGTCACTGAATGTATGAGTAAACTGCAAATTTAATATGAAGTGTAATTATAATTCATATAATTATTTTTCATCACATTTTAAGATGTTTTACATCAAAAGATGACTGAGACATGTGCCACTGCGCATATTGGTGGGGTTAATATTGTGCTGCTTGAAGGGATCACACCAAATATACAGTAAGTGTATTGATTTTTATTCTTAAATTTGTTTTAGTTTATAGGAAACTTAAAATTCACTGGCTAAATCCCACACCTGCTGAATTTTGAAATTTATATACATAATGTTTCAGATATTCTGATTTCTGTCATTAAGAATATTACACAATGAAATGTTTTAGAAAAGTGATTTTTACCTTTCTGAAAGTAGTTTTACTACCTCCTTCACCCCTCTTTAAAAGTAGACTCCTGGGACATTGTAAGATTATGCATCAAGAAAAATGATACAGTGTAAATTTTGGTTAAACATGTAAGATGCAAAAGCTGGTACAATTCAAATAGTTAAATAAAACAAAATTGTAGTCAAAGGACATAGACTCTCAGTTTTATGTTAAGCAATCATTAACCATATTCATGTTGATTTTAAAACTTCCTTTTGCCATTTTTGCATTTTAACAGTTTTACTGAATGCCTAGGAGACCCTTCTAATAGTATAGGGTAAGCTTCTTATAGTGACTACTAGAGGCCCGGTGCATGAAATTTGTATACTTAATGTTTACACACACCCCGCCTCACCTACTCAGTGGGTGGGGGGGTGGGGGGGGAGTTTCCCTCAGCCCAGCCTGTGCCCTCTTACAGTTCAGGAAACCTTGGGGGATGTTCAACTGATGGCTTAGGCCCACTGCCCAGAGTGGCAGTCAGACATTCTTATTGTTGCCACGGAGGTGGGAGAGGCTCCCACCACCGTGGCTGCGCTCGCCAGCTGTAAGCTGGGCTTCTGGCTGAGTGGCGTTCCCCCTGTGAGAGTGCACTGACCACCAGGGGGCAGCTCCTGCATTGAATGTCTGTCCCTGGTGGTCAGTGTGTGTCATAGCCACTAGTCATTCCATCATTCAGTTGATTTGGATATTATCCTTTTATTATATAGGATGGTCTTTGGTTGGTTACTTCCCACCCACCCACCCACGGTCAGAATGGGGAGGGATGTGGAAGGTTGGCCAGCTAGGGAGGGAACATGGGAGAGCTCCAGGGCATATCTGGCCCATCTCACTCATTCCCAATCAGCTAGACCCCAGTAGTAAGCTAACCTACTTTTCAGAGCATCTGCCCCCTGATGGTCAGTGCACATCATAGTGACTGGTTGACCCGTCGACTGTATGCCCCCTGGTCCGACTGATGTAGTGATGTCCCAGGACCAGGGGGCATAGCTGCCTGAATGGTCCAGTTTGTATTTTTTAAGTCTTTTGAAAGATCAGTGTCATAGCAAGTGGTTGAGCAGCCTTAGCATATCATTAGCACATTATACTTTGGTTGAATAGATGACTGATCAACCAGACACTTAGCATGTTAGGCTTTTATTATATAGGATGACATTCCATATCACTTTTCTTTTGACTGTTCTTTTCCTTATAAGTTCTATTCTTGGATCTGTTTAGAATTATTACCTTTATACATGATATTCAGATTATTCATCTATTATCACTACATTAAACCACTTACTTGGTTCATACAATTTGGGATTATAGACCTTCATTCCTAAATTCCTTTCAATGAGCAGTTCTGTGTTACAATTACAAAATGTGCTTAGGTCAGATTTTGAGAATTTGCTTTTAAGGTTATAACTAGTTATATATGTCTTACAATGGTCCTAAAAAGCCTCTATCATGTTAAATACTGACTAAATATGGGATTTAGTTCAGCATTGTAAATATTAAACATTAGTCATAGATTGACTAGTTACAGGTCTATTAATAACATTTTTAACATGGATAATGTGATAGCTGTCTGGGGGGAATATTTCCTGAAATAGATGTGTAAGTCTTGCTGGAGAATTTGGACTTGAAACCTTGGAATGAAAAAGAACATATTTTATTTTAGCTGCCTGAATGGTCCAGTTTGTATTTTTTAAGTCTTTTGAAAGATCAGGAAATCCAGTAGTTGGGAGAGACAAAATCTTTCCTCATCATTCACTGTGGGAGAGAGGCTCTCATGTAACAACTATTATCTTAAGAAGCACCTACTGTGGAGCCTCAGAGATTATTTCACAATTCCGTGACCTAGGGAAGGTTTTATCCCCTTTAGGGAACAATAAATTAAGATTCAGAAAGATTAAAGTGTTTGCCTAAAATGTTTCACATGGTACAGTAAGAAGGAAGAAATTTATTTCCAATTTCAAAGAAAAGCTTTCCTTCTGGTACCTTGCTTTGCTGCTTCTGTAGACAGTTTTCACAGATCTTGGGCTCCACATCTCCTGTTGATGAAATTTAAAGTACCAGGCTCACCAATCTATTCAGAAAGTAAAACAAATTTCTTTACATGTCCTATGTGTTTTATTTACTGCCCGATTGGATCCCTTGTCTCCATCATTTTTATTAGCTTTTAAGAGAAGGGCATAAATAGTCTCTAAACTTGCAGAAGCATGTTTATCAAACAGACTTTCTAAGTATTATATAGTTGATTTTTTATTTTTGCCTTTTGGAAAAACAACAACAACAACAACAACACACACACACCCCGTAAGAAAAATTTCTTAACTTTTATATTTGAAAAATAAAAGTTATTATTCACTGCTAGATTCTAGTAGTGCTAAGTATTCCTGGACTTATTCTTTGGCTTTTTATTTCCAATTTCAAAGAAAAGGCAACAGAACTAAAAAAGTAGTTTAAAAGGTTCTTTGAAGGAAAATTGTAAAAGTGGGAAATAAGAAAGCTTTCCAGATGATGGGTCATGTTGTAACTGATTTATGCACGAATGCTTATCTGCTTCCTTTTTGTTTCCTGCTTGCTCTTGAATCTTCATCTGTAGACTGGAGGATTTTCCTACATCTCCTACAAGCACAGCCAAACAAGAGTTTTTGTATGTCATTATTCTTTTTCATGGGCTTTGTGATTAACGTAGCACTGAATAGTTTTAAGCATAATGTTATCTGCATGGCTGTGAATGTATGTATGTAGTTATTATTTTGTAGTTTTAACATACACCCTTTTGTAGATTAAAGATTACTGCTATTCAGCGAACACACAGGTAACGGCTACCTTTTTTGCTTTGTTGTGGAAAGATTGTAGCACTGTAGGTGTGTGTTGCTTGTGCTTTTTTTAGACATATTACTGTCAAAATTTATATCATCACATATCCTTGTTAATGTTTGATGGGGCAGTAGAAGCCAAAGTGTTTCACTTTGCAAAAGATTTTTCACTAATTGCAAAAATAATTATTAAAACTAACATTGAAAATACCTACACATCTCAACCTATGGTCCTGTTTTAAGATGAGGAGCGTTTATTGCTCTGTTGACAGATTTATATATGACTTTTCTATATATGGTTCTGTATTTAGAGTGCCTTGATTTGACTCATGTATATCTGATATTTTGTAGTAGTGAGCTTATTGAGTGCTATATCACGAGTCTTATACTGTGACAAATTAATGTGTTACTTAGCATTGGTTATTTCTTTAGTCATGTTCTATAAACTTTGAATATGCTGAATATATTTAAGTTCCATGCTGGTAAGATTATCATACTTGGTGAGATTTATTTCATTGCATATTGATAACAGGACATAGACATAATATCAACTACCAGCCCTTTGTTGAGATTAATGTGATCTCTTTATCAGCCAATTAGAAGTACTAAAAAAGAATAAATTCACTAATTTTAAATTAGAGAAATTATTGTTTTCTAGAAATCACTCTTCCATGTTAATGCCATCTTAATAGGTATTGAAAAAAAAACAACTACTAGTAAATCATAGTAGCTGAAGAGGATTTATTGTTTTCTTTTTACCACTGAGTGCTTTGCTAAATCTATTTATTTTTCAAGAATCATTTGCTCATTTGAAAGATAGCATTTATGTTAGAAGGCATCTTTTTACTATCTGGGCCTTTCTGTTGCAGTTCATTGACAGGCACCTTTCCATTGTATGTCAAAGACTGCTTTGTCATGGTTTCTGCACATGTGACCTGTCACATGCTATCTGTGTAATTCCATAGTTGCTGTGTTGAGAGCCATTCTTCTGCTGTACTTTTTTCTGCTCATTCATTTCACAAGATTCAGTGAGTGCTTATCACATTCAGGGTACTGTTCTAATCATGGGAAAGAAAGCACAAGAGATCAAGAGAAAGAATATCTCTGCTTTATGTCTATATCAGTAAAGCGTAGCAGTTTTTAAATAAGTAGTAGTTACTTGTTGTGAATTGGACTTTTGTCATTTCTTTGTTACTCACTAAAAATAGAAAATCCAAGTTAATTTCTTTTTTCCTGTTAATTTCTCTTAGTATATTTTAATATATTAGGTTGTTATTAATGTTTAGATTTTAAGAAATATATTGCATTTTTATCTTTTCATATTTAGTGTTTATGCTTTCTTATTGGTTGTATATATCCTAAAATAAATTGGAGAATAGTGGAGTTCTGAATGGAGAGAAAAAAAGTGAAAATGGAATTTTGTGTTGCATGTATGTAATGTGTCAGTGTTTCATGCTTTTACTTACACAAGATCCCAGACATATGTCCTTCTATAAAGTCTGTATTAAAATAGAATATTTGTTGTATCTAGCAAACATTATAAAATAAATGTATTTCAATATTTATAGAATACTTATTTCTTTAATGCATGATTTAAACACAGGGGGGAAAAAATCTTAATGTGTTTAGTTCAATGAGCAACTTAAAAGCATTTGTCTTGTTCTCAGAATTACTACTTTTCAAAATTTATCTTTACTTGACTATATTTTAATAGCCCTCCTTTCCTGTTGCTAGAACTGTAGTGAAATGCAGTATTGCCAAGTCCCAGGCCCTTTACAGTGCCCAGCGAGGATTGAAGACAAACAATGCTGCCGTGTTCAAAGTCGGAGCAATCAGCATCAACATTCCACAGCACCCTGCCACCTTACATAGCATGATGGTTCGGAGTTCTCACCAGCTGTCGAAGCAGATCTCAGACCTCATCAGACAACCTTCTACACTGTAAGTTATTCCGTCAAGCTTTGTCGTTCTCTACAGTTCTTTGCTGTGTGAACAGCAGTGTTAAGGAAGACTGAGTATTGACCATGATAGACACTGGGACAGGTGGAAAGTAATCAAATGTGATGGTAGGTAGTACTGGATATCATATGTCACAGGTGCCATTGTCAGTGTCCCCTGTGGCATTAACAAAGCTTAAGAGCAGCATAAGAGGTACTACTAAAGAGTAAATTGACAAATTCTAGGAATGTATCAATTCTTGTTTATTCTTAACTCATAGAAATTTGACTGAATAGATTTCAAAAATTTCAGTGCCCATTTATGTCCCATTCATGGTTTTGTGCTGTCTTTCCTATAAAGTAATTGTACATGGTTCAAGGTAGTGTGTGATCATGCCACACAAATGTTTTAAAAGGCACTAATTTGGACTTTGGCATGTTACCCTTTATTCCCTTTGTCTGGAGCCCTTATTCATGGGTCTGTATTACTGGTCTCCAAAGCTATAATTAATGAAAAACTAATAAAAATATGATAAGTAAAAGATAAAAATAAGTTCTTATTATTAGTGTGTTTTGTTTGTTTGTTTGTTTGTTTATTTATTTTTGGTGGTGTCCAAAAGCAATGGACAGCTTTTTCAGTTGTTCTGTCTAGATCTTTAATTCTGATATAATACTCATTTCTATCTAAAGTCGACTAAATAGTAATAATATGAATGTTTCTCCTGTCAGTGGAATATGGAATCCAGATTATGTCACATAAACCTTAGTTTAAAATACTCTAAGGATCCTAGCTGGTTCTGCTCAATGGATAGAGCATCAGCCTGCAGAGTGAAGGGTCCTAGGTTCAATTTCAGTCAAGGGCACGTGCCTGGGTTGCAGGCTTGATCCCCTGTTGGGGGTGTGCAGGAGGCAGCCAGTCAATGACTCCTTCTCATCTTGATGTTTCTATCTCTATACCTCTCCCTTCCTCTCTGAAATCAATAAAAATATATTTAAAAAAATAAATAAAATACTCTAAAGAATTTTTCCTTATTAGAATATATTGCCCTGAAAGTGTAATAGTTAGAAAATCAAACTCTATAGTCAAACTGAATGAGTTCAAATCCTGGTTTCACCACTTTCTGGCCATATTTTCTCCTTTACAAAGTGTAGATAATAGTATCCGCTCAAAGGGCTTTGTGAGATCAATGAGTAAATGATATAAAACACACAAAGCACTGAAAACAGTACCTGACACATATAAGTATTCAATTGTTGTGGCTGTTGGTGTTATTATTGTTATTATTATAATAACTAGAGGCCCAGTGTACAAAATTCATGCACGGGAGGTGGTGTGTGTGTGTGTGTGTCCTTCAGCCCAGCCTGCACCCTCTCCAATCTGGGACCCTTCGAGGGATGTCCGACTGCCCGTTTAGGCCCAATTCTACCAGACATCCCTCTGTCAATCCAGGACTGCTGGCCCCCAACTGCTCGCCTTCCTGCCTTCCTGATTGCCCCTAACCGCTTCTACCTGCCAGCCTGATCACTCCCTAACCACTCCCATGCCAGCCTGATTGATGTTTAACTGCTCCCCTGCCAGCCTGTTTGCCCCCAGTTTCCTCCTCTGCCAGCCTGGTCACCCCTAACTGCCCTCCCCTGCAGGGTTGATAGCCCCCATTGCCCTCCCTTGCAGGCCTGGTCACTCCCCACTGTCCTCCCCTGCTGGCTATCTTGTGGTGGCCATCTTGTGTCCACATGGGGGCAGGATCTTTGACCACATGGGGGCAGTCATCTTGTGTGTTGGAGTAATGGTCAATATGCATATTATTCTTTTATTAGATAGGATGGTAGCAATAGTAGGCCACAGTAGTAACAGTCTTACAAGCAACAGTAGAGTACACAATGCTAAAGTCATGGAATTTGGAAGCAAGCAAACCCGAATCTGAAGTCCAGTTAGTTTTACATTGATGATATGAATGGTCTTGGTGTTATAGCATTCCAGTTTATATTGTGATTACTTCTTTTTCTTTGCTTTTCTGGATCATCATTTTTAATGGCTATTTCTAGAAAGTCTTAATATGGGCTGAAATTAGAAATAAAACATCTGTTTATGTATATTTTTGCTACTTTTATTAAGAACTCCAATAATTTTATACAAGAAAATGGTAGCCATTGTGTTTCTTAAAAGTTATTATTTTTTGCTTTGTAGCTCACAGCCTGTAAAAGAAGATGTTGCAACTCCCCTACCTTCTGAAAAAACTCCAACAAGTGTTAATCAGACCCCCATTGAAACAAATGAATTTCCTCAGCTGCCGGAAGGCTTAGAAAAGAAGCCTCTGGTCCTGAAGTTCAGCACCATGTTGGATGGCATTGCCATTGGAGCTGCGCTGCTGCCTTCCCTGCGGGCTGAGTACAAGATGGGTAGGATGCGGAGCCATGGGATGACAGGTAGCATCTGCTTCCAAATTCTGTCTCAGAATGTAGTATTGGTTTTATAATTAGCAATTGTTTGATGAAAAGATATATTTGGTTTTATAGATACTATATGAAAATTTAAATAATTTTAATCAGAACACTTAAATTTCATTAATAATATTCCTCAGTCAAGTAACAGCTATCAATACACCTCCCTTGATGGCCAACATGTATTCTACTTTCATATGAACTCTTTAGACTTATTGAACTGTGAAGGCCAATTCTCCAGTTAAACTTAAGTTGAATAAATTTCTACATCTGTCAGTTTCCTATTGCCTGATCAATGTGGTTTATGTTCAAATGAGGCGCCTTTAGCTGAAATTAGAGATTATTTGACTTCTTCAAAACAGCTACTTCTATAAGATTTTGTGATCCTCATATATCCTGACCAAAAATGCTTTGCTGTTATATTTTTATCCTGAAATGTATCATAAATAAGTTTAAATTATATACACAGTTTAAAGAATAATAAAGAACTGTGAACTCATCAGTCTGTTACACATCTAAGAATTAGAAAATACAAGGCTCTTTCAAGGATTATCACTACCAGATAACAATCCCATGGCTGCTCAGGGGATAACTACTGTCATGAATTTGTGTTCCCTGACTTTTACCGTATTTTTCGGACCATAAGACACACTTTTTCCCCCCCAGAAGTGGGGGGAAAAAGTCCCTGCGTCTTATGGTCCAAATATAGCCTACACATATACTGTAAAAAAAAAGTTTTTTTACTTGCCCGTCTCTGTGTGGTCTCTGTGTGCTTGCCTGGCTCTAAAATGGTTCTAAATGCTGCTGTTTACTTTACAGGGTTGATTACATGTGTTTATGACTGTGATGTTGGGTTTTAATGCACATAAAATATTTTAGGACACTATTTGTTTCAGAATCTTTTTTTCTTCATTTTCCTTCTCTAAAAACTGGTGCGTCTTATGGTCCGGTGCGTCTTATGGTCCGAAAAATACGGCACTTTTCTACCGCACATGTATATACTCATAAATGATTTAAAGTTTATTTGCTGTTGCCTGTTTTGAACTTAATTTACATGGAAGCCTCCCACTAACATATCTTTTAACTTGGAATTTTGTTTTTGCTATACATTTTGTTTGAAGTTCATCAAACTGACATATAGTAGTAGTTCATTAAGTGATTATATCGCAATTTATTTATCCATTTTGTTATTGATGGACCTTTGGCCATTTTACAACATTGATATTACAGTTGTTCTCATATACATGTCCTGGTGTACAGTTTCTCAAAGGTGGTTATTGGGAGTGGACAGCAAGACTGGGATAAATGCCTCTTCACCTCATTGGGAAATACAAACCTTTTCCAAAGTGCTTGTGCCTGCCAGTATTTACTCTCCCACCAGCTGAGATGAGAGTGCCTTTTATTCCATATTCTGTCAATACTCCTAAATTTTTGCATCTCTAGTAAATGTGAAATAGTACTTCATTGTAGTTTTAATTTATATTTCTGCAATTACTAATGAAAGTTTTTTTATATTATTAAGAGGCCCTTATATGTTTTCTCACATGAAATTCCTGTTGATGGTTCGCATTGTTTTTTCTTGCCCATTTTAACATTGAGTCATTTGTATTTTTCTAGATTCACAGTAATTCTTTATATATTTTGATATTAAAATCTTAGCTCTTATATGTTTAATATATATTGTCACCCAGTCATAGGGTTATCATTTCACTTTGAGTTGTCTTTTGATCAATAGATATTTTATTGTCAATGAATTTACCAATATTTTCCTCTATCATGTGCATTTTTAAATTGTTTTTTTTAAATCCTCACCCAAGAGTATTTTTTCCATTGATTTTTAGAGAGGAGAAGTGAAGGAGGGAGGTAAGGAAGGAGGAAGAAAGGAAAGGAGGGAGGGAGGGAAGGAGAGTGGGAGAAACATTTAATGAGAGCAAAATATCCATCAGCTGCCTCCTGCATGTTCTGTACTGTGGATCCAGCCTGCAGCCCCCCTTCCACCATCTTCCCCCTCAGCATGTGTCCTGACCTGGAATAGAATTGGTGACCTCTTGGTACATGGGACTATCTGAACCAACTGAACCACACCAGCCGGGCTCTATCTATATTTCTTAAAGAAATTCTTTTCCTCCCAGGATCAGAAAATATTCTATATTTTTTAGCAAATGTTTTAAAGGTTTACTTTTTATATACTTCTTAATCTATATGGAAATGATTATTACTTTTCTTTAATTTGGTGTCTGGAGTAGAATGCATAACCAGTTATCTCACCATCATGTATCGACTAATCTGTTTTTCCCCCAAGTGGTATATAATCCAGTTCTGTCATTTATTAAGTGTTTATGTATGTGGTATCTATTTCAGAGTTCTCTGTTATGTTTCATTGCCCTATTTTACCAATATCACATTGATACCCTGGCTTTTCCTTGTTTAGGAGTTGTGTTGGTTATTTTTGGTTTGTGCTCCTTCATACACATTTTATAATCCATTTGTCAAGCATATATATTTATATACCTATATATGTATGGAAAATAGTCTGTTTAATGCTGTTTGAGTGGAGAGAATTGGTAATGTACAAAACACTATCAGTAGACTTGGTTGGTTGGAAAGGAGCACGTGGGTATATGTTACACAGTACATGTGACAGTGATAAAGCTTGATTTTCATAAGGTGTCTACTACTTCTTTTTAAAAATATATATATTTTATTGATTTTTTTACAGAGAGGAAGGGAGAGGGATAGAGGGCTAGAACCATCGATGAGAAACATCAACCAGCTGCCTCCTGCACACTCCCTACCAGGGATGTGCCCACAACCAATGAACATGCCTTTCAGTCCACAGACCTTCGCACTATCCACTGAGCCAAACTGGTTTCGGCTCTACTAAATTCATTTTTCTTGCACCTATTTTTTTAAAAATATATTTTATTGATATTCCACAGAGAGGAGGAAGGGAGAGAGTTAGAGAGCCAGAAATGTTGATGAGAGAGAAACATCGACCAGCTGCCCCCCGCACACCCCCCACCGGGGATGTGCCTGCAACCAATGCACATGCCCTTGACCGGAATCGAACCCGAGACCCCTCAGTCCGCAGACCAACGCTCTACCACTGAGCCAAACCGGTTTCGGCTGCAGCTATTTGTTATAACTCTTCTGTAATAAGGGTAATCTCTTTCCTTTTTGCCTTCTATGAAAGAACATTGTATTTTTTTCTAGCACCTAACACAATGTTGGGTACCTAGTAGGCTTAATAAATAATTTTTGCTAGCTTAATAATACTTACTGACTGACTCTTTATAGTAACCATACATATATTGAAAAGATAGGAAATATAAGCATATTTAAATATCTTTCCCATATCTTCCAGCAATATAGGTTTTGGGATATGTATATAATTTTCCTTAGGCACCATTTTTGAACAAAGTAAGGAATGAATGGGTGAATGAGCACCTGAACAAACAAGCAATAACGTTTCTTTTTTCTTACAGGTGCACAGACTAGGTTTACATTTGAGCTGCCAAATCACAGGTTGCGTTTTACTTCAAAAGTTTCTGCCACAGATATGTCAACTATTCCTCCTTCTGCCAGTCTTAATCTGCCTCCTGTTACTATGTCTGGGAAATACATCATGGAAGAGCATGATAGTTATTCAGATCAGGTGTGGAGTATAGATGAACTGCCTTCGAAACAAGGGTACTTTTTACAGGGAAATTACCTACGTTGTGTGGCAGAAGTAAGTTTACTTTTTAATTTTCTTACTCTTGGTAATTAGAAGCCTTCAAGTTTTAGGTGTATCAAACAAAATATGTAGAGATCCAAACTTTTAAAACAAATTATTAAACCATTTAATTCGACAGAATTCTGTACTGAATCTGGTATGTGTATGTGTGTGCATGTGCATGTTGTATATGTCCCTCTATAGTCTATAGGTTAACTGAAGCATTTTTTTTATTAGTTATCTTTGAACTCATTATTTCTAACATTGGGTTTCACATCCATTTCTAATATTTTCAGGGTTCATTTTATTATAATGACATTTATTTATGGTTCCAACAATACAACAGTGGCATTAAAAATAAATATTAATATAGAAAAATTTATAATTTTAAAATTATCAAATTACATAATTAAATTATAATTTCCATTCATTTTCAAATTATTTATTGCTATTTGCTACAGTTACTTTTTTTTTTTTTTAATTGAGGGAATGGCCTGTAATAGGCCAGCAAAGTATTGGAGAATCTGAATATTTTTAACCCTTCTTCAAAGTATTGATTTCAAATAGCATGTAGATAATTATCCACAGAGTTTGGGATTACTTATGTGAGCAAAAATAGTATTTAAAACTATGTCAGTCAGTAGTGTCAGCCTAATGCTCTAATTTTGTTTGGCAGGTTGGTTCTTTTGAACATAATCTCACAACTGATCTTCTGAACCACTTGGTATTTGTCCAGAAAGTATTCATGAAGGAAGTTAATGAAGTAATACAAAAAGTGTCTGGTGAGCTGATATGGCACCTTATAGTATAGAGCATGTAGCAGCAGGTTTTGTTCTCATGGGCTGCATGGCCTGTGGGACTGTGATAGGAGCATTGAGCATGTCCTTTGTTTATAATTGTTGAATGACTCCCTAGAAATAAGGTATGTCTTTTCTGGTTTTCCAGCCTACAGGTTCTCTTGCTTATTACTTTCTTGTGAGTAATACATACATTCATGATTTATAAAATTCACAAAGCTCCTCTGTGCTTACTTTAAGAGAGAGAGAGGAACTTTTTGTATGTCTATTGACCAAACCAGTCTTACTTATTTAGGAACAAAATTTAGATCAGTATTAAGATTGCCACCTTATTCTGCACCCAATGGTGACTATATGGTGGCTACATGGTAAATTGTTTATAACAACCCATACATTTTTGCCATTTCTCAAGAGTAGACTACAATTGAGCTTTTTAATCACAGCTTTACATTTTAATAAGAAATACATATTTGATTGAATTTTAATTCACAAGATGAAGTATTAAGAGGAATTAGGGTAGAAAACAAGTTGACTCTGTATAATAGTTCTTGAGGCTGAATTTTTCAGTATGAATATAATCATGTCAAAATAATAGCTAGACCACATCTATAAATTTAATTCATAATGGGGTAAGGAACTGTGGAGTTACTATAACTAATATAATAGTGTTTATCCTTTCAAAGTGCAAGAAATGTACCTAATGATCTCATTTATGGATAATAAAGAACATTATAACTTGATGAACAAAAAGATAGAGATTCAGAGGCAAAGAATCATCGAACAGACCGTCAAATTACAGCGGGAGGGTTGGGGAGGGAGGGAAAGAAATTAACCAAAGGACATGTATGCATGCATATAAGCATACCCACTGGAAGCAAGACACTGGTGGAGGCGGAGGTGAGGGCATGTGCCAGGGCGTAGGGGAAGCCAGAGGAAGGTCAATGGGGGGAAAAATGGAGACATATGTACTACTATTTGTAATACTTTAAACAATATATAACATATTAATTTCAGGAATATAACATAATTTGATATTTATATACTCTGTGAAATGATTACTATAATTAATCTAGTTACCCTCTATCTTCATACAAAATTACTGTTTTCATGTGGTGAGGACTTTTAAGGTTTATTCTCTTGGAAACTTTCAAATAAGCAGTACAATATTATTGACTAAAGTTACCATATTGTACATTACATCCCCAGGACTTACTTATTTTATATCTGGAAGTGTATACCATTTACTCTCCTCACCCATTTTGCTCATCCCCCAACTGTCTTCCTCTCTAGCTACAAACCAATCTTTTTTCTGTATTTGTGAGTTGTTGTGGTTGTTGTTGTTTTTTTAGATTCCACTTCTAAGTGATCTATTTGACTTATCTCACTTAGCATAATATCCTCAACATCCTTCCATGTTGTTGTAAGTGCAAGAGTTCTTTAAAAAAAACAAAAAACAAAATACAAACCAAGGTCTTTTTATGCTTTTTTGAAAGCCCATAAAAGATTAAATTTTTATCTTAAGCAAACAAAAACTGCTCTTTTATCTGTTTGCTTCTTGGCTTGTTTGTGCATTTATGGTCCTTAATAGGAAAAAAACTTCTATCCCATTTGTATGCTCTCTGGGCTGATTATGAACTAAAGATACAAACAAAAAGGTGGATCATTTTAAATAGGATATTGGAAAAATAAGAATGCAGAGAAGTTCATAAAGGGAAGAGAAGTAGATATAGAAGTTATATATTAAAATATTAGAACATTATTCCATGAGTGGACCACATTGCATGGGCAACAAATGGTCTATTAATAGGAACTCAACCTCCAAGGTCTCCTGTCCTCATTTAAAAAACTTTACACAATAATCTTTGCTGTCACACTCTTTATTGTTAATGTGTATCACCTTATTTTTCATTTCTTAACCTTTATTTTTTCTTTTGCACATCAAAATATAAACAACAAAGTTCACATTTTTTATTGAAGAAATTAGTTCAGTTTACTTCTTTTGTAAACATGTATATATGCCATAAAATGTATTTGCCTCAAATACATTTTATGGCATGTATAATCACTTTTGGTTTTATTCAGATAATGTTTTAATTTAGTCCTTATAAATGTCCTCAAGAAGTGTCTGTGGATTATCACTGGCTTATATACAGTAACCTGCTAAAAACATTGGTTTAATGTTCAGTCAAAAGAAAATAACTTTTATGTATTATTGTTTTTTTAATGCACAAAATAGAAAAAAAATTTTTTAAAGAAATTATACCAGTCTCTCAATTATTTAACCTCTTTTAGGTGGGGAGCAGCCGATTCCTCTCTGGAATGAACACGATGGGACAGCAGATGGAGAGAAGCCTAAGATTTTACTGTATTCCCTCAACTTGCAGTTTAAGGTGACATAGCAATAAGAATGTTACTCTTAGAAGGATTTTTCAAATTAATTAATGCCTGCTTTTTATAGAAAATTCATATGAGACATAAATATGCCAGATGGAGAATAAAAATGAAGTATATCCACTAAAGAAAATGCTTTACAATTGTTTGACTATTATCTAGGACCTATTCCTATTTGCATTTTTTCAGTTTGCACATATTTCTGCATTTTAAAGAGCCTTGGTTATCTTTCCATGCAGAACATTTAGATTAACCTGCAAGAAATATTTTGCGCACTTGTCCAATTAACAGTTAATACCTTAATAGAAACCTTAATATTTCTAATATATGACATTAATGTTAATAAAAATAAAATTCTTCTTACCAAATACTTAATTATAATGTATTTATAATTGATCCATGAATAGTCTAGATTTTTAATACAAAATACTGAAATGAAATTTAATAGCCAGAGAGAGTCCCTACTAATGAGAAATTAAAGAATTTTGGCTGTTTTATCAGTTTACTAGACATCCTATATGTGTTTTAAAACATTCCATTTTATTTATTGTATTGAATGTTTTCATTGGAGTATGTGGACATTGTTGACTTAAGAGTACTTTTTCCTTCTAACATTTAATCTGCTAGGGTATTCAAGTCACAGCTACAACTCCATCAATGAGAGCTGTGAGATTTGAAACTGGATTGATTGAACTAGAACTTTCAAACCGACTTCAAACCAAAGCCTTACCAGGAAGTAGCAGCTATCTGAAACTATTTGGTAAATGCCAAGTAGATTTGAATCTGGCATTAGGACAAATTGTCAAACATCAGGTGAGTGCAGAATGTGCTGACATTAGAACTGTAGCCATTACATTTTGCACATCAATTTTGACTACTTGAAATATCACTATATTTATGAAAATATTTTAAGTTGATAAAATTTATGATTGTAAATTCTAAAGAAAATTTATGAAGGTCTTTACAATTTTACCTTGGTATTTCATTGAGTATTTTGGTGGTATATTGTTATAGTTTAGTGCAAATGCAATCACTTGAAACTTAATCCAGTATCTTCACAAATATGTGCTTATAATTTCTCTTTATTTTGTTAAACATTGTTTTTATTTCAATGCTTTGCACTAACATTGGTGAGCTCTTAAAATATTACTAGGTTTTTCCCTAACCAGTTTGGCTCAGTGAATAGAGCCGAAGTCTGCAGACTGAAGGGTCAAGGGGACGTACCTTGGTTTTGGGCACATCCCCAGTATGGGGTGTGCAGGAGGCAGCTGATAAATGTTTCTCTCTCATCAGTGTTTGTAACTCTCTGTCCCTCTCCCTTCCTCTGTGTAAAAAATCAATGAAATATTTTTTTTTAAATGTTATTAAGTTTTTCAGTTGTGCTGTAATATTGGCAAGTTTTGCATACCATAATGTTAAACATATACGTTGTAAAACATATATATGGATACACAGCAGTAAATCAGACTGTATTTTATAAAAATTAATATTCACAACTCATAGAGTTTTTGGTGTCTTGTTTTTATTTTGCTAAAAATTATGTAGATTTTGACCTTTTCCCTTCTGTGATTTGAAGAACTGATTAAATGAATATCAGTCACACTTTCAAAATTGAGTTGCCTATATTAAAGAACATGTGGAAGGAATAAATGAACAAAGATTTCTTGTCATTTTTAGGAGAACAGTTAATTTGTTCACATAAAAACATTTTGAGAGGAGCAAGGATCTCATTATTGTGAAACATTTAAGACATTGTTGTTCAGAATATGGACCTCATCCTCGATTTTGAACGAACTTGATGTTTGACTTTCGATTTAGTTCTTAAATACCCATTCATATTTTATATTGGTTTCAGGTGTTTGTGGTATAGCATAAGATATATATTATTGGTGCATGAAGTTGAGAAAAATATACTATAGTTGTTTTGGTGCATAAAACAATTAATGATGTTAAACTTTTAGTTTCTTTTATTAAAACACTTTCTATTATTTGATTTTATTGAACTTTTAATTTAGGTTTATGAGGAAGCTGGTTCTGATTTTCATCAAGTTGCCTATTTTAAAACCAGAATTGGATTAAGAAATGCCCTCCGAGAAGAAATCAGTGGCTCTTCAGATAGGGAAGCTGTGCTTATTACCTTGAATAGACCAATCGTGTATGCGCAGCCGGTGGCCTTTGACAGAGGTGAGAGTCAGGCAAGACTTACTTGTTGGATTTAGAATTGTTGGGAATGACATCAGATAAAAATCAGATTAAAGTTCACGAATGTAAAATCTAAAATGGGAGCGTATCAACAGTTTCTTGCTTATTCCCTTCAGTTTTTAAAGTCATTTTACTTGTTAAAGTTATTTGCTTTCTGAATGGATTGTAATGCTGAGTTTTTTAGTTCAGGTAACTAATGTACCCATTTGGTTTGGTAATGTCTTTATTTGCTTATACTCTAAACATTGATTGTGTGGCGTTTAGAAGTGGAATCTGAATATGGAAAACAGTATCCTGCCCTCCAGGAACTCACAGCCCTGTGGGAGGAGCCAAGTGGACTCATAGCAGAGTTAGAGATTTATGTTCTAGGGGTCAGGGAGTCTCTGCCTTCACTGTGCTGCTTAGAGAAGACGCCAATTCTTCAGACTCAAATTGGAGTTAAGAGATCACCAGGGAGACAAGGAAACGAAAGCTTGTCTTATTTGCCTTTGTCTCCAGTGGTCTAGATCAGTCCATGGCATATATATAGCAGGAACTAAGTAAATATTTTCCAAATGAGAGAGAACCTGAATGAAGGAATATGAGTACAGAGGTCTAAGAAAATACAGCACCAGCTTTCCTGAAAGAAAATAATGGAAATAAGGATGAGCAGATAGAGTGAACCTAAATAATGCATATTGGGTAAATACGTTGGAACTATGTTTTAAAAGTAACTAAGAACCATTTAGCAAGCTATTTAAGATTTAAATTGGTGGTAGGTGTTGGCTGTTGATAAGATTAGTTTGTTGGAAAACTCCTTTTGGTAATGTCATGGATAACATTTTATTTTTCTAGATCCAGTGCCTGTTTATTTCATTTCTCATCTTACCAGCTTTCAACAACTCCTTAAAGTACTTTCTATTCGTTGTGTTCCTGACTGACATTTGCTTTTCCTTCTCTCTGGCCCTATCTTCTTCATCTCTTTAGGCTCCCTCTACGCACTGCATTCAATAAAGGTTTTCCTTAGAATTCATTCTTGCTACACACTCAAATGTCTTTGACCTCTTCTCTAAAGCACATCTTTTCAATGTATACTCCTAGTATTCTGCATCTCTCCTCCAGGAATTTTTTAACATTAGTAGCAGTAAGTTCTGCAGGGTCAGGGCCTGTGACTACTTTCATTTGTTCTTCCATCCCAGTGTCTGGCTCATAACAGGCATTTCACAAACATTTTGTTGAATGAATGAATGGACCTGGATTGTCTTCTTCCTTCTGCCATTTTTCAATTGTCTGCTTTTTGCTTCTTGGTTAAATGAAATCAAGTTTTCAAGTTGACCATATCATCTTAGATCCTTTTCAATCCTAATGCTACTATTTTCTGGGAGTAATTTTTACTAATTGGTGGAATTTTGCAGCTATTGAGGTTTACTTGCCATATAGCTTTACAGTTTTTTTTAAAGAAATTTTATTTCTTCCCTGCCTAAATCACCAAAAGCTGTGTTGTTTTGGCTGAACTATAAAGCTGCCTATGATAACTGGAATGAACAACGAATGGCTTTACATAAGGACATTCACATGGCTACAAAGGAAGTAGTAGATATGCTCCCCGGAATCCAACAAACCTCTGCCCAGGCCTTCGGGACACTCTTCCTGCAGCTCACTGTGAATGATCTGGGGATTTGCCTGCCTATCACAAGTGCTGTACAGGTACGGAATTCAAGTTTTCATCTAACACTAAGAACCAGGCAACTCTACTCACCATTTCTAGGTGTACAGAGTATCACAATGGATTTCTTAGGAGAGCAGTTTATAACTTGAGTTTAGTAAACAGCAAGTAATATTGAAGTTCTTCAACCATTATTCATTCATCTACAGTGTACTAAAGGCGAATCTCATGAGATTTGAGTACTCTGATGTGCCTCAGCATAGTGATGAGATTGATACTCATCTAATAACTTTTAATTTTGACCTTGACTTATAAGCAACAAGAATTTTTGGGACTAATTCTCAGGAACACACATTTGTATGCACATGTGCATGAGAGAGAAAAGGTTATGAAACCCTGTCAGACGAAGAGGTTGCAATTAAACAAATACAGAAGCCTTTATTTTACTGTTATATTGTAGTTTATCTTAAATAATCTGTAAGCAGTTGTTGAATGAATTTATCTTTTAGTAAACTCTATAAATTGCCTTAGTTGGTTTGGCTCAGTGGATAGAGCATCGGTCTGTGGACTGAAGGGTCCCAGGTACAATTCTGGTCAAGGGCACCTGCCGGGTTGTGGGCTCAATCTCCAGTAAGAGTCATGCAGGAGGCAGCTAATCAACAATTCTCTCTCATCGATGTTTCTATCGCTCTCTACCTCCCTTCCTCTCTGAAATCAATAAAAATATATTAAAAACGAAACAGAAACTCTTGGTTGAGAATTGACACTGTGGGCTATGTTTGTGTCTCAGAAGTTGATTGGTAACTTTTAATCATGTGATGTATGGACTCAGGAGGGCTCCACACCAAGGGCAGTGGTCAGAATGCCAAGAACAAACTTTTCCCACACGAAAATAGAAGCTTGATATGGAAAAGCATATAATTAATCTTTTACAAATTTAGTTTAAAACAAATAGCACATGGAAATGAATTTCACTTTAGTAATCTAATTTCTAAAGTAGGCATCTTTCTAAGCTACTTTCCAGTGAAGCTTTCTGGATTTCCCCCTTTATAGATTTTTGTTTCCAGGAATCTTATGAGCATTTTCAAATTTAAAAGTTATCACCTTTTGTTTTGTTTCCTCTTTAATATATTTTGCAGTCCAATCACAGCGGAGACCTGGACACTGGCTCTGCCTTGGTGCTGACTATTGAAAGCACTCTCATTACTGCTTGCTCTTCCGAGTCTCTGGTTAGTAAAGGGCATTTCAAAAACTTCTGCATCCGTTTTGCTGACGGCTTTGAAACATCGTGGGATGACTGGAAGCCAGAAATCCGTGGGGATCTAGTAATGAATGCCTGTGAGTGTCTTTTATTTTCTGTACTAGAGGCCCAGTGCACAAATTCGTTCATGGGTAGGGTTCGACCGGCTGGCCTGGCCCCAATTGGCAGATCAGGGCTGGGCCTGTCTGGAGGAGGAGACAGTGGGAGGTTGGCCGGCAGGCCCACCCCGACCAGGGCCCTGATCAGGGCTGGACCAGCTGGAGAGAGGCGCTGCGGGCAATTGGCCAGGAGGCCCCTCTCCTAATTGGGGTGGGGGGACCAACTGGGGGAAAGGCCAGCCCTGGGGAGGGGCTCTGTATGGTGGGCTGGCTAGTCCAGCCACTGATTGGCATAAGGGGGGCTGATTGGTGACGGAGCTGTCTGTGTGGAGGGGCTGTTGCTGATAGGGTGATGGGGGACCATCGGGGATGGTGATGGCCTGGGGGAAGGGTTGCAGGAGATTGACTGGCCAGCCCCACCTCCTATTGAGATAGGGGTGTGTGTTCAGAAGCTGGTGATTCTGTTCATATATAGGTGATACTCTTTGGGTGAAAAATTGCAATGCAATATTTTATCAAAAATGTAATTTCGTTGCTCATTTTGGTGTGCTCTTGTGCAGGTGTGGTTCCTGATGGCACCTATGAGGTGTGTTCCCGAACTACAGGACAGGCAGCTGCTGGTAGGTTCACATTTGGAATTACTTTTACTACATGTGTCAGGGAGAATCCTGCCTTTATCTATATGTACTTTCAGCCTTTATGTTAATAGTGAGAGTATCTTTTAACTAAACTTACTCTGGTCAGGGGGACACTTTGGAGAAAGAGGGAGCAGAAAACCCTGGGAAACTAGATAGGAGGTAATTACAGAAGGAATTAGCTGTCTTAACTATGATGATAGCCTGTGTAAATTTTTATTATTTTGCTTGGTACAAATTAGAGTAAGCTAAAGGGAGATATCTGTTGAAGGGCTCTTAACTGTTGAGAGGGAGGGAGCTGTTGAGGTCAGTACATTTCTTTCCCTCCTTACTATTCCTCTTGTTCTCCTCAAACCTAACCTCAGTGCTCATCCTGAGTAATTGTCCTAGAGAGTAGCAAGGCGATGGCCCCACTGACAGAGGTCTGACAGGACAGGGCATTTCCAGAGTAAAGTTAGAAAGAAAGGTGATGACTGAGGATAACATCCATGTGGAGAGAAAGGTCACACTAAAGTAAAGTATTTATTAGGGCTGTTGTTTATAAGTGTCAACAAGCCACTAAAGCTAACTTAACCCAAAGGGGGACCAATAGCAAGATATTGCAGACCACAGTTAAACGTGGGACTGGCTGTCTGGGTGAAGAGAAGGAGCCAGATCAATTGAGGGACGCTGGGAACAAGATCCTTGTCAGCAGGACTCCTGCTCTCATCTTCATCATGCCTTCTCCACATCTTTTCCACGTGTGCTTTGTTTTCTCACTGAGGACCCTTCTGACGTGGTGGGAAGCAAGGCTGCTGGCAGCTCAGAAGCCAGGGCCCTAATCAACAGGGAAGGACCGATCTCACTAATCTGGGGGAGGGTTCTTATTTTTCCAACACTGCCCCTCACCCAGTCTGATCATCTAATTAATACTGGCTAGTGAGGGAGGGCCATGCCAGTTCTTACTGTAGTGTGTGAATCCACAGTCCCCAGGAGCCGTTGCTGCACCAAGGAGACCTGTGCACACTGGACGGTTGGGTACTCGGTGCCATGGGTCCGTGTTCCATAGGCCATCATCCACTTTATTCCTGAAATATTTAAGTAGCTACACTCAAGACTGCCCAGAAATATCACTTCCGTATTCCCACAGAGAGCAGTAGTGCCGGGACCTGGACACTGAATGTGCTGTGGAAAATGTGTGGCATTGATGTGCATATGGACCCGAACATTGGCAAAAGGCTGAACGCTCTGGGCAACACTCTGACCACACTGACTGGGGAGGAGGTCATAGACGACATGGCTGATCTGAACTCCATGAACATCGGTGACCTGTCAGACGAGGATGAAGTGGACACTATGTCTCCCACTGTCCACACTGTATGTACACTCACTGCGGGATGTTTCCCAACTGGCTCTTAGCATGAGATGGGCTATTACTAACTCAGTGTTACTTATTATATTGTGATTTCTAATTGTGCAAGAAGGAAGGGACTGGTGGTTTCTGTGTCTACATTTCATAACATTGTTTTTAATGACATAATAATGTCTTTTAATTGATTCCTTGTTCCATAATAATGTCTATCAACTAACTTGTGCCTTAACCGACAGGTGACATACTAACATTGAAAGTGCAATGGATCTGTAGGGACAGAATGTAAATCAGTGGTTTCTTCAAGCTGGGAGCCTCAGGGGGCTCCTGAGGGGACTGGGAGAGACTGCTAATGGTTACAAGGTTCATATGGGGAATAGTGAAAATAATCTGATAGATTGTGGTGATGAGCATAACTTTGCAAATATACTAACTACCACTGAATTGTACAGTTGAAATGGGTGTATTTTATGCATTGTAGCTAAATAAAGATGTTCAAAAAAATGAAGCTCAGAAGCAAAGTATATACATGCACACAAAATATATACAATTAGAAATATGTATTTCCATCTCTCCTATACATTTTATAGTATCAAATTATTTGATAGTTAACAAGAAAGTCTCTGCTTTCATTCTGGTATTGATTAAAATATTTTTAAACTATCTTTTAACCATTGTATCATGAAATACTTTTGTTCTTAGAAAGACATTTTTTAAAAATTGATGTTACTGTTTATTGTTTAGAGTTCAGATGGAAGTTCAGTAAGTGGAGATGGCCACAAGCTCACCTTTGGGCAGCGACTTGTAAACCACCTGCTAGGCCTGACGCCCCCACACCAGCGCTATTCTGTTCCTGCAGAGTATTTGTGTGAACCAGAGCTGGGGGGCTCCCCACAGTCAGGCCAGGCCCATGTGAAAGTGTACAGAGCTCACTCATGGGGAAATGTAGGTGGTAACTAAATAGATTTCTGTGAAAACAAAGGGATATCAATCACTGGAGAATTCTAATCATCATACTTAATGTAGATGCCTTTGATTTTTGCATGCTTCTTTGATTTGTGTCATAGTGTAGATTTGCTGTGTGACCACAGGGTGGTACTAACATTTGTGCTTTGATTTTTTCAGGAAGCTGTAGAATATCGAAGACAAGGAGCATCTGGTAGCCAGCCAGGAGATCTGAGAGGCAGAAAAATGGTGAAGCGAATAGTGGATATCAGAGAGCTGAATGAACAAGCCAAAGTCATAGACGATCTTAAGTATGTATCATGCTTTTTCACTTAATACAGGCCTCCCTAATGATGGAATCATCAAATTTTAAATGTGGGGAGAAATTGTGTGGACCAGTACAAATCTTAGTTTATAAATGAGATGAGCAAGGCCAGAGCAGTGTGGCAGTTAGCCTGAGATCCTGCATTCATTAGTGATCAAGTTAGGCTTGAAGTCCTTGTCTGGTACTCATCATGGGTCCTCATTTCTGAGCAGTTTATGACTGACTTCATATCACACATACCTATCTCTACATGTACATGTACACTTGAACGTATCTTCACATGACTATATAAATATATGCATTAGCATTTCAGAAATACACATTTTTGAAAGGGGAAACAAATAAAGCATTTGACATGTTATCTCAGTTTAATCTCCACTGCATTTCTTGAGGTTAGATGGTATTATCTAAACTTTCTAGTTGAGAAAGCAGGCTAGGGGGAGATAAGAATTAGAATTTGAATTTATGTGGTCTGAACTCAAAAGTGCATGCTCATTTTGCCTGCCTACACTAGTGTTTCTCTAGGCCTGAAGTGGGTATGGGGTAAGTCAAGAGTAGGAAGTTCATGTAGTAATTTATTTTCTGTAGCTGTGGCCTGCTGGATGGTACTAATACTTCCTCTGTAAGACTTTTCTTCTTGGAAACTTTGAAATATTTTGTTTTCCCAGAGGTGATATTCATGCCTCATTTTTTCTAATCTTTGTACACCCGTAGCTGGGTGGTTGTTTTTTGCATTGAAGGACTTTACAAAAATATATGCATTTTTGTACAGTGAAAGGTATTACCTATGCCATTTAGTTATTATACCGTGATTCACATTTTCCTGTTTGACTCACATTATAGCTTGAGTTTTGTTCTCGGGGGTCGGGGGGAGGGGAAGAGAGGGGAAAAATGACTTGAAACAAATACAAACTTCCTCCCTAAAATCTTACTTGAGGCTTAAATTATAGGTAGAATTTTACATACAGGCATTCTTCTGCAGAGTAGATCTACAACTTTTGTAAGATGGTCAAAGAAACTCTTGATACAGAAATGAGTAAGATCATTGCCTAACACATTGGATGAACTTTGTTATAGTTTGCCTGGTATGAGTGTTAACTTCATGGGGGATTTTCGCGTGTTCATACATAATCTTTGATATGCTGAAAAGTGAAAGAATGAAAAAGGAGCACGTGAAAATCATCCTACTTTGTAACTTCTTTGCATTCATTGCAATATTTATTTTGCATCCAGAAAATTAGGTGCAAGTGAAGGAACCATAAACCAAGAAATTCAACGTTACCAACAATTAGAATCTGTTGCTGTGAATGACATTCGAAGAGATGTTCGTAAAAAGTTACGGAGGTCCAGTATGCGAGTGAGTCAGAATTTACCAAGAATTTTATTAAAGTAGACATTTTCTTTTTAATTTAGGAAACTTTCTGATGAGATTTTTGTTGTTCTCTTTCTTCCTCCATTGCTGGTTTGTACACCCCCAACTACTCAGTAGGAGGCACTGTTTATAGCACTTTATGTTTATCAACCCATTAAATCCTTACAACCACCCGATGAGGAGCTTGTAGCATTTTCTCCATTTTAAAGATGTGGAAACTGAGATAGAGAGAGGTGAAGTAATTGACCAAGGTTATACACCAGCAATCCCAGTGGAGCAAGAATCAAACCCAGCAGTGGGACTCTACAGTCTATCTTTAGTCACCATATTCTGTCTGTCTTTCATGAAGTAAACTTTCTCTTTAATCTCCACTTCAAATGTGAAGTCTTTGAGATGCCCACATCTCATTCCCTACAGCTGACTTTATCATTTGCTTGTATAGTTGCCCTTATTAGGGTTTGAGTTGCTTAAAGAACAAGTTATTTATCTTTGAATTCACTACTTAAATTTTCTGAGATTTAGTTCAATTATTGAATAATTGAAACAAATATATAGGTATACTGTACACATATAATAGGAAATAATTCTAAAATTTATTCAAAAGGTTGCTTTGGGTCAAGTTGGCCTGATTAATGGGAAAAGTTACTTCTTAAAAAAAGGTAAGTGGGTTCTTAACCATTTTTTTTTTTTTTTTAATGAATAGCAGAACCCTCCTTTTTTTTTTCTTCCTTTTTTTTTCTTTTCTTTTTTTTATCAGAATAAGGTTTTGGATGGCACCCCACTACATACAAAGATAAATCAGAGCTGCTAGGGGAAAGGCACAAAGATCTATTGTTTATTGGCTTGAACTTTCTTCCCTTGATCAACCCCAGGGTCCCAGGCAACCTAGTTTGAATACTGTTCTAAATTATTTAAATTAAAGATAAAATCCAATTTGAGTTATATTCATCACTGGTTTCTATGACTAATAAATGGGTTGTGATAATCTATAATGCATAATTCTGTATTCAAAATTTTTGCTGCTATGTACCTAATAATCATACAATATAATTAAAATAATGCTTGCGTAGTATTTATAAGGTAGCTTATACTTGTTAATTGAAAATAAATCTAGGTAAAGAGATTAGGGAAATGAATGAAACGTGTATGAACATTTGTCTCCTTTGGCATTTCCCCTTCACTTCCCTGTGAGTCTTCTTGCTTTGCACATTGCTGTGTAGGAATCCTTTTCATATCTAGCCCCTGTCATTCATTGGGAGAAGAGGGATTTGGAGACCAGGAGATTGTTCAAATCACCACTTCGTTTCCTTTGCCATAGTGCAGAATCGTGTCTCAAGAGCCCTTGGGTGGTACTTGAGATGAATGGTGTTCTTTTCCTCTTTCCTTGTAATCCTCATTTCCTTTGTTTTTTTTTTTTTTTCCTTTTTAATTGTTTCCTTCCTTCTCACTCTGTTTCTGTATCCCTCATTCCCTTTCCCAATCATTTTCTTTTTTCTCTCAGGCCAGTTGGGGCTAATATTTACTAGCTCTCCTAGTAGAATTGAGGACAAAAATAGCTGCCTCATGCTCTGCTTTGACTCATTTACATTGTTAAGTGACATTTAAAGTCACTTGTCATTGACCTGGGGATACAGCTAACTGGTATATACAATAGTAGTTTATAGTCACCCTTTTTTCTCTCCCATTTCATTAGGCTGCTTCCCTGAAGGATAAGTGGGGGCTGGGTTACAAACCGAGTTACAGCCGATCGAAGAGCATTTCGGCTTCTGGAAGACCACCTCTGAAGCGAATGGAAAGGACAAGGTAATGTCTATTCCAACCAACAAACCAAGCAATAACTTCTGACTCCTTTGCCAAGGTCCATTACTTATCTACTGTGTTCTAATTGTGGGAATTACAAAATTATGATAGCAAAACTGGACATAATTAGTCAAATACCAGTAATACCGGATACTGTCAAGCTAAGAAGTTTATTTAAGGAATTTCCCAATCACATTTGCGCCATAACCTCAGTCTGCTTTCCAGGAATGAAGTACATTGATTTTTAGACAAGTATACGTGTAAACTTACAGACTACCCAAAGAAGTGAAAGTGTGCCTATTCGTTGCTGCTGCTCTAAGTTTGTCATTTTTAGAAAATGTTTTGAGTTTATACACATTTAGCATAGAAAGAATTGAAATTTTTACATATTGAAGAAAAATACTGTTTTACTAGTAAATGAGTACTATAAAGTAAAAATTTTAAATTCTTTTCTATATGGTTTACTTTTAGAAAATCTGTATCAACAAAACATAGACTTTTTTTTTTTTTTATGGGATACTAAAGATTAAGAAATGCAATACCAAAAGTTGAATCCTTGGGTAAGGTAAATATTTAGAAATATTTTATTAATCAGACTTTTATAAAATCCAGGTTTTTGTTGTTGTTGTTTTTTTAAACAGAATGTTAATGTCTTATAACTTTTTTATTTCACTCACAGTTCTCGAGTAGGAGAGACTGAGGAGCTTCCGGAAATCCGTGTGGATGCAGCATCTCCTGGGCCCAGAGTAACATTCAATATCCAAGACACAGTGAGTCATTGCTGGTTAGATACACAGTGCTGATAGTTACAAAACTATAGTAGCCATCCAGTTTTAAAATTCTGATTCCTACCTGTGACTGTTGAAGCGACTGTACATTACCAAACAGCTGGGTACTGCCCAGTATAGTGTTTTGCATGTAGAATAAAGATCCAAATTCCTTGCTCTTAGGTCGAAATGTTGAATAGTTTTTTTTCAATGGCAAATCCATACTAAACTAGGTCTTAAACACAAATGTAAGTGGAATGTTTACACTTTATGTATTTTATTATTTAAGTGTATATATAGAGAGAAAGCAGAAACCAGAAATTGAAAAAGTCAGCTTCAAAGTAATATTCTAATTTTATAGCATATTAAAAATGTTTGTTTTGTTTTTTTGTATATTTATTTTTAAATCATTGTTTTATATTTCATGTGAGTTTTTATACATTTCTTATTATTTTAAGTTGAAAAAAACAGTATGGGGAAGCACACCGCAGTCCAGCCCTCCCGGGGAAGGGTATTTTCAGGTACTTCGTAAGAACAACATAAATTCTGCTTTAAATGAATTAACCACCTGAAAATCTGCTTTCAAAATTCCTACCTCTCATTTCATACTAAACTCAGATCTCAGAAATATTTTACATAAAGGTTTAAGATTGTTTAAGTTAATAAGTTCTTGCATAAGTATATTTTAGTTTTATACTTTATAGTTTAACATTAATTATTTAATTTTCAAAATTAAAAGGCTAATTCAACTCAACCAAATTGTAAACCAAAAAATGCAATTTTATTACAGTTATTTGCAAATCCCTAAGTGAGTCTCCTTTTCCCACATTAACTACAAAATGAATATTTTATTTAAAAAATATACTTAACTATTTCTAACTAAAATCAAATTTATTTCAGAAAAACAAATTAATGAATGTTACTTCTTTTGAGTCATTGGTATAAAAAATGTATACAAGTAATCTAGAAAATTATTCTTATGCTCAAAAATGTATGACATAGGCATAATTCATAAGTCAAATTAACATTTTTATTTGCCAGCTATTTTACCTAAATATGTCATAAAAATAAAATTGAATTAAAAAAATGTGCCTACATACCAGTTATATGAACCTTTGTTTAGAAATTTCCGTCAAATTAACTTTAAAAAACTTGCACTTAGCCCACATATTTTGTTTCCCTTTCCTGACCTTTTATACTAGAGTCTCAATATATAACCCATAGTTCCACTCAATTTAGTTAAACTGAATTTTGTTTTAGAACCACTGGATTGTAATACAGTGAGCTTGGTAAACATGTCCTTTTTCTAAAAATGATCTTGGAAATAAATCATTTATAGTGAATTGAATGGAATCTACTAATTAAGTTGATATTTTTTTCCTGCCTAACATTTTAAAATGGATATAATTGACATACGATATATTAGCTGTAGGTATACAGTTTAATGATTTAATATATGTATAAATTGGGAAATGATTGAGTCTTAAACACATTAATATTTGAATTGATTCAAGTCCTATTTTAAAAAGTAGTGTATGCTGTTTATAACAAACTAGAGGCCTGATGCACGAAATTCATGCAAGGGGCTTGGCCCTTGTAGCCTTGGCGGCTTGCCTTGGCCCTCACAGCCCTGGCTTTGTTCAGAAGTACATCTGGAAGGTCGTTTGACTGTCTGGTCTAACTGGCATACTATACTTTTATTATTATAGATAGTATATACAATTATAAATTACAAAATAGGTAATTAGACATGGTTAAATAGAAAATAAATATAAAACAAAGGGAAATTTATCCATATACATTTTTAACTATAGTTTTAAAAATTTTTAAGTATTTTCTGATAAAATCTGAATTTATATATTTACTCAATAACATGTATATTGTAAAAAGTGAACAAAAGCTGAATTCTGCAAATGTTTAGAATTGTGAAATAGGTCATTTGAATTTCACTAGGTATCTAATATAGTAGCAGCAATAAATTGCTTCTCTTGCACATTACACTTGATAGAGGCTTATCAATTCTCAAAGGATAGTCAAGCATCTCTCCAAATTGAGAATCGAAGTAGGTCATAGGAGGTTTTGCTGTTTCTTTGACCTACTTAAATGCAATGGCCACAGAGTGCAGTCTAAAGTTAGTGACAGGGTATCTAGTCATCATAATATATAATAGCAATCTTAAGTTTAACTGATAAATGTGTTCATTTCTGAAGCTATTTGTTTTTTTATCAACCATTTGGGCTTCATTTGTACAGGACGTACTCAGCAAAATTCCCTTCAAGGGATTTAACTACATGAGGATGCATCTCTGCCATCTCTACTGCCCTCTTGCCCTCTGATTATGGCTGATCATTGCTTCCTTGTCTCCACAGCATGTTTAACTTTTGCTTCGTACTAATTAATATGATGATATACGTTTATCTGAGTGAAGTTTCACTCTGGCGTGTAATATGTCAGTGGTGTGACTTTCTGTGGTTTGATCTTCCGCTTCCTTCCTTGCTGCACCATTTCATAAGATCATAAATCTGGCCTTTCTTTCCATTCAGAGTCAGGAAATTTGACTCTTGAGACTATTTTTAAATACTTAAATATATGTCTTTTTCTTTTTAATCAAGAAGAAATTTGAAATGTGAACCTGATTCATGTTTCCTTCTTTTACAATCAGTTTCCAGAGGAGACAGAACTGGACCTTTTGTCAGTCGCCATCGATGGTCCCTCCCATTACTCATCTGCCAGCGAAGTGTCTCATTCCGTGTTCAGTTCTCCTAAAACTCCAGGTGTTACTTTCCAATCTGAAGACAGTCGACGGGATGATAGTTTGTCTTCCACGAGCGAAGATTCCGAGAAGGATGAAAAGGACGAAGAGCATGAGAGGGAAAGGTTTTATATTTACAGGAAACCCTCGTGAGTAGCCTTTTTGTTTTAAGATCCTTGGGTAGCATTTCTGAATTTAGGACTGAGCTTAAAGCATTATATATAACTGTTTACTTTCACAGAAAACATATTAATGTGCCTAATGGAGTTCAGACTAAGGGACATGGCCATGGTTTACTAATGTAATTTAGCTCTATATTGGCATTTTTTCCTTTTCCTATACTTCTGCCTTCTGATAAAATCAGAGAAGATTTGGAAAATTCTATCTCCTCCCAAATGTAGAGTGTGATGTACTCACTTGTATTCTGCCTCCTCCATACCAGTGATCATGCCTGTCCCCTAGGAACCCAGCATACAACCGGGCACATAGTAATAGCTCTCAGAACATAATTGTTTAATAAAATGTGACTCTGATGCACTTAAGAAAAACTTCAGTTAGTATGAGCAAGTTGAGTATTTTGTGTGAATTTATAAACTACCAATATAATTTATATGCAGTCTGTTGTTCACATTGCATTTGAAGAGTAATTTCTTAAAAACTCTTCCTACTTCACTGCAGTGTGATGACCAGTTGTTCTTTTTGCAGACATATGTCTCGTAAAAAAGCCACAGGCTTTGCTGCTGTTCACCAACTGTTAACAGAGCGCTGGCCCACAACTCCTGTCAATCGGAGCCTCAATGGCACAGCTACTGAGAGAAATATCGACTTTGAACTTGACATACGGGTTGAAATTGATAGTGGAAAATGTGTGCTTCACCCAACCACCCTCCTACAAGAACATGATGATATAAGCTTGAGGAGGTAAGAAACGGGTCAGGTGAGGGTACATGCAATTTAATTTGTTAGAAATACTATTTATCCCATATAATAAAAGCCCAGCAACCAAATGGCAGAACGACTGGTTGACCAGTCGCTATGACACACACTGACCACCAGGGGGCAGACGCTCAATGCAGGAGCTGCCTCCTGGTGGTCAGTGCACTCCCACAGTGGAAGCATTGCTCAGCTGACTGGGATGAGCGGCTGCAGGAGGCCCACAGCTGCTTGGCTGACCAAAATGAGTGGCACTCACACAGTGGGCTGAACACTGCATGCTACGCCTCCCACCTGTGCATGAATCCCATGTACCGAGCCTCTAGTATAGTATAAACAAACTCCCCAATCCCAAAGTGCAGATTGAAAGAGATTTAATCATACAATGTTTGAGCGGTTATTTGTATAGTATACTATTTCTTTAGTCAAGTGTATAACATTATTTGGTAACTAGATATGGATGTCTGATTTAGACTCTAGAAAGTTATTTAGTTAAAATAATAATATATTTGAAATTCTCCTTTAAACAAGTTTGAATTTCTTGGTTGGTCTCTGTCCTTGTATTGGGCATGCTTGTACTTTAGAGAGAAGTGAAGTGCTCAGGAAAGTTTGGTTATTGAGAGTTTTGATGAATTCATAAAGATGCAAGAAAGACTGGATTAGTTGCACGAAGGGCCTCTGTGTGCTGGGATGCTGTCCAGGGTATAACTGCAGCTTTACCATTAGTGTCCATCGATGAGTAAAATGGTGCTGTAAATAGGCTTGATGTTAGATTATTTTTTCTTCGAATTTTTGTTTTGCTTTTTTTTCCTAATCTGAGAATTATAAGAAGATAATAAAGATTGTGTGGGTGGGTGGGTGGGAAGGCAGATAGTACCAGAGGGTGGATGCTGACAGTCCTTGAAGCTAGGAGAAGGATGGTGGATTCATTACACCATCTGTTTACTTCTCTTATGTTTGAAATGTTCCATAATAAGAGGTCTTTAAATGGTCTGTTTGTCTAAGGAGGCTTTTATAAAATTACAAGATACAAAGTTAAGTTCTTACAAAGGTAGTAGTGATGATAAAAGGTAACTATTTATTTATTTTGGGTTGAACTACAATAACTTGCTGGTATTCCACTGGTTTTACCTCTGTAAAGGACGATTTCATTTGGTTCAACCTTCTGTGTTCATGTGCCAGTCACAAATTTAGGTGAGAATAAAGGTAATGGTGCTGTGTATTAGGGATCATAGAGCAGAAACATCACTGTGCAAGGCATTAGCTGCTGTAGCTGGAGACACTGAACAGCTTTACTTTCTCAGCTTCATTAATGAGGGATGATATTCCATTTACTGTATAAATAACTGTTTTTAAACAAAAGGAAAGGAGAGAAATGTCATTTTTTTAAAAAAAAAGATAAATATTTTTTGTTTATAGAAGTTATGATAGAAGTTCCAGGAGTTTAGACCAAGATTCTCCTTCAAAAAAGAAGTTTCAAACTAATTATGCTTCTACCACCCATTTAATGACTGGCAAGAAAGTCCCATCATCGCTGCAGACAAAGACGAGTGACTTGGAAACCACAGTCTTTTACATTCCTGGAGTCGATGTAAAGGTACAAACCTCATGTCTAGGATGTGGGAGGAGGTATTAGTACCTGTGGTTATTTTATATCAGACATGCACTGCTTTCATCAGTTATATGAAGCTGAGCTTTTCCAAGGTTTTTCTCTAGCCTATGAATATCTGAAGTGGAGGCTGTCACTTCCTTTAGACAGATTTCCTCACAAAAGTTGGGCAGAAAGAAGTTAATTTTATTTTCCATACATTGATATTCATAACATGTTTGCTAAGCCTTGCCTAGTGCAACTTTATTAAACATTATTTTTTAGATTCTAGAATCACAGAACCCTAGAATGTTAAGCTAGAAATAACTTAAAATATTATCTGGGGTGGACTTTTTAGTTTTGAAAATGTAAGAAAGCTAAAAACATGTCAGGGTCACAGAGCTAACTTATAAACACGGGACCTGGGTCTTCTGACTCCTGGGCCCAAGTTCATTCTACATATTTTCCTGCATTTCTTGGTTTTTCTCATCTGCCAAATTTTAACTTTTTTTTTTCTTCAATACAGTTGCATTACAACTCCAAGACGCTAAAGACTGAATCACCTAATGCCTCCAGAGGGTCTTCCCTGCCAAGAACACTCTCTAAAGAGTCCAAGCTGTATGGTATGAAAGATAGTGCCGCCTCTCCTCCTCCTTTACCTTGCACTATCCAGAGCAAGACTAACACCTTACTTCCTCCCCAGCCCCCACCTATTCCCTCAGGTATTGAAGGAAAATTCACTCGACTTTTACTTTTTTTCATAGCTTAATGTTTAGTTATCACCTACTTGCTCTATTGAGACTTTCAAATTCACATGTTTAAGAAAAGAGGAAATAGACTTAATAATGATTGTACAAAATTCATAGATGGAATTGTAAGCCAACTACTTTGGGCTGTTTTTCAAATGGTTATTACCTTAAAATATCCATTGTTAAAATAAACTTAATATACTAAATACTTGATTTTTTTAGATCTGTGCATATTTAGAAAAAGTTGTATGTAGGTCCAGTTTGGGAGCTGATGATCTGGATGGAAACATCAGACTTACACAAGATTAAGTATACTGGGCTTGACCACATTTTTATCTATTATTGCATAACACATTACTCAAACTTGGTGGCTTCTAGTCTCAAACATGGTTTCTGTGGATCACAGATTCAGTTTGGCCTGGTGGATCTTTACAATGATCTTTGAATGCTTGGCTGGGTCTTGGGGCATCTGCTTCCATAATGTCCCACTGCACATGGTAGGCACACTGCGCCTTAGTCCTCCACCATGGGTCTCCCTGCTAGGCTCCTGGTGTGTTCTCCTGGCAGGGCAGCTGGTGTCCTTTGAAAGCAGCAATCCCAAAGAGAACATGGCTGAAGCACCTCCATCTTTTATGACTTAGCCTCAGAAGTCATGTATCCTTCCTTCCACAATGTCTATTGATCCTGCAGCTCACCTCTGCTCAGTGAGGGAGGGAACCACACAGGGGCATGAGTACCAGGGGGCCAGGACTATTGGAAGCTATTCTGGAATCTGGGTATCACACCACGTGAATACCACCTTTCCTGAATAGAATTTCCAAAATGGGGAATGTCAGGCTGGATAGTAATTACTTGAAACAGTTTCATTTGGGAGATGGAACTTGATAATATAAATCTTCTACAGTAGCTAGTAATCATGATAATAATGCAGTCATTTTCTACCATTTTCAGTTGACAAGGCACACCTATGTCCACTATGTGCAGGAGAGAGATGATTATTCCCATTTGATAAATAAGGAAAGTTAAAGCTTATAGAAGTTGAATTTCTTTCCTAGGTTTACAAAACTATATATGTTGGAGTTGGAAACCAAAGCCAGAGTTAGCGAAGTCTGAGATAGCTGTTACACTCATTCTAATGATGTGGAAATATTTAGTTAGGTAGAAGGAAAGATATGGCAGCCCATGTAGGGAAGCATTTTAAATACATGCAAGCTGAGGACAGCAAGAACATAGGGAAGCCTGAAAATAATGACCTTTTCTTCACTTGCCACAAATATTTTCCTTCAGAGTTCTCTGTATCTTCTTTAATGGATAAAATAATGTTAATGAGAAATTCAGCAAAGTATAAACTTCAAACCAAAATTTATAAGCTAGAGCAAGTAGGAATAACTTGTGTTACCTACATCATTAGTCATCTTTGTATTTCAGCATTAATATATCATTCCTATCAATCTACTCTCTTTATTACATTCTTGTACAGTTTTATGTATAAAGTGCTTCACCTGATTAAATAGTCATATAGTTCTAATGTCTCACAAAATTATCATATTGTTTTACTAAATTCACCTCACATTTGTCAATATTCTAGCCAAAGGAAAAGGAAGTGGAGGAATCAAAACAGCCAAGTTATATGCCTGGGTAGCACTTCAGTCACTGCCAGAGGAAATGGTGATCAGTCCCTGCCTGTTAGACTTTCTAGAAAAGGCTCTGGAAACCATCCCAATCACACCAATTGAGAGGAATTATACAAGTGAGTATCCTCCTTAGGGATGTACTTTTCCAACATATATGCTTTGGTGTCCTAGTACTTAGATTTCATAATGACATTATATATTATTATGTAATATATTCAGTGATAATATAAAAGAATTATAGAATTGAGAAAGAGTCTGAGAGACCCTCTAGTCCTTATTTACAAGTAAAGAGACTAAATCCTGGTTGTACCATAGCCAGTTCATGACAAAAATCATATTCTTGTGCCCTAAGGTCTCTCTTAGCTTGGAAAATCCTTGGGGCAAAGAAATAATTGCTATTTCTTTGGGGTGTTTTGTGTAGCAGCAGGGGTGTGGGTGGGGTTTCAGGTTTTAGGGGGATGAGCGAAGGTTTGATTGGGGAAAGAAGTGTGGTATGATGGGCCCCAGAAGCAAATGTTGCTGTGTGTTCATAACCCTGAGCTTAGTACTGTCCTTGTCCTAATGATGAAACTTAAAATTCACTATTTTAACAGCTGTCAGCTCCCAAGATGAAGACATGGGGCATTTTGAGATTCCAGACCCTATGGAAGAGTCAACAACATCGTTAGTGTCATCCTCCACATCTGCTTACTCTTCCTTCCCAGTGGACGTCGTGGTCTACGTCCGCGTGCAGGTGGGATGCTTCACTTATTCTTGTTGCAGAGAAAAATGCATTTCTCTTACCTTTATTTCCATTTCCCAACATTATTTCACTTTCAAGTTTTCTTCTCCTTGGGCTCCCAGAACTTTGTATGTATTTTGGCTGACAGTTGCTGGAACCTTGGGGAAGTGCATGTACAATTTTGTGTATGTTTACTTTTCTGCTGAGGAAGGTTTTTTCAAAATGTAGATCTCATACTTTTATGGCAAAAATAAAAAAATGTAAAACCTTTCTTTTTTTTTTAGCATTGCCTTTTTATTAGTATGGCATCTGTGCTACTTGCTATTATGGTCCTTTGGGGGCAGATATAAAGGTAATTAAGGTATAAAGTCACAGTAATGCCTTGGTTAGATTTCTGCTAAGAGTTATGTAATTTTTATTTAACATTTTATTTTAAAATCCAGTCCTGTCAATAGGCCTTTCGGAGTGTATGTTAGAATCTGATTGAGTCCATTTAGTAAGAGGATTTAAAAACTACTTGTACCTAAACTTGAGGGTTTAGTTTACCCTCAATTAAAATCTAATGATCAATCTCAAGAATAAATGAACTGCTAGTGGTCATCTGTTCAGACCATTTTCTATAGCAACAATTTGGCCAAAAGAGTCCCCTCTGGTGTTTTGCACTAGCTGTTTTCAAAATCTGATGAAAACGTGTAATGGGGTGAGGGGTTGAGAGCTTATGAAACTTTTATTTAGTAAGTCTTTAAATTTCAGTATAAAGGAAATTACTTCCTGTACTTAATTATGAAAAAGTATAATGTGAATATAAACATCTTTAATGGTCTGAATTATCAAATATCTAAATATTTATCACTCATATATAGCTCCTCAAATACTTAGATTAAAAAAATGATACCATTTTGTTAATGTCTCATGTCTGCTTACAAAAGCTAGTACATTAACAACAAAATTCTTTTCTGTGTCAGTAAATTTGATATATGTGGATCAAAATGGAAATGTAATTTTTAGAATCCAATGTGAAATTGTTTCATCTGGAACCTTTTTTATTTTATTTTTGGCTTTCTGCACTTTAGCCCTCACAGATCAAGTTCAGCTGTTTACCAGTATCAAGAGTAGAATGCATGCTGAAGTTGCCATCCCTGGACCTGGTGTTCTCTTCAAACCGGGGAGAACTGGAGACTTTAGGGACCACGGGTCCTGCTGAGACTTTGTCCCCTGGAGGTAATGCTACTCAAAGTGGAGCAAAGGCCTCTGCAGGCAAGACGGGAACCCCAGGTAAGGGAACCTTTTATCCTCCAGTGCAGAGCCAAGTACTATTTTTTTTTTTAATTTATTGTTGAAGATAAATATCCCCTTTGTTTGTCTTTTTTCCCCATTGACCCCTTATACCCACACCTGACGCTCCTAGACATTCACCACTCCTGTCTGTGTTCATGGACTGTGTATATATGCATATTAGTTTCCCGGTTAATTTGCTCTGTTTGCACTCTTTCCTACTGGAATGATTGGACTTGTGAACAGTGTATCCAGTTCCCCCCTTAGCTTACACCCCTGATATTTTGTGGCTCTTCCTTGGCCTGTTTCAGTGGCACAAAGGAGAGCAGAAACAGGAGGCTGTGGAGTTGGCCAGTCAAACTATAAAGGAATGTTTCAGAGTATTCAACCTGGTTTACCAAGTAAAGTAATGCAGAGTATATCTAAGACCTCATTTTGTTTTCAAGGATTAAATCTATTTATGAGGGCATGTTTGAGTATTTCTTTTTTATTTTCAAGTCCTGTTTGGTTGGCAATTGAGACTATTAGTGGCAGGATTTTTAAATTTTCTGTGGCTGATAAAGATTTTGGATGTCTGTATTGATGGCAGGTTCATCAGGACTGGGCAGCCCTCTTGGCAGAAGTCGGCACAGCAGCAGTCAGTCAGATCTGACCACTACTAGCAGTAGTTCCTCCGGGCTGAGCTTCACTGCCTGCATGTCTGACTTCTCCCTCTACGTGTTTCACCCTTACGGAGCTGGAAAACAGAAGAGTGCTGTTTCTGGCCTCACTTCTGGTTCAGGAGGCTTAGGTACACTTAGCATGTTTGCATCTTTCTCAACTTTAGAGCACTTTTTAAACTTTGATCTTTTCCTAAGTCATGATACCTTTAACAGTGGATATAAAACAAAATCATAAACTTATTAATTTTTCCTTTTGATACTATCTTGTCTCTACAAATAAGTAGAAATATGCAGTAATTTAGGTAAGTGAATTATACAAGAATTGTAAAAATCAGAATATTTTATAAGATATACATAGCACAATAATATCTTTGGATATAGGTTTATTTGGATAAGAACTTCTATTCTACAAATAGTAAATTTTTTAAAGTGTGTACATCATGTTTGTTAATTAAAAACGATTGTTATTTTTATTATTACTATTAGAGAACTTGCATTTCACTGGCATTTTACCACTAAAAATGCTCATTAGATAATTCTGCTTAAATTTTTACCTCACTTTAAATTATTTTAATTGACGTGTTTAATTCCAGTGTTTTGGATAATTTCATGGAATTAGATAGTTGTGTGTATATGTATATGTACACATACATGTGTGTGTATTTGTACTCATGTAGGTGTCTGTGGATTTTTTTTAAAAGGGAATGTGGATGAAGACCCCACTTCAGTCACTGGTCGAAAAGACTCACTGAGTATAAACCTTGAGTTTGTAAAAGTGAGTTTGTCTCGGATAAGGCGTTCAGGAGGTGCCTCGTTTTTTGAAATTCAGTCTGTAAACAAGTCTGCAAGCAAAATGGACACCACACTAATAAATATATCTGGTATTCAATTTTATAGTTTTTAAATTTAAATGTTTGCTTTCCAGAATTAAATAAGTGGCTCCTTTTTAAGTGTTTAAATATTACATTTATTTAATAATATGAGGCTTTTAATGGTAAAGGAGAGGAATGACAGTCCAGCCTAGTGTATACTTTCAGTCCAAGTAATCAGAGTTAGAAATGTTATTTCTAGATAAATATATAGAAATATCACCCAAGGGCTCAAATGTGCCTCATTGAGTCACCTAAAAGTGCTCTTCTCTTTACTTCTCTACCATAAATTGGTAAAATTTCTAGTGTTTCATTTGATTTTTCTAATTGTAAGTTATTAAAACACTAAAGGGGAATGAGTTAAAAATGTTCCACATGCATTTAGTTTTAAATATTCAAAAGTGATTTTGTCCTGGCTGGTATGGCTCAGTTGGTTGAGCATTATCCCATGCACCAAGAGATCTCTGGTTTGATTTCTAGTCCGGGCACATGTGCTGGTTGCAGTAGGGGTGTGCAGAAGGCAGACCGATAAATGTTTCTCTCTCTCTCCCTTCCTCTCTCTTAAAAAAAAAAAAAAAAAAAAAATCAATAAAAACTTTTTTAAAAAAAAGTGATCCTCCCATAGTTACAAAGCTAGTTTTGAAGCTAGCAGTGCACATGCACATGCCTCATATGCCAGTAGCATCGATTCTCTGGGCAGTGAAGCCATTAGAAGTTTTTAAGAAATGGGATGATAACTTTGTCCCCAAAGATAACAGACTATATTGTCCACTTAGAAATCTATTTAGTTTGGCTCAGTGGTTAGAGATTCATAGGTTTGCAAGTTCAATTCTGGTCAAGGGCACATACTTTGGTTGAAGGCTTGATCCCCGGCCCAGGTCAGGAAGTACAAGAGGCAACCAGTCGATGTGTCTCTATCACATTGATGTTTCTCTCTCTGTGTCTTTCACCATCACTTTCACACTCTATAAAAATCTATGGAAAAATTGAGGATAGATCTCAAGTGTTCTGACCATAAAAAAAAAAAAAAAGACAAAATTTTATATGGATTATAAAATAAACATATCTGTGTGTGTGTGCATGCATGTGTGTGCGTATGTGCGTGTGCGTGTGTGTGTGTGTGTGTGTGTGTGTGTAGTGGGTATTTTAGAAATAATTCATGGCAGCATGACAAATGGGAGGGAAGATGTGTGGGGAGGCAGGGGCTGGATTGTGACAATGAAGAAGAGAGGGGATGGTGTGTAGAGAAAGAGGAGAGACTCTACAAACTTGGGGACAGAGTGTGTGCAGAGCAGCAGAGACAGGATGCCTCATACTTTCAGCCTACGTGACAGAAGGGACAGGGTGGTAGAAAATAAAGAAGGAAGTACCTCCAGGGCATTAATGGAAGGATGGGGTAGGCAGCTGCTGATAGGCGTGGCCGTGAGCTCAGAGGGAAACTGAAGGCAGGTCTGGGAGACCCAGGTGTGAAGAGCCTTCTGAGGCCCTAGAGGAGGAATAAGGAGGGCAGAGCAGGAGCTGTGTGGCCAGCCCAGGGCCTTCACTCTGACCAGCGCTGCTCTGGCAGTGGTCACCAACCTTTCAGACCTCGTGGGCCACCAGTTGGTGACCGTTGCTCCAAAGGTTTCCTCATGGACCACCAGTGGTCCACAGACCACAGGTTGGTGACCACTGGTCTAGAGGGAAGCAGCAGTTCCCCCACACCACCACTCGGTTTGCAGCCACTTTGAGGAAGTATGTATCCCAGTTTATTCCATGATTCATTCGCCACAATTTAGAAAAGCCCTGTGTTAAAGCTGTCTGTAAGACTGACCTTTAGAACCCTCTGAGAATGTAGTAGTTTAATTCCAATTTGCCTTTACCTCAACAAAGGAATGGAACTAAAGTGTTAGAATCTGCTACTTTTCTCTTTTATAGAAGGAACATACTATCCCTTATTAATCATGCTGTGCAACTTATTTAGATATTTCATGAATTGCAGCTATTGTAATTTAGTTGTGTAATACCATATTATACCAAGTGGACAATATTGAAGGTTTCAGAAATCTGTACTAACACATTTTTTTTATTTCTGTTTCAGCTGTTTGTGACATAGGTTCTGCTTCCTTTAAATATGATATGCGCCGGCTCAGTGAAATTCTGGCATTTCCAAGAGCCTGGTACAGGAGAAGTATTGCAAGACGTCTCTTCCTTGGAGACCAAACTATAAATTTGCCAAGTAAGCTCATTATGTAATTAGAGTTACACTTATTTTGCTTTTAATTTTGGTTACAATAGTAGTAAGATCCATGATTTACAACATAAACTTTGTCTTAACTTGGTAAGTAGTGGCATGCAGTTCATTCCCTCCTGCAAGCATCTGCTGATCCCCTCCAGTTTGTTAATCATGGGAATGCATGAGCAGGTCACAGAGACTTGCCCTTTCAGAAACTACATTCTGCTGACATTAACATTTATTTTTTAATCTTATAAAATCTGGAAATGCAGAAATATCGGTCTAGTAATAATTAATGTTGTTTTTAAACATTCGTTTAAAATCTTGCTTGGCGTTGACTTGTATTGACATAACCTTCAAACACGTGGTATCTACAGAACGTGTGAAGTGCAATTAACAAGTTTTGCTTGAAAAAGTTTGTATTTGGTTTGGTTTTTGTTGCAAAACTAGGGCTAAGAAGATGGCGGATGAAGAGCATATTTGGCACTGCATGCTTTACGAGTTCCAATTAGGAAGAAAAGCAAGTGAGGCTGCAAAAAACATCTGTAGTGCTCTTGGTCAAGATGCAGTTAGCGCCAGAAAATGCCAGCGTTGGTTTGAGAAATTTCGCGAGGGAAATTTTTCGTTAGATGACAAGAGTGGTCGAGGCCGTGAGTGGTTGAGGCTGTGTGTCCAATTTTGATCAAGAAGCTCTTCAAGCTCTTTTGGTGCAAAATCCTCAAATTACCCAACAAGAGCTTGGGACAACTTTAAATTGTTCACAAAAAACAATTTCCAATCAATTGTGTGCACTTGGCAAAGTCCAAAAGTTTGGAAAATGGGTTCCTCATGAGTTGACAGACAACAACCGTAATCAAAGAGTCAATTTGCAGTTCGCTCCTCTCTCATCAAAACCGTTTGCCGTTTTTAGAGCAAATTGTTACCGGAGATGAAGAATGGGTGCTGTATGTTAATTTGAAAAGGCAGCCTCAATAGTTGGACAAAAATGAGGCTCCGCAGCCCACGCCAAAACCTGACTTGCATGCGAAAAAAGTGATGTTGTGTGTTTGATGGAATTTTAAAGGAATTCTTCATTATGAACTTTTACCATCTAACCAAACCATTACAGGTGCAGTGTATAGTGCCCAATTGGAAAGGTTAGCCCACACTTTAAGAGAAAAAGAACCCGCGCTGATTAATCGGAAGGGCGTAATTCTTCACCACGATAACGCACGACCGCATACTGCAAGAATCACTGCTGAAAAACTGCGCCACTTGGAATGGGAAGTTCTCCCTCAACCTGCATATTCTCCTGATATTGCCCCTTCCGATTACCATTTGTTTCGTTCTTTGCAAAACTTTCTTCTTGGAGAAAAATTTAATAATGAAGAATGCCTCAAAAATGCATTGACCGAATTTTTTGCATCAAAATCAGAAGAATTTTACAACAGAGGGATTAAAATGCTTCCTGAGCATTGGGCACAAGTAGTAGAAAACAACGGCAACTATATTGTTGATTAAATTTTGTTGTATTGTTTAAATAAATTCGATTTTTAAAAAAGTATTAGAAAACGACACTAATTATTACTAGACCTAATATATGTAACCATTAAAATCGTGCTTAGATAACATGGAAAATAGAAAGTGTTGGGGACATGCTACCATATTGCCTGTATTTTTTCTCCTGGACTTAGATATTGCATAAGGGAAAGGTAGAGTTAGCAAGATAGAATACAAAACCTGGTCTCATCTCTGTTCCCTCATCTATAAAATGGGAGCATAATACTTCTTCAGCCATTCTCATAGTGTTTCTGTGAGAAATAAACAAACAAGCTGGAATGTGCTTTGCAAACTGTAAACTTCTGCACACTTGTCAGAGAAGTAAAAGTATGCAATATGCTTAGAAGTGGCAGAGTGTTAAAATTTATGATTTTATAGCATGCCAATTTTATCCTGTTAATTGTTTTTGTTTCCACTTTCCTGTTAGCATCTGGCCCAGGAACACCTGATTCCATTGAAGGGGTGAGCCAACATCTTTCCCCGGAATCATCAAGAAAAGCTTATTGCAGGACCTGGGAGCAGCCTAGTCAGTCGGCCTCCTTCACCCACATGCCTCAGTCACCCAATGTGTTCACTGAGCACGTGACTAACAGCACCATGTCACCAGGGACAGTGGCACAGAGCCTGAAGTCCCCAGCTTCCGTAAGATCCAGGAGTGTATCGGATTCTTCAGTTCCCCGAAGAGGTAACACTGCTCTCTTTGTTATCAGTGGCCCTCCAATGGCTCCAGGATAAAAATCTTAGTTACTCCAAGATTTCTGTCTCACCTGCAGGGAAATAGACTCTTGCAGGTTTTTATGGAAGATGGAGGGGAGGGGATCCAAACCAAATAGCATACATTTCAAAGTATCTCCCAGCAGAAGAGATAGCTGGGTGGCTCAGAGCTTTAAAAAGGGGTAGGGAGAGAGGAGAGAGCACATTGTTAGTAAGCTCTAGATGATACAATTATTTTTTTAAATTGTTTTCAATTACAGTTTATACTCACTTTGTATTGGTTTCAGATGTACAAGATAGTGGTTAGACAATCACATTACTTTACGAAGTGTTCTTGGCTATATTTCTTATGCTGTACATTATAACCCCATGACTATTCGTAACTACCAATCTGTAGTTCTCAATGGTAGAGTTATTTTTAAAAGTAAACCAAACCTACAATATTGTAAAAGATGTTTGATATTAAAAATGTTAATCTTTGTATTCATTCGTTCTTTTATTCACCCATGTTTTTGAACTCTTATGTGCTCAGCATTCTACTTTTGTCTGAACATATAAAAATGAGTGATTTAATTTATATCACAAGGTAAGATTAGAGTATAATGAGCAAATGCAGGACTCAAGACGTATGTGAGTCTGTAGGACACAGAAGACAGGCATGCAGCAGCCTCTGCATCTCAGAACAGTCCCTGCCTTCAGGTCCTCTGTTGGCCCATAGCAACTTGGGATTTCCTCCTCTGCTGAAAACCCAGGGTGATGAAAGATCTGTTCTGCGGTATCCCGTACATATTGGAATTTCCTCCTGTAACAAGGAGCTCAGAGAGAACTCTCTAAGCTAGTGTTTCCCAAACTTTTAACATATGTGTACTCCTTCTATAATTTTTGTAACGCTGAGTACCCCTCCTACTCATGAGAATGTAGAATTAGGCGCAGCTAAGCACGGTGCAGTGCATATCCCCACCAAACTCCGGTGCAACGCGTACCCCCACCAAACTCTTCCCCTACGCGTTGCACTTACTTGGGGGTACGTGTACCACACTTTGGGAAACACTGCGAGCTTTCAGAAAGTGCAACTGCCAGCACCTGCTAAAGTCAGTAAATGGTAACTCTTTTAGAGGTAGTGTGATAGCTATTTAACATTTGGTTATAATACAAGAATATCATTTCAGCTTTTGGATTATAGTGATAAAACTGGTTTTTGCTTTGTAATCACTGAGCATCTGTGTGAACAAATATGCATATGATTTTTCTATTTTTAGATTCACTTTCAAAAACATCAACTCCCTTTAACAAATCAAACAAAGCAGCAAGTCAGCAAGGGACTCCATGGGAAACACTTGTCGTGTTTGCTATCAACTTGAAGCAATTAAACGTCCAAATGAACATGAGTAATGTAATGGGAAATACAACGTAAGCTCTTCAGATACAAAGAAAATATACTTAATCATTACTTGTAATTTTTCATATAGTGTATTAAAGTAATTCAAAACCTTTTTCTAATGCTGAAATGTTTGAGATGGTGAAAACAGTAGATAAAAGATACTAAATTGCTTTATACTGAAATGGCTTTAATCTAATGCTAAAGATACTATACTATAAAGCAATATGAAATATATGTTCTTAAAAAAGAGAAAATTACAAGTAAAACAGCATAATTTTCTAGTTAAGCAAAATGCCTTATAAATGTTAATATTTAAACATTTACTGGTTTTTATAATAAACTTAAAAAAACTTTTTTGAAATCTAACTTGTTTTAATTTATGACACTGGAAGCCAGATGTCTACTTAATAACCTTTTTCTTATTTTAGTTGGACAACGAGTGGTTTGAAGAGCCAGGGCCGCCTGTCAGTAGGAAGTAACCGTGACCGAGAGATCAGCATGTCTGTCGGGCTGGGAAGATCCCAGTTAGATTCTAAGGGAGGGGTTGTTGGAGGGACAATCGATGTCAATGCACTGGAGATGGTTGGTATGTTGAATTTTACAACTGAAAAATATATTGAAAAAAAGTTTAAAAACTTTTGATGAGTTTTTCCCATTTGACATTTCTGTGAAAAATTATTTCAGCTCATATTTCTGAACATCCGAATCAGCAGCCCAGTCACAAAATTCAGATCACGATGGGCTCCACTGAGGCCCGTGTGGACTACATGGGCTCCAGCATCCTCATGGGCATCTTCAGCAATGCTGACCTCAAGCTGCAGGACGAGTGGAAGGTGAATCTGTGCAGTGCCTTGGATTCAAGCATAAGTGATAAAAGGTATTTAGGAAATAGGACCTTACAAACTTTGCATGACTGCTCTGAACATATTTTCTGTCATCTATTGAGAAAGCACAAGCTTTTATATTATTCAGTCAATGTGAATGAAAAAGCTTGGTGGGGGAAGGGACTTTTTCTTGTACTTTTAAACCATGTACTTTTTAAATCATCTTATATAAGCTATATGATAAAGACTTTGTTTTATATTCTAGTGAAATTTTTGTCCATGGAGATTTGAAGTGGGATATTTTCCAAGTAATGATATCAAGATCAACCACACCAGACCTGATAAAAATAGGAATGAAGCTCCAGGAATTTTTCACACAGCAGTTTGATACCAGCAAACGAGCTCTGTCTACCTGGGGACCAGTTCCTTATCTTCCACCTAAGACAGTGACAAATATCCTGGAGAAAAGTTCACAAGAGCAGTGTAAGAATTAGAACTAAGGCTTTGTATGAGCTGATCTTTCAGTGAATGTGTTGCAATTTTCATTTAAAGTCACATAGTATTTATATGTCATGCTTACAGTGACCCATATGCTCTTCTCTAGTTCACTCAGCAACGATTCCCACCCACATGGGCATTGAAGCCATCATTTGAGAAGTCACCATTTCTTATACCCTCCCCTTGCCACAGTTCATCTAAATCATCCATATACCACATTTCTGAATACAAATTATGACAATACCATGTTCTGCTTAAGAGCACATTCTGTGGAATCAGAATGTCTGAGTTTGAATTTATTAGTTGTATCCCACTAGGCAGGTTATTATTTTCACTCATTAGGGCAATCAACAAATATTTATTAAATATGCTCTTGTGCTAAAGTACCTGCCATAGATCTAGGGAGCAAAGTTCCTAGCCTCATGAAGTTTACATTCTAATGGGAGAGACATCCCATATTAAGTTAATAACTAAAACACAAGATAGTTTCAGGTAGAGAGAGGTGCTGAGAAGAGGAATGAAGCATGGGAAGGAAACAGAGAATGAGTGTGTGAGGATGGCTATTTTAGAAGGGGGCTCCTGGAAGCCTTTTCTCAAGTGAAGATCTTGGCTGAGGGCTGGGAAAGAGCATTCCAGGCACAGGTGCCTATGGACAGTGCAGAGGTTCCACAGCAGGAGGGAGCATGCTTTGAGGGTCACAAAGGTGGTCACAGATAAGAGTTTTAATATGATGAGTAGCTATTGGAGAGTCTCAAACAGATTTGATATTATTTTACTTTATCTTAAAGTATTCTTTTGTAAAGCATCACTATGGCTGCTGTGTGGAGAATAGACTGCAGGTGGTTAAGGATGAAAGTGAAGAGAGCAAATGTAGTAATTACTATCATTATATACATACTGACATTACTATAGTAAGGAGGCACGGTGGGAGTCCAGGTTACAGGTGATGGTGGCTTTAACTAGGTGATAGGAGTAAAGTGGCAAAAAGTTGTTAGAGTTAGGATAATTTTTAATAATTTTTTATTATCACAGAAGCAATACTTGTACATTGAAAAAACTAGAAAATACAAGCAAAAAATAAAAGCATCCCATTCCATCAAAAAATCATTCCTGTGAACACTTGAGAGCATGCACCTTCAGATATTTTTCTGTGCACCTATATATGTATATGTTCTTTTTACCAAAATATTGTTCATATTGTTTTATAACCTTTTCCATACAACAAGCTCTCACTTTCCATTTTGCTAGTTTAGCTCCTCTAGCCTGTGACACATTCCACAACTGACCTAAAATTATCCTAAAATTTGTCCAAACCAGTATATCACATTCAAGATCACATTCAGAAATGGTTATGTTCCTTTACTCTCTTTTAATTCAGTATGGTCCTTTTTTAATGACCTGACTTGTTTGAGAGGCTTGGCCAGTTATCCTACACAATGTCCTGCCTTCTAGTTTTCAGTTGCTTCCTTGTGGTTCCATTTATCTCCTTCCTCTAGTCCTTGTATTTCCTTTAAACTAGAATTGGTGTCAGGCATATACATATGGAGGAGGGTTTTCCTAAAATGCCTTGCCTGGATTCTTGAAAAAGTCCTTGTCATGGAAAACAAATAAATTGGCTCATAGAATTGTTTTAAAGGAAACTAAAGAGTCATGCTGATGACCATAAATACAATGCGTGACCCCTGGTTGGATCTGGACTTGGAGCTGTGGAAAACAGCAAAAAAGGGACATCACTAGAATAAGTGGGAAATATTAAGGTGTGCTACTCAAACACTTGAAGTACCTGGAGGTCTTCCTCAGATGCAGATTCTGATACATAGGTGTGGGGTAGACATAAGAGCCTGAATTTTGAACAAGTTCTGGGTGATCCTGATGGTCCTCATACCTCACTTTTGAGTCGCAAGAGTAAAAAAAGAAAATATACTAAAAATCAGGAGATCTGTTTGATTTCTAGGTCTTCTAGTCGCTGGTTTACTTAACCCCCTCCTTTGCTTCACTTGAACAGAGTACAGATAAAATACTTAGTTTACAGAGTTACTGTGAGAATTGTATGTTATGCAAGCATTTGTAAATCATTACAGCAATATTTGTTGCAATTATTAACAAGTTACTGCTTTCCTTAGTTGCATCCATCCTTACGCAGCATCTTTCCCGAGACTATATGCTTACTAGCTTCTGCTTAATGTTAACCAGGGTTGGGTTGTTGTTTTCATCCCTTACCTGAGTCACTGCAGCTGCAGAAAGGAGTCCGGCTACCCCCCAGCACTCTGCCATTGCCATTGAAGATGTGCCCACAGCTGGCACGCAGGATAAGCCTGTTTGGTTTTCTTGCAGTGCTGGATGCTGCCCACCATCGACACTGGCCTGGAGTACTGAAGGTTGTTTCGGGATGCCACATATCCTTATTCCAGATCCCATTACCAGAAGATGGAATGCAGTTTGGAGGATCAATGAGCTTACATGGAAATCACATGACATTAGCTTGTTTCCATGGTCCAAATTTCCGTTCGAAATCGTGGGCCCTTTTTCACCTAGAAGAACCAAATATTGCTTTTTGGACTGAAGCTCAGAAGATCTGGGAGGATGGTAAACTGACACATTTCAAGCTTTTACTCTTTTCATCTTTGATGTGATAATACATAGCAGAGTAACTTTTCTTTCTTACATCTTTTATCTTTTCTCTTATAACATTTCTGAAGTCCATTCTATTATCATGTACGTGACATGTCAAGGAGTTCACTGCCAATGAGTCAGTTTCTGTAACGTCTAGGATGTAAAAGACTTATTTCTGAACTTGCTATTTAATCTTTTTCTTGCTTAAGCAACTGAAGTTTCTGTTACTGGCTGTAATCATAATAGTAGTTATTGTAAAAATTTTTATATAAACATGAGGAGATACAGTGGCAGTACAGGAAAATGATTTGCCTTCAAGACTACGATAGGCAAGCCTCTGCTTTTACCTCTATTTACAGTGGTAGATCGAGTTCCTTTCAGCTTTAGTTTTTTAGTGGTTTCAAAAAAATGGTTGATGCTTTTTCTTTTTTTATTGTTTATAGTATTACATAGGTCTCCTTTACCCCAGATTGACACTCCCCTCTCCACTCTCACCCGAGAGCAAGCCCCACTGCCCCAGTGTCCATATCTATTGATTATGCTAATATGCATGCATACAAGTCCTTTGGTTGATCTCTAACCCCCCCTTCCCTGCCCTTGTCTCTAGATCTATTGTTTTGTTAAACAGTTTATGTTGATCATTATGTCCCACATATGAGTGGGTTGATGGTTTTCATGTTACTGGGGATAAATCCAGTAATAGCTAAAAGAAAGAAAAAGTATTTGTGATTTTTTTCTCCCTCATTTTTTATCTGTTGCTCTAAGCACAACTCTTTTCTTGCATCTAAATATAATTTGTTTATATTATACTTAATATAAATTTTTTCCCTCTAGGCTCTAGTGATCATTCTACATATGTTGTACAAACATTGGATTTTCATCTGGGCCATAATACCATGGTTACCAAACCATGTGGCGCTTTGGAAAGTCCTATGGCAACAATAACCAAGATAACAAGGCGTCGCCATGAAAACCCACCCCATGGAGTAGCAAGTGTGAAAGAATGGTTCCATTATGTTACAGCCACAAGAAATGAAGGTTAAAAGTTTGATTATTTTTGGAGATATATATATATATATATATATATTTTTTTTTTTTCCTCCTAATTTGGATTCTGTTGACTGTATAGAATTTAAGTGGGGGAAACTTTTCATTTCTTCAATTAAACAAGTTTCAGCTTGCAAACCACCACAGGCTCCTCATGCAGGCCACCCCACATCCCAAAAGAACCCCCACCCTGATCCGGGACATCGTTCAGGGCAAACCAGCTGGCCCCCACCCATGCACCAAGCCTCTATCCTATTTAATCCTATCTAATAAAAGAATAATATGCAAATTGACCAACACACAAGGTGACTGCCCCATGTGGTCAAAGATGACTACCCCCATGTGGACACAAGATGGCCACCACAAGATGGCCAGTAGAGCAGTAGAGGAGGGCAGTTGGGAGGGACCAGGCCTGCAAGGGAAAGCAGTTGGGGGCAATCAAGCCTGCAGGGAAGGACAGTTAGGGGTGACCAGGCCTGCAGGGGAGGGCAGTTAGGGGCAAACAGCCTGTCGGGGGAACAGTTAGGCATCAATCAGGCTGGCAAGGGAGTGGTTAGGGGGTGATTGGCTAGCAGGCAGAAGCAGTTAGGGGCAATCAGGAAGGCAGGCAGGGGAGCAATAGGGAGCCAGCAGTCCTGCATTATGAGAGGGATATCCAACTGCCCATTTAGGTCCAACCCTTCTGGGATAGGGCCTAAATGGGAAGTCGGACATCCCTTGAGGGGTCCCAGATTGGAGCGGGTGCAGGCTGAGCTGAGGGACACCCCCGCTTACCATGCACAAATTTCATGCACCAGGCCTCTAGTATAAATATAAATTACTATTTAGAAATTAAATCATCTCTATATTTACTTACTATGTAAATATGTCTATACCCGTCTACGTATATAGAGATACATATTATTAAGATCACAATTTTATATGGTTCTATTTTTTCAAATGTGAGTTTATTTTGCAACTTTTGAAATGATAAAAATTCCTGTATCATAGTGCAATGAAAGCTATAGGCTTTATCTATGTCAATTGGTTTAATTTGACTCTTATTGTCTTTATTATTATGCATGTAGAACTAAACCTACTTCGTAATGTTGATGCTAATAACACCGAGAATAGCACTACTGTGAAGAATTCCAGTTTGTTGAGTGGATTCAGAGGAGGTTCTAGCTACAATCATGAAACAGAGACCATCTTTGCATTACCAAGGATGCAGCTTGACTTTAAGTCTATTCATGTTCAAGAACCACAGGAACCTTCGTTACAGGGTATGTGGAAGAACAATCTTCAGTTTCTGAAGTTACTAAGAAAATTCTAAAGGAACTTTGAATTGTTTTTGTTATTTGTGTGTAATATTAATATAATTTGATTATATAATTATATACATAAAAGGCTAATACGCTAAGTGTCTATCTGAACAGTAGCTATGACACACACAGGGGCAGATGCTTAACACAGGAGCTGTTGAGCTTCAGTGACTTGGCAGCTGTGCTTCTCAGGTGACGCACCCTGGAACCAGAGAGGAGGGAACCCGATTCCTCCCAGGGCCATATGATCTCACTTTAGGCCATGCGTTATGTTGTTGCTAGGGCACTGTCAGCTCCAAATCTGGTATACTGCACACTTGTGTTTGCATTCCACACCCTGTATGATAGCAACTTTGCAGAGTGCTCTCTTTCACTCGGAGACCTCTCAGGAGATGTTGGAGAGCCAGTTTCAGCCCAATCCCCTTAGGCCAGACTGAGGGACCACACCTGCCAGAGGGACCCCGCTCATTCCACAGATGCCATTCAAGCCATGGCGCCATCCCAGATGTGGGCTGGCTGGAGAGAGGGACCATGGCGGCGAGCTCCAGGGCATGTCCGGCCCATCTTGCCCAATCCCGCCATTGGCCACCTTCTAATTAATTTCCTTTCAATGTGCACGAATCCATACACTATGTCACTAGTGTTATATAAAATAACATAAATTGATTTCCTGAGTTAAATTGATGGATGTTGTTGCCATGTAACCTGTGGCAAATAATTTAATCCATTTGTACCTCTTTCTCCTCAGTAAATTGGAGGATAATAACTGGTTCAGAGGGTTTTTATGAGGAATAAATGGCATATAAAATATAAACCATCACCATTGTGTGAGTCATATAGAAAAATACTCATTTCTTTCTTGTTGCATTTCAGTCGATGCATTTACACAGACTCATGTAAATCCCTTAACAGAAAGAGAAAGGGATTTATTTAATTAAATCTTTACCATAAAAGAACTTTGCCCTTGCAGATGCCAGCCTGAAGCCGAAGGTAGAATGTAGTGTGGTGACAGAGTTCACTGACCACATTTGTGTGACCATGGATGCTGAGCTCATCATGTTTCTCCATGATTTAGTGTCAGCTTATCTTAAAGAGAAAGAAAAAGGTGAGTAGTGCATATTCTTGTTTTGGGGATTATGTTTTTTTCTTTCAAGCTTCAGGAAAGGCAGCTGTCTGCCATTTACATGGATTTTTAATGATCTAATGATAAATTAGTACAATGTGTCTCCTTCCTCTATGAATTACAAATATTAATAAATAAATGAGAGGAATATAAATAATGTATTAGTAAGACTATGTGACAGATTGAGTATCTGCTAGGCACACAACACTCTAACCATGCCTCACACTGAATATATTTTGTACTTCACAAAGTATTTCCAATTTGGAAATTTTCAGACTTTGTAGATTCTCACAAAGTAGTAAAAGAAAAAACGTCTTTGAAGAAATACAACTAGTCAAGTGAAATGACTAAAGAAACAACTACATATTAAAGGAGCATGTTGCCTTATTATTTATGATCACTAATTTAGAAAGACTTCATTCTTCATAAAGCATTTGCATGTTTACTAAATGGAGTGAAAAGGCTGCTTACATTAAAAGCTTCTAAGTTAGTGCCACTGTTCAAATATATGTATCACCATTAACATACTAAAACCATTGAGTTGTACACATTAACTGAGTGGGTTTTATTGTGAATTATATCTCAATAAAACTTAAAATAATGTCATCCACTTACAGCTGTTCTTTAGGAAACCTACAAGTCCAGTGCCCTAGGCCTGCTAATCACATAAATGTTAGCATTCTTTACCATTAGTTTTAGGCCCACAAATATATATAAAACATATGCTATTACTGAAAAATAAATGACATTATTTCTAATTGTAAGGTAATGCAATAACTTTGATATTGGCTTTCTCCAAGCAATATCAATTATTGGCACTTATTTAAGGCTTATTTAAAATGTTACTTTAAAAAATATTCAAATTGATTTCAGAGAGGAAGGAAGAGGGAGATAGAAACATAAATATTGATTGGCTGCCTCCTGAACGCCCCCTACTGGGGATCAAGCCTACATACAACCTGGGCATGTGCCCTTGACCATAATCGAACCTGGGGCCCTTCAGTCCACAGGCTGATGTTCTATCCATTGAGCCAAACCAGATAGGGCTAAAATATTACTTTTTAAGAAATGGGATTAAATGAGGCTTTAGCCAGTTCATAAATAAAATGGAGCAAATTATTCTGTTCATATAGTGATTTGAAATAAACTTATAAAGTATATATTTGCAATATTAACCTATTATTTTCATTATAGCCATTTTTCCACCTCGGATTTTATCTACTCGACCAGGACAGAAAAGCCCAGTCATTATACATGATGACAACTCCTCTGACAAAGACAGAGAAGACGGCATCAGTTACACCACTGTGGACTGGAGAGATTTTATGTGCAACACATGGCATCTAGAGCCCACTCTTAGGTAAATAGTGGGTACATATATATATATTTACCTGTATTCTATGGGATTATTAGGAGAAAAGGTTATAGATTGTGTATTAGGTTATTAAATATTTTATATTGAAAAATATATGTAGAAGTTAGCCAGTTGTAACCTCGACAATACCTGCCTACTGTTTTTGCTGATCCTTTCTGCTATTGTAAGTGTTCTAGGCATAGACCCTGGGAATAGCTCAGTGCTGGTTAGCTGTCCACTGTGTGACATTCTGTTAATCACTAAAATGTGAGAATAACTCTGCTTGCATAGTGGCTATTATTTTTTTACTATCTCACCAAGATGTTATTTTCAGGTGACTGAGGTAGGTAGTAAACTTGTTACATAGTTTGAGAAGTTGTAGTAGAATCTGTATCATTAAGAAACCATACAATTCTTACATATGTCATAACAATGTAATAGAGTGGACCATGTCACAGTGTTCTTTTGTCTACATAGGAAGCAATATAAAACCATTCCTGCAATGTCAAATGTAATGCTATCAGGTTCCGATTCCTTTACTGAGTCATGTTCTACAATCATGATCGCAGTGACATCAACTTGTTTTTATATCGTAATTTTAAAAGTATTTTCTAGTTTTAATTATTTTTATAATTGCTGCTATAATGAGTAGTACTTGCTTTGTATGTCCTTATTTGTGATTGACACTCACAACCCTATTATTGTATTTTTCCCTTTTCTCTCATATGCTTTATAAATCAAATTATCACCGATTCATGGAATAATGGTATCAAAAAAAGTCCATCATGCTCAACACTGCAGAATGACACAGATTTCATTCAGATAAGCTTATTATTCAGACATACTTATACCAAAATAATTCCAAACTAACAAAATCTTCATTATACAGTGGACTTCTGTATAAGCAGGAAGTGTTAGTAATTTGTATTCAGTGAAATTTGTTGTAACCAAACTGAGAAAACACTTTAGTATTAATAGCACATAAATGCATGAGAAATAGTAACAGTGTCAATATTCAAACAATATTAAAATATTGCAAAAGTCCTAATGTAGAAAATCTGATTTTTTATTTGTAATTCTAAATAAATATAATTGAGTACATAAGTCATCACCTAATGTTGATAAGTTGGTTCTATGACTTTAAGGGAAACAACGTTAATGAAACCAATTTTACCATAGGCTACTTGATATAAACAAGAGTTAAGTTCCTACAAGTTATAACAAAATGGTGTTATTCAAAGACCCGTTATATCTTTTTACTTAAAAAGAGAATAAAATAGTTAAATTTTTCAAATATATTCCTTACTTTAGCAAACTACCATGAGACTAAATATGGTGTTGTAGTGGATAGCATAGTTAAGATCAGTGGCTCTAAGCCCTGCTTTCTGGCTAAGTGACAATGCCCAAAGGATTTAATAACTGCTGTCTCAGTTACCTCATAAAAAAAAAATTAGAAAGTGGTATTACCTATCTTGTAGGTTACAATTCTTAGATAAGCTACTTAACACAAAATGCTTAAAACTGTTGAAGAGTTTTAGCAGATCAATGTTTAGTTCCTCCCTTTTCCCCTAAAATAGTGGGAGAGAGGCAGCTGGAAATAAAAATGCTAGTTCTAATACTGGTAATGCTGGTGACAGAGAATGTGCTTTGGAGATCAGACACCAGTGGCTTTCTACTAGAGTCCAGGTTTGGACTCACCTGCAGGGTCTCAGTGCTGCACATCTTGCATGGGGTGGTGCTGAAGTTGTGCCGCACTGTGTACTCACCTAGCCATAGGCAGCTATGAACTGTCTTGGGCTCAATTATTTAAGGATCTGTCTTTGAAAAATCCTATGGCATAAAGGAACAGAGCAAAATGAATGGTTTCTAAAAGAAGGTACGGAGGAGGGCACTAAACTACACTATTCAATTCCTCCATTAATTTGCCAATCAGATAACTCGTCAATAAGGGGCCAGGAGTGTTTCCTTGATGGCTATTCCTCTATATGGAAAGAAATACCAAGAATAGGAAGAAAATGGTGGTTCTTCTAACATGTTTAGCAGACAGCAAATATTCTATATTTCCCTCCTTTCCCCCAATATACCACATACTTGAACTCTTTTTTCCAGCTTTATTGAGGTGTAATTGACAAAACAGAAAGATATTTTAAGTGTAGGACACCGTGACTTGATATAAATATACATTTGAAAAGATTTCCCCCACCAAGTTAATTAACATCTTTTAGAATGAACCAAATATCCTTTATTTATTTATTTTACAGTTTACATTTAATTTTATTTTTTATTAGTTTTAGGTGTACAGCATAGTAGTTAGACAATAATATACTTTACAAAGTGATCCCCCTGAAATTGCAAGTACCTCCTGGCACCACAATAGTTATTACAATATTATTGAATATATTCCCTGTGCTGTACTTTACATCCCCATGATTATTTTGTAATTACTAATTTGTACTTATTTTTATTTATTTATGTTTTATTAAATTATTATCTGTGTACATCTTACCATTGGGGCCCCCCCCACCATACATGCCCTCCCTCCCCAGAGTTTTGTGTCCATTGGTTGTACTTATATGCATGTATACAAGTCCTTCAGTAAACCAAATATCCTTTAAATGTTTAAAATGACTGTGTAACTTTGGGCTTAAAATAATAAGAATGAAATTCACTAAACTCCATTATTGTGTATATGCTTATCAAGGATACTTATAATCACACTTTTTAAAATGCTATTATAAGTGAATCCAGGAATTGTAGATTATTCAAACGTTCCTACTGAAGATACTTTGAACACATTATGGAGGCTTAGTGATGTGCTTAAACTTACCTTCAGGTCTGTGCTTGGACACTGTACTCCTAATTATTTTTTACAATTATTTTAGGTTAATTTCTTGGACTGGAAGAAAGATTGATCCAGTAGGCGTTGATTATATTCTTCAAAAATTGGGCTTTCATCATGCCAGGACTACTATTCCTAAATGGCTTCAAAGAGGAGTCATGGACCCACTGGACAAGGTTCTGTCAGTTCTTATTAAAAAACTTGGTACTGCACTACAGGATGAGAAGGAAAAGAAAGGAAAAGATAAAGAAGAACACTAAAAAGTAACTTGATCTGTGAACAAATTATTACACTGGAGTGCTTTTTTGTATATTAAAATTATTTTAAATATGACTTTAAATAATTCTAATTTCGTGGCCATTATGTTGAAGGTTTGAAAGTTAACCTGTTTGTTCTAGTTCCACCATTCTGTATACAGTGAAATATATTGCATGATAATGTAAATTTTGTGAAAAACTAGATTAAAATATATATCTACTCAGTAGGATTTATAATTGTTATGTGCAATATGATTCCTGCATCTTAAATATTTTCAGAATAACTGTGAATTTCCTGTTATTGGCCATACTTTTTGAAAAAAAAATCTTGTTCATAATGTGATTATTTTGGTCATTAATTGCTTTTTCTTTTTAAAAATGTAGACTTGTATAAATACCTATTTGTATATAATTTGAGTAATTGTGATATGATTAAATACCACTAAAGTATTGTTTGTAACTATTGTAATAAAGTCACAATAATTGGTTTCAGTCTGTAGTTGTTTTCAGTCTTTTCTTTGTTTGATAGCTTATTTTTATAATTAATAGATGTCCACCCTGTGTTATTAAATGTTTTCAAAGAAGATAATACTTACAAAAATGAAATCTGTATAAATATTAGCCAAAAAAGGGTGCAGCCAGAGAGAGGATATCAGATACTTCAGAGATGTTAGGTGTAGTTTTGTTTAATTAAACGAGTGGTCAACACATAGCTGTTTGTTTTTATTGTAATATATTCTTTATGTACATGTTTGTTTATATTCTTTTGTGCATACGAAGGTAGGTATAGAGTACCTACATCAGCATAATAAAAATATTTAAAAGAATAGCAAAATCTATATAAATAAAAGGCTAATATGCTAAATGTCTGTCTGGTAATGATGTCACATAGCAACACCCAGCTTCTTCTCCCTAGCAACTAGCTTCCTTGAAGTTTTTTCAGCCCAGGAACACAACTTACTTTATAGCCAGGTGGACACATTTTAAACTTAACCAAATGTCTGTGAAGCGTTTTCCTGTGCCTTATCTCATTTGATCCTCACAGAAGTCTTGGAGTAGGTGGATAGGAGAATTGGCAGAATCTTGTTTTCTTTTCATTCATCAGAAAATGGGAGATTTAGAAAGGTTAGAAACTTGACCCAATTGTAAAGAAGAAATGGTGGACCTTGTAAATGACTTCAGGTTTTCTCACTGCACAGAATATAGTCAAACACTGCTACAGTTAAATATTTTACCATTTGTTCTCCCTGTGTGATCTACAACAATAATCTCTGTGTTGATAATTACTACTGTGTTGCTGACAATTACTTGAAAGAGAAGTTGGGGTGCTTCACTAGGCTGGAAAAAGCTTAGCTAAATCATAAAGCAGGTATAATTAATTAAGTTTATTCTATATATATATGTAAAGGCTAAATTGATTTACATGTGTGATACATAAAAGCTCTCACTGGCGCCAATCGCACATGAGTTTCGATTTGTCATTGTCAATCATGAATTTGGTTGACACTTCTATTATAGAGAAAAGGCAAATAGCAATATTAAAATATTCCTTCTAATTTCCTTTCAATGTGTATGAATTTGTGCACTGGGCCACTAGTCTAAAATAATATTCAAAAGTAGTTAAATACTCTTAATCACAACTCAGGTTTGAAATCAGTCAAATCAGTACAGGCCATTTAAAAGTTGGGTAAACAATAGATTTCAAGAACCTAGAATTGGAAAACACCTCAAGAAAGCCTCTGGTTCAGAATCTTGAACTCAAGTAGATAAGACACTAGTCTCAGATTGAAAGGCAATAACAACAACAAAAACAACCTTTCAGAAGAGCCAAGGTACTTAGCCTTCCAAGGTCATGGGTTGATGGGGCAGATGGACAGACAGACAGACAAGACAGACACAGTGTTATGGGAATTGAAAATTGTACTTTGTTGTCACACAACAAATTAGTAATACAATTAAAACTAAAATCCTGCCGAAGCCGGTTTGGCTCAGTGGTAGAGCGTCGGTCTGCGGACTGAAAGGTCCCAGGTTCGATTCCGGTCAAGGGCATGTGCCTTGTTGCGGGCACATCCCCGGTACGGGGTGTGCAAGAGGCAGATGGTTGATGTTTCTCTCTCGTCGACGTTTCTAACTCTATCTCTCTCCCTTTCTCTCTGTTAAAAATCAATAAAATAGATTTAAAAAAATAAAAAAATAAAAATAAAATCCTAGTGGCTAGAGTCATAATACTGAATTCTTTCTGCTTCATCATTTTCTTACCTATTATCTGCCTGATCTCTCCGTATTCCCCTCAATCACCTCTACAGTTGGGGGCTATGGGAACATTATATCTATTAGCCACACTTTCCAGAGAAGCAAATTCTATGCCTACTTTGGATCTAGTGTCTAAGATAATACTGCCAGAAAGTTGTTTCATAAAACAAAGTAAATAAAAATTAAATTATTTCTTACTTGAATCCTTTAGTTATTAATTCTCTGCTTCAAAGAAACAGTTATGCCAGTAAGTTCTAAATGCTAAAAAATTTTCCCATGGCTTTAAATAATATTCACATAAGTTACTTAAAAAAATGGCTTAAGTATGAACTTACAGTATTCCTGGCACTTAGTGATAATGCTGTAAAAAGAAAAGGGCAATTTATAATAAATTTGTAACCAAACTTTCTGTGGCTCTGTTGGGCAAGGCTATGAGAAAAACATTTGTACACTGCTGGTGGGAAAGTAATAGGAACATTATGGAAATTTCAGGAGAAGTGAAAGAGGGACAGAAAATATATTTAAAGAAATAATGGGTAATAATTTTCCACACTGGGTAGAGAAAGGACTTTGAGATCCATGATGTCCAAAGGACCCAGATCCACAACAGCTAAATGAGAATAGAGGTACATAGAGACAAATTATTATTAAATTCTCAAAAGTCAAACACAAAATAATTTTAAGAGAAGCAACAGAAAAAAGGTATATGTATAGGAACCCCTTAGAACTATAGGCAGATTTCTCAGAAAATGTTCAGGTCAGAAGAGAACTAGATGGCATAATCAAAATATTGAAAAAGATAATTGTCAAACAAGAATTCTATACCTGGCAAATTAGTCCCTCGGAAGTGATGGAGGTATAAAGACTTTCTCAAACAAAACTTGAAAGAATTCAGTACCAGCAGACCTGCCTGGAATGCTAAAGGAAATTCTTTACTTAGAAGAAAAAAATTAAAAGAAAAGCTAACTTCACAAAAACATAGAAAGATATTGTAAATCTCACCAGTAATGACAAATATAAAGTGATAGTTAGATTCTGCAATATGGTAATAGTTTGCACAATTCACTTACAACTCTAGTTTAAAAGTTAAAGTAATAAAAATAACTACAAAAATGTTATTAGTCACACAATTTAAAAAACATGTAAATTGCAGCAGCAAGGGATAGATCAGGCAGAATCAATAAGAAAACAGCAGATCTGAACAACACTACAGACTATCAGATAATATGCAGAGCATTCTAGCCAACAGCAGCAGAATACACATTCTTCTCAAGCACGCAATTACCTGCGCCTTTGTAGGTGGATATTACTTCTTCCTGTGATGAGGTATAATGCCATCAACGCTGGTTTCCTTTTTTATGAAAGTGATTTAACTCCTTAGAATCCAGTCCATATTAAAAAAAAAAAAAAAAATAGAGGGCACTAAAACTTTGTTATAACGATGTCACTCAATTCCTTCTGGGTTAGTGCCAAAACTTTAGTAATTCCCTATTAAAAATTTGTTCAATCTATCAGTGAACACCTCCAGGAGAGCCATCTTCAAACTTTTAGGAGAGCAAATAACTGAAAACGCCCACAGATGGGCGCCATTAGTTCTCAACACCTCCCACCTGCGTTCAAGAACATTCCGTGCAATCTCAGATAGTTTATTCTGTCAACAAGCCTTTTCCAGGGGCCTTGTTAGCTCTACGAATGGGGATAAAGGAAAGGGCTTCCTTGAAGCCGCCGTGGATAAGGAGGCCGGACCGGAGTCACTGTGGACAGGGAGACCCTCCCTGTACAGGCTCCGCGAGGACGGGGGGCATCGGGGCGCATAGCGAGTGACCAGGCTCCCTGGCGCCGCCTCAGCCTCACGCTCTGGGCGCCAGGCCAGCACCCGGGCCGCCGGCTCACGTGACTGACGTCCAGCGACTTCTCACGCTCAACACAGGCGCATGCGCAGAGGCAGGGGCGCGGCAGAGGTGCGTAGACGGTTGGCGATAGGACGGGCCTTCATCCGGGCCTCGGGGCCACGCACCTGGAGGCGGCTTTTGAGAACCGCAGCGCTGGCCGCGGGCCCTCACGCACAGCGTCCTGAGGGAGAGGTTGAGGCCAGGTGGAGAAGCAATGGCGTCGGCAGGGGAGCCTAAGGGCCTGCGGCCCGGCCTCAGCTGCCCGCCGCCCCCGGGGTTGGGCCGGCAGGGCCGGAAGGACGACTTCGGTGGGTGGGATGTGGGCCCGACCGCGGGAGGGAGGCCAACACTGGGCACTGCGGGTCCCCTGGGGCTCGGTTTCCCTCAGCTTCTTTCCCCTGGTCCCCGACGGCTTCGGGCTTTCTTTCCTAGTGGGCCTGGTGCGGGGGCGGGATTAGCAGGCACCAGCCCTGTGAGGCCGGCTGGAGATGCGGCCGTGAGTATATCATTTTCTGCCAACTTTGCCTTCATTCGTAGGTGAGAAAATGTCCTCCAACAATGGCTGGTTCCAGAAGAGCTCCCAGGTCCCTAGCTTTGCTCAGATGCTGAAAAAGAACCTGCCGGCTCAGCCGCCCGCCCAGATGGTCACCACACCCGCAGCGCAGTCCTCGGAAAGTGACAGCCTGTTCCGAATGGCATCCAAGGTCACACCAGTGACGGGTACGACGCCTTTTTCACTTGCATTACTGCCTACGTTTTTTTTTTTTTGTTTGTTTGTTTTGTTTTTAAAGACTGAGCTGGCCAGTGAGTTCCTTTGAGCCCCCTGTTCAATGTTTCCTGGATTTATGGCGCCACCTGGAACTTGGATTCGACTCCCAGCATTGTAGGAAGCTTGCAGAAATCCTTCTCCTGGCTGCTAATTATTTCTTAGCCCTTGTCGGTGCAACCACATCAAGAGTGTCTTGCTCTATGGAGGTGAAGCTGTTAGCCCTTCAGAGAAGGGACCGGATCAAAACTGGTTTGTGTTCCACAGATCCCTTAGCATTGCTAGTGTTAAGTATACAGCAGGGACAAACACCCTTTACAAATGTGACCAGATCCAAGGTGAAAGATAATATAAAATGGTCAATGGGAAACCAAAAAACGAGGTTCTAATCCCAGATCTGTGTTTTACTCCATTTGTAGGCCTTAGTGACATCACATGTAAAAATGGCTTAGTCTCTGAAGACCTTGACATAACTAAAGTTTTGTGATTCTTTAATAGCACTTAATGACACTGACAATGATAGCCCTTCTTTGCAACATAGCGTTGGTATTCCAAAAGATTTATACATTATACAAAATGACAGGTTGCATTTGGCATTTGTGCCAAAATTGTTTAGGAGAAACGTGTGTAATGAAAACCACACATGACTAAGTGTGTGAGGGACAGTGTCTTAGTTTTTTTTTTTAATGCATCAAATTGACAAGCACAAACATTTATTTTTAGGTAATTTTCCAGAACCATTGCTTTCCAAAGGTCTTTCATCTATTTCAAATCCAGTCCTTCCTCCAAAAAAAATACCTAAGGAGTTTATAATGAAATACAAACGTGGAGAGATCAACCCTGTGTCAGCCTTGCACCAGTTTGCACAAATGCAGCGGGTTCAGCTTGACCTCAAGGAAACAGTAACAACAGGCAAGTGAAAGCCATGTCTGGTTATTACAGGATGGGAAAATATTTTCCTAGTGAAAGCAGAGCATATAAGTGGCACTAAATTTCTATATTCACATAATGTTGGGGTTAGATAACTACTATTTTTGCTTGGTATACTTTAGAAAATGTTATATTAATATTCAGCCTTTTGGAATCTGCAGGTAACTCACATACAAAATATTTATAATCATGGGATTTTAATTTTTTGTGTATGGCTGGTTAAACTGAAATCTCATCATCCCTTGTGCATTTTACACAGGTGTAAATCCTTATAGAATAAGCATGCTTTTTAGGGATGTTAAGTATTTGGACTATGATTATCTTATAAGCAAGATTCAGTGATGTTGATGCCTAACAAAAATTATGGCCAATCTTGGCTTCTGAAAGTCAAAGATCACAGGTCAAAATAACAATTGGTACTCATCAGCAGTCTTGTCTGAGACTATTTTCTTGGTTCTCTCTAAACGGCCCCATAACCGGAAGACTCTTACCACATTGTGTATGTGGAAGGCTCCAGGAATACAGATCAGTAAAATGCAGAAAGCATCTTCTGACTTCATCACCTATGATCAAAGACTAGGAAGAATTTTAGGAATGTGGAGGATAAGAGAATAAGTACTCTTAAGAGGCATTGACAATTTTTAAACATGTCTGTGCAATTAGGGTCTTAATGTAAAAGGGAGTTTTCCTAAGTCTTGTCACTAGGTTGGATTACTTCATGTACTCAATACCTCTGTGCTTAATTTCTGTGTAACTGGTTTGCTTTTCTCCATTCCCAGACTGCCCTTGAAAAATGTAAACTATTGGTCACAATAAGAAAAAATTGGGGCAAATCTTCAGTGATCTGAGCTAAAACTACTCAAAACACAACCCACTGATTGTTAATGGTGTTTATTTTATGTGCATAGTACTAATTAAATAATCTGATTCAGTGGGTTTGGTGGAGAGATTAGAGTATCAGTATTTTTAACACACTCTACAGGACTTAGGTCCATTCATACTAAAGTTTGAGAAATTAAGGTATAAACACACCCAGAACGATGACATAGAATACTTACTAATGACTTGATGAGTAACGCTCACACATAGCAGTCATCCAAATCATTTGTAAATATACAAACTGTCCTCAGGTTAAGTAAATTTGGTAAGGAATCCAGGTGGTCCCAAAGGAAGAAGCTGGGGTCGTAGATGATGGAAGGAAAGCAATTTTCCCAAATGCAATCAGGAGTTGCTTGTAACCTTGATGTACTTCTTCAAAAACAACCAGCAGTTAATGTAGAGAGAATAATATCAAGGCTTATGTGTAGTGACATTATAATAGCCATCTCTAATGAGAGTGGAGACTGAAGTTACCTGAGGCCTCCTAAAGGCCTCCTGAAAATTTGAACTTGAAAATTTAGGAAATGATTCCATTTCATCTTTTTTTTATCAGGCAGATATGAAATCTAGTAAAAGTAATTTTGTAAAGGTAATCCTAGGAATTTTGGATGACAAGACATCTTTGTTTTATGTTTTTCTTTGTTAATTCCCCTTCCTCCAACTGCCCTACGACTGTGATGGGTTGAGTTGCTTACAGTGACTCCCTGATAGGTGCCCAGGATTTCTTCAAAGGAATCCTTTCTGTTCTGGAGCTTTTAAGAGAATCAGAGGGGAAAAAAGTATCAGGGCACCCGAAGGGGGGAAGAGATTAAATTTTATTGGTATTGAAGTTTGAAAGAAGAAGGTGTTGCCAGGAGCTCCACATTTTGCCTCTAATTGTCTTTTGATAGATTTTGGATGCTTTTCATTCCCAGGCATTGTTCTGTATACTGCCACTCCTTACATGGCCTGCACTGTAAAGGTGGCCCTATGCTCAAGCTGAGTCTGAAGCCAGCTGGGCCACTTGAAGGTCTCCTCAGAATTAGCTCAAGGACCCACCCAGCTTCCTTTCACCTGAATTGGCCCTACAGAAAACTGGTGGGCGGAGGTAGCTAGTTTTCCACAATTTTGTATTTGGATGTTTTCCTGTTTAACAGACATCTTTTGCAGGATTATACTGTTGAAATCCTGCAGCATTTATTCTGAGTTCTTTTTCAAGGTAACGTTTTGGGACCATATTTTGCTTTTTGTGCTGTGGTCGATGGTATCCAGTACAAGACTGGACTGGGACAAAATAAAAAGGAGTCTAGATCCAATGCAGCAAAATTAGCTCTTGATGAACTTCTACAGCTGGATGAACCTGAACCAAGAAATTTTGAAACATCAGGTAAATACTTTTGATTATAAAATATTTATAAAATATCATTTTTAGAAGGAATAACCTGAAATTATTGGAAAGTTAACTTTGCAACTGCAAGGTCTTTGTAGCAGGATTTGAATAATTTTCTTCCATTACTGTCTGATGGCTGATGTATTTAACCATAGTAAATATTCCCATAGCAGAAAAATATGTTACTCAACTGTCTGATAACTTGTCAGATTGTCAGTGGGTTCTTATTTTTCCATGCAAATTATTGGATTTTTATTTTCTATTTAACACTGTACATTTAATACTTAAAGGATTTTAATGCAATTTTTGTGAAGTTTGCCTGTATTAAATTCAGTAATGCTAGAATTACTTGAGAAAATAATGGCTGAAGGTAGCATAGCAAGAGTGTAAACTCCAGAATTAGATTGCTTAGGTTGGAATATTGACCCTGGATAGACAAGTTATTTGCACTCTAAGCCTAAGTTTTCATCATTTGAAAAGTGGGGACAATGATAGTACCTACCTCCTGTGGCTACCATGCAAAGCCTTTAAGCTAGGGGTGTCGAACTCAATCAGAGAAGGGGCCAAAATCTAAAATCCAGCCTAAATCGCGGGCCGAATGGTTTACTGAACAGTCATAAACTGTCATTGTGATGGAAACGCAGCGGAGTGCAGTGATGACAGCGCGGTGCGGGCCACATTGCAAGGCCTGGCGGGACGGATTTGGCCCGCGGGCCTTGTGTTTGACACATGTGCTTTAAGCAATGCATGTGAATAGTATATGATCAATGGTAGTAAATATCAATTTGAGAATATGTGAATGTGTTACATATATTAGCATAATAAACAATTTTTGTCATGTTCCATGTTAGGTTACATTTTGGTTTATCCTTTGGTTTAATGTTGTATTTTCTTGTTTTTCCTGGGTTTTCTAACTTTGGAACCAAATTGCAAAGCCATTGCAAAGAATGGATCTAAAAATTTGAAAACTTTGAATGTAGTATTCCCCTAGAAAACACTCTAGTAATAGCATTAAAATACTAAGTGAGGTGCTTTCCCTTTGGGAGTACGACTGCACCTTTCCAGGCCTTTCTTTCCACCTGCCCCCTTGTTACCTTTACCCTTCTCTCTCCTAAACTCCAAGCACCTGTAACTTGTTTCCTGAGCCCATTTCTAAACTTACTCTTATAGTTTGGAAAAAAAACAAAACCCAAACTAAGTGAAATAAGCCAGTCAGAGAAAGACAAGTACCATATGATTTTACTCATATGTGTAATCTAATGAACAAAATGAACTAATTAGCAAGATAAAGACAAATTCATAGATAGAGAACAGCTGACAGCTGTGAGGGGAGAAGATGCGGGGAAGTGAAGAGATTGAGCAAAAATATAATTTTTACTTATTAAATTTTTAATAGGATATTAATTTTAAATGTTTTACATAGTATTACTGTAAATAGAAAATTGTTCTTAAGCATCTAAAACAGGGTTTCATTTTAACCTGTGCCGGGCCAGCACAGCCATGGGTGAGCCTGAGGAGGGGCAGTGAAGGATTAAAGAAGACAAAGAGAATACAGCTGGGGCTCAGCGGAGAGGACACAGAAAGATCCAGCCTGCAAGCTGGGGCTTTATTTTATAGTAACCAAGGAAGTGGTCAACATGTTTACAATGTTCTTGTGAGTTTCACTTGTTTTGGCAGCTCTTGCTGCACCTCCCACAGCCCATTAGCTACCTAGGAAGGAACTAGGGAGGGCGATAAGGTTAAACTTACTTATGCTAAGAGGGCTCTGCCCTCCAAGCTGGGACTTGTTTGTGATCCTGCCACAGGTCAGTCTGAGGCTTGTCCTTATAGCCATTCTCTACATCTTTTTTTTTAAGCTACTATAATAAAGTAAAACTTAAACATCAAGAACAAAGCTCTGGCTATTAAAACAATAACAAAACAATGCTAATGCAAAAAACCAAACTACAGACATAATAACATTTTAAAACTTGAACATCAAGAACAAAACTCTATTAAAATAATAACAAAACAGTGCCAATGCAACACAGCAATCAAACTACAGACATGTTAACATTTTCAGCTACAAAATGAGTTTCTTTTTCTGCTGGTGTGTATATTTACTCAGAGTCCTCAGACTTGGCTGTGCAAGACTTAACAGAAGACTGGCAGCTAACCAATGCTAACAGAGCCAGAAACGTGGTTGAGGGAGTAGCTTCCACTTCTTGCTTTTCTGCCATCTGCTGGGCCTCAGGTGTTAACTTTCTTCAGCTGACCCCATGTTGGCACCTCAGCCCCTTGCATAGTCTTCATTTTCTTCTAGATTGCTGTCATTGGGGCAACTCTCAGTCTTTTGAACAAAGGGACAAGGAGCTTCTCTGGGTTTATTGTGACGACACACGTAATGCTCTGGCACCCAAATTGGCTGTGCTTGTCCTGGAAAGAGACAAAACACAACCTCTTGCCCACATCATTACTGAATCTGGTAAAACTCTTGTCTGGTTTGTGCATTCTTCCACAAGGCTAACTGGCGGAGGCTATTGCTCTGGAGGTCTGATGCCTTTTGGCCACTGTATAACTCTGCATCATAATTCAAAAAATTTAACACATAATATCATTCTCTCCCTTTTTGTTTTGGTAATTGCTTTTTAAGAGTAGAATTGGCTCTTTCTGCTATTGCCTGACCTTGAATTTGTGCTATTTTTGTTTCTGATAAGACCTGATTTATAGTATTAATTGTGCCATTACTTTAATTTCTCTAGTATAGTCCTGACCTATCACCCCAAGGAAACTTGAAACCCTTTCAATGCTAAACTGCTTAAAATTAGTTTCATCAAGCCCGCGGGAAGGGGACATACATTCCCATGGCACATATTGGTAGGTGGGACAATGTCCAATCCTGCGCTTACATGTTAACATTTTTAAAAGGTTTCAAACAGTTGGCTTTGGGACTGAGTGGGCTAGAAAGGCTGCAGTGGGGTCAAGGATAGGCCCCTACTGTTTGGAGTTTCCCTGACTAGGGGGCATTGGTTATCATCAGCAGTAGTCTTGGAGTGGCATTCATTTACCCAATGCTTTCCTCTCCTGCATCTTGGACATAGTCCAGGATGCTTGTTTCCACTCCCTGTAAATTTTTTACTTCAATTTCTAGCATTACAGTCTTTAGTAGCAAAATGCCCTAGTTTACCACAGATAAAACATATTTTTCTACTGACAAGCGCACATCATCTCTTTTAATGCAGCAGCTAATACTACTACTTGAACATAAGGCTGGTCCAATGTCAGCACAAACATGGATAAAATACTTCCATTATAAGTAATCTCCAAGTGAGAGACAATCCTTTGTGATAGTATTAAGCCTCTGGTAACCTTCCAATATCCTAGTTCCCCTGCCACATTCATCCATTCTCTTTTGGGAGTGGGCTTTAGGCAGTCCTGAATCATGGACCACAGACTGAAAGTAGGGATAAGAATTTTCCCTGAGCCTAATCTGGTTTGGCTCAGTGGATAGAGAGTCGACTTTTGGACTGAAAGATCCCAGGTTCAGTTCTGGTCAGGACATGTGCCTTGGTTGTGGGGACATCCCCAGAGTGTGTGTGTGTGGGGAGAGAATGCTGGAGGCAGCTGATCGATGTTTCTCATCAATGTGTCTGACTTTCTATCTCTCTCCCTTCCTCTCTGTAAAAAAATCAATAAAAAAAAAATTTTTTTTTAAAAGATTTTTTCCTGAGCCCTAACTGGTTTGGCTCAGTGGATAGAGCATCGGCCTGCGGACTGAAGTGTCCCTGGTTTGATTCCGATCAAGGGCATGTACCTTGGTTGCAAGCACATTCCCAGTAGGGGGTTTGCAGGAGGCAGCTGATCGGTGTTTTTCTCTCCTCAATGTTTCTAACTCTATCCTTCAATAAAATATATTTTAAAAGAATTTTCCTTGGGCCTTCAACTATATAACGATCTCTAAGTTATTTTCCTACATTCTCTCATCTCTCTACATTTACCTTTGCTTCCTCAGGAAACCATGGGCAAGTTTTATTTACAAAATCCAACAAATTGAGAAGCTGTTGCTACCTCACAGAACAGCCCCATGCTTGGAGCATAGCCTTATATATAAATTATTTTCCTGCGATCCTGGATTTCCCATATTTTACACCTAGCTATTACTAAACTGTGCTCCTTACCTTACTTTTTGATTTCTGCACATGCTTTACTGGAGCGTCCTATCACCTTGCAATTGTCGTTCCCTCATACTCAGGCCCCACGTTGGGTGCCACATGTGCCATGCCAGCACGACCAAGGGTGAACCTGAGGCGGAGCATGAAGGATTAAAGAAGACAAAGAGAATACAGCTGGGGCTCAGCGGATCTCCCATGCCTGGATGAGGACACACAAAGATCCAGCCTGCACGCTGGGGCTTTATTTTATAAGCGGAGAAAAACAAGGAAGTGGTCAACACAGTTACACTTGTTTTGGCAGCTCTTGCTGCACCTCCCACAGTCCATTAGCTACCTAGGAAGGAACTAGGGAGGGTGATAAGATTAAGCTTACTTATGCCAAGCTGGGACTTGTTTGTGGCCCTGCTACAGGTCAATCTGATGCTTGACCCTATAGCCACTACCAAAATAACCAAAAACCTCTTTTCAGAATGTCACATATTACAAAACAAGCTCTATCCTATGTAATAATAGAGGAATATGCAAATTAGCTGGGATGCCGTATTTAATGAGTGAACAGCGTGGGGACCTGAGGCTGCATGGCACCTGGCTTGGGCGAGGGACCTCAGGTCATGACCCTGTCCTGAGGCTTGAGGATCTCGGGCCACGACTTCCACCTGGCAGGGTTTGATGGAGGACTTCAGGCCACACCCTTCGGATGGGCAGGGCTTGATGGGAAAATTCAGGCTGCGCTGCCCTCCCCCCATCCACCTGGCTGGCCTTGACAGGAACTCAGGCCACACCCTGTGCCCAGCGGGGTTTAATGGGAGGCCTCAGACTGTGCTCTCCCCACCTGGCAGGGCTTGATGAGGACCTCAGGCCATGCCCTCTGCCTGATGAGCCTTGATGGGGACCTCAGACTGTGCTGCCCCTGTGCTGGGATAGGGGACCTTGGGCCATGCCCCTGGTGGAGCTTGACAGGGGGACCTCAGGCCACCCTCTCGCCTCAGCACTGGGCTGGGGGACCTGAGGCTGTGCCCCGCACCTGGCGGGACTTAATGGGAGATCTGAGACTGCACCCCCACCTGGCACTGGGCTCGGGACCTGAGGCTGCACCCCATGCCTGGAGGGGCTTGAAGAGGGTGGAGCTGGACAGGTCTGGGTCTCCTGCATTTTTGGAGCATGTGTGGGTGGTGGGCAAGGACTTGACTCTAGGTCCTGCGGCATGCCCCAGACTCTCAAAGGAGGGAAATTTTCATATACATCTTACTAATTTTTCATCTCTGACACTTCTATTATAAAGGGCAAATGGCAATATTAAAATATTTCCTCTAATTCCCGTCCAGTGTGCTTGAATTTGGTGCACTGGGCCACTAGTAGTAGCATAAGATTAGGAAACCCAGAATTGTGTTTGAGACTTGGCTAATAGGTATTTGGTCTGGAGTTGGCAAAAATATAGAGAAGAAAGGAATCATTCTTGGATTGCTGTTGTATTACAGAATAGTAAGGTACCTGCTCTGTGGAAAAATGAATTTTATGTTTCCTTATATGTTTGTTTACTTACAGGTCCTCCTCCTATCCCTGCAGAACCTGCTGCTTCACCTGAACCAGCATACGTTTCAAAGGTGCATTATGGTAGGAAGTTCTTTATGTGTTCCTTTTTACAGAGTAATGCAATTAAAAATGATAACATAATTAAAATATGCAGAAATATGAAAATATACATCAGTATTTTATCATTCAAACCTAGCATATTTCCACAAAGAGGAAAATTTCACATGCTGCTAAAAATTAGAGAAATGGGGAATGGAGAAGAAAGATGGAAGAAATGCCTTTTTCCTAGAAGGTGATAGTTCATCAGTTTCGTGTAACTACTTTTTTGAGAATTCTTTGCTTTGGTGGGCTTATTCTACATAATAAAGAGATAATATACAAATTGACCATCACTCCAACACACAAGATGGCCACCCCCATGTGGTCAAAAATGGGCCGCCACCATGTAGACACAAGATGGCCAGCAGGGAAGAGCAGTTGGAAGCGATCAGGCCAGTTAGGGGCATCCAAGCCAGCAGGGGAGGGCAGTTGGGAGGGACAATGCCTGCAGGGAGGGTCATTGGGAGGGACCAGGCCTGCAAGGGAGGGCAGTAGGGGGTGATCAGGACTGCAGGAGAGGACAGTTGGGGGGACCAGGCTGGCAGGGGAGGGCAATTGGGGGCAACCAGGCTGGCACGGGAGGGCAATTAGGGGAAACCAGGCCAGTAGAGGAGGACAGTTTGGGACAATCAGACCAGAAGGGGAGCAGTTAGACGTCAATCAGGTTGGCAGGGGAGTGGTTAGGGGGTGATCAGGCTGGTAGGCAGAATCGGTTAGGGGCAATCAGGCAGGCAGGCAGGCAGGTGAGTGGTTGGGAGCCAGCAGTCCTGGATTGTGAGAGGGATGTCCAACTGCCCGATACCTAAACGGGCAGTTGGACATCCTTCGAGGGGTCCTATATTGGAGAGGGTCCAGACTGGGCTGAGCAACACAAAATAACCCCTCCCCTGAGCACAAATTTCATGCACTGGGCCTCTAGTTATTAATGAAAACCAATGGCTTTCTGGTGCTTGATGGTTGGGAGATTCGTGTCAAATAGTTTATCCACATTTTTTATAGTACTTACTTGCCACTGAAACCCCCTAAAAACAACAATTGCAGTTGCAGTTACTCTTTGTGTGACCTAAGAATGGATACTTTTCTATGCATCTAATTTCTCCATCTGTAAAATGGTCAGAATAGTAACTACCTCACAGGGGTTATTAAGAGGAGTATAAAGTATTTAGATCTGGGCCTGGCATATTATAGATGCTCACTAGATAGTAACTTTTTCATGTTCAACATTGTGTGGTTGTTACTGTATACTAGGGGTGTCGAACTCAATCAGAGAAGGGGCCAAAATCTAAAATCCAGCCTAAATCGCGGGCCGAATGGTTTACTGAACAGTCATAAACTGTCATTGTGATGGAAACGCAGCGGAGTGCAGTGATGACAGCGCGGTGCGGGCCACATTGCAAGGCCTGGCGGGACGGATTTGGCCCGCGGGCCTTGTGTTTGACACATGTGCTGTATACAGTTCCTGTTAGGTTAGGAATCCCCTGCACAACAGGAAAGCATTCTTAATTTCTACATTGT